GCTGCAGGCCTTAAAGTCCGAGAAGAGCCGATCCCCAAGTTTTGTCAGGTAAGCTTTTCCCCTCACGTTCAATCCGATTAACCTATATACTACACAGTACTTCGACACTCATGCCAAGCGACTCTGTTTCGCATCGCAGTGGCATGATCTCACAAGATAGCAGCATTGTCTCTCCTCCTGTGCTGAAAAAGACATATCCATTCACGGTCCTCTGGAACAAAGAGGATTGTAAGAAGGACGATGATGTCCACATCACGGTAGCTAATCCTGAATGGATTCCTATGGATCAGGCCATTCGACACGAGAACGGTGACCTCATCTCAAGTGCAGAGTGGCACACGATTCAGACGACTGCACGCGTAGTCAAGAACGAGCTTCTCTCTCTTCCACCTCCTCGAGACCGTCGGTATCACAACATAAAGCGAACAAAAAAGGTATTCAAGGCTGCATATCCACGCGAATGGGAAGCAGCCATGCTGAAGATGGAGAAGCAACAACCGTTGCTCGCCCTTTGCTCAGACCATTGGAAGGCGGAGTACATCATTGGTCCTATGCTGCTCCAGCAGCACAAACCCGACTCCGAACTCGACAATGATGATGACGACGTTAGTCACATCAGCACTTCCACCACCAACACTCGTGCATCTGAGCATGGTGAAATCTCCACCTCGATGGCCTCGCAGGTCTCTGTTGCCAACAAGAGGCGCCGTGTCCACTCCACTTCTTCAAGCAAGCCAAAGAAGAAGCCTGTCGCGGGTGTGGTATCGCAACATGCAGAGGGTCGAACATCTGGCCCAGTGGCCACACCTGCATTGGAACCGCAGCTGAGTCTAACATCTGCCCCAGTGACCATGCCTGTGGAACCACAGCTGAGTGCAATCGGTAATATTCTCGGTAAGTAAATTTACATGGTCCTTTTGCGTTATTGAACCTCATGGTAAATAGCCCAAGTGCCTTCCGCGCCTCCCTCTGTCGTTGCCTCTGTCATCTCTCCTTCGGTATCTGGCCTAACGGTGAAAAGTGCCATTGACATCAGCTTCATCAATGTCGATCCGTCAATCGAAAATTTGATAGGTACGCTTCGTTCATCATTATTGTTTGTTTATTTATTTGCTTGCAGATGCCTTGTCCAGTAGCCATCCGGATTTAATAAGTGGTTTGGAGCTGCTCAATTCCATGAAGCTCACATTTGTATTCGACATCGGTTCTCCGACATCGGAAGTCATCACATTTATCGAGCGTATTGAGAGCGCTGATCCTAACTCACCCGACCTCTTGGAAGACGATCTTGGAACAGCGTGGGGCCATTACCAGTTTACAGCAGGCTCGATGACCTCCAGCTCCACACTTGTCTCATGGGATGGCATTGGGAGTGAGGCCACACGAAGATTAATTGCCGCCGCCATTAAGACGTGCAAGGTTGCAAGACATGTGTGTTTTGTCAGCGGGATCAAAACGAACACATATCTTAGCGATGCATACTTGGAGATGACAGTCGAAATCCTTTGGAGGCTCTGGAAAGCCGCAGGAGAAGTAAGTGCTATATTATCTTGGCGGGTGTTGCTTCTAAATATGTTCACTACAGCCTGTTGTGAAGGGGAAGGGCAAAGCTTTCACATCATCGGACTCATGCACCATGTCCACTGCTGACGCCATCGCCAGTATTCCTGACTCCTCTGCCGCCACTCTTACCCCCTCTGCCGCCACTTTGGTCAATGTCTCTCAGCCCTCTGCCGACACCGGTTTGTCCATGAACTCTGATTCGTGCCCTTCCAACTCGTCTGGTAGTGGCAAACCTATGGCCGACAGCAATTCTGACCCGCGTGCATATATCACTGTACATACATTTAGCCTTTACCGTTTATTTTCACTGATGTGCGCCACCGGATAGTCGCTCAACAGAGATGAATTGTTTGAATGGATCATCGATCGGAAGTTGGCGGTCAATATGAAGCTTGGAAAGAAGAGTTCCTCCATTAAGAAAGGTAAGAATTCTCTTTTTTTTTACCTTCTGTATGACTTGGTGCACTCATTTTCGTGTTTACAGACAAGCTTGTATCAATCATTCTGTCCGCCGAAGCAACCGCCCAGCCATCTAAGGCAGAAGTCGATGTCATCGTGCAGCAGGTATGATACTAGTCCCATTCTTTGCATCTACTTCTGACGCTTCGGTTCGCAGCGCAAGCTTAAGAAGATGGCCACTTCAAAAGTTTGAGCCTCATCGCGAGGAGGGGAGGGGCATGTCGCTGCTGTGTCGCTAGTGCCAAATTGTTCTCATTTGTAGTAACTCTGCGTGATGAATTCATGACTTTTGATGACCTTTGATGACTATTTCGATGAAAGAGAGTGACTGGAGTTTGACTACTTTATGACTGAAATTTGACTACGGATGACTATGACGGACTATTGTTTGACTTTACTTGGTGGCTGCAGTGTCGTTACCGCTCCCCAACTCCAGACTAATTCTCGACTTTTTGTAGACTAAACCTGACAAAAATAGTCACAGGCTGGTAGCTAAAACACAAAATTCTGGCCAAATTGACTAGTACACGACTATTTAATGACTCTACATGACTTAGTTGGACTTCTCATCTTTACAGAGATTCACCGATCAGGCCTCAGGAGACCTTACATTTCGTCGTAAAGAGTGTGATATCTCTCCATAGCCACTTAGAACTCCATGGAATGCAAACGTCAACTCATACTTTCATCTACTTCGCCCGCTCCCTTCCCCTTCCTTGCCGTCAGAATCTTCACGCTAGCCAATATACCAGATATCAATGTAGGTGTAATCAATTCACTGAAGATCCGTAAGCACATGGGGCAATGTCGAGCATACGAAGATCCGGACTGAGCCGGTGATTGCCTGGAAGTAAGCGTAAGAAGTAAGCCGATGGAAGGTGAACGAAACGATGTTTGCAGCAAGGAAGACACATACTTGAGAAGTCAACATCTACGAAGCGGCGAGTTGGGTCCGAGCTGCCCTTCCAAATCGGTGAGGCCAGGTCCGAGCGCCTTCCATATCGCCGGACGGCATCGCCGGCACCATAGATAGGTTCAGCTGGGGTCAAAATTTGTCCGAAAAGGATCAGGCATTCACAACGTCCAAGCCTATATGTCCGGGAAAATCCTCAGGCTATCCCGGGGTCGACCCCCTGATTTGTCCGTGAAATACCAGGCATGAGGCTCTCAAAAGTTCAAAATTTGTCCGTAACTGGCTCAGGGACCTTCCCCAATTGTCGGGGGTCCTCATGTACGACACGAAGTAGCTTGATCTGATCTCCGCGGAAACACGCAATAGACATACGTGAAACCTAGGCTCATAGATACAGCCTCTAGTTACCTGCAGGAAGACAGTCGTTCCTTTGTAATAGAGGCTGAGATCATTACCGATGACCCGCTGAGAAGTCCCCCGTGGGAAACCGGACTTTGAACGATGCCGACGGCAATTCGACGCACGAATCTTTAGCGCTCAAGTCGCGTGCAGCCACAGGCGCGTCTTACCTGTGTACAAGCTTCGCGTGCTGTAAAAAGTTCTCATGGCGACGGTGCTTCGTCAACGAAGAACCAGCAGACAAGACTCTTGACAGCTTGCTGCAACAGCAGGCTACGAACGCGTTTTGACCGGAGCATTTGAGGGCTCATGATGGCAAGACGAATGTCCTCTCCGCTGACAAGCTCGGCCAGAAGATCGCGATTGTTGTGGTATGCTTCTCTCATAGTGTCTTCGTTGATAGCCAGTGCACGAATTCCGCGGCTATTGGCCACAGTTTCCTATACTCAAGGTCAGAATGAAACTACTGTCGGTGTGCTTGTCAGCACGACAGTACCTGCTGCAATGCTAGCAATTTAGTAGGCACAATCATGAGAGCTATTCCTATCTTCATCTGGGCTTGTGCAGCCAGTAGCGGAGCATGCATAACCGTCGTCTTCCCCTGGCCCGGCGCGATGACGAGGAACAGATCCTTGCCGTGGATGAGGTCCATGCCATGGCATAGCTGGAAATCGCGAACCGAGGGAACTCCGCACTTCTGAACGATCAACGACTCGAGCCATTCTGAAGAGCCTTCTGCAGGTATGATGGACATAGAGAACGGCGTGGATTACAGCTACGTAGCATACATACAGAGTTGACGCGACTGACATCTCTGCCACCGACGCGTTTTGGGAATTATAGTTTAGTGCCGATGACGCAGCCGTCCCTTCCGCTGTCTGGCACGTAGCTCAAAAACTCCCACGGGGGACTTCTCAGTGGGCTCCCGGATAATGATCCTAGACTACGTGAAACCCCGAAATTGGGCCCGCAGGCCGGACCTTCGATCTCGGACCCCCGAAAATGGTCGAAAAACCGGTACAACTTACATGCAGAACATCCCCGAGAAATCCCCTAAAAATGGTTCCTGGGAGAAATTTTCCCGGAGACCCTCAACTTGGAAGGATTTTCCGGCGAAAATTCGTTTTGAACCGCAAATGTTCGATCCCATTTCCCCCCGAAACCTGCGAAACCCCCGAAAATGACTGTCCTAACCCCCGAAAATGGCCTCCGGCGGGATCGGAGCTCTAAGCGAGTTACTGGAAACTCAACGCGTTGATAGTCACGTGAAAGACACCTTCCTCAATCGGACAGCCTAGCAGTTCAACGTCAACTTCAACGCTTGGTCTGTCAGCTTCTCTGCACTATCAAACACGGGCCCCGTATCTGCGCTAACTAGTCTACGTGAGGTTGTAAGGGACGGTTAGAAACGGTGCTGCTGCTCTGACCTAATTTTACTCTCGGTTGTGGCTTCAACTTGAGTGCGTCCTCATCCTGGTCAATAAGCCCTTAATTCTGTGCGGGACTCGGGGCGGTGACTGTGCTGCCGGAAGTGTTATAGATCTTTTACGCTGTCTGAATCTATTTTTTTCTTCTCTAAAGCTGTTAAACACGCGGTCTATTGGTCATATCGTCTCTTCAGAACAACCGCGTTACAGCACCCTACGCTCGTGAAACGCGAAGACGTATGGGAAATGCCCAGTCTTTGACTCGCACCAGCGGTGCTTTGGACTCATTTGTGGCCGAGTTGGGAGGCGATATGGTGTACGAGGGAAGGTATGTGGATCTATCTCTTCCTGTTACTCTGGCTTACAGCTAGGTTAGTTTGGGGTCGGCACGATTTCTTAAAACCGTGAAGTGTCGGCACAAGAATGGCTACCTAGTGGTCAAGATATTCGTCAAGCCGGACCCGGGACTCAGCTTGAGGAAGTACCACAGACGACTGAAAGGTATGTGCAAATGCAGCCGGAAACAGGGTCAGCCCTTGATTATAGATAGTTGAGCGCGAGGCTCTTTCGGACATTGCCAATGTTTACAATTACCAAAACTTTGCGGAGACCGACAAGGCCGGATATGTAATCCGCCAGTGGGTTGCTAGCAGCTTATATGATCGTATCAGGTATGTACATTCTACGGATAATTTATATCTTAAGGTAACGAATCTATTGTACTCTTCTCCAAGCACTCGCCCGTTCTTGAGCATGATTGAGAAGAAATGGATAGCATTTCAGCTTCTGAATGCCCTCCATGACACACGAAACAGGAAAATCTCACATGGTGATATCAAGTCGGAGAATATTCTTGTAACGTCATGGAACTGGGTCTACCTCTCCGACTTTGCTTCCTACAAGCCTACATATCTTCCTCTAGACGACCCTTCGGACTTCTCATTCTTCTTCGATACATCTGGCCGCCGGACGTGCTATATAGCTCCGGAGAGATTTTATACCGCCGCGAACAACCCAGACATCAGCGCGAAGAAGTCGCGACTTGCTCTGGAGGATGGCGAGGGTAGGAGGGATGGCAAGGTTACTGAAGCTATGGATTGCTTCAGTGCGGGATGTGTCGTCGCCGAACTCTTTTTGGAGGGTGCACCGTTGTTCACCCTCAGCCAGCTGTTCAAATACCGCGAAGGAGAGTTCAGCGTCGACTCCCAGTTGAGTACGATTGATGAAGGTGTCAGGGTGAGTGGTCAGGCATTATGATTGACTCCAGTATTTTGCTGAGACAGCAGTCAAGAACTTGATCAAGCAAATGATCGCAGTGGATCCGTCTTCAAGACCCACATTTGATACTCTTCTGCACACGTCCCGGGGAACTGTCTTTCCTGAGTCCTTTTACTCCTTCCTTCACAATTACGTCTCATCTGTGAATGAGACGCATACCCCTCTTGCCTCCGCAATGTCGCCGGTCAACCCCGCGTACCCCAGCACCCTTTCCACCACGACCTCAGCTATCAAGCCACCATCGACACAACCTCCTCCTGGAGTCGTCGTCAGTGATCAGTCTAACGACCCCCTACCCAGTGACTCCGATCACAGAATGGACCGCATTTGGGCTGACTTCGAAAGTGTGGAACCATATCTTGCATCTGATTCCGGCGAAGACACAATGACGGACGTGAAGGTCGATTACACGTCATCTGTAGTATCATCAAAACCATTTCAGGTGAGTATCTGGACCACAATGTGGAGTAGGTTTCGAGGTTGATTGCTTGCAGGATGTGCTCCCGGTAGAGCTGTACATTCCAAATCGGGAGAGTAAACTTCGCAGTGCCTGGTCTGCAGGGAAGCGCGCCGCTTCCGAAGGTAACGAACTTTATTACACACGATCCTTTCTCTTTCTCATTTGTATTCAGATGGTCCAGCTCTCATTATTCTCGCGCTTGTATGCGCCAACATCCGCAATTGCTACCTGCCGAGCTCCAAAGTCCGCGCGCTAGACGTCTTCCTTGCGCTTTCATCCCATCTCACCGACGAGGCCAAACTTGATCGGATGGTCCCGTACATCGTAGATCTTCTTCATGATGATGCCGCTGTCGTGCGCTCTGCAGCACTTCGTACGCTGATGCAGATAGTATGTATCTTTGCACAGTGTGCTGACCTTCTGACTTTGACCTGACAAACACTACGATCTAGCTGATGCTGGTGACCGTGATCACTCCGTCTAATGCAGCAATCTTTCCGGAGTACATCATCCCTGTAATCGCGCATCTCGTCCGCGATCCTGAGGTGTCTGTGCGATGCATGTATTCGCAGTGCATCGTAGCGCTTGCAGACACCGCCGTTCGATATCTGGAGATGGGTCAGGCATTGAAAGCCCATGGCACGTATAATTTATCAGCCGATGCACAAGAATACGATGAGGCGCACTTCGAGGTCCGTCTTCACCCCGTCTTCCACTCTGATGCATTCATAAGACGTTATACACAGGTATCCTACGATGCAAGCATGCAGGATCTCCAGAATAGTGTCCAAGAGCATCTTGCGACGTTGTTGGTCGACCCTTCCAGTGTGGTCAAACGCGCAGTACTGCACAACATCTCTTCGCTCTGTATCTTTCTGGGAAGACAGAAGACCAACGATGTCCTACTGAGCCACATGATCACCTACCTCAACGACCGTGACTGGCTACTCCGCTACGCGTTCTTTGACAGTATCGTCGACGTAGCCGCTTGTGCTGGTGGAAGAAGTTTGGAAGACTACATTCTTCCCCTTATGATTCAAGCTTTATCCGGTGAGTCTCGCCTTACGGTGTGTTGTTATCACATTGGTGATTTGATCGTATCATCAGACGTTGAAGAGAGCGTGGTTGCGAAAGTGCTCGCCTCACTCACAAGTTTGTGTGAGCTCGGCCTGTTCCAGAAGATCAAGATCTGGGAGCTCATGAGTGCCACGCTTGGCTTTTTGTACCATCCCAACATCTGGATTCGACAAGGTGACTTCTCCGTCCTAGAATCATTCGCATTGTATCTGAGATTTATCAGCCGCCACCGCTTTCATCGCTTCTGCTGCGAAACATCTGCCCCCTAGTGACGTTTGGTGCATACTATATCCATCTCTCAAGCACTTCTTGCGATCAGATATTCGTGACGTTGACGAGCAAAGCCTGTTGACTTCCTTGAAGCCTCCGGTACGTATTGTGTTCGTACTCGATTTCCTGTTAAACGCTGTAGTCATTGCATTCTGTTAGCTTCCAAGGCAAATATTTGATGCCGCTGTGCAGTGGGCCACGAAGGCTGACAAGACACATTTCTGGAGAAGCCACCGATCAACGAAGTCCGAATCTCCCCGAGAAAGTATGACTACCGTGCGTCAATCAGGCAACACAAATTCACGAGCAAGATCCGAAGAGTTGAGTTGAATCAGTTCAAAGCGTGGTGCTCGCTATTCACGCATAGTGCGTCACAGAGACGAGGTACAGATTTCCAAGTTGCAGCAACTTGGCATGACTCAGAGCGAAGAGACTAAGTTGTCAGCAATGCGAGACTACATACTCAAATTAGCGCGGGCCACATCAAGGTATGTAATGCTGCCACTTAATCAAGTCAGAAACTCATTCTGTGGTTCAAGTTTTTCGTCTCGCATTAGCGTAGAGGTCGACACGGAAAGCCTGAAGACAACTAGTGCCATCGAGCTACAGAAGTTGGCAGTAGTCCCACAGACTGTATTCTTGAAAGCACCGAGAGGAATTGTGGCTCGCCAGTCATTGTCCGATATGTCCGCCAGGTCACCAATGGCAGGGACTCCTCGCTCCAACTGGACGTTCAGTTTGGACCATGGAGGTAATGGGGCTCCCTTTGAAGATCTTCGTCGAAGACTTGCTATCATCAACGGTTCAGCAACGTCTCTGACACCTGCAGGCGCTCGAGACCCACGTAGTCTTTCACTCCCTACCCAGGATGCACCTACATCGCAACCTGTGCCTCTTGCATTGCCTCTAGCATTCGACCGACCAGGGAGTCCTGCGGAGTCTGTCACTTCAACCGTGAATTCGTCTACTTTTCGACCACCACATCGTCTGCAGATCGGCAGCACAGACAGCCAGAAAGCCGCTCCTGCGATTGGATCTTCCAAGGCGAATGCCACAGGATTACTCGAAGCGCATTCCAAACTACGGCCCGATGATTCTGACGAACATTCAGGTCGATCTTCGCCTGTCTCTCCGGCTGGTACGATACGCGTGCACGAACGACCACGGGTGGCATCGTTGGCTCCCATCTCAACCTATGGTTCGCTCATTTTCTTACGTCCAACAATCGATTCACGTTCAAATTGATGTATACAGACGGTCAGGAACCCGGTATCAGTAACCTGCTCGAACATCTGTATCTCGATAATAACCGTGAACTGCAAAGTGATTTCGGACCACGAGTACACGAGGGTCCTGTCCGCCGGCGAAATGCACCTAGGCGTAGCTTTATCTCGCGGGATGGTTCCTCCAGCCGACCAGAGAGCACCCTGATCGCTCATCTCGGTTCACATTCTGACGCTGTCACCGGCTTGGCAGTTTCGCCCGATCACATGTTCTTTGTCTCGGCTTCCGATGACAAGACGGTGAAGGTCTGGGACACAGCGCGGTTAGAGCGAAATGTGACGAGTAAGCCTAGACATACATATGGGCAGCATCATGCGCGCGTCAAGTGTGTCTGCATGCTTGAGGGTGTCCATTGTTTCGCCAGTGCTGCTGACGACGGAAGCCTCCACGTCGTTCGTGTACATGCGAGCCAGAGCGGAACCCTCCCGAAGTACAGCAAGTTGCAAGTAGTTCGCGAACATCGGATCCAGCATCCTGGCGAGTACATCACGACTATGGTGCATTACAACACAGGTACGTCCGTAACTTGTGTCTCGTTTCGTTATATGCTAATGGTGATGGCAGACGCGTCGTCCAATCTGGTGTATGCTACGACTCATTCAACGATCTCGATCCTTGACCTGCGGACAATGCGGCTTCTACAGAACATGGAGAACCCTCGCCACTATGGGCCAATTACATGCCTGTGCCTGGATCGCAAACGCTCTTGGATAGTTTGCGGCACTTCGACGGGCGTACTTTCTCTGTGGGACATTCGGTTCGGTATCTTGATCAAGAGCTGGAAGGCGAGCGTTGCCTCTGGAGGAAAGTCGGCTCGCATCTATCAGTGTGCGGTCCATCCTGCCCGTGGGAAAGGAAGGTGGATCATAGTTGCATTGGAGCTGCCCAAGACGATCCCGGAGCACGATCCTCACACCCTGCTCGAAGTCTGGGACATCGAGAAAATTTCTCTAGTGGAGAGTTTTGTCACCAGGGCCGTTTCGAATCCTTCGCAAGAGTTGGAAGCGCCACAGGAGTGGGCTGTCACTGATGCTGAGACAAGTCCTGCGGCGGCTATCGCGGCCTTGGTCCGCTCTCGTCAGGAAAACGGGAGTTCATTAGAATCTACTGCTCGGCGCCCTCGGTCAAACACTCAGGTTGCGACTAGGGATGATCTGTCCCTCCACCCATCTCCGGACATTCGTTCTATCTTGGTCGGTGCCGAATTTGGTGGACACACTGTCTTACATAGGTCAACCATGGCGGACCAGGGTGATAACAAGGCACCCAGTCGTGCAACCTCCGGACGTGGCTTCCTACTGACTGGTTCTGAGGATCGCAAATTACGGTACTGGGACCTGGGACGGGTGGAAAAATCTGCGATGCTGACAGGGATTGAGACTGAGGGTGATAAACCAACATACAGGTGTGTTTTCCGGAATATGTTGCAAATAATCCATGCTAACATATTTCCTTGTAGTACCGCTCGTACCTCGAGTGGCTCCGTCACCGCTTACGTTGAGACTTCAGCGGCTTCACCAGATTGTGGCCACAATAATCGCCCACCACAACGAATGTCACTGATAAATCATAATCAGCAAAACCTATTGAAAGGCCACCAAGATACCATCACTGCTCTTGCCAGCATTGATTCTCCGTTCCGAGGCGGGGTTGTGAGCGCTGATCGAGCAGGAGTCATCAAGGTTTGGAGGCTTGAAGGACTTGATCTATATTGATACCCTATATGTAGCCCTAGTGTACGTCTGTTTGCATTTCCTGTATGTTACTCAATGCATATTGTAGTCCTGCTGCTAGCTACACCTCACATGGACAGTTTGCAAGATTAGATTAGATAACTTGAGAAGAAGAAGCGGCTTGACTTGAGAAACCGGCGTTTGTGGGACTTTTGGATGTTGACTCGACCTCTCCTTAGCTTTTGTACGTTACCTCGCCGTCCTCATATCCTACATTCTCATCGCCTGCAGTATCGATTGTTCACTATGGCCTCAGCAGTCCTACAGAGTGACCACCCAAGCTCTGCTCCCCACCCTGTCTCATCGTCTTCACATCCGGTGCAACTTTCCGCCCTGAAAGGTCCTCACGCGAACGGTGACCAGAAACCACACAAAGAGAAGAAGGACAACACCGCGTCTGCGTCTGCATACCCACTAGAGGTTTGCGGAGGTCGTGAAATGAGTCGCTCGTGAAGATCTAACTTTCAGAACCAATATAGCTCAACCCACCACCAGAGTTCTTCCATCATAAAATTCAGATATTTGATAAATTAAAGGCCGAGTATGACGAGTGGGTGAAAGGTAAGTGATCTATAACTACCGTCGTTCTCTACGAGAATTTACGGGCTGCATCGCGTGCAGTACAACCGCGTCAAGAGATTCAGATCACGTTGCCAGATGGCTCCGTACGCCAGGGCAGGAGCTGGGAAACCAGCCCGATGGATGTCGCGAAAGAGATCTCAAGGGGTCTCGCGGATCGTATCGTCATAGCCAAGGTCTGTGCGCATCGGGCTGCCATCGAAAATATATTCACCTCGATCAGGTCAATGGCGACGTATGGGACTTGGAACGGCCGCTGGAAGGTTCATGCAAATTGGAGTTGCTCGACTTTGAGCACCCAGAAGGCAAGCGCGTGTTCTGGCACTCATCCGCGCACGTCCTTGGCGAGGCTGCTGAGCGTCACTACGGATGCCACCTGTGCATCGGTCCGCCGACTGAGGAAGGGTTCTTCTATGAAATGGCTCTGGATGACAGGGTCGTGACGAACGCCGACTACCCCGCTCTAGAGAAGGTATCAGACCTTGCCATTAAGCAGAAGCAAAAGTTCGAGCGACTTGTGGTGCCGAAGGAGACTCTGCTCGAGATGTTTTCCGTACGTACCTGTGATGGCAGTCTTTACTCGGTGTTTACAACTCGGCGTAGTATAACAAATACAAGAAGTACCTCATAGAGAGCAAGATCCCCGACGGCACGTCCACCACTGTCTACCGCTGTGGACCGATGGTAGATCTCTGCGTCGGCCCACACATACCGCACACGGGGAAGATAAAGGCGTTCATGGTGACCAAGGTATGTATCTGCTCAGAGTTGTAACGCATGGGTCATGACGTCTCGCAGAACTCAGCGTCGTACTTCCTTGGCGACCCGAAGAACGACTCGCTGCAGCGCATCTATGGCATCTCATTCCCTGACAAAAAGCAGCTTGTAGAGTACAAGGAATTCCTCGCAGAGGCAGCACGACGAGACCATAGAAAGATCGGCAAGGAGCAAGAGCTATTCTTCTTCAACGACCTCAGCCCCGGGAGCTGCTTCTGGCTCCCACATGGCACTCGGATATACAACACCTTGACTGAGCTTCTGCGGGTAAGTCATATGTGTATACACAACCTCCATCTCGACGTTCATCTCGAACCTAGTCCGAGTACTTCAAGCGTGGTTACCAAGAAGGTTCGTGCCACCGTGCTGCTGGGAAGTATTAGCTCATTCCCCGACAGTCATCTCGCCGAACATGTACCACAGCAAGCTGTGGGAGACGTCCGGTCACTGGCAGAACTACAGAGATGACATGTTCACGCTGATCGTTGAGAAAGAGCCGTGGGCGCTGAAGCCTATGAACTGCCCGGGTCACTGTCTCATCTTTGACTCGCGCGATCGCAGTTACAAGGAGCTGCCCATCCGCATGGCCGAGTTCGGTATCGTTCACCGAAACGAGGCGTCTGGCGCATTGACTGGGCTCACCCGCGTGCGCCGGTTCGTCCAGGACGATACGCATGTCTTCTGCATGCCTTCTCAGGTGGGTTTCTTTAGGAGACAATTAAAATTTTGGTGTTAATTTCGATAATTTAGATTGAGGAGGAAATTGGTGCCTTGTTTGATTTTATGGAGCATGTGTACGGTCTTTTCGGCTTTGACTTCAAGCTTGAGCTGTCCACCCGGCCTGATAATTACCTTGGTGCCATCGAGGCCTGGGACGAAGCAGAGAACGTAAGTAAATCCAACTAGTCTTTACCAATGATCGCTGAAACCGCATTTGAAAACCAGCAATTGAAGAAGGCGCTCGACAAGCAGTATCCAGGGAAGTGGGAGCTTAACCCCGGCGACGGTGCGTTCTACGGGCCCAAGATTGACATCACCATCCGTGATGCCCTGCGCCGCTCGTTCCAGTGCGCTACTATTCAGCTGGATTTCCAGCTGCCCGAGCGCTTCGATCTCAAATACCGCAGCGCTGATAACAGCGCGAATGCTGATAAGGGCCCGTCGCGACCCGTCATCATCCACCGCGCGATCCTGGGCAGCTTGGAACGGTTCATCGCCATCACCACCGAACACTTTGCTGGCAAATGGTTCGTTGATACTGATTTCGATTCTGAAGGTGCGATACTGAAATGCCCCGATCTAGGCCATTCTGGTTGTCTCCGCGTCAAGTCCTGGTCGTACCTGTCGCTGCTCCTTTTGTATGTCGATGTGTGCCCTATTAAAAGAGCTATATTGACGAGCACTTCACTTTACAGAAAGACTACGCGTCCGAGGTCGCCAACACCCTCTCCGATCTAGGCATATTTGCTGACGTCGACAACGGCGAGAACACGCTCCCGAAGAAGATCCGCAACGGCGAGATTTCGCAGTGCAACTTCATCCTAGGTGCGTCATCCTAGGATGCCTATGCATATGTACGAAATATCTGATACTGCGATGTACAGTGGTTGGACAGCAAGAGTACGACAACCGCTCGGTGAACGTGCGTAATCGCGACGACGTCGGCACCAAGGCCAAGGGCGAGATGGTGCCGTTGGACGAGGTTGTCAAGAAATTAGTAGCTCTGAAAGCAAGCCGCTGCCTAGAGAACAAGCTTCTGTGAGATGAGCTTCGTTGAATAGATCAGTTACAGCGTGTTGCATATTTGCGTGAAACTTGTCTTGCGCAAATAAACCCATAAGGGGAAGGTCGGGAAGTGCCGCCAAAATTCAATGACTTACAACCTTGATATGTACAGAGCGTCATATAGGCAAGCCAAGGCCCACAGAAACACTTTATAGCTATACGCCCGCAGATTGGAAAGTTTTATAAGCCACTACGTTCAATTGCGGGAACGATGACTGGAGAGAGTATCAAGCAACTATGCAACACGCTGTGGTGTCATGGCGTCAGCGGGTATATTCTCTTTTGTAACATACTGGACCCGAGCAATGTCACCGGATCAAGAAAATTTTTGAATGTTTATTATGTTCGTGCTGCGTGACTACACCGAGGAATGAGAATCAAACGCCCAGAATGCCTGACGTGCCCGGTGGCTCAGATCTCAGATGTTGACCAGGATGATGCAAGAGATAGTCATGCGACACTTCCTAAGAACTGTCTCCGCTGTCGAAGTAGCACCTAATGAGCGGTGCCGCAGTGGCGGAACACATTACTCACCAGTTGCTGGATTTGCTCGCGTTCTGCAGGCGGCAGCGTGTTGATTTGTTCTGGAGTCAGATGAAGCACCGACAGTAACATATCCTAGACAAGTCGTGTTGTATGTGAGACAACGCAGCGTGACTCGAGAACACTCGTAGAGGGCGTACTCTTTGCGCGGAACTGAACTCAGGTAATGTTGCCTGCGCGGCCGGTTGTGCTTGTTGGGACTGTGGTGGGGGAGCCACAGGCGCCGGAGGATGATAATATGACGATGGCTGCAGGGGGGGAACAGACTGCATGTGTGTAGGCAGAGCCTGCTGGTACATAGACGGCGGCTGCACAGGAGCTGCGGGGTGGTGTACCGGCGCAGCAGGCGCCTGCATGGATTGCATGAAGCTCGGTTGCGGATGCTGCATAGGAGGAGCTTGCGGGTACGGAGCGGGCGGGGGCGCTTGCGCCTGAGGCGGCACCGAAGTGGAGGCGCTTGTCGCAGCCAGCATACGCTGCAGACACGGTGAGAGGCGAGTCAAGGTGGAAGAATATTACCGAGTAATGCTCACCTGGAGGATGGCCGGGTCCACTATTTTGTTGAGGAGAAGTGCTTGGAACAGCGCGTACCCGAGCTGCGGATGCGCGACGAGCAGTGCTCGGGCTTGCTCCGGGTGCGTGATTACGAACGCCTGCCAGTTCTGCATCAGCATCGGCCTTCAGTTGGGAAGAGGGATGGGCTAGGTACCTTCATCTGCGCGAGAACCTCGAGGATCTGGCTCGGGTTCGCCGTGGCGAGCATCTGGCTAATCGTGTCGAGCGCGGTGGACCCGAGCGGGACGGGCACACCTGGCGATAGGTTCGCGAGAAACGCGTTCGGGTCGTATGGCCGCGAGCGGTAGTCCTCGCGCTCGCGCTCACGTTCTCGCCACTGCGCACGCGTCTCGCCGCCGTCGATGAGCTCGCCCCGCACTGTAGTTTTGCCTTCAAGGAAGGGGTCCGAGTCTGCGAGGTCGATGCGCAGTGGCCGGCCGCCGATGTCTTGACCATTCAGATTGCGCACCGCCGACAGTGCGGTGTCATGGTCTGAACATGCACCCAGAAAGGTAAGTGCGTGCCGTGGGGCGCGACGCATGGGCGCGTGCGCGTGATTGTTGGAGATGCAGTTACGTTCGGTGGAATCATCAGCATTGTTGTTGAGGATTGCAGCACAGGCGTAAAGGCAGGTATTCGGTGTTGCAATAGTGTACGAGAGCGTCGATGATCAGGAACGTGGTTGAACGTGGTTTGTGGGTTTGTGCGGGTTGTGGGTTTGCGGATTTGTGGGTTTGTGGGTTGATGGCACGTCGTCGATTGATAGCGAAGTGATTTTCATTTTGATTATGGTGAATATTCGCGCAGGGCCATTTGCAGACGGTGTTTCATAGAAGACATATGCATTCGCAGTTGGTCAGACAAGTCGATGATTTCGCGTCTCAGAACGGAACGAGCTGTACCCGAAAATTCACAGAAACCATAGCCTTTGGGCTTTCCTGTATCTCTGTCAAACACGAGTCTGTGCACGGCGGCGTTGATGAGCTTGAAGCACCACATTCAGTGGCCACATTTGATGCACACCTAAATCCGACAACTTGTCCCACCGACTTGAACACGTCGATGAGTTGTTCCTGCAGTATAGCCAAGTCAGCGTGCGCAGTATCATGCCGAGGGCGTACGTACCTCGCCCATAGTGTAGGGCACATTCCCCACTGCACAGTCGTCACTTAAGGTAAACGCACAGCCCGCGAGAACGGAACAACATACCGAATACAACTTTACTCATGATCCGTTCTCAAGCGGCAGGAATGGCAGGTCAGAATATCGGCGGTTAGTCAAATTCGCCAGCCCGACGTCGCTGGGATGTTCGGAGAGTCGTGGAAAGGTTCGTTTCCACGTGGCGATGTTGTCACAGGTTGTCGGCCACTGCCGAATAGCTCTGGACCCCGCCCTTCGGAGATTAAACTCATAAGTAGGTGAGCACACTGGCATAGCATCCTGGCGATGCACTTTGTGTACGACGGTATCGCGCTTTGACAAGGGATCTTCCTGAGCGGAACTCCCCTTCCCCGCAGTTTAGCACAGCCTCGGCTGCCGGTGGAGTCACTGCCACCAGGACTGCAAGTGGTCGGGTCGGAGTCCATTTATCCGTGCCGTGAATCACTCACGCAGCTACTCGACTTCCGCCACCGTGCACGGCACTTAGAAGCAGCCTCAACGTGCACCGCTCTTTACAACAAAGAAATTTCTTTAGGCGAGCTCAGCTCTCCTCGGAGTCATCTGTGTCTGTTTTTTGTCGTTGCATTTTCAGAGTTTCCAAATTTGGTCTGGTGACTTCACCCACAATCGAGTCATTCGGAGGTATATAAGCCCTGACTCTCCGTCTCGGAAGCACAAGAAATCTTCATTCTCTCTGCGCTCCCCCTCTTCTCACCCCAACCTCTCTGATGACAGTGTTGATGACCTCCTCGAACAAGAAGGACATGGCAAGATACCACAGGTCACCCCGCACCCAGGAGCAGTTCCAAAGACTCGACCGTCTGCTCGCGCACACCTTCGTGCGGAACCTCATTCGCCAGCGCGTCTTGTCCTTCCAACAGTCGTCTCGATCTTCCTCAGAGAAAGTGTACACGCCCAGGTACGTGCCCCGTACCTCTTGTCTTTGTTTCCACGGTTGACTCACTGCGCCTGCCCGCAGAATGGACATGTTCGATGATGCAGACGATCCCTTCGTCTCGGTTGTCCTCGAGCTTCCGGGTCTGAAGCAGGAGGACATATCCGTCCGCACTGAGAACAACCACTTGGTAGTGCAGGGCGAGCGGCGTTTCCCTGTTCTCTTACAACATAATGTGGGTGGGGATAACTCTGCGCTCGCCCGGACCTCCTCGGAGGCGGTAGCACCGACGCATTACAAAGTTCAAGAACTCAAATACGGCAAGTATAAGCGAGAGATCCCTCTGCCCAGCGGTATACAGGTACGCCGCACCACATCTGCGTGTTGATTGCTGTCGCTCACTATTGGTGGTTTCTTTGTCTTCTAGGCTGGCGATATCCAGGCATCTTTGAGTGACGGTATGCTCATGCTGTCGTGGCCGCGCTGTGCCAGTGCTACACTTGAATACCCTGAGCCCAATGCTGCGGAAGCCATAGCGAGCGAGCCGGCCACGGCTGCCGCCACAGTCGACTGATTACCCGCCCATCTGCACTCAAACGTGTGGTGCGAGGACCGTTGGCTCGCAGTACCCATGTCGCGAAATACCTCTCGCATATCTATTGGGTGCCTGTTCTTGACATAGACTGAATCCTGGACGCACGGAGTTGCTGGCGGGTCATTGGGATTACTTCCTGGTTTTATTGCTTATCTACCTTCTAATCCACCTACGTTTCGCGTGTAACCTTATTTCCTCCACTCCACTCTCTCCCTCACTTTCTATTGGCCGTTCCTATGCAGTCGGATTTATGGAGTGACTGTAGCCATTAGTTCATACTCTCGACCTCGTCTAAGTACTCGCTGTATCATCTATCTTCCGCAATTTGAGCGTGGCATGTCGATACGGCCGAATCTCATGGTGTGGGCTTGGGCGCTCTGAATCCGTCGGCACATTCTTGCAATTCTAAGGCCGTTCGCGCAGCGCGGAAATGTTACGGCGACCTCTCAGGTAAGTACGCCACATCAACCATGTCCTCACAACAAAACTCCAGGACAAAATCCCTACGCCACCCTACTCACTGGCCCTCACACGTACAGTACATAACGGAGCCAATCTACCACTCCTCGGTCCCCGCCAACATCCGCGCTCACCTCCGCAGCGGCACGCGCTCAACCTCGCCGGCGAGGCAAGCGAATGCACCCTGCACCAGCACCGGCACCCTCGTCGCAATCAGGCGCATCGCCAACCTCGCGCACCCAGCGTGCGGGCAGCACGGGCTCTTCGCAGCCAAGAAGCTCGCGCCGCGCACGCACCTGCTCGACTACCTCGGTGAGGTGCACTGCGACGCGCGCCCGCACTCGGACTACGACCTCGCGCTACTGCGGGCGGGCGGCGCGGCCGTCGGCATCGACGCCGCGCACGCGGGGAATGCGGCACGGTTCGTCAACGACTACCGCGGGGTGTGCGCGCGCCCGAACGCGCTGTTCGAGGAGCGCTGGACCGAGCAGGGCGAGCTCAGGATGGCGGTGTGGGTCGGCAGCGAGCCCGTGAGGAAGGGGGAGGAGATTTTGGTGTCGTATGGGAAGATGTGGTGGCGGGCGCGCACAGCAGAGGCCTCCGAATCGGAGGGCACGGCGCCTTGGGACAATGCTCTCTCACAGCAATCTGGGTCGTAGCTCTCCATCTGCTCTTCAGGTGTGAAACGTTGGTACGTGCATTTATGCTTGTTTTTATTTGGCTTAGATTAGGATTTTTGCATTGCAGTACTCTGCAGTTCACTTAAAGAAGGTTACTCCAACTCTCCTGAATCACCATCACCTCCTACAGTATGTCTTCTGTCCTCGCATGTTCCGCAAATTTATCATCTATTCCTAGCGGAGGACATGATGCTAGTAAGAGGAGGTCGGCCGACTCTGAAGTCAGAAGCCTGCAGTCGGGATTGCCAACTTGCAACGCGCTATCCCTCCATGTGCCCGCGTCTCACTACTGTCTGGCGGCGCCTCGATGATATTATTGCGCCGTGCATCCTGGTGCCGACCAGTCTTCGCGGCGCACGGAGAACGAAGCTGCGTGCACGTATGCTCGCCGACATTCGGGATCAATTGGAGAACGTACGACGCCACATGAAGTCTGGTAAGGTGATGCATAAACGACGCACCCATGCGCGCACTTACCGCGCTCCCGGATGACCCTCGGGCATATCGTCTTTCGAGTTCGTTGAGTGTGGTGTGTCCAAAGAAGCATATGCGCCCGTGCTATCACTGTAGATGGTATCCTCAACCGCGCTCACAAGGTACTTGAGAGGAAGCCTTCTCAAGGACTCTGTGTGCGCGGTCGAAGGCTTTCTCAAGAACTTTGTGTGCGGTCGAGGATACTCCTCAGGTATCTTTACCTGAACGACGTAAATGTTGGAGGAGGGTGAAGCACCTGAAGTGACTACAGGAGAGGTGATATTTTTAGGGCATGCATGTTGTATTGTACAAGAATAAGATCTACCGTCACCACAGAAGTACTATCAACCAGACTGCAACTTGCAAGACCAGCTAAAGCTAGTAGCACGCTGAAGGTAGGTTAGGGCCAACTACTTGACCTGCCATAATTGGATAAGCCGGTTGGGACTTCATCGACATCTGCCAGTGGCCTTGGCGCGTAAGTACCAAGCCAAGTTGCAAGCTTGCCTATTCTGTGATCGACACGCACCTCTGCATCATTACGTTGTCAAACAAACTAAGAGTTCACTTCAAGCAGAAGTAATATGTTCGCTGAAACTACAGGTCCCTGGATTCCGCTCGAGAGCAACCCGGAGGTGCGTAAGCGTCGTCCCTGCTAGCTCGCACGTTCTGAAGCATCGATGCAAATGATCGCCCTCCTATCGATATCGAAAGGTTCTCAACCGGGTGAGTCGAAATTGATATGAATAGCCCAGCGACGTCGATCCATATGCTACTCGAAGTGGGCAAACCAAGCGGGATTAGTCGCCTCTCAGGCCCAATTCGAAGATGTCTATGGACTCGACCCGGACGTGCGTACATCTACACCTTGATTGTGAATCTGCTCAAACACTTGACGCCGACCGTGGACGCTTTTCAGCTCCTTGCACTGGTGTCCCAGCCTGTAAAAGCCGTCGTCCTGCTGTTTCCTATAACGGATGGGTACGAAGAACAGCGCAAGCTCGAAGACGCCCGCATCGTAGCTCATGGCCAGCACCCAGTCGATCCAACCATATTTTGGATGAAGCAGACCGTGAGCGCTGGCATCCGTGTATGGTGCCTAGTCTGATAATGCTGCGCAGATCAGTAACGCGTGCGGGACCATGGGCATCATCCATGCAGTAGCGAACGTTAGTCCCAGTTTTCCACCTGTGTCATTCCCTCAGTTTTTCGCTTTAGTCGGACGTGACCCTCGCTCCTGAAAGTCCTCTAGCAGAGTTCATTGAAGAATGCCAAAGTATGTCTACCAGACCCACCCCTCAGAACACCGCAGTTTACATCCATCTTTCGGGCACATCAGCCAAGACACCCGAAGAGCGAGCCAAGACCCTCGAGACCACGCCACTGTTCGCAAAGATCCATTCGCAGGCTGCGACCACCGGACAGAGCGCAGTGCCAACCGATCTCAACACCAACCTGCACTTCACATGCTTCGTGAAGGCGCCGGACCCACCGCGCATCGAGGGTGTTGTGACCAATGAGTTCGCTAGGCTCATTGAACTGGACGGACGCCGGGCGGGCCCGGTCGACAGAGGTATCTGCACAGACTTGTTGCAGGTGCGTTGCAGGCAATAGCAAGGGGCATTGCACTGATGATGACGTTCCGCTCGCTTGTTAGGACGTCGCCAGGTTCGTGAAAGACTGCTATGTCTCGCAGACGGCAAGCATGCAGTTCAGCATGTTATCCCTGGGGCCGCCTCAGGCAGACTAGAGGAAGTTGCTGTCCTCATAGTGCGCAGAGAAAGAGGCTGGCGATGGTTTGTATGACGGCGTAACTAGCGTAGGTAAATCGCAGACCATAGAATTGTGTACAGTAAAGAGCCTTAACTTCGGATTGAGCGGACTGGCGCGTCCCCTTCGCAATTCCTTGCGCGACTGCCGCACTGCCATCGGCAGAGAATTTACCTAGGTAGTTACGACAGAATGTCCCAACGTGAGTGACAAATCTATCTGACCGTGAGGCGGCGCAATCTTGCCTGTATCTTGATCCAGGACAACACGAGAATGTACAGGCCTGCGGTTGTCGGTGTCGTGACGGACAAAAAGAAACTCAGGCTATGCACTGGTAGTCAATGATGCGATTACAGTCGATGACGAAGAAAGTGAGCAGATTAAACCTCGTACAGCCTTACAGGATGCAGTAGAGTACAACAATGACGCACAGGAAGACGACACAGACCCAGAGATAAGAAGAGACAGTACATTTCAACGAGCTCACAGTCGCAGAAAGATAAAACAAACATGGATGAGAATAATTATAATTGCACAAACACTCAACGTACTCAATTGCGTTGAACCCCGATCATGAGTGGCCTTGCGCGCGCGCGGACCGCGACATGACACGCTTGGATCTCGCACGCTTGGACCTCCGAAGTTCAGCACCGCCCTGTTCAACCCCCTGTTCAACCTCTTGCGGCTCTGGCTCGTACTTTCGTTTCGAGCTCTTGTTCAATGCCGTGGCCTGAATTTTGATAGAGGCCTTCCGACTTCGTGCTTTCGTGCTTTCGCCCGCCTGATTCGCCGCAGCAATCGCCGCAGCGATTGCTGCATTCGCGGGGTCGGCATGGCCAACCTCTTCAGTCTCCACGTAGCGCTTGAACGGAATCGCATGATCGTCCTCTGGCCAGCCATCCATACTCAGAGCAGTCTCGAACTTCTCCAACACAGCATCGTATGTGAGCAACACAGCCGGTCTCTCCAACGTCGACTGACCACGGTAGCACAATTTGGTGAGCTCCCCCAGAAGCCATGTCAAAGGTGCATTTCCTGGAACGCCAAGACACGTGGGGTCACCCAGCCACCCTGCCTTTTGGGAGGCACAAACCCAGTCGTCGTCATGAAAGAACAACAGTGAACACTGTCTCGCGCCTTTTGGACTGTCGTGTGCAGTGTGTCGGAGGACTAGCCAGATGAGGAGCCAGTAAAAGGATTCCAAGTCATGATGTGCGCCGTGAATGACAACCCTTTTCTTGATCGGCTCGATGGCCATGAAAGCGAACGTTCCCTGGCAGCAGCATTGAGCTAGAGATCATACCAAAAAATACGATGGAACTCACCGTTCGTTCTTTCAAACCATTGTTCTCATCCGCATCGGGTCTCGTCGAGACATCGTAGGCGCCCAGGACGCCCGGCATGAAACTACTGCAGTCGAAGTCGCTGATGAATCCTTTGTACGGCTTCCCATCAATCATATAGACATTTCCTTCACTTACACCACCATGTAACATGCCGGTGCTGTACGCCTGTTGGTGACCTATGAATCCGCATCGATCAATTTAGTCAACCTTGTATCCCTGAGGTAGAGAACAATGCCTACCTTTGATCGCATCGCACAACGCCTCGACCATCCGTTTCGTCCGACGGAAATCTGACAAAGGTATGCCTAGCGTCTCCGTAATCAATCGCATACTTGGCATCACGCACAAATGGCAACAGGGTTCGGTGCGCATCCTGGTGCAGTCAAAGAAAGCGGGAGGAGGTGGAGATACAACTGGTTTACAGTAAACAGATGATTTTGCTCGTCTGGTGCCATCAATGTTTGATATTGTTTGTGTCCGACGCGGTGACGAAGAGCACGTTTTCTGATTAGCCCGCGAAGCGTGCCAAGCAGCGTGCTCGACAGATTCCGGGGTTCGCGGATTTGATCATCTTGCTCCCGCCAGTTTTGTGGAAGACTGCTATGTCTCGCAGACGGGAAACATGCAGCTCACCATGTTATCCCGGGGCCGCCTCAGGCAGACTAGAGGAAGTTGCTGTCCTCATAGTGCGCAGAGAAAGAGGCTGGCGATGGTTTGTATGACGGCGTAACTAGCGTAGGTAAATCGCAGACCATAGAATTGTGTACAGTAAAGAGCCTTAACTTCGGATTGAGCGGACTGGCGCGTCCCCTTCGCAATTCCTTGCGCGACTGCCGCACTGCCATCGGCAGAGAATTTACCTAGGTAGTTACGACAGAATGTCCCAACGTGAGTGACAAATCTATCTGACCGTGAGGCGGCGCAATCTTGCCTGTATCTTGATCCAGGACAACACGAGAATGTACAGGCCTGCGGTTGTCGGTGTCGTGACGGACAAAAAGAAACTCAGGCTATGCACTGGTAGTCAATGATGCGATTACAGTCGATGACGAAGAAAGTGAGCAGATTAAACCTCGTACAGCCTTACAGGATGCAGTAGAGTACAACAATGACGCACAGGAAGACGACACAGACCCAGAGATAAGAAGAGACAGTACATTTCAACGAGCTCACAGTCGCAGAAAGATAAAACAAACATGGATGAGAATAATTATAATTGCACAAACACTCAACGTACTCAATTGCGTTGAACCCCGATCATGAGTGGCCTTGCGCGCGCGCGGACCGGAGCGACATGACACGCTCGGATCTCGCACGCTTGGATCTCCGAAGTTCAGCACCGCCGTGTTGAACCACTTGCGGCTCTGGCTCGTACTTTCGTTTCGAGCTCTTGTTCAACGCCGTGGCCTGAATGTCGATAGAGGCTTTCCGACTTCGTGCTTTCGTGCTTGCGCCCGTCTGATTCGCCGCAGCGATTGCTGCATTCGCGGGGTCGGCATGGCCAACCTTTTCGGTCTCCACGTAGGGCTTGAACGGAATCGCACAATCCGCTTCTGGCCAGCCGTCCATCTTCAGGACCGTCTCGAACTTCTCCAATACAGCCTCGTAAGTGAGCGGCACGGACGTTGCCTGACTGATGTTGCACAACTTCGTGAGCTGGTCCACCAGCCACGTCAAAGGTGCATTTCCGGGAACAGCGACGTGCTTCCTTTTTCCCAGCCACGCACGCTTCACCTCTCCACAGAGGACGTCATCATCGTGGAAAAACAGCAGCGAACATCTTTTCGCGCCTTTCGGATCGTCGTGCGAAGTGTGCCGGAGGACTAGCCAGATGAGGAGCCAATAGAAGGACTCCAAGTCATGATGTGCATCATGAATGACACGCCTCTCCTCCAGTAGCTCAACGGCCATGAAAGCGTACGTTCCCTGGCAACAGCGTTGAGTATAAGATCGTTCTCCAATACAAACAGTAGGACCCACCGTTCGTTCCTTCAGAGAGTCATTCGGATCGGCATCGGGTCTAGTGGGGTCATCATGTCCGTCACGGACACCTGGCAGGAAACTGCTATAGTCGAAGTCGCCGATGAATCCCTTATACGACATGTCATCAATCATATAGACGTTCCCTTCGCTTACGTCACGATGTAACACGCCAGTGCTGTATGCCTGTCGGTGACCTATATCGTGAATGCACATCAACTTAATCAGCCCTGCCTCCTTTTGCTAGAGAACGATGCCTACCTTTGATCGCATCGCACAATGCTTTGACCATCCGCTTCGTCCGACGGAAATTTGACAAAGGTATGCCTAGCGTCTCCTGAATCAATCGTATATGCCTGCGATCGTTCTTCTCCGCATACTTCGGATTTCGGACAAATGCCGACAGGGTTCGGTGCCCTTCCTGATTCGCGCAGTCAAAGAAAGCGGGAGGAGGTGGAGATACAACTGGGTTAAACGGATTCTGCTCGTCTGGTTCGGGAGCGGCCATCGATGTTTGCGTTCGAGGCGGCGATGACAAAGGGGAGGACAAAGGGTCCGCATCATCCGCACCCATCGAGATGGATGAAGGGCGTGCTCGACGGATCGGGAAGATCAGACGGCGCATTCCCGGGCACGAGGGGTTCGCGGATTTGATCATCTAGCTTCATTCGTTCCTTATCTTCCAGGTCACCGAGGTCCGCTCCTGCCTTTAATACAGCCAGTCCGAACGGTTCCTCGTTTCGATCCCGCAACGTCTTCATTATATGGGAATAGTATGTCATTTCTGACTCTCGGAGTCCCTGCCGCCACGAGTCCTTGATAACGTACTGCTTGCCATTGATATCATCCTTATCGATCGCTGACCATACCGTCGTCGAGCGGGAGAACAGACAAGGATTGATAAAGAGCAGCTTGACCGTTAGTAAATTCATCTTCACCGTCACACCTTCCTTGGTCACGGCGTCTGCGGAAATCCACCGGTGCATGCCGGTATCGGAGCCTTGAACATCCTCTGGCTCCAGTACGTCCTTCACCCATCGGAGGTGTGACCTTGTGGTCCTAGTATCTACTGTCGGGTCGTCGCCAGAAATCCTCGTGCCGCAGTGAGGATTGACGAAATTCCAGAAGAATTGCCGGAAGAGCTCAGGCCGCTCGACGTAGTTGAACCTAGGTGAGACAATACACGACGAGTGGTCGAACCGAAAGATGCGTGCCTCGTGGCCGAATATTCCGAACACGAACGCAAACAGGCCACTGTGGCCCACCAGGAGATTCCGCCCATTCTTGACAAGCTGCCTCATCGTGTTGTCTCGATCCTTGGGCCACGCGCCAATGGGATCATCGTCTCTTTTAGGCTTGACTTCGATCGCCAGCACAACATCTTGCCAACGAGGGTCCTTCAGGGAGGTGGTCGTTCCCGGGTAGGAGGTGATCAGGTCGGGTTTCGTGCGGTGATGATGAAGGTCCCACGACATGTACGGGAACGGGATCAGGTGGGTGCTGTTGTCATGGAACCTAAGTGACTTTGCCATTGGGAAATCCTTGGTGAGAGCGAGGAACCCATTGACCTACAGGCCACACAGTCAGACCATCGTTAACATAGGCTACAAGAGGGCAACCTACTAGGGGGTTATACATCAACGGCTCGTGGCAGTCTTCAAGAACCTCGTCGAATTGCCTAGAGCAGTCCATCGGAGGGCACACTGCTTCGCTCGCAGGTACGAGAACGTTGATGAACGAGTCGATAGTGCCATGGTATTCATTTATCTTGCCACGATATTCCGACGCCCAGGCTTGTTGGTTGTTCTCGTCGGCCTCCCTGCGGTGAGTCTTGTTAGCAATCTGCCTGTAAGACTTAGCAATGAGAGGTGTGGCTGACAACATGCTCGAGCCACTGGAGTCTGCAGAGCAGGCACTCCAGAAGCTGCAGCCAGAGTCGGATACATCGGAAGATGACATCGTAATTTATAATGGTTGAAATGTCGGAGATTTGATTTGGGTTTGCCCAAGTTGTGTAACCCCAAACTTGCACGAACAATGGTCTTCTCGCCACCGTAGGCCGTCTTCGTCAGTTTTGACCTCTCGAAGACGAACAATTTTAGATATACTCACTGGGAGAATTTGGGTAGAGCTATCCTCTTTCGATTTGCTAGGAGTAGAGCGCGTATGGCTCGAAAATTCAAGTTTGCAAGCGTTGGAAGGGAGCAAGTTGAACGTTGGACTGCCTAGGCGCTCAGCACAAAGCGTAACTCACGTGAACTTGCAGGACACTCCGCAGCAGCCGCCTGGATATCGACCGCGTTTGGAAGTCGCTTTGTTCCTCGTGCCCTTTCTCATTGTTCCTACATATTTTGCGAGACAAGTGGCGCCAAGGCCGCGAGATCACCTGCAACATATCAGTTAGACACTCGGATTGAAGAACGCGATAACATCCCGTTAACATATCCGGCGAAGACTCACTGGGACTCAAAGAATTCGGTCAATTAGCAATGCGCACTAGACACTGCGACCACTTGAGGCTTCCAGACAATCCACACTAACGGCGGGGTCGACCTGACTTCGCGATCTCAGTCTGAGCCATTCATGCAAAATCTATCGCCACGCCGAGTTACCGGACTCACCTGTAAGTCAGAAAGAGAAGAAAAACAGGCCATGTCCTGTAAGAGACAGAATCAGGTACGTCGCTCAGTACGAAGTATTCCAGCAGACTGGGGCTTCATCGCTGCCACATCGCGAGTCACCTAGATTTACGTGTATGAGAACAGATGAGATGATTATTGGACCACGCTGCTTCTCCGAGCAGTGAGATTAGAGATGACCATTGACATGATGATGGAAATTGACCATCGATATCAGCGGAAGGACCGAGAAGTCGTGCCGAGGCGCATCTTTGAGTATGTTTGACTAACCCCCTATCAAGAAGTTGACCCAAGATTAACTAGCAAAATAGCAAGGTACTGTGATGAATACTTAGAAATTTCGGGTCCCAGTCGCTGAGTCTGTCTTCTTGGAGGAGCCAGCAAGTTGCAACCCTGTATTTCCTCATGCAGCCAGCACTCTACTCAACGCCCGGCGTTTGCCGGTGAGATGTTGTCATGCACCTCCACGAAACTAAAGCAGGAACTTCACATACAGGACTAAATTTGCAGCGGAAATAGCACGAGTTATGAAGACTGCATTCAATAGCATGTTCAAGAAATCCTCGGCTGGCAGGGACTTGAGGTTTAATCTTGAGAAGTGCACGTTGAGTTCATTGTATACAGGTACAGGAGTGCGCGCATTTCCACTCAATACAATCCATTGCGCTAAAATTATCGGACACGAAGGGAAATCCAAGCTCAAACGGTGGGTCCCTGTATTCCAGACGGACCATCTCCCGTCGCAGAGACCGCGTCCGGGCCAGTGGGCGCCCCGGAAGGCCCTTCATCGATGCTTCTGGTGCTGGAAGCGTGAAGCTGGGAGAGCTTCCCTTCGCGCGTTCGCTGCAAATAGAACCCCACCATCAGTAGATCGAATGAGGACGTCAAGGTATACAACTGACATCGTTGGCACCCTTTTTGTTCTGAAGCTCCTCCATAGTGCTTCTGCGTTGCAGCACATACTCCTGGAGGCGCTCCTCATTCTGCTTGCTGAGCTGACACCGCGGCTCTGTGAGCGAGGACGGCGGGGGACTGCCAAGAAATGGCGCACCTCGAGTTCCTTCACGGCGTTCCTATGATCAGCGACGGCAGTATCGTGTTTGTGCTCTGCCTTGTTGAGCTCCATCGCGGTGGCGTGCTCCTCGTTTGCTGCTTTTTCCAGTGCATGCTGCGCCTTGTCTGCCGACTGCTCTTGGACGTCAGCACCTCGTGAGCGCTGCAGCCTACGCGCGCACCTTGAAGCCCTTCTCGTGCGACTTCTCTACCTTGCTCACGTCCTTAACGGCGTGTTCGAGGTTGCGCTGCTCGTGGCGCGCCTCGTTCGCCAAGATCTTCTCGGCCTTGCGCACTTCGGGGTCGACCGATTTGGAGTCAGATGAACCTCCGATTCCAAGAAAAGGCATCGTAGTAGTACGTTTTGGTTGGAGTAGCGGTTGCTTGAGCGGAAAGCAGAGGGGACTAATTGCGAGAAATTTAAGTTAGTCAATCCGGAAAATGCGTAGGCCGCAGTTCACGGTGAAAGAGAGGGAGGTTGCCAACATGAACGTGGCATTTATATAGGAGGAGACCTCTAGATCTGTGAGGGTTGACATCATCGTCATACTAGGCCGAGAGTCTGCTTTGGGACGTCGGTCGTCACGCGTCACGCGTTCGTCATTAGAGTCATTAGACGCCGAACACAGATTGCTCTGGAATACGACGTCGAGTCGACGACTAGGTACACTCACCGTCAACAAGTACTGTAGACTACACGGAATCGCCCCGGTGAAAAGCCAGTTCAAATACAGTTCCAGTAACGGAGAAACCACGAAGGTCGATAACAATAGACTGATGTTGCTCTACGAGGAAGTGGTGTCGCGTTCGGGGCCGCCCATCGTTGTATTCCGCTGAAATAAATCTCGGTAGTGTTGAGACTGTGGGCTTGGTGGCGGCGGCGGCGGCGTCGCGGGTCCAAATAATGATGTTCTCTCCTCCGACCTTGGAACCTGACTTCATAGCCTGGTTTTACGGCAGTAGCAAAGGCCGCCGAAAATACTGGGAGGATATTGCCGAGATACAGTGAGACAGGGAAGAGATCGAATCTAAGAAACAGTCTTCAAGGTTGAGTATGATCACGGTTGATTTTCTCTTGTTGCCATAAAAGAGTTAAATTTATTTCTAATATATAATGTCTATGGCACATTATTATATAGTCGAACTTCAGACGGATGAATGGCTTTCCTTCCTTGAAGGTCACAGCGGCGGTACATAGTGAAGCAAGCATGGCGAATTCTTACGGGAAATTACGGTGGGAGTTTACTTTTCATCGCTATCGTTTCCAATCTCAGGCTCGCTTGTTTGATCGGCATATTGTTTCTGCTGTCAAAGCGAGTGCTTCGTCCTGCTGTGACGCCATACCACCGGCAAATGCCGGGCGTTGAGTAGAGGCCCCGCAAAAGGGAATGCAGCCACCAAACTCCGAGTCGCGCTCGACGACATTCAACTGTCATGTCTACCGATGACCAACTGCATACTTTCATCTCTCGTCACCGCCTTCTACTTGCGAAGGAGCGCGATGCGGAGATAGAGAGGACATCACTTCTCCTGTCAAATTGTGGTCCGAAGCTACTAGAGCAGAAGGGTCTTGCCTTGGGAGGACTTGGGATCGCGAGCATGAACATCGGCTTGGGAGGAAAGACGTGCGATGACTATGTACCTAAGATATTGACCAGACTTTGATTTGAGCCTCAAAGTGCAGTTTAGTAGAGTTGGAACGACCGACAGCATATCATTCGACGCCACTTTTCCCACCTCATACGTTCAGGTACGTGTTTTACGCGCCTTAATGGGAGTCTGCTAGAGGATCATATCAGGCCAGGCGACCTTGCCCGGATAGAGGAGAACATATCTACCAGTTCTGCGAATAAAAAGACCGCTAAAGGCAAGAAGTCCGGAAGTTCAGAGACTCAACGAGGGAAAGGCGTGGAAGGCGTGGTATACAAGGTTGGCGAACTTTACTACCCACCGCTATGGCTTCAAACAATATGTAGGTTTCAGACACCCGCGTAGTCATCGCAATCGACGCGGAATCAGGCGGAGATGACCTTGACCTCCCTGAACGCTCCCGCTTGCTCAAACTTGCGAACAGTGCCACATATGACAGGTAACTCCTGTGTCATCCTGAAATATTCATATATTCATCTTCCACGTGCAGAATGGAGAATGCTTTGGATCAGCTAGAGAGACTTGTGCTGCCAACCTCTGACGTCAACGTACGTCCCGCGTTCTCGTGATGATCGGCTTCTCTTAATGTCATGAAGAGCAGGCGAAGGACAGATTCCAGCCGAAGATGACACCTCTAATACGCGTCCTTATGGGAATGTCACAGCCTTCCGAGAAAGTTCCCATCAAAGACATCAAAATTTTCGACGAATCTCTGAATCCGAGCCAAAAGGATGCGGTCAAATTTGCTTTGGAGTCACCCGAAGTTGCATGTATACATGGACCTCCTGGTTAGTTTCGTCATCTTATTTGATCTCTTTCGTTTCCCACCAAATGCACGCAGGGACGGGAAAGACTCATACCTTGATCGAGGTTATAAGACAGTTGACTACTGTCTCTTCCTATAACTCGAAGACATTGAGACTCCTCATCTGCGGTGCCTCAAACATGTCTGTGGACAACATACTAGAGAGATTGCTAGAGTTACCCGCTCCAGAGAGTGGAGAGAAGCTCAAGGTCACTCGTGTAGGCCATCCCGCTCGTGTTATGGCCCACGAGGGTGTGATTGAATCCACTTTGGAAGTGAAAGGTAGTCGGAGTGACCAAGCAAGTCCCCTTTACTGATCGTATCATGTCTCATGGGCTGTTAACATACTCTCCTCAGGCCGCGTTAGCCAAGGATGTCAAGAATGAACTAGAAGCTGCGCTTGGTATCCTATCTGGCAAAGGCAAGGGCGCGAAAGGGAAGGCACCAAGAGGGGCGGAACGGAGGAAGATGTGGGAAGAGGTGAAGGCCTTAAGGAAAGAGTGGGCAACACCTTATGTCTTCCTCGGCGGGAATAGTGATAGCTGAATATGCTGCAGATATCGTCAACGAGAAGGCGGGGTCGTAGAGAGCGTTCTCGCCGAATCCCATGTAATTTTCACCGATCTATCTAAATCCGTTGTCAGTGATAACCGACTTTACCAGATTGTATTGGCCACTTGTCACTCCTCTGGCGGAAGGCAATTACGAAACCATGAGTTTGATGTTGTGATTATTGACGAAGCTACCCAAGCGCTTGAGGCTGTGTGTTTGTTGCATTGTCTGTGTGTCAGAGACCGGTCTCACTGCTTTCTAGGTGTGCTGGATCCCAATATTCAAAGGGAAGAAGCTCATATTGGCAGGCGATCCTATGCAATTACCTCCTACAATATTGTCCATCGAAAAGAAGAAAAAGAAGAACGTATCTGGTGAGGGAAAGGCGCAGAAAGCGCCACAGAAAGTCAAAGCGACAATTAAGCCCTCAATGCCTTCTGCAGACTCAAAAGCCTCAGATGTTCAGGCGAAACCATCCAATAACCCAGTCAACCCGGAAGAGCAGGAGGGCGAGTCTTCGGATTCTCCAGACTCGAACTCCAGCGAGAGCGCCTCCGCGGAGGACGAAGTCGATGCTGATGCTTCAAAAGATGCGGCTGTTAAGGTAAAGCCTGCACCTCCACCCAAAACCAATTCAAAGAAGGAAGCAAGATCAAAACGTTCTGGTCTCCGTCCACCTCGAACGTTGGAGACTACGTTATTCGACAGACTGGAGAAAATGTACGGGCCAGGTATCAAGCGGATGCTGAACGTCCAATATCGGTATGCAATGCTCCACCAAGCACCCTTCTGATCCCTGACATTCTTATAGCATGCACGCCCAGATCGCCGCTTTCCCATCGAAAGTCATGTATCATTCGAAGCTCAAATCGCATTCGTCCGTGTCTGGGCATCTCCTGCGTGACCTCCCCAACACGAAGGCGGATACAGAAGAAGATGAAAAAGAGATGCTGTGCACTCCGGTGATGTTCTTTGACACTGCAGGTTGCGAGTACTACGAGCGGGTGGAAGGTGACGGAGACGAGGGCAGTCGTTGCAATGAAAACGAGGCATCCGTTGTTAAGCAATGGGTAGATCAATTGGTGTGTCTCGTATTCCTTAGATGAACTCTCGCTGATTTGTCCGTGTGTAGGCTGGCGTCGGTGTTTCGCCCTCTCAGATCGCGATCATCACTCCGTGAGTTATCTGTCGCTCCTTAACTTGCACTCGCTATATTCCCAGTATATCAGGTACCAAGCCCAGGTGTCCCTTCTGACGTCTTTGCTTCGTCCTGTCTATGGCCTTGGTATGGAAATCGGGACTGTGGATGGTATGCAGGGTCGTGAAAAGGATGCAGTCGTGATTAGTCTCGTTCGCAGTAATGAGAAGGTCAGTCATGCCACCGCGATGCCTTGCTATATAAAACATAACTTGGTCGTATTCAGCGAGAGGTTGGCTTCTTGAAAGACAAGCGGCGACTGAACGGTATGGGACTTGTCTGAATGGTACAGAACATATGCTCATGCGCAGTTACAGTGGCTATGACGCGGGCGAAACGCCATCTGGTAAATTGACCAACGACTATCTCCAAGGGGTTGTAGAACTAAAATGCTGTGCTTCTAGTGTGTGGTGGGCGATTCTTCCACTGTTCAGCATGGGGGTCCCTTCCTCCAGAAATGGATGTCCTGGCTTGAGGCTAATGCAGACGTACGGTTCGGTGGCCTCGAATGAAACAGTCTGGCATCTATCGACAGAGACAATAGTCAAGGAAATTCTTGGTTTCTAGCAGTTCTAATCCAAATAAATGCTTCAAAGCGACGCCTTCTTTTCGTGGTGCTGGCGCAACAACTGGTTTTGGGCGATAAGCAGTAGGGCATAGAGTGTCTCGAGTCGCTAAAATTTTACCATGAGTATGAACTTAAAGAGAACACACCGAGAGACTTACAGGCATGTCTACGCCTTTCTCGCGGCCCATCCTCACTACCTCGCCAAGGATGACCTCGATCTCCATCGGGCGCCCTAGTTCCACGTCAACAAGTGTGCTTGGTCTGTGCACGCTGTCTGGCCGCACGTGAAGCTTGGACGTGTTCATGAGTGTCTTAATGGCAATGTCCGGGTTCAGTCCAGGACTTCCCTCAGAGGGCGGGAATAGTACCACCCCAAGGTTGTACATCTCGGTTAATGCATCGTACAAGAACGGTATGGTGTATGCACCTATGGCTGGCGACGCGCTTGGTACGGAGGCTGTCGCTGCCATGGAGGGGGTCTCAGGTACGTCAAGGGGAGGCGTGTGCTCGAGTAGATGACCATCTTGTGAGGCATCTGGGTCGAGGTGAGGCGGACGGAAAATGGCGGGGAGCGGGTACTGTACGAGTGCGCTCGATATGCCGAAGATGGCGTTCCAAAAGTTCTTGCCAAACTTGACGCGCTGAATCTCAGGAACGATGGTCGTCTCACTTCCGCCTGCTGTGAGGATGTCGGAGAACTCTGACAGTACAACGGATTCTTCGGGGGTATTTGTCGAGTTGGTTGTCGAGGGACGATAGACACCCAGCGAAACGCGGTCCTGTTAAACTTGTTCAGTGATGTATGAAGGGGTCAGTATAAGAGCAGAACAGACAAAATCGTTGTGTTCTATGACATTGCTGCCTATCATACGCGATCCAATCCAGACAGCCGTGCTGATGATTCTGGGCTCCTCCGTCCGCTTGAGCTTCTTGAGGACCCGATACAAGTCCACTTCCACATTGAGTCCGTTCTGCATGAGGACGTACGTCGGCTGAGGATATGTGTCCGAGTAAGGTGGAGACAGGAATGGTGCAAGGAGTGTCGGTGTCCTGACAAGTTCTGGAATAGCCTTTGTTGTGACGACAACATATGAGTATGGACGATCCAACGCTTCTGCGACAGATTGAAACACTGGGAACAAAAATAGAGTAAGCGATTGCACTCTGTGTTTTCTGAGAAGACTCACGGCGATCCGGCTTCCACCCCTTGATATCGCCGTATTTGCCACTTTGAAATTCCACGCCCTGTGCTTTCTCGGGAGGTTCCCCGATAGATCAATACAGACAGGCCTAACCCGCGTTGATTGCACAGACCATTGACGGTGTCATAGTTGCTTCTCGCAATGACTGTTACGCGGGCTCGGCCGCTCCGTTTCAGGATGAGTGAATCTAGGCGAGATAGCGGTGAGTAGTAGCCTGCTGCAACTTGCAGCCCGAAGCAAGCCTCGGTACTTACAGACCGCGCCCACCGCGCCAAATCCCACAAGGAGAACCTCTTTCACTGCTTGCGATGTCATTGAAAGACAACAGTGATGGTCACTGTGAACCTCCAGGAATGCGACTTCAATAACACCCGCCGCCAAGTCACCGGCAGATACCTTCCTGCCATATTGGGGCGGCGCTTACGCTTTCGAAGAATAGACACTGCACCGTGACCTTACCCTATTGACTGCGGGCATCTCTCCTTCCCCGGGTACACCGCCGTTGAAACCATGTCTCATAAACATTACACCTGAGAACTGCATCATTCGCGTATTTACTTACTGTCACGGTGGCTTTTCCCGAGTGGTCGGGTTCGTGGCCATCAACCTCGTGTATCGCGTCCAGGATCCAGGTGGACTCGCCTTCATTTTCAGTACTCGAGGCTACAGCGTGGAGTATCTAGTATTCATAATCGTAATCAACACTAATTTCAGTGGAAAAATACGATGCCTTCCACAAGGCGATGGCCGCGTGCATATCGCAAGTTCCTTCCGCCTGCTGGTAACAGAGCCTCTTCCTCTCCGAGCTATCTTCCTCCAGTATCTCATCTCTTGACAGCAAACCCACCATATCTTCCAAGTTTCAATCCTTACCCTCATTTGTTGACAAGCTCTATCGGTGTGAATCGCAGTAATAGTGACAATTCAGGTGATCATCCAGCACGCACGAGCAGCACTCCCACTCCCGTCTTCATCGACGCCAGGACTGGCACTATCTTCCACATGCAGGCCCCCACGCCTCGGTCGCGTCCGCGTTCATATTACCACTCCGGCTCGCGCAGGCAGAGTTTGCATACAGCGGTTCCTGCTACGCGAATACAACTCCACTGGCTCTTTCGCTCCAACATCCCTCGCAGGCGCGGAATGCCCCTTCAAGCGGACGTCAACAAGCGAAACTTTTTTGGCATCGGAGAGATCATCGGAGTGCTCGCTAATGTGCGTTCTTCTATAAATTGGAGGACAGGTAGAAGCTGACGCATCCGTGACAGCCCTCGGAGACATTGCGATCCCTCACAGATTCCAAAAGAATGCTCGAAGAGACGAAAAGGGAGCTCGCCGAGGCGCGCGAGAGAGCACAGCTCACTCCGACACACACGTTTTCTGGCTTACCTGGATTCTTCGACAGACCTGCTGAGTTGAAGGCCATAGAGAGGGCACTCGAGGGTGAACCGAGCTTCACCATCTTGTTTGGTGCGAGTAGCGTCGGGAAGGTGCATTCTTTACTTAGTACGACTTCACGATCGGCTATTCTCATATTTGATTTCCTCAGACAGCTTTGCTCCGCCAAGTACTGACCCGGCCGACTTACCATGTCCTTCACTTTGACCTCCGCATTGCTGGTTTTGCTGACTTGTCGAGTCTTTACATGAGCTTCAGGTACACGCGCCTCGCGTAGATTTCTGAGCGCTTACTGATGTTCTTGCGCCCGCAGTCAGCAGATGGAGGGATTTTTTAACAGCATTGCGCAAGATCCCGACATGCCAGGATATGAAGAATTTGAAAAGGAAGCGTGGGGTTTCAAGGTGCGTTCATTTTACGATCTCGCCTCGTGTTTCACTCTTGGCTGTCGCGCATGCGCTCTGCCACAGCACAGGGTGTCCCCTATTCCACGTTGTGTGCTGTGGCACAATGTATACGAGTGGGGGAGCATGTGTACCGCTTCATGCAGTGCTCGTGTTGTGCTTTCCTCGTCCGGCAAGCAATGTGCTCAATGGCTGTCCATAGCATGATCGGCTGAACGTGGAACGACGCGTGGCTAATGCCTCTCCGAACGGGGAGTCTGCTGGACATAGTGGCCTTGGTGACATCAAGACAAGCGATGTCGCCAGGTTGATGGAACTCTTCCAGGTATGCCCCCTACTTCAGTAGTTTCTTGATGTCCATTAACATTTAGTTACTGTGTAGAGCTCCCTTCTGCGTTATTGGAATTTTCAACCGGACATGTCGTCCCCCTCGCGGAAGTCGTATGTCGACTCGGAAGGAGCTGACAAAGCCTCGACGCAAGGCCAGTCTAAGAAGGCACGGTCTTCGTGGAGACGTTTCTTCGGTCGGCGCAAGCGGGAGGAGCAGAAGAAACCAGAAATCCAGAGCGTTAGGCCAATGAACGGAGATGGAAGGGGCGAGGACGCAGCCGAAGAGAAGGGCAAAGGCAAGGAGAGGATTCCACCTATGAAGAAGATTCCGGTGGTATTCATCGACGAGGCACACAAACTGTGAGGTGTCTGTCATCTTCGTCGTGCAAACCCTGACCGTGTCTGTACTATGCGCTTCAGTCCTGCACTGATCCGTTCTGTTGACGCCATGAAGTGCCTCTTGGACGCCATGCTTGTTCTCACTAAGCAAGATCGCCTGTGTCACGTCATACACGCCACAAGTGATCCATTCTATCAGACATGGCTGCGGCAGCTCAATGTCATGCAGCATTGCAAGGTTTGTCCTATTTATGCGTTAGCTGAGCTGATTGCTGAACACAATCGGCGTGCAGATCATGACAATAGGCGATTATCCCAAAGCGGATGTGAGGCGTTTTTTCCGCGAGCGCATCTTGCCCTCCGTTCCCGAGCAGTTGCGCGGCGGCTTAGACTTCGAGAGATTGTACGACGCGTTTGGTGGCAAGCTCGCACATTGGCAGGACTACATCACTGACTACGGCGAGTCTTTATTAGTCTGCTTTTATTTCTTTCTGACGTTCATGCAAAGTCAACGTGAGTGGAAAACTAGAAGGTACGTCAATCTTTCCTGTCCTGGTGAAAAGTGGACTGACCGTGGTTCTCCCTCCGTCGTTTAGTCAAGCAAAGTTCGCATTTTCTTCAGGCGCATGCCTTGCTCAACCTTCACATCATCCACTCATCTCAAGCACCTCAGCCATCGAAGGCAGATGGCAGACCCGGTGCCACTCCGATCCATAGCAACAGAGGATCGACTCAAGCAATCCATCAACTATCGCCACCACCGTCGACTCCAGGTTTTCATATCTATTCTCCGCTCACCGCCAATCCTCACATTGCGCCGTCAGCAATTCCCCCTCCCAACAGAAACAGTATGTCTGCAGACGAATTCCAGGGGGATTTCACGTTCCTGCAGCTGTTGAAGGTCATGAACTTGATGGCACAGCCTGAGGCGCGGCCAATTCCATACTTCCGACTCTGCCGCGAGATCGGAGTGCGTGCGGTCGACGGGATGGTTCGCGGGCGGATCCTGGATCTGAGGTGGACAGATCCGATCACTAAGGAGAGGATCGATCCGCGGACCCTCAGCATGCGAATTCGGGAGAGCATGCGCGTGAGGGGGAGCGTGCGCGAGAGGGAGAGCATGCCGATGAACTTCGGGGCGGGCAGCAGCGGGACGATGGTCAATGACCCGGAGGAGATGATGGAGTATGAGGATGAGATGGTGCCCATGACTGACGAGGAGATCATGCGAGTACAGGACAGGATGGCGGGTGCAAACGGTGCCCAGGAGGACGAGGACGTCGTGGGCCCCAAGTTGGTGCCGATCACGCCTATCATGCGGTTCGCGATGCGGGAGGTGGTGCAGGAGTACTATGACAATGACGACCAAACGGTCTCTGAGTACGCCTCTTTGTCTGATGTTGTGGAGTACTGAGCTTTCGTTTCTTGCATCGCCTGTCTAGTTGGGACGCTGGATCGTTCTTAAATTAACAGCCAGTCTAATATTGCACATTGATCGTTGTACCTCCCTGGGTTTTTATCCCTATCAACTTGTAGCCTACTGTATGTTATCCGCGCTTTCGTGTTAACTCTGTCTGTCCGACAATCATTCTCGGGGAGCGTCGAAATCGCATGCAGACTCTCCGACATCTTTCATTATCTGCAGAGATATTAAATCGCAGAGAACCAAAACAAACCCTCCCTCAAACATCAATCGCCTGACCGTCGAGTGAGGTGGGTCTCGAGGGGTGTACCGGTTATCTTGATTTCCATTCGCGGACTTCGGAGTGATTCGGGGTTTGAATAAGTGCCCACACTCCAAATAATCGGCGAGCCTGTTCTCCTCCGAGCCAGCAAATCTGTCATAACACGCCTACCGAGTTGTGGAGAGACGTACGAGCATCACTCGAATTTTTCTGGAGCGAGAGAGATCCATGCTGAGACTCTGTAGAAGGTAATTTAAGGATGCACTTTGCCTGCTAATTGCTGATACAAGCACGACACAGGTGATACCAGATAGTATTACATCTCGTGCATAGCACACCTGGATTCGGTTATAATTGCGACGGGTGGTGCCACGAACAATCGCGAGGCACACCGTTCTCGACACGTTCAAGCTGTAAATCGTGGTTGCCACGAGCAACCATTCTCAATCGTGAGTTGTATCTCCTTTGATCGAAGAGCCTATTTCTTGGCATGATATTATGCCTCTACGTGCACGTACTGAAAAATTCCTGCCTTTGTCTTCATGCAAGGTTCGCAACGTCACGGGCTAGCGTCGAGTATGGGCGCTTACACAACGTCGGAGTTTGGTTCGGGATAACAGGTTGGGATATAAAGACTCGGATTGCTTCCGCATTGTTCTCCTCATCTACACATCACACGCCCCAGACCAACCTCACATAACACTCATGGACCGTGGCAGAGGCGTTGAACGAGGCCGAGGAAGGGGTGCAGGCGGCGCTGGGCGCGGCAGCCCCACTGGCCGCGGAAGTCCGGGAGACAGAGGACGTGGCGCACCAGGAGATCGTGGGCGCGGTGGCGGAGGCGGTTATAGAGGCGGTGGAGATCGTGGCGGGTACCAGGACCGTGGCGGTTTCAGAGGCGGCGATCGTGAGTTTTTCAGAGGAGGGGACCGTGGTCGCGGCGCACGAGGTGGCTTCGGAGGGCCTCCCGCAGGGTGAGGCGCCACACCTCTCCGTTGTGCGTAGCAGCTGATCACTGTTCCATAGAGTCTTCAACCCTACCCCAAACGCTCCCGCAGTCGTGGATGCACGCCTTACAGACAACTCTCAGGAGCAGTTGATTGCGTCTTTCCGCACGTTGAGGCTCCAGGACACGGACTTGCCCACTCGTCCAGGCTTCGGTACGCTTGGTATTCCAATCAAGCTACGCACGAACTTCTTTCCCGTCAAAGTCCCGAAAGGGCCTTTGTTCGAATACGATGTGTCGATCGCCCCCGGCGTCACAATCCGCCGAGTCAAGAGGAGGATCTTCCAACTTGCAGAACAGCTTCCCGATTGGATCCAGGCGGGCATGCAAGGCCGAGTTGCGCATGATTTCAGCAGCAAACTGATCTCTATCGCCAAGCTACCGCAGCCACTGACGATGAAGATTCTGTTCACTGACGAGGACGAAGATGAGCAGCAAAACAGACCATCCAAGGAGTATACTCTCACGTTCAAGTATATACAAGACATCGAGACTCAAAGTCTTGTCAGGTACGTCCTCGATATGGCTGTACCTTTCATTATCCATAGGGAGAGATTCGGAGATCTGATGGTCCAATCTGTCTCGAAACTGGGTGTCCTAGCCGTGTTGGGCCCTCAGAGTTCGGCATCCTCCCTGTCCTTCGTTGATTTATATGATTATGACTATCTCTCACCTTAACCTTTGTTCCCAAAAGCTACCTCAATGGTGACAAGCAGTATCGGCAGTATGATATCATGCCCGTCATTTCTGCGTTGAATCTCGTTCTAGCTGCCCACCCCAACCGTTCCACGGGTGGAGGCGTTATGGTCGGAAGGAACAAATTCTTCCATTTCTCCCAGCAATTTCCTCCCTTTCCACTTGGGGGTGCCTTAGAGGCATACCGAGGCTTCTATTCCTCCGTTCGTCCAGCTCACAAGCAGTTGATGGTCAATGTCAACGTTTGCACGACTGCCTTCTACGTGCCCGGGAACTTGGCCGAGCGCATGCAGGAGTTCGAAGCGGCTAGTTTTGGTGCTCGAGCGAGTGCTTTTGTCAGAGGTGTCAGGGTGAAAACGACTCATCTGGGGTACACAAAGACTGTCAAAAAGTTAGCAACTGTCAATGCGAATCAGCATCGTTTCAATGCTGAAGGATTTGGCGAAGTGACAGTAGCGCAGTACTTCCAGAAAAGTTCGTGTGTACGTTCTTTGGGTCAATAGTCGAATACTGATATTCTACTTGCACAGAGTACAGAATATCTTTGCGCTTCCCCAATCTCCCCCTCGTGGACGTTGGCGGACAGAAGTCCAACCTGTTACCCTCTGAGTGCTGCGTGATACTCGAGAAGCAGACCTTCCGAGGACGGCTCTCAGATGACCACACGGCTGCAATGATTAGGATCGCGTGCCAGCCTCCAAACGTCAATGCCAGGGACATCACTGGCCGCGGGCTGACCGAACTTGGCTTCGCAGCTGGCCCGGATCCCCTCGCTGCCTTCGGGATCAGCGTAGGCAGGGAGATGGCAGTGGTACCGGGTCGCATCCTCCCCTCTCCTACCATACGCTACGGCGAGGGAACGCCCAGGATCGACGATCGTGCTAGCTGGAATCTCCGCGATGTCAAGTTCGCGTCAGGTGCTGTGCTAGACAAGTGGGCTGTTCTCCTCGTTCGAGATGGTAACGGCGGAGACCAGTTCAACGGTCCCAACGATCCGGAGTTGCATAGGACCGTCGCTGGGTTCGCGGCAATGTGCACCAAGTCGGGCATGCGAGTTGAAGCTGTGCCGCCCCATATGTATACTGCCGTGAATCTCCCCCAGAAAGATAGTTCAGACCCTGTCCGCGGACGTGCCGTTGGTGCCATACGGGACACATTGCGTGCTCTGAAGTCGAAGCCCAAGTTGATTCTCGTCGTTTTGTCCAATGGAGATAGGAGCGTCTATGCCGGGCTGAAGCATCTCTGCGACGTGTACTTGGGCGTTGCGACGGTGTGCGTTCATGCGGCCAAGATTCGGAAGGATCGGGGACAACCCCAATACTTCGCTAACGTAGCTCTGAAGGTTAACATGAAGATGGGAGGCGTGAATCATGCGCTGGACCAGCGCAACTCCAACATGGTCTGGCTCAGGCAGGCGCCCACCATGCTCGTTGGGATGGATGTCACACATCCTGGATTCGGGACCGTCAAGGGTACACCCTCAATTGCGGCTGTGGTTGCGAGCACCGAGAACAACTTCGGCCAATTTCCCGCAAGTATGCGCATCCAAGAGTCGAAGAAAGAGGTAAGAGCCTTTGGTCGCATAGACAGTTTTCATGGGCTCAAGTTCATATACCACAGATGATCACCGATTTGGCAGGCATGATGATAGAAAGGATCGAAGCGTTTCAGAACAGTAACCGAAACGTTCTGCCAGAGCGAATCGTTGTGTACCGTGACGGCGTTTCAGAGGTACGTCGCTACAATGTGGCTCTCAATGGAGACAGACTGCTCACTGGTGAACGGCTGTAGGGACAATTCTCTATCGTCGTCGACGAGGAGATGCCGGAGATCAAGAAGGCGTTCACAAAGTTCAGCACTCCTAAGAAGCAGTACACCCCTAAGTTGACAATTGTAATCTGCGGCAAACGGCACCACACCCGTTTCTTCCCAACGGATGCTCAGAACGCTGCGGCTGATGGAAACCCCAAGCCGGGCACCGTTGTTGACCGTGGTATTACGGCGGTGTATGAGTTTGATTTTTTCCTTCAAGCTCATGGAGGTATGCAAGATTTATTCGTATGCATAGACATGCCTGTTGGTCTGACTTCCTCGTGTAACAGGCCTGCAAGGTACTACAAAGCCGACTCACTACTACGTGGTGCACGACGAGATCGGGTTCAGTGCAGATCAATTGCAAGGTCTGACGAACGATGTCAGCTTCATGTTCGCGCGTGCAACTAAGGCGGTCAGTCTCGTGTCCCCGGCATACTACGCAGATCTGGCATGTGAGCGGGGTCGCTGCTACATACATTCGTTGTTGCAAGGAATCTCTCCCAGCGGTACGACAGCTAGCAGCGGCACAGCCGAAGAGGATGCGATGCGGAAGGCGAGGAGCGATTGGCAGAACGGAGTCCACAGTGTCTTGAAGGAGACGATGTTCTATATTTGATTAATCTGTCATTCTTTTGTGTTCTTCAGTGGTGTGGGATTTGATCATCTTGTACGCGGAAGGATATCTCTTATGTATTGTATGAAGGATTTCTATGTACCCCTATGAATTCTATCGGAACATGTATGTTTATTGATTGAAGCATGCGACATGAGTATCCATCACTACGTTGCAGAACAACAGGAATGGTAAGGTCAGAGTAAGTGTAGGCGCAGCGGTATGTGTACGACGATTAATTGAGAAAGGTGTATCGTTAGAAGAGTTTCCGCGATTGACAAGGTTTTAGGACGAAAATTATCGCAAGTGACAAGTCAATGAAACCAATGAGAAAACGGTACCTCTACTCTGAGTTACCATTAGCCTCTTCTGACCATGTATTGGGCGTAGGCGACAAGGCGTTGAAGCCACTCTATCCCCCACCTGTTCACGCGCTGCGGGTGAACAACGTAGAATCAAACTATTGCGGCCTTCATTGTCAAAGCGGGTTGACGCCGTTTTGGAGGAACATCGAACGTTAGGTGAGCACCCCGAATGCAGCCGGCCAGCGAGAGCGTTCCACCAAGATATCCCATTACAGGTTCGCTAGAAACGAGAGTTGTAATTATCTGGCGGATATAAATGAGTATTTCTCTAGGCAAAAGGAAGCGATGAAAGGCCCGTGACGACGCATCGTTGATAGTTGCGCCCCGTTGGGTGATGCAAAATAGAATGCGGCCCATGACCCGACCATATTACATGTAGGAGGTGCCAGTGGACAGCCCCTTCTAAGCGGTCATCGCTCTTGTGTAGTAAATGATTGCCCGAGTCGAAGTTAAACACGAACGAAGGCGGAAGTATCTATAACGGCTCCCTGCCCTTTCTTATTAGAAAACCCGTTCTTGACTCGGCAAAACGGAGCAGCTCTCTGTGAGCCTCTGTCTCTCTCACAGGAGTATTAGAAAACATACGGTGATGAATAATCGGTCTGGCGGGAGCCTCAGCGCAAAGCTCAATTACCATATCCGCGGCACCAGGTCCAAGCAGGGCCATGCTCACGCATAAACACAGCACCACGTAGCCAAGCGTCCGCTTGGGACGCTGGCGACTTGTGCAAACGAAACCACACCCACCCCCTGACACTGGCACGCGCTACGGCTCACCGACGTGCGCTGACGCCCTCTCCTCCTTCGTGAACGCGCCGGTGAGGCCGAGGATGGCGCCGCCCACCGCGATGAAGACGCCGCAGAAGATGATGAGCCCATTGAAGTGCTTGTTGTTGACTACATGCACGAACGCGCCCGCGGTCGGCGTGCCAACAAGGGTGGCGATGCCAACGACCATGTACAGTGAACCTAGCACATCGGGATGAATGGTCAGCGCGACAAGAAGTATGGTAGTGTGAAGGCATGAGACGCACCCAGACGGGCACCGTACTTCTCCAGGGGGGAGATCTTGTAGATGTATGCGGGTAGCAGTGAGACGACCCCTCCTGCAGGAGATAGATACATCAAAGGTATGATCGAGTGCTATCGCGTAGAGTAAGATGTACCTGTGAATAGGCCATAGAGCGCGGCGAAGGCGATAATTTCCCCAGAGTTCCGCGCTGGCAGCCAAAGGGCCAGGACGAAGATGCTGGTGATGATCGACGATGGCACCAAGACATTGAGACTGCGAATGCAGAGTCGTGGTTATTCCGACGATTCCACGAAGTCAGCATCCGGATGTGCTCACCACCCAAATCTGTCTGCGAGAATGCCTGGAATAATCCGGGACGGGATGCCCGTGGCATTGATGATAGGGAGAAGGTAGATCGCCAGATTATGCGGCACGCCCTGCATGTCCGCGTAGATCTCGATGTAAAAATACGGGATGAACAGCGCGTAGAATATGCTGTTCAAGTATGTCATCGTTTCATCCTGCGCACATGAGCCATGCAGGTATGTGCTCACAGGAATGCCCCTGCAGCCGCGAACACGTACTTCTTATCGCGGAAGCCGTCAAAGTCTATTAGGCCTCGGAGGGTGATACGGCGCGAGCCGGGGAGCCGCGTACGGATCGTGAAGCACGCAACGACCAGGCAGAATAGGCAGACGAATGCCATCGCACGCACTGCCCACGGAAACCCTATGGTGGGTATGAGCCGCTGGAGCATAATGGGAAAGAACACCCCGCCAACGGAGCTCCCTGAGGCGACTATGCCCATCGCGTAGGCCCTCCTGCGACGGAACCAGTGGCCTACGACGGCCATAGCGGGATTGAAGCTACATACGATGGTTCATTCCACATCTAACTCTGCAAGGATGACGAGAGAACCTACATCGCTGCTATGCCAATACCGAAGAGGATCCCTTGTGATAGAAACAGCTGGTATGGTTGGTTTTCCTGAGCTAAAGACACCATCATAAGAGAGAACACTGTCAGGAACGAGCCCACAGGGATGATAACCTGCATGCTATAGTTCAGTAGTAGTACGTCGGCTGAAAGGAAAGCAAATTACGCTAGTTCCATACGCGTCGTAAATCCTGCCCACGATCGGACCAGCTCCGTACAGCAGATATATCTGGATCGCTCCAATGAGCGAGATCGTGGATGACGACGACTTTGTCAGAAGTGTCGATGAGTAGTAATCCTGGAAGACACCCTAATCGCGAACACCATCAATATCATACGTTCTCATACGTATTGAACTGTAATGAATTTGCTCACATATGTATTCATTACGCCGAACGAGGCTATAAAGGCCATGAACCCGCCAAAGACTACGGTCCATGCTTCCCACCCGCCTTCCGGAAAGTCAAGCTCGGTATTCGTGGGAGTTACCACAACCGTTCGCAGCGATAATTCGTCACTTTTCTTCTCCGATTCCGAGGGTGGGCCCGCGACAGTTTGTGAGTCCATCTTGAGTATATGCACCAGAGAGTAGTTACAACCAAGGCTTCCCACTAGCCATTATATGTGACCAGAGAGAAGCCTGGAGACGATTCATGATGGGATGAATCCAAGTATTAGGAAGCAAAGCACGTCAGAAGGGCGGACCGACTGACGAAGCACGGAAAAACAGGATTCCAAGATAAGTAACGGCTTCACGGCAGATAGTACTCAGGCAACTGCGCAGGCTCGTGATGAAAATATGCCACAGATCTGATGATCTCCTCGAAGACAGACAACGATCGAGAGGGATGTGTGAGGCCGCGCAGACATTGGGCAGCAGGTGAGGCCCGAAGTTCATTCCACCGATGTGCATTCCACCGATGTGCATTCCACCGATGTGAGGCGGGACACCATCCTCCAGAAGAATTCCCTGAGATACACTTCAAGACCACGATAACGTAGGACTTAATGGGAGGATCACAAGCAGTGAATCTTGGATGGATGACCCACCATTCACTATGGGCTGTCTGACCCATTGGCTCATCTCGGAGTCACATTGTTTGTTTTCATGAACAATATGCTTAGGTTGCGACTCACGCTCCTTTCTGAAGTCGCAAGTGCTTCTGACGAGCGGTGGTCATGGGAAAACAAAGATGCCGAAGGACATGGATGGACCTCTGCAAATTGTCCAATCAAACGCCCTGTTTAAATAATCCAGCCGGTCTTTGCCGTGAGCGGAATTTAGATTCGCAAAGTATATAACTTACATGAGCGCTGTCGTAAGTCCGACGGTAGTGGGGTATCTACGTTAAAGGGCCGGGTTCATCGCGCCTATAGATCTCCCATGTCATGAGACAGGCAGCAACGAGTATGAACAAGAGCCTAAGTAGACATGCAGACGGGACACGCAACACTGTAAAAATGACAGAGTTCGAAATCGTCCGAGACTGCAGCCGAGCACAAGAGAAGTGAACCGCTGGAGTACACCCGACAGCCACTCAGACGATCGACCGCAACCACTGCCGACAGAACTTCAAATCCTTCTGCCTTCGCTGTTAGCAATATCATCCATGCAAAAATTGTTATGGTAAAGGCTCACCGCTGAGTATCCGAGAATCTCCTGTATGTCGAGCATGAACCCCGACGCGGCCTTGATGGCCTTCTTCCTGAATTGTCTGCACTGGCAGCTGGTAGTGAGCCAGCCCACCTTGCGGAACGACTCCTCCATGTACCGGCGCGCGAGCGACTCGATGACTCCGTCGATTAGCGCTGAGGCGGTCAGCAGCGACACAGGGAAGCGGAGCATATCCTCCTCTATGAGTAATATCGGTGTCAACGACTGCGGTCGGCGTTTAAATGTGATGAGCTCACGTAAGAGAGCGTCAAGTAACACAGACCATGCTTCCGTCTGTGCGACCTTCCAGCCGTTATCAAAGCCTAGCAGCTTTCGCAGGCTAGGCAGCGCAAGCCATAGTTCTTGCATGTACGATTCTGGCGTGATACTGCCGATGTTGAAGGAGAAGGTCTGCAAGACATCTCGCTGCGACGCCTAGAGACAGGCTATGTAAGCAGCTTGGTGATCGCAACAACGAGAATACCTCGAGATCATCGTTTGATATGGAGTGCGGAGCTATGGACAAAAATTCACAAGCAAGAATGATGTACAAGGGCAGTAGCGAATCCCGGTGAAACTACAGCACAGTCAGTGGATATCCATCGAGAACAGCGTATGTAATGCACCTTTACACAGAGCGCAATACAGGCAACAGCCACGTCCCACGTAACGGCCTCACGACCTTCGCGCAGCAGAATCATGTCCATACCTCTAGCCTTGGGAGACTCGGGCCCACTGCCGACGCGCAAAAAGTAGCGCATAAATAGGTACGCAGCGTGAAAACGCGTCTCTTCTGAAGTAGTGAGCTGGTCACGCAGGTGCAAGCAGAACTTAGGCTTCGTGGGGTACGTTCCAGGGACCACCTGTATGGGCGAGGGGAACTGATTAGAGGGTAATCGAGCTAGGATATGAAGGAAAGAGAGGCCCGCCTGCCTGGCTCGGACGCACATCCAGGATCCACTCGACAACCTCTCTTCGCAAACCTTCTTCTATCCCAAGCGAGAACAGAGGCATTCGGCTAAACACGCTTTCTTCGCCGTACTTGTCTTCAATCTTTACCTTAATCGCTTCTTCCGGATTACCCGCATTCACTCCTGCTCTCCAAGCATGTACTTGTTCATCCGCCCCATTTCTTTCATCGTGCCCATCTTTAACTATCTCATCCGCCTGAGGTTCGGATGTTCTCTGGCCCTTAGCTCCGAGACGATCCTCTTCCCGTTGCTGTCTCTCCTTCTCCAACATGACTGTGATTCTCTGCTCGGCTGCATCCTCCGCTGAAATAGGCCCCCTCGGGATCATCTCGAATGGAGGAGGCGCAATAATCGGCACAGCTGCCAGGGCGTCAGTCCGACTGTGCGAACGCTGGCGAGTAGATCGCATGCCCCGCCGAGTTTGGACGGGTGTAGCGGGTGTAGCGGGAGCAGTAGGAATATAGTGGTGCTCGGGAGTATAGAAAGTTTTCAGGGTGCGGTTAGGCGACTTCCTACTACTTGCGAATGAACTGCTACCATCGTGGGGCGTGGAGTCTGACATTTCTGCTTCATCGTCGGCGTGTCCTCGCGGATCAAGGTTCTCCTGGGAAGTCGTCAAGTCAATGTCGCTGGAGAAACGCGTGACATTCACCTTCTCTTCTGCGTACATCGACGCCTCCGACATGAGCGACTCGGCCCGTCTGAGACTCGCAGGGACTTTCGCATAGGCACGATTCATGGACACGTTGGGCTCTTCTTGCCGAGGTTTGCTTTTGAGGCCTCCGCTATCCTTCCGCTTGAAAAACCGGGACTCCATGGACAGCCTGACTCGTTTGCGCCTGCGTTCCACTTGGCACTGGTCCGATTCCTCGGAGTGGGTATATGCGCATGATTTGCGCTTGTTGAGTGGGCTGCCGTTCACTTCCCCTGCAGTGGAGGCTCCACGAGTTGATAACTGACGCTTGAGGCCAAGAACGGGTCGCGAGCTTGCCTGAGACTCCGTTGACGTGGCTTCATTCTTCCTTTGCTCGCCAGGATTTGCTGGAGATGCTAGGCTGTCCACGTTGAGGTGTCTTCCTTCGGGGTCGCCAGCGTGAGCATGGGTATATGTGCGCTCAACAGTAGCGTCCATACTGCTCTGGTCTGCGGAGATGGGTTTGTCGCGATCAGAGTTTGCGTTGTAAGGCTGAGATTGACTGAGAGAGCAGGGACGAGACACGGACTGCGTAGAGCCAGACTGCGAAGTAGAGCCAGAGAAAATCAAACGAGAGACAATCGCTGATGAAGAAGTCCCAGAGGCCATTACGGATGTAGAATGTAGCACAGGACTAAATAGCGTAGACACAGCGTATGTTTCACCCGACCGATTGTCTGGATTGCCCAGAAGAATACTTGTTTCCGACGAAGGACCGTTCAAAGCACTAGTAGCGAGCGTATGGACATGGGTACCGGAGCCTGTCTCATTAGGACGATTGACTATGCGCTGTCGGAACTCAGCTTGCCGACGCTCCTGCTGTACAGCGAGTAGCATATCATTGACACGACAGAGGAAGGAGGGTTCTGATGGAGATGGTAAAGGAGAGCACATAGCCATATCGTCGCCCAAGGATTTGCACCCATCGACGTCTCCAGAACTTTGAACATTGATGGAGCCGTCAGAGATATATTCCCGGTGCACAGAGAAGCTAGAAGGAGACACAGTGGAGTTGGTTTGCTCCCTGCAAGCTTCGGACGTTCTCAAGCAAGGGTTGAGTCCATCATCCGAATCCGCAGAGAAGAAGTCGCCAGGTGAACCCACAGAGCCATCACCTTCGATCACGACAGGTCGGAAGCTGTAGCTTGAGATGTCCCCACCGTAGTCATTGTCCGGAGGTGTTACAGCAGTTGTGGGAGATGAGAACACTGGAGAACTTGAAGCGGGAACAAGGCCGTCCGATGATATTTCCTGACCAGTGTATGCGTCTGGTTCGCTGCCTTCATGGACAGATCCGAACTTCTTGCTACTAATAGTAGAATATGCGTCGTCTGAGTTTGCCGAAGGACTAGGCAACCTGGACGGCCGGTCTTCGTTGGGTAATTCAAACGGAAGATTGACAGGACTGAGAGTCATAAAGAAATTAAGTGTTTGTCAGAGATGCAGAGTAACGAGCCTATGAATACGGTAGACCCGCCGTTAGTATTGAATAAACAACTCCTCAAGGCCATGCACTGTTCCACGGACAGACTCACAGTTGAGTTGCACTCAGTGAAGTCAAATTACTTAAAGTTTGGCACCAGGATTGCGAGGAGAAACTCTGATACGAGAGGAAGAAAATTCCTGTCGGGAAGCTGTGCGTCACGGTGGTCGACTGATCAAACTTCATCAAAGCGTCTCTTCACTGGCGCCTCGGCCCTCCGGGCAAGCATATACCATCACAGAAAAGGCGCGGAACTTGTAATGCGATTATATCGAATGCCATTAGAATGGATCCTACATTCCAAATCAGGCAAGTCAAGAAGCATATACCGTGACATAAGTACACTATGCCCGCAGTGTCACGCAACAGTAAAAGTCCGGGATAGAATGGTGTGCAGTAAAGACAGACGGTGGTAGGCAGAGTCATGGGATGGGTAGAGGTTGTGGCGAAGTACGTATTCAGATATCAGAGTCCAACCGAGAACGAACGCGTCCTGTAACATTTTCACTTACTTATTCGCTGCCATGTCGCCGTTCCAGCAGCGCGCGACGCACCACATGTTCCGCAGCTGGCTGTTCAACGGGTATCGCCGCCTGTCGGGGCAGATGCCCTACTGGATCGTGCCCGCCCTCATCGGTGTGTCCCACCTTTTCCCGCTGTCGCCCGCGCTCACTCCACCCGTCTCTTCCGTTTTTGCATCTCGACCGCTGGCTGTGCGCTTGCGTGGAATGCGATAATACATCTATAATTTCCGTCGCGGGAGATGTGAGCCTTAAAGTCGTTAGCTGTCCAAGTTGACTACCTCCGTAATCACTGCCGACCCAGCTTGAAGTCCTCTCAGAGGATTTCGAAGAGACCTTGACGACTTGATAATGCTTTTTAATCGGCGGCCCGCTCTGTATATCAGGCCGGAAGACCCACAACACACACCTGCGACTACTAGCACGAATTAACAGCCGCGCAACACAGGCTGACCCACGCCCGAGACTATTTAATCGTGTAATAATGAATACTGGAGTGCTCATGAGTCACAGCGGACGTCTCTCTGAGGTCAAGCTTTTGCAGACAAAGGGATATAATACAGTTGTACACGACCTGCGACCTACCATACTCATTCACGAACCGTGACGCTTATTCGCCGTCCTTGAGGGCAAGCCAGGACGGGCGGGAGCTGATTTCCTTCCACCACCTGGAGACAAATGTCAACGCATTCGCGAGGGGTTTGAGAGGCGTGAGGAAGAGACGCACCTAAGGACATTCGGCCGGCTGGGGTCCTCGAGGACGTCAACACCCGCGAGCTTGAGCGCAGGGCCGTACGGGACGTGGAAGAGGTCCGCGAGCGTGAGCTCCTGGGAAGTCAGTGTGGGTCAAAATTGCCAAAAAAGAGAAGAGGGCGGAAGACTCACGTCGCCTGCGAGGTACTTCGACTTGGAAAGGATGACGTCGTATACGTCGAGCTTGGACTTGAGCGACGCGACGTAGTCCGCGACGAGTTTCTCGTCGGTGACGCCGCCGCCGCGCCTGTGGGAAGAGGGTCAGCAGCAGTTAGCTCGCGCGGCGGGTGGTAAGAGAAGAGCACTCACGGCTTGAACACACGCTCCGCGGCGATCCCATGCGCAAACGGTTCAAAGTTCGTCAGCTCGATGCTCGCGGCCTGCTCGAACTTCGCCAAGGCGTGCAAGTCGGTGAGCGGCGGCAAGAGCTTCTCGCCCTGAGCAGCGTACTTGACCGCGATGTAGCGGGCGATGGCGCGAGACTCATATAGGGTGAAGCCGTCGTCGTCGACGATGTACGGCACCTGGCCGAAAGGTTGCACGGCGGTGTACGCGGCGGCCTTGTGTTCGCCCTTGGAGAGGTCGACGAGAACGAGCTCGTAAGGCACATTTTTCTCTTTCAGCACCATCGCGGCGCGACGTGTGCAGGCGCTAAGAGGGGAGCCGTGCAGTTTCAGGACCATCGTTGCGTGCGGTGAGACAAGAATGCTGGTGCAAGTGCGAGTGCGAGTGGGCCGATGGTAGTAAAGCGCAGGATTCTGCGATAGGATAGAGTTGTATAGCACGCTGTTTTATAGGTGCGGAAGGGAATCGCGTCATCTAAATTATTGTGACGAGCGTGAGGAGGAGAATAGTCATCCTGGCGCGCGAAGAGACGCGGGTGCATCAGCAAAAGTGTCCAAACTGCACCAGGCAGGGTTTGTAAGCAGGGGGGTCAGATTGCGTCGCGATGCAGGGAGCTGTTAAAGGCAAGCGAAGTGGTGTGAGTTTGTAAGTCAAAGTCCCCCGGACATAGGTATGCATATCCCGGGAGAGCCCTGTTGGGTATGTATACGCACTATGGGCCCGAGAAGTGGTGAACAGCAACAGTTTCGTCGGTGAAAATCCACATTCACTGGATATCTCAGGCATTGATTCGGGAATTTTGGGCCTGTTGAAATGTGTAGTAAATTTCGCTATCCTGTAGATCGCCTGCCCAGTGAGATTCACCAGTGTGAACAAGCGCCGATAACTTCCAGGTTCAACGTCTTCCTTCCTGGTGATTTCTCAGCACGTCGATTCAGTCGAGACTACTCGGTCTGCCCTGCCCTGAAGGAACATTTCTTGAGTTTGTTAGCACACTTATAGATGCTATCTCTTTTCTTTTTTGGAGGAGTGTTGCCTGAGAAGGCTCGACACTGCGTGCAGACGAACAAGGTTCGTTCACGAGGTCCACTGGATGCGGGGATTTCACCCGGGGTACTCCACCAAAAGGAAAAAATGCTACTTACGCACGCCCGCCGCCCGGTGGGCGGGCAGTGTGGGGCTCGATCTTCCGTCGTCGCTCCGGCCGTAGTTGGCGCTCGGGAGGATCTATACCCACTAGAACCTTTGAGTGAGTCCAGTCTTCGGGTAGGCTTTTTTCGTCGTTGAGGGTGTTGCTCCATGTGGAGAGGACCGAGGATTTTGGGATGGATCGTACATTGGGGTGTAGGGTGGCCATACGTTGGTCAAGTTGTAATCGGAGGTTGACCGCTGTGTACCATCGTCATGTAATTTCATTTGTGGAGTGTTTGTTTTCGTCATTTCGATCACCGATACGTCTTTCGCAGCGGATCTTCCAGATTAAGTGTGCTGCCTCTGAGACAAGAATCCGGAAGAGTCTGTTTGCGCCGGTTCCGTTGTTCTCTTATCCCTTGGTATGCGAGGCGTTGGGTGAGTGTGGAGAGTTTTGCTCCTGTTAGGTCGAAGTGGGCGGGTACTGTGAATCTGCGGCTGCCCGAGCACGCCTAGGGCCATCCGCTCGCAGTCGCAGTGGGTGGTATCTACTCGGCTGCCTCTCAGACGAGAGCTTGCATTGGGCTGCCAGGGTAGTTCGCGAATGTGCCAACCTTTGTGTCTTATGTGCTGGGACATATTACGCTCTATCTTGAGCGGCGTGGCACGTTGGAGGCTCGGGTGAACGAGATCGGGAGGACCTCCACTCCCTCTCCTCGTTCACAAAGTCTGAGCAGTGCCGCGCCCTTGCATGCGAAATTGGACCGCCGCATGCTCGCGGGGCAATCAGTCTGCCAACAGGCGTGTCGCAGATGGAACTCCGATACCTCGCCGCGCCAATCATAGGCCGTGGTAACGGCTGCAACGGTGAACCTCCGGAAACTGGCAGTGAGATGTCTATTTAGAAGTGGAGAAGCGCCGTATTTTTGTGACAATGGGTGTTTTCAGTTCAAACGGAGATCCCGTTTCTGCGACATGTAGGGAAGGCATGACCGCCTGTTTTGGGATAATGCCCTCAAGTTACGGGGGGTAGTGCGGCGGTGCAGTGTGCTCTTAAGTAGCGATGGACGGATTTCCTTGACCTTCTACCGCTCTTCCACTTGAAACGTCGCCGATCCTTTCGCGCAGAAAATCAAGGACGACCCCGGGAGCGAGGAGCAGCAGGGCAAGAATCTTGTCGACGCCGCTCTCGCGGCGGGCGTCGCGTGCTTTGTGTGGAGCACGCTCCCGAGCTCGCGCAAGATCTCCGGCGGGCGGCTCGTCTCGCGGATCTATGAGGGTGCGTCCGTCCGCAGCTGGTATGTGTGCTGCTGCTGCTGACGCGCTCCGTACGCAGGGAAGTGCCAGGTGGACGAGTACATCTAGGAGAGGGGCCTCCCGGCGACGTTCCTGTATACAGGCAACTTCTACGAAAACATGGTGTACCGTGCGCACATGCGGTACGACCCCGAGGCGGACGTGGTGGAGTTCCGCCAGCCGGTGGTCAAGGAGGACACGAAGCGTGCGTCCATTGTGCCCGTGTGCAAGTGCGTGTGCTGACGGGTGCGGAAGTCGCGATGCTGATGTGGAGAAGGACCTCGCGGGGGTGACGAAGGCGGTGCTGGACCAGTACGAGGCGCGGCCGGAGCTGCACCACGAGTACCTGTACTACGTGAGCAACGCCCGGGTGTCGCCGAAGGAGATCGTCGCGGCAGTGACCAAGGGTGCGTGGTCCGCCTTTCCCATCCCGCCCCGCCTCTCGCATCCGCTGACGGTGTGGCGCAGTGACGGGCAAGCGCGCGGCGTACGTGACGCTGGCGACGATGGGGGTGCCGGACCGCGACATCATGTTCCGGCTGTACAATGAGATGGGCATGTATGGCGGGAAGGAGATCCCGGACGAGAACGTCCTCGCGCTCGGCGTGGAATTGCACTCTGTCGAGGACTTCATTCGTGAGCGGCTCGCGCCGCACCTCGGGCTGCCTGTCGTCGGCTAGAGCTGCGCATACCCGGGACGGCGACAATCTAGGAGCAAGGGTATTCTGTGTATGTAGTGTTTGGAAAAATGTATTTTAGGATCAAAATGGCGGACTGCCAGAAACGCGATTCGAGCTGTGTGGGTTTTGCGGACGCGTGGTCACGTGAGCGTGATCATTTGCCTCTCACCCTGCCAGCTGTAGGCTGTGAGCTCTGTGTAGGCAGCTTACGTTGAACTCCTTCCAAGCTCTATCATCTACTAGAACAATCAGAGATGTATCGAACTTTAGGATAGCTATTCGAACTCACGTCCGAACACTCCCGCATGTTGGATCATTGTGCTCTGAAACATTCGACCGAAATGCCTCTCCAGCAGGATAGAAGCGATCCTTGCGTGTCGTGTCCACGTATCCCACCGCTTGAATTTCATTTGGCAGTTCCGTGAGACTGATTTACTACTGCTACCACTGTGATGTCGATGTCGTGTTCCAGGTGCGGTCACCTCTTTGAGTTGAGAGCGGTTATCCGTCAACATCACAGTTCATCTAACATCCTCCTGTAGTGCCTGTATATCAGCGTCAAAGATGGAGATGGAAGTTCATGCAATCGCAGAATCATCGCACAGCACTGTATATATTCCCTACAGTTGTATCGCAATTTGAACTCACGTCCATTCTCACGGGTAACATCAGGATGTACGAAGGCTCCATTCAGAAGTTCGGGATCTTTCCCGGGAGATTCCATCTCTACCCCTGATGTGTTATGGACATCTTTACAAGTGTTCCTACATACCTACCTCAGGACCGTTGCCCTATCCCAAGGAGACCCGAGAACGCCGAGAGCAAATTCGCATCGGTCAGGTCAAGACTCCGAAATGGAATCATCTCCACAGCCCGTGCACTTGGGGTGAACTTAAGGCACCTGTCTATCCCTGCCTTGTCGATCCCCCTGCCTGCCCGCTTCAGAAATGGGAGAGCTAGATACTTACGGAAGTCTGTTCATCGGACTCCTGATTGCTGCGAGGTACGTGTCAGACCTTGCCTCCACGTCTGATGCTGAAGTCCCTGAAATTATACCTTAAGTCTGTATGGCATAACAAATATCCAGTCTGCCATGTATTTTCACTGGTACCCGCGCGACTGTGTGCGGAACAAGCTGTCCGTGTGTTGGCTATGGTGTGTTTCGTTCGACGTTCACGGCACCTCTTCCTGGGTATATCTCACATTCTCGACGGCACGTATTAGGCTGCTAGACACGGCGCACCTTGCCTTCTACGCACACATGGTGTATCATTATCTGGTGAATGACTACTCCGACCCATTAGCGCGTCTTTATACTGTCTGGAGCTTCAAGGCACGTGTCAGCTCGATATGTGTCTCAAATGCACCTACCGCGACTCTAACCCGCTCTGACTGTAGGCGGAGATCGTAACACAGGTATGACGACAAACCCGGGCACTGATTCACATGCTCTACTTTGCTGATAGCTTCGCCTACATAGGCGATACTCACGATATCCGTCGAGACGTAAGTACCTATCTTCATATATACTGAGGATTCGGTCTGCGGACTGGAAACTATGTCTAGGTTATACGCTATCCGGATCTTCGTCTGTGCGTGGGTGCATCCTTCCTTTGCCACGCCCTGCAGCTGATAATCATGATTCTTTACACGACGTGTCATTCAAGTGGCTGCTCTTGTTGATACCATCGAGACTAAGGGCCCTCTGGTGCGTATAATCATGCCCTTATTAGTGGTAAGTTGTTCGACGCGTTTTCCTGCATTTGTAGCTTCGTGAATGACAGGATGACATTGTTAGGGAGTATCCGTACTGATAGCATACGGTCGGTTTCCTGCCATCCGGACGAGATACTGGAACTGAGTACTATCCTGGCTCAACAGGTGCATCGGCAGGTCGGTAACAGTCTCGTCATGGTATTTCTTCCATTTATCTTGCAGGAACTGGCTAGTGCTCAGTTACGAGATGTGAGTCGCACGCGCTAGTGCCCCGAGTCGACCTGCTTATCATTGCCTAAGAATGCAATTCGACACCTGGGCCGTTACCTTCTCAGCTCGATATCATGTACGCGCATCTCTGATTAAACCTCTTCTCGAGTCGCTGTCACTTCACTTTGTCCTGATTCGCCTTCCAGTGGGTCACCTATATGCCTCTCAGCGTTGCAGCCGCTGTAGACGTTGTCATCGCTGCATCATTGTGTTACCTCTTGAGTTACTGCAGGACGGGCTATTACTCGTGCGTGGTTTGGACGTGCGTCTGCAGTCCCGATGGATTCACCGTAGAATGGCACAGGATGGACTGCTCTATCAACCGGTTGATGCTATACACGGTAAACACAGGCATGATCACAGCGTATGCCACCCTTCCAACCTCTGGCAGCCGATGACTCCACTTTGACACGATAATTATTTAAGGATTTGCGCGATAATAAGTATCATATTGGTGAGCCTCCTCTCCTCGCATCATCATCTAGCGGCATTCTCATCCCTTGTTCGTGGAAGACTGCAACCCTACCGGAGAAGTTTGGCGTGCCGCTCTCTGTCGACTTCGTGCTCGGAAAGCGTGCGTCGCGCAGTGTCAGTCTAGCAAATCGCTCGTTGTTAATGTCTGTCACCCCCATGTCGTCCCCCAGTCTATGTCAACTGTTTCTTAGCGATGTAAGTGTCGTTCGGTCTGCGAGACATTGCTCCATTACTTCAGGCGGGTATCGACTGTTGACAATAACAGGCTCAACGCGCGCAGCACCCTGCATACTGGAGAGACTAGAGAGACCTTGGACGTAAGCATTATCTTCACTGAAGTGCAGTGTGCAGTGTGTCGTCTAACATCTGGTTCACTCTACCATTGCTCGCTTCTTCGCGCAAAGCCATCATTCACAAGTGGACTTGAGGTTTCTTCGCCTAGGAGTCACCCTGCGTCCCCTTCGGCGGGAGAGCGTCTCAACCTTTTCTCGGTTGGATGTATTCTTCACGACTGATGATGAGCGACCACGCTGTTTGTTACCACAACTGGTAGCGCAAGGGGCGCTCGGCGCGTAGTTCATTAACGTCCCGGACACCAGAAACTGGGGGAGGGCTCTGGAGAACTCTGCCGTGTAGCAATGACTAATCTGTCTGCAAGCGCGTTATACGGGCGACGCAGTCCATGCGATGCGTGCTGTGGCGGGACAGGGATATGACGTCATATATTACTATGAGCACTCGCCCTGTTCAAGGAGTGCCTGTGCAGGAAGTTGCTGCCTTCATTGTGATGATCCCTCTTTACGACGACAAACTAACTTTCTCGTATAGTTCAACCGCTGTATCTTACACCAAGCCACTATCTTTTTTAATTAATCATGGCCTATCTCCTACATGGCGTTCCGCTGGGTCTGGCAGTGACTGGACGTTAAATGATCGCGTGCAAGACGTCGATGCGGCAGCTTTTTTCGGTACCACGAACTTCCCTCCTCCTGCAGTAGACGCTCGAATTTTGAACAGACTCGAGAAAGGTGGGGGTCCACTTCCTGTCCCGAACTCCACCGAATTGAACCCCGATGATTGCGCAGCTTTTCTATTCTCCTTGTTGGGATATGATGAACCAGATCGTATCATTTATCTGTGTAGATAGATCGACTTCCTGAGGTGTGGGCGAACTGTAGATGCTAAGCCTGATATTTCTGTGATGAACAACCAGATGACCATCTCCTGCTTATACAGAACAGGAAGGTGGGCGGTTGCACTATCTTGCTGCTATGTGCTTCACTAACCATTCATCAAGCACTGGATGTTCGTAAACCTCGACTTATCGCTGGCGTCGTTGCAGCGATTGCTGTAAACAACATCCGGCGCAGACACGGCGGGACACCAGTCCTCAACAAGCAACTCTTCCCAGGAAACACTCTGATGAGTAGCGCCGCTTATTTCTACAATGTTCCTGTCACCCAAGAATATGTCGACGCGTGGTTGTCCAAGCCCAGTACTTGAGATCGTGTTGCAGAGGTTCGTACCTCCGGTGTCCGAGCTCGTTTACTACAAGAGCACGGGTATGATACCCTTGGCCAACAGGTGTGCCGTTTGGGCTCTCTTGTGGTATTTAAGTGTTCCTTTTCTAAGTTCGTGTTATTATCTCACTGTTCATTCAGGGCTTTAAACTACAATTGAAAGAAAAAGTAACAGATTTCAAATCCCAAGGAGTTCGAATGTATCTGTGTTCTCCGAATACAATCAACAAATTGAACAATGATTTGGGTAAGTATACTGCGTGTAACAACAATCGTGAGAGCTATCCACTACAACATTGAATAACGCAGGACAAGTGAGGACGATGTGTGAGTTGATGGTTGGCGAGAGTTGGCTACTACTGTGTAACTGTCTTACCATGTACGGTCGTTCTCTGGTGCACAGGCAGTGGGGTTGGCATAGGTTGTTACTAGGAATGAATATTTGCTGACCAGTGGGTGCAAATTTGCTGTGGTATATGAGATCCTATTCGGAAAATGTCAACCAGGAGAATCAGCGGTGTAGTCAGACCTCACAAATGCACTCGCATGTGCGATATATGTTCCCTTTGTTGTTGAAACATTTAATTTTTGTAGTTTTAGCTCAGATAGCTGTACACTGCGGAGCTTCGCGCAGGTGTCACTCAACCTATCCGGAATACCGAATCGATATTTAGTATGGAGTTACTTTTCCGGTTAGCAGTGTTCACCTTGAACTTCATGGTAGACCGCTGTTCTGCTGCGCAGTCTTAATGTCATGGCATCAAGGTAGATATAACTTAATGGGTTGAGGATCAATGTGCACGGCGACGTCGACTAGCAACTCACGCATCCATCGACACACTTCCTCAACAATTATACGCAGCGGCCAACAGATACTAGTCGGGTACGTCGAAAGTCGTCCGCACAATATGGTCCGCCTTCCTACCCGTCGGCTTTACGAACCCCATGTAGTCCAGCTCGTGCAGCGCGCGGATGAAGCGGGCCTGCACCTCCACCCTCCACTTCTCCTCGTCCTCACCCTGGTCGTCGTCCTCTCCTTCATCGTCCTCTCCTTCATCGTCCTCTTCCCCACCCCCATCCATCTCCATCTCCGCCGCCCGCTCCTTACCTTTTCCCTTCTCATTCCTGGGCCGATCCTCCGCCCGACGGTGCATGCGCCACAGTTGCCTGCGCTGCTCCTCCAGGACGACAGCGAAGGCCTGGAACCAGTCGTATACGTTCACCATACGTCCTGCCTCTGCGCACCTGTGGAAGAGGATGCTCGTGTCCGGGAGCTCCCACAGCGCACGGGTGGCGCCTTCCCCATCGATAGTGATCGTTTCCTCAAGCACGTCGCCCTGAAGTGAGTTCGGCGTGCGGAAGAGCTCTGCGTGTGCGTCGGCAAAGGCATATGGGTGGAGGAGGGCCGAGATGATTGTGGCACGCGGCGCGGGGTTGATGAGCTGAAAGAATCGAGATTAGTGACGGGCGGAAGCAGTCTCATATGATGATGCACCTCTGCGGGGAAAGGTGTTGAACCCATGTACCATACATCCCATAGTGGATACTCTTCTAGCCTCACGAGGCGCGCCCTGGGGGTGTCATGTCATGTCAATAAATCGAGCCATACAAAACTGAATTGACAAAGGTCGTACTCCAGGTACTCCACCAACCACTCACTCACGCCCACGGAGAGCTGTGCAGTTCTGGAAGGGACATCTGCTACATCGTCAGGCAGCTGTGTGAGCGCGGCCTCCAACCGTGTGCACACGGCTTGCGCCTCGAGCTCATGCTTCTCGTCTTCGACTCCTGTGAAGAGTGCGAGAAGGGCCTGCAATACGATACGGAGCTTTCGCGAGGAGAGTTTCCTGTGAGATACGATGTGGTCAGCAGGTACAATAACATGAGAAGACAGCAGTCGCACCCGATAGCAGCCGTGAGATACCTCACTTCCCTCCCGGCGCGACCTCTCAGCACAGCACACATCAGGTCGAGCGTTTCCAACCCGTCCTTGGCGCCCATCCCGTTTCGCGCACCTATTTCGTGAACTGGTCGTTCTGGCTCCTTTCCCTTGAAGCCATTCACTACGCCAGGCACCCCTGCACCGCCGCCGTCAGCTGCTAGCGCGCGCTGCACGGCCATCATCGCCGCGAACGCATGGCGGAGCCTGCGGGCGGCACGGCGAAAAGTGACGTGAGCGGCGGAGACGGCAGCGAGAAGCGCGGAGGCATTGGCGCTGATATTTTGGGAATTTGGCGAACCAAACGGCACATTCGGATCTGTGTTTGGGACAAGACTATGGGCGCGCAGCCGTGTATAGAGCGCGAACAGAAACGGACGAGACGCGGGGGACTGGAGTGCTTCGTCCCTCATTGCAGGTTGATGCGTGAGGAGAGCGAGGGGCTCTGTAAAGTGCTTCATGTGGGCGAGCTATTGGAATAATGTCAGAAATAGATGGGCGAACGAACGAACGAACTGGTAGACAGAAAATAGAAGGAATGTACCTGGAGCACGGTCAACAGGAAGTCAACCCCACCACCGTATCGCTGGAGGAATTGCAGCAGATACTTCAGCACCGAGGGGCCAAGCATAACATCTGGTTCAAAAGCTGGGTCAAAGAATGTCTATATACCGCATCAACCGGGAGCGTGCGTGATGGGAGTGTCAAAACAGAACGAATGCGTTGAAGGGGAACATGGACTGATCAGCGTCGCATAACTGTGCCTCATAGCTCAGACATGGGACGCACTTTGGAGAGGACCTTGGCGACGACAGCAGGCCCAGATGGTGCGGTGAAATGATGGACATGGAGAAGAGCGCGCGTCACGCGGGGATAGTTCTGCAGTGCGGCGGTCGAAGAGAGCCCAGAAAGCAGCAGGATGAAGACGAGCGGGAGTTTCGGGACATGGAGGCTAGTTGGCGAGGGACATAGTCGACAAGGAGGATCAGTCGTTGAAGTCAGTGCACACAACGAACGTACCTGCAGATCTCAAAGACATCCTGAACGACCGCTGGAGTGAATTGCTCGAAGTCGTGCAGAAAGATTACCAAAGGCTGTTTTTCGTCTGCAGCGGTTAAGCCAGCACAACATGGAAGGTCAGATACCCAGGTATACCGGAAATACCAACTCGAGTGCAGGAACAACAAAAGTGAAACCCACCAAGCGAAGCGTACCACACCTCTAACAGACTGATATCATACCCTGCGAGTGCTGCTGCAGGTCGTCTCATTCGAGGACCGCCTAGAATCAATAGGATTTCATCAAACAATCGATACTCCGTTATGACTATAATTAGCTGACATACTTGAAGGCACGAACCCGCCCACGAGAGCGCGCATTGCCGCAAGAAGGGACGTGCATTCGGCCGGATGTAGGTGCGAACGAAGGGCAGGAGACTCGCTGGGCGCAAAAGAGGTGATGCGATGGAGAATTGAGTTGTACAGGGATGGTGTACCACCTATACGTGACAATGATAGTTTCGATCGTCAGGGAGAAAGCTCACAGACGAGCGAGAAAAGAAAGGGCACCTGAAAGCGTGATAACAGGCAGCTCCGGATATGGCAGCCCAGGAAGGACGTTTGCGCCGCTGTGTGCGGCGTGCACGCATACGGCGATATCGCTAGCGAGCGGAGCATGGATTGATTTCACGGTTTTCTGTGAGTTAAGGCCACACAAGAAGTAAATTATGCACAAGGGGACGATGGTTTGTCAAAAAATGGGTCGTGGAGCCGTTCGAGACAAGTGGTCAATGGATATCAGGGAAAAGCAGGCTCGACATGTAAGCAAAAGTGCATACTGGAAAATGATGAACCCACATTTATTCTGTTTAAGCAACGCTTCCATGCTCTCTCGCACGCTTTCTCGCGCAGAGAGGCACCAGAGGGGAGGTCTCGCCAGTCCCATTGGAAGGCGGATGTAGATTCGGAGACTGGGCGAGAAGTGCCTGAGATTTGGGCGAAGGTATTTTGAAGATCAATGGCAGGAGGAATGTTTATGCAGCTCTAAGTTCAAGTAAGGCGAGATAGAGGGCGAGACAAGTAGGTCAAGCAAGGCCACAATGTCCCAAGTCAAGTATTAAGATTCATCGTGGTAAAAAGATGATCACACTCCAGACTCGGCATGTGTAAACAAGACAGGAATCAATGTGACGTATCTAAGTCGATACCCACGTCCTCGCGACTAAACGACAGAGACTGTGGCCTTGCCTGAGCTGCCAGCGGTCAGGAAGGGTGAACACACCTTCGTGAGATCGTCCAGTTGTCGATCCAAATCATAAAATTGGGCATTGCCGTCCATTTGGTTGTATATGCAGACACTCTGCCACGATCAGGACGGAGGTGATGTATTCAGCGCCGGATTGAGTTGACAACTGGCTCGAACTATTATTCAGCGTAATACAATATGCTGACCCTGTTGTCATTTCAGCGTCGTCCGCTCACCTTCAAACGAATAGTAGTCCTGAAATGAGAGAAAAATCGGCAGTGCTGGAGAGGGTGGCCAGTCTAGTACTTTTCCGTCTCCCGAAACGGAACGCGATCGAGGACGCGCCCCACGTGACACCTTACGCGTCTTTAATCGAGGTTAATAGTATTTATTTACCAAGTCTAATCGAACGCGCTGTGCTAACGACCTAAAGCGGCCGTTCCGCGCTGACTCCGGTCGGCGCCGTACCCTGCCTGCTTCCGTTGCGAGCAGCGATACTCAGACCTGACAGGGGAGGGCACTCTCGCTCTGACTTTCATCAGGCTGCCCACTAGGTGAGACTCCGGTCGTGCAACATCCTTCCTCTGAGTCTGACGTTCATCTGACGGCCCGCTAGCCTCTCTTCGAGCGACCCACCATCCCACCTCTAGTACATTATGTGTAGATAGCCTGTCTCTCAGGAAAAACGGGTCAAACCCGAATGTAATTCTTGTTTGGAGGCTCCTCGGTGGGCAGCAGCCACCGAGGAGGCCTGCGCCCGGCTACATCTTGTGCCGCGATCCCTTCAGAGCACCCGGAGATTAGAGCATAATATTAAAGCAATATACTTACTAGTTGCACTTCTACCAAGTCTCCCCACGAACAGACACTATTTGGGCTTCACGATATGCTGGACGAACGACATTTTGCAATCCCGGAGCGATTGGCATTATGGTCAAGGTTATGGTCAAGAACAGGGATCCCTTCGTGGCTTTCTACCATACATATCGTAATCAAAATCGGAAGCTTATGAATGGATCCTGTCACTATCGTTCTTGACCCCTTTGGTTGTAGAATAGATGGTGGTATCTGGGAAGTTAGGCCGACAGCCCTCGACAGCGCTGTCGGAGGTACCGTCCTTCCCTTGCAACTTCACCCCTGCGACAAGTCACGCAATAGTAATAATTCTACCGAAGGGTCTTCAATCGTCTTCATACTGAAACGCGATCGCCTAGGTCGTTCACGTTACCGCAAGCACACGAGGCTCGCACGCTCCCGGCGAGGATTATTGGGAGTGAACGACGCGTAGCCTGACTTCTGAGATCTGAAGCGCGTCACTTGAACGAGTCCATATTCCTGAAGGCTCCGGCGCACGTTCGGGTGCGACGTCCATGCAATCGTGTGCCTTCACCTGCCGCCTCGATCCCGCATGAACTTCAGTTTACAGAAGTTAGGCGAGCCTCTGCCAAGCAGTAGTTCATGGCGAAGACTGAAAGTGATCCTGCGTGAGGTGCGTATCGCCGGAATGCCCAATACCCTAGGTTTGCAATCAATATTTGAAGATGTCAATGAAAGGGGACGGTGTACCACAGGCTATCAATTCGTTCCGCGGCATTGTGTCCATGAAGGTAGCGAATGAGGCCTGATAAAGTCCTGAGCGCACAAAACACATGAGCATTTAAAGCGTGCATATTGTAGATGATGCGAACAACACAAATTGATACCGAGGGAGAAAATCGAACTCCAGCAGCAGCTGGAAGACATATCTTGACTCTGGCCGTGCAAACTTACGCACTCGGGAGTTCCGTGTATGCCTGAGATTTATTCGACAGGACCTGCCGCACGACGCGGAAACTGGGAAAGAAATCTGCCAGCTATATGCGGACATCCATCAACGAATTTTGAATGTCCGCAAAAGCTATTTGTATGGCGCCAGCTCTCTTGTTTTTCAACTACGACAACACACTCCCCGTTGCCAATCCACTCGCTCCCCAGCGCGTCCTTTCGCTCTTTCAGCACCACATTCCTTTCGTTGTCGTCAAAGAAACTGCTCAAAATGTTCGCTTCCGCACTTCTCGCCGCTCTTGCTATCGTTCCCTCGGCTCTCGCCAATGTCTACGTGCGTGTCTTCTCATCCACGCAGAATCTTCGTTTGACAAGTATTTTTCAGATCACTGAGCCCATTGCAACCACCTCCTGGCCCGCTGGCCAGCAGCAGACTATCACCTGGCAGGATAGCGGGGACTACCCGTCTCTGACACAGTTCGGCACCGCGTCGGTGGGCATCTTTGTTGGGAACGCCCTTGTCCAGGTGTGTACAAGGTTTCGTTCTTGTTTCGTATCTATCACTACGCCGTGATTGAAGTGTCAACGTCGGTGGGAGAGTTTGTGCATTTGACATTGCGTTTTACGCGTAACCGCCGGAGTGGTCGCTGATTTCGTTTGGCGCTCGTCCTCGTTGGTGCCTGAAAATTGCATGTCGCAATCTAGGCCTCGTTCTTCGTAATACGGTTATGTCTACTTAGAATTGAACGAACTGACTTTTTTTTCTGCCTTCCACTGTAGACGCAAGTGCAGCAGATCGTCGCTAGTGTCAATGTGTCGTCGACTACTTCGATCGTCTTCACCCCCGACCCGACCATAGGCCCCGAATCGAATGAATAGTACGTATCCTCATGTTCTGCCATATATGGTGTATTTCTTGACCGCCGCTGTCCACAGCTTCATCCGCTTCCAGTCGCTTAGCCTCCTCCAGAACGGTACGAACTACCCTGAGGAGGCCTTCTCCGCCAAGTTCGCGTAAGTGTTACTGCCCCCTTGCACAATCGTGAGCATGCTCTAATGTTTTGCGTAGGCTGAGCGGCATGAGTGGCCAATTCGATGCGGCGGAGTCGTCCGAGATCAGCGGCCAGTCCACTGCCCCCATTGGCCCGACTACTGCCGCGTCTGCCTCGTCCACCGCGGTCGCCGTTACGTCCAGCACTCCGTCTGCGACATCGTCCAAGGCCAGCAGCGCGAGCTCGGGCTCGCACTCGGCATCCGCAACCGCCACGAGCAGCAAGTCCAACGGCGCTAGCATCGTCGGCGTTAGCCCTGTCTCAGGCGCTGCCGGTCTCGCCGTCGCAGTTTTCGCCGCGATGTTCTTCTGAACTTGGCCCTTCCATATTTGTTCTTTCTCTTCCGGGTGGGTTAGTTATCTTCTCCAACTTTGTCACTTGTCGGTCTGCGCGTTCTGATCTATGGTTGAACCCCTTGGTGTTTGGTCGGTTTATCGTGGTAGTTTATATCCTCCCCTTTGCGCAGTCGCGGGACGTGTCTCTGACCCAAGCTCCTCTGCCTCGCTCATATATATGCTCCGCCTAGCAGTTGCTCTTCATGAAACCTACATATGCATGCTTGCTCACGACGTATATACGACGCCGGCGATGGTACTTAGCTTACACTCATTAATACACGTCCTTCGACCGATACTCGTGCGCCAGGTCCTAATTTTAGTAATTCGTTCATTGACGGTCACGCTTTCCAGGTCAGACTCTGAACGTAACGGCGCACGACATGCGCGATGCGTCATCGATTCATCGTCAAGAAGCTACCAGCTTCATGTGCGAGCTTCGATGTTATCTGTTCGACAGTACGCCTGCCAGCAGCTTGCAGTACACTAAAATGCTACTAAGGAGCGCGGCATCCTCCTACGTTTCGGCAGACTCTTCTCTTCTTCTGCACCTAACGGCTGACCTTTGGCGAATCTAGCAAAGTGTATCATGGTGAGTGTGTCTCCAGTAGGAAAGAAGATTGAGTTGCAGATCTCAGGTTTGTTCAATTGTGGGACTTATAATGACGTCACACCCTCGCCATCTAGATTGAGGCCACCTTAAGGCATATCGGGGCCTCGTTGGTCGTGCGTGCCAGAAACGTTCTTTGTGATGGCTGGCGGGCACAGGCGAAAGCGGAACAAAGGCGTACGCATATCGGTGGCCCAAGCACCAACGAAAATCGACGGTCACCACGGAGACGCCACTGCCAGTGGTTGCAGCGCCTCGCGGCCAGAACTTCATTGGCGTTGTGCATAAAAAACGCGGCAGGGTGAGTGGCATGCCTTTGGAAGTTCCATCAATGACGCCACGACAGATGTCCAAGCACAATAGGGTGCGGAAAGGGTATAAATATGCAAGTTCAGAATCTCACACTCATTGGCCACAGTCACCGACCTTGCCTTACACCTTGAGCATCAGTTCGCATCCACAACATGTCGAGGCCCAGGTCTGTAGCTGCTCCAGCAATTCTCCAGTCGTCCACCTTGTGGGACAGTCTGCGTTCCTACGGCACTTGCTTCCTGTCGGAGACGTTGGACTTCCGCAGTACGTCGCTAATGTGATGCATCGGTCGCTTCGTGCTAATGCGTTGAACTACAGCTCTATGTACAGCCCCTTTCGACGGAACCGTCCTCACCCCCGCTCTCGCATGGGAGGCTATAAAGAGGGAAGACTATCGCGGTTGCTTTGATGATGCTTTGCAAGAATTGATGGCGGAGTCGTGAGTCACCGATACAAATCATCAGGAAAGCTAACATTCACTATTTGGTCAGAAGCTCTAAAGTAGGCTCATATCAGGACCTCACGGCAAGGCTCCTGAAGTTATATGTAAATATCGCTCTTGTCCTCTTTTTGCACCTCACTGACTGCGGGGCAGGTGTTTCATCTCGGGATAACAATTATGCAATGTGTGCCAGACAGGGACCATTACACTTTCATCGACCCTTTCTTCTCAGATAACACCGATATGATCATACAAGAGGCCACGGAGTTGATTCAAATCTTTACATCGAGGGGTTTTGACAGCACTAACATCGTTATCTCAGTAAGTTCAACCAGTCCTGCCACGGCAGATTACTGCATGGTTCTTGCAGATACCTGCTACGAAAGAAGGTCTAATTGCTGCGAAGATGCTCCACGACCAGTATGGCATACGCACCAATATGGTCATGGTATCGAGTCTGTTGCATGCAATAATCTCTGGCGACACCGGAGCGGCTGCAGTTACATACGATTTTCAAGCGGTTGGCGATCATTTACTGTTCGGGACTGACCACGACGCTGACATGCATGAAAGCTTCGTCAACTGTGTCCCGTCCAGTGTGATCAAGAGGCGGAGGTGATCGCAGCTATCAGAAACACCGGTGCACTCTTCCAGCTCCATTGTAAACCAAAGCTCGTAGTCACCGGCTTGAATCACGTACGTACCCTCGCACATAGTTCAATTTCCTTCGTGGATAACCGCGTCGGACGCAGATCAAGCAATTGCGGAGCATGGCCGGACCCTTCACATGCTGTCTAGGGGATGCAATAGCAACCGAAGCACTGTCAACTACATCCCCAGCGGACTACTGCTCCCTCAACCCTGCCGAACTTCAAGCACCAAAAGAGACTGTTGGCATACTTGGGCGGGACGCTCAGTCATCTGGGCGCCAACTCATGTCTCTGCTGCCCACTGACATGTGCGCCCTGGCCCAGAAGGCTTTTGTCTCCGGCATGACACCCATGAAAATATGCTTGCAACAGGTGAGAATAGTGCTGACGGAGGAATTTCTAAGGCACCAGAGGCGGAGGCTGGCACAGGCCAACAGGCCTAAAGGTGATGACGATCACCCGCGAATGCTGAGTTCTGATGCACATTGCTCTGAACGACGCTCACGGGATTCGACGACAAAATCTGAGTGCGGACCGCGCAAGTCTAAAGGTAAAGACGCCCTACGCAAAGTGACTTTCGCGATTGGAACCAAAGACTAGCAAAACCCGAGTTTCAAATCTTCGCATAGACGCCTACTACAGAGTTGCGTCTCTCCCAGGGTATGCGATTATTTAAGCATAGGCATGTATACGGTAGAGGTTGTATGAGTTCACTAATTTCTCCTGTGGATACGGTTGAATGGAATGTCTTTTGGTCCGTTCGTTCTGGCGATCGAGTCTTCGCCCTCTACCTGCGTCAGATTCAAAGTCTCTGTTCACAATTGGGAGGGTGAGAATATTGGAAAGACGAGATAGGCAGCGACTGAGGCTGCGCGCGGTTGCGATGTCACGTACTTATCCTAATCTCACCTTGAGCGCCCAAAACGCAGGCCACGGTCGCTCTACCCGCCCAGTGTGGAACGTGTATATGAGAGAATAGTCCTCATTGCATCTACGGTCTAGCTCAGGTTTGAGCTCTTTCGTATGTGGTATGAAAAATTGGCATATAGGGTGAACGTGGCTCGGAGAAGTACGTGCGAGCAGGTAATTGGCAGGCAAGGTGGAATTTTACAGGGACGGACAAGAATGATGACATAACGATAGTGAATAAGATACTTCAAGCAGATTTCGGTAGTGAGATAGGTCTATATGACACAGAGGTGTCGATCGAGGAACGGGGTGCAGCAGTTGCACCTGAAACGACCTTAAGACTATCGGGGAAGCACCAGCCAGTCAATGGCGAATCAGCTGCTTGACTCTATGGAAGAAGCCTTTGAGACTGAGCCGAGCACTGGCAGGCCTGGCCTTGGCATCTTCGTCACTAACGCACTTGATCGCAGCCCGAACAGTGCGCTGGTAGTCCATTGTGGTCAATAGTGCAAGGGTGATCTGATGCTCGAACGCCCAGGTCAGCGTCTGAGGTGCCTGGTAGGAAACATCAAACACGACAGTGGGATTAGCGGCAGGACGACGATGAGGCTTGGCTGAAGTCCTGAACACCTTGCGCAGATTGCGCACACCTGAACGTCGACGAAGGGAATGGGCAGCGGGAACTGGCAAAGTAGGCAGCATCATCATGTCCACGATGGGCGGTGCATCCATTGAATCCGGAGGTGGCAGATGAGATCTCGAAGGATCATGACAAAGTAGTGCCAAGGGAGGTATGACGTCGCTGACACCTGGCAATGCAAGATCTGCAGATAGACAGAGTGTAGGGAGACAAGTGACGGGCGGACTCGGGACTACACTCCGCACCACTGGGAACGATTTTTCGTGGAATCCTTTTTCTGGGAGGTCCTCTTCGCCATGCAGCGGACCTGGAGCCTGCAGTCTAACCATATCCAAAGCCTCCCTGTTATGGCCATCCTCAAGAATACCTTGCCCGTCGTCTCCTTGATAACTTCCCGTGCACACCATAGAGTAATAATCGGAGTCATCCTCGTCGAGCACTGGTGGTTCGTACTCATTCGTCCAAGGAATGTCTGACAGAGCGGCGGCTTCGTCGAACATGCGTCTAACAGTACCCGGCATTGGCTTCCATTCAGCTCCTCCCGGTGCATCTTCGGGTGTTAAGTCGAGGGTGGTGTCGTCGTCGTCCACGGACACCAAGGAGTGCTCGGGAAAAGGAGGATGCTGCAATGCTGCGATCTCGTCCCAGAGGTCATGCAATGGGTCAAAGAATGGATGCTTTTCGACTTCAGGCCCGTTAAGACGATCATCTGGGTCATGAGCGAGCATCTTTCCACCACATCAGCAGTCGCAGTAAGTCACCGAGGCAAACGAATACTCACAGCTGCAACAAAGGCTGCGAGGTCTCCAGCGAGACCGAGCTGGTCTTCCGGGGCTGTATTCGGGGTATCTCCATCGCTGAGCCTCTCCCATGCGTCGTTGGCTTCATCCAATTGGGGTGGTTTCCCAGTGGCTAGTTGGCGCAGCATGATGCCGAGACTCCAGTAGTCTACTCTCTCGTCGTACTCGAGCACTTCGTCCGGGTCATACCGGGGGTAGCTTCCCAGCAACTCAGGAGCGGCATACTGAGGAGTGTAAGAAACAGACTCGTGCGGCAGTACGACGATGGAACGGTAGCGCCTAGGCTGATAGTCGCCCGAACTACGACTCAGAGAAGATGAAGTCCACACGGACGAAGCGGTTGAAGACGATGCAACGCAGGTGCCGTCAGGGTCTTTCAGAAGCGGTAAGGACTTAGCAGAACCTAAGTCAGTGATGACTGCATGTCCAGCGGAGGACACCATCACGTTTGTCGGCTTCAGGTCTTGATGGACGATCCCCCGAGAGTGCAGAAATGCCAGGCCTAGAACGAGCTCTGCTGAGAGTAGACGGAGAGTGTGCAGCGCTTCGTCGTGAGGGAGAGTAATTGAACGAGATGAAGTGAACGCGACAGGCAGAGATACCGAGACAGACAAGAGCGGAGGTGTCGTTGGCCAGCGCAGACGCAGCTGGTAGAGGATGTCTGGGTGGGAGAGTGGCACAGGGTGGTAATCCTGTTTCGAGTCTACGTAAATCATGACAAATTAATAGATATGATATCGCGACGCACCATCACGATAAAGACATGCGCAGTATTCTGCATGCTACAAAAGGTCCTCTGCACGAATTCCAATCCTAACGGCCGATGCTTGCCAACCTCTTCTAGTTCATCTTCTCTAGCAATAGTAGCCAGCAATCCGATCTCGTGTCGTAGATCATGCACATCGAAGTCAGACATCGTACTCTTCTGTAATACTTTCACCGCGAACACGCTCGTCCCAGCATCCGGAGTTGGCGCTGGGTGTTCGGCCAGAAGGACCTTTCCAGAAGCACCACTGCCAAGAGTTCCTAGGAATGTGAGAGATGAAAGAGGGATAGTAGAAGACCATCTATTTTGACAGAGATGTTCAGACACAGAGACTACCTGGCGGACTGGCGCATCAGACAGCAACGGCAGAGAGTCGAGTAAGTCTGCACGAGGAAGTAATAGCGGCTGAGATACAAAGGAGAGGAGCCGGCTGTCCGTATCGAATTTTGAGTCAAGCATTGCGCTCCAAGACTTGGAAGTGCTGACGAAGGTGCGGTCCTCAGCGCATGACAATTCAGCTTTCTCATATGAGGTGGAAGCAAGAAGACGAGAAGATGAAAGAGAAAAATGAACATCAAGAGGGCCCTGCGCGGAGCAGTAGGACGAGTCATAATTAACTGCGCTTATGGCTTCAACAGCACCAGTGGAAGATATCTGGTGACGAACGTCACTGGCTGGAGCCAAGGAAGGGGAAGACATTGATGGAAAACCTGTCACGGAAGTAGAAGCATTGTACACAGCAGAACAAGAGTTGTATCTTTTGCCGTCGACGATGTATGCTTGAGCTTCTTCGTACCAGTAGTCCGTTGCACTAGGTAGCAAGAGCATACAGGATTCGTTGACAGCCTCGAAAGTCATCGATAAGAGACCAGATTAAAGAGAGATACAGAGAATAGAATGTCTGATATTATGCCTGTATATCCCCTACTCAGCAGCATGAGAACGAGAGATTCAGAGTCAGCCTTGAAATCAGAGACACGTAAGAGAGAAATTCGAACATAGGTACTTGCCTAATCCGGGTTCTACGTAAGCAACACTGTTTTGTGGCGCCAAAGCGCCTATTCGCGCCTTTCCGCCTCAAGTTGACTCCCCATTAACCATCACCCATCACCCATCACCCTACAGTCTCAGGCTCAGGCCCTCATCTATACCTGACACGATCTGTAGTTAATTATGTCCGCAGGGCCTTCAGCGGCAGTTAATGTGCTTCACGACCTCGCAGAAGCCGCGGAAGAATTTGTCGAGAAGATGACAAGCACGGAGGATGAGGCCGAGACAGAGGGGAACAAGGAGGGTGAAGGCAAGATGACTGTGGAGGAGCGTAAGGCGAAGATGGACCAGCTGCGGAAGAAGATGGTGTGTTGTCTCACCTTTGAGTTCCATCTGGCACTCCCCGCTGACTTCATGGCAGCGCTCTTCAGCTCTTGCGAACCGTGCATCCGTTATAGAAGAAAGCACGAAAGCAAAAGTTACTGCGAGAGAAGCTGCCCGGCTGGAGAGACAACGGAAGTTGGCGGAGATTTTGCGTACGAAAGCTGACGCGGAGGAGCGGGGCGAAGACGTTGAGCGGCAGAAGAACTGGGAGTGGACGATAGAGGAGAATGATGAATGGGAGAAGAAGAAAGCACGGAAGGCAAGACGTGCAGACTATGAATTTCATGGTGCGTTGACTATACGCAGTGGCTTCCGTATGCGGCTGATTGTAAGCTACTGTCATCAGATGATGCTCATGCTGCTCGACGGCGATATAAGAAAGACTTGGACCTGATCAAGCCTGATTTGGTTGCCTACAACAAGCAGAAGGAGATTGCGATGGGTCTGGCACCTGGCACGCTAGTAAAGTCTAGCAACGGCCCATCGTCTCTGAATGATTTCGACCCGAAAGCTGGTTCGTCAATGCAGGTATGCTCAACGTGGTCCAGTGGTTGTTTTCCAGCTGCTCACTCCCGTCCCTTCAGTTGGTACCGACCAGTCAGCAACAACAACTTGCTGCAGAATATCTTTATCGTGATGCGAACAGCCTTCTTTATGCGGACAACAAACCGAGCGAAGAGGCTATTGACAGAGTGGTCGGCAAGATCAATCGAGAGTGCGCATTCTATAATTTCTCTATACCTTGGTCTAAAACTTGTGTAACATCTTCAGTATCGACAAGAAGAGCAAGTTTTCCAGGAAGCGGCTCAACGAAGACGAGGGCGATATCACATACATCAACGAGAGGAACCGGGTATTCAACAAAAAGGTACGGGCTTTGCTTCACTCATTATACTTGTCGATGTTCTGACCACCTTACTGCATTGTAGATTGCCCGATACTACGACAAGTACACTGCAGAGATCCGTGCAAGTTTCGAACGTGGAACGGCACTATGAGGTCTCGTGCTTGAGGTGTATTTGCTCACTTCCGTCTCATGTCATTGTATCTATTGTAAATACGGACGCTAATGCATACTATGTATCACTGTATCACTGTCATCATATATGGCGCATGCATGATGTGGAGGTGGAAAAAATATCGATTCGAACGGATGTGGGCGCTTGTGAGCCACTTGTGTGTGCCGCTCGTATACACGCGCGCTGTCGTGTAACATTACGACCGATTCCTTCCGTATTGTCAAATCATCGACAGACTTACTCATCAATTGCCCGCCATTGCGATTCCAGGCTAACAGCGAGCAAGATGTCTCCCACCGAGCATGGCAATGCAGCCCCAGCCCCCAACCTAAAACCAAAGGCCAAGGAGAAAGAGAAGAAGGCGAAGGTTGTGAACAAGCCGCAGAGCGATCGTTTGAAGACCGTAGTCCGCCGGCTGCCTCCCAATCTGCCCGAAGATGTGTTCTGGCAGAGCGTACAGAAGTGGGTTACAGATGACACCGTCCAGTGGAAGGTGTACTATCAGGGGAAGTTCAAGAAACGGTGAGCGACTCGTAGCATCAGAGATGAATCCCGTCTGAAAGAGTGAGTGAGGCCAGGCTAAACAAGGAGAACATTCCATCGCGCGCATACATCACCTTCAAGGATGAAGAGATTCTCGGGGAGTTTAGCCGAGAGTACGACGGGCATATGTTCAGAGACAAAGCTGGTGCGTCGGGTAACCTCATGATCACTCGAGGGTCTTCATCGTACTTCAGGAAATGAGTCAATTGCTGTGGTGGAGTTTGCGCCTTACCAGAAGATACCAGCGGAGAAGAAGAAAGCGGATAGCAGGCTTGCCACCATTGAGAAGGGTTCGTATAATCCATGACATTCTGATTCTACTTCCTGAATCTCAAGCAGACGAGGATTACATTTCATTCCTGGAGTCTCTGAAGGACAGCTCCACCAAGCCCTTCGATGCGGAGAACCTGGATACGCTCAGTAAGATTGATTCGTACTATCCTCCCAGTGTGCAACCTGACTGCCTTCTCTAGTTGCTGCAGCCCAGCCGCCGCCACCGCCGACTACTACTCCGCTACTGGAAGCTTTGAAGGCCGAGAAGTCGGCGCAGAAAGACAAGGAAGCCATTGTCCGCAATCACCCTCATTATAAAGATCAGGCCGGTCCCACCGGACATAGTGCGGGGAAGAAGGAAGATGCGAAAAAGAAGGGCGAAATGCCGGCACAGAAACCTGCGGAGTCACAAACGAGTAAGAAGGCCGCAAAGAAAGCTGCAAAGGCTGCACATCAGCATCAGCAACAGCAGGGTCAGCCTGGTGCACCCAGTGTGAATGCGCCTGCCAAGGCCGCCGCTACTGGTGCACCTGCTAAGCAACCAGCCGGTTCAACACAACCCAAGGCTCCGCGTCCTCCTCGCGAGCGCCAACAGCACAAGCTATCCCCGTCTAACCCTACAGCGACTGCTGTCGGAGACCCTCCCACAACGGCGTCCGCAGATGCTCCTGCAGCGCAAAGCGACACGCCTGTGCAGCCGGCACCCGCCCGGAGGACACGTCCCATGCTCGGGCTCGCCTCACGCCAGTTCGAGGCTGCCCTGAGTGAGGCGGGCGTTGGGCCTGGTGAGCGTAAGTCTAAGAGAGAGAGGGAAAAGGGGCGTGCCCTGCCAGACGAAGGCGCCGCTGCTGCCTCCGGAACTACTCCGAGCAGTAGTAATATGGATACCTCTCCTAAGAGGAAAGGGAGGGCTGAGAAGCGGCCTGCAGTGCCTAATGCTGCCCTGCTCCCTCAGATATCCCGCGCTCCTCTCGTAACTTCTGCGGCGCCTGCACCAGCTCCGTTCATCTTGCAGCGAGACGGTCAGCAACAGCCGCCGAAGATCCTTACGCGACCGGGCGATGGGCAGCTGGATGATTCTGGCCTTCCGCAGGAGGATAGCGGCGCTGTGCGAGGGGGGCCGCGCCCTCGGGGCAGAGGCAGAGGTCGAGGTGGGATGAGGGGATCTGGATAGCGAGCTGGAGATGGTGCAGTGCCTGCTCACGCGCAGACAAGGTACTAATGGCAACTGACAACCATACACTTATGGGAGACATTCAGCTTTCGTTTTCTGGTCCAAGGCTGTAAGCGGTTCACCGGAGCATGCCTCAGTCAATCCGGAGCGCAGCAGCACCCTGATCGCTCTCTGGCCTTGCCAGCTTCCTACATGCAACAGGGCTTGGGGGAAGGCCGATACAACTGGCAAATGGTTTTCGGCGAGATCATTGGTTTGTATGCCATGACGTTTCATTCTGGAGGACTGCAATAGTGCGAACGCCGTACGTCAGGTTTCTAGGATTACTTTAGTACTTGGTACTTTATTGCTTTGTATCAATTTATACGGAGTTGGATTCTATACGGTGCCCGCATTATACCAGAGTGAGGACTAACCACTGCTAGCCAATCTTTGTTTCAACTCCTCGACGACCACCCCTGCTTCCTCCTGGATCAGCTGCCATGCCATTTCGACATGCTCTGTCTCTGTCCGTGTTGCGCCGACCGCAAAGCGCAAACAGACCGTGCCGTTAAGCACCGTCTGCGTCAGCAGGATCTCCGGCCGCGCCGTGATGCGCACGTAGAGCGCGCGGTTTACGTCATTTAATAGCGATTCCGTGAGCGGGGCCGTAGATACGGGCAGCACGGTCTGCGGCGTCAGCCGGAATACGGTGAGCGCAAATGATGGCGGGGCAACAAGCGAGAAGAGCGGGGACGCGGATACGAGCGAAACGAAGTGGTTATTCAGCGCGATGCCCTGAAAGCAAAATTCAGATTTCGAGCTGACTGGCAGGAGGAGCCTTGCTCACCTTACGGATGTGCTTCTGGAACCCCTCCACGCCGTAGCTCCTCAGCACGAACCAGACCTTCAGCGAGCGGAATCGTCTTCCGAGTCCCAGGTTCCAGTTGCGATAATCAACGACGGCTCCTGTACAATCGGCTTCAGCGAAGGAGTCTCGCTTGCCATTTGGATTATGTACATACGCGCATCGCCCTGTTTGGTCCGCAAAAAAGGTGGAGTCACCTCCAGCGCCTCTGTCAAATCCTCTCTGCTTCTTACCCACAGCATCGTGGCATCGAAGTTGACCAGGCCCCACTACGTGTACACCGTGAGCACAGAACGGGATTATCGACAACGTTATGCAATCATGCCTTGTGGAAGTTAGTGCCAAGCGAGTCAACATACTTGTTGATGCTCGCGAGCTGGGCGATCTCCCGATTTTCGGGGCAAGAAAGTGCCACGCCGGCCCACGCAGCGTCTACGTGGAACCAGATAGACGGGTATTCTCGCACTGAGAATGAGGTGATAAATTTTAAGCCGAAGTTTGTGATGTGAGCTGCACTCACAGGTTTCACCGATCTCGCCCACGCGGTCGATTGCACCGGACGAAGTTGTCCCGACAGACCCAACTGCATCAAACAGATTCTTCAACCAAACAAACTCGCAGAGGGAAAAAGGTGTTCGGTTACCTACGAGGAAAGGATGCTTGCCGTTGGCGAGGTCCTCCTCCAAGGCCTTCTTCACCACCGCTCCACGTAGACCATACTCATCGTCCGCAGAGACTTCCAGTACGCGGCACGCAAGGCCGAATACGAGCCCCGTCTTGACGCCCATGGAGTGGGTCTGCGAGGACACGTACATGACGAGGTCCTCCAGCTTCGTACCCGGATGCTCACGCAAATAGCGTGCACGCGCTGCAACCGTGATTACCAAGAGGGCATCGGAGGATGATGTCTAGCGAAACGCATGTTAGACACAATCCATGCATTAGGGTGGAAGACGGCTGCCACAGCTCACCTGAATAACACCGCCTCCAGTTTGTGAACTGTTGAGGAATTCGTCGCTCAATCCGAGGACTTTCGCGCACCAATCCATCATCGTCATTTCCAGCTCTGTACAAGCGGGACTCGCCAGCCACTACATTTGATCAGCTGAGTGATTAATCATCATACGTAGAAGAACTTGCGTTGAATCCAGGATTGCTGACGCTGCTTGACAGCAGATCACCCAGCATGCTTTCAAATGTGCCTGCGGTCGGGAAAAAGGCGAAGAATGAAGGATGTTGCCAATGAGTGAGGCCTGCGATTCCATAACCGTATTAATCTCAGTGCAAAAGCATTTAAACTAAGATGTTCGGCATACCCGGAATGATGAGCTTCTGGAAATCGTCGGCAATGACTTCGAAATCCTCTCCAACCTCAGGAGGGCTAGCTAAAATTTTCACCTTATATTCAAGACCGTATTACAGTGATGAGTCTAGGCATACTGGGCAGCGCGTTGGTGAGGAAACCTGGCTGAACAGACGGCACTACCGGGCGACCTTGGAGGGTGGAGTAGTAGTCGCATATCCTGTCAATCGCCGCATAGCCTGCTTTGCGGAAACTGTGAAGAACATTGTCGTTTACGGGTACGATCGACGATCACAACCGACACCCATGTCAGACACCCATGAACTAGCAGGAAATCATGGAAATCCTCACGCCTCGATATCCATTGCGACAATATTGTGGTTCCTTCGTCGACTCCCTTCGTCTATGCAATCCAAGTGCACAATGCAAATGCAAGATCGGTGTGAATCGTACGATCGCATCATTTTGCGTGGAAGAAAGATTACGCTGACCGTGGCGCCGTGGCTGCAGAGCTGTGTCGGACGGTGCTTCATAACAATAATGTTACCTCAGCAAAAATCATTTAGTATGGTACAAGTGCTTGTCTGGAATGAACGTGTCATGCCAGCATGGGAGTACTTTGAACTGAATGGTTTCCAAAGTTACCTTTTGCCATGCTTGCAAGGTCTCCCTCCACCCTCTTTAATTGTCGCACCTTTCGACTCCCCGCCGGTTCCTTCCGTGCATCTGAATCTTGCACGACAAGTCCCGACTCGGCTCGCGACGTCTCAAGTTCGAATCTATGCGGTGGCAAGCAAGGTCTCTGCCACGAGGAGGCGGCGCTTCTCTCGATGCTTTGGAGACAAGAGAAATGTACAGCTTGCGGTTGCGGCGGTGCATTTGTTTGTTGGGAACAAACACCAGTAATTCATAATAACTGATCGAGACGCGTCGCGTCGCGTCTCTCACCCTCCCACCGTTCCTCGCTCACCGTTGGCTCTGCATATCGAATACGACGGAATCTCCCTTGCAAAATGCCGGTTTGTGTTTATATATTTATCTACTCAAGAACTCATCCTTAGCTCTTATTTTTGTCTAGAAGACGAAGGGAGCGAAGGCTAAGGTGGGGGCGGACACGCCGAAGAAGAAGGGCAAGCGGACTGCTGACGAAACCGTGGACGCGCCACAGGCAAAGCCTGCGAAACGTGCGAAGGCGACAGAAGAGGTATGTGCTGTAGTTATTGCACAAGGAGATACCAAGTTCCTAGCCGAACTCCTCTAGTCCGCCAAAGCAAGCGCGAGTGCACCGGACAAAGTGAGTATTTCTTCCACTTAGCCCTGGTTATGGTTGACGCCTCGTTTTGACGTATGTTGTGCCCCACCCCGGCAGGAGGCAGAAATACCCGAGCCCAAGTTTTCTGGAAACTTCGATATTTACGCCGCCACCCTCCCGTTCCTCACTAAAGTCTGTCTCCCCTCGGGTCAGACCACTCCGCAGTACGAAGAGCTTTACAAAACCATCCTGACGTACCAGGCGAAGCCGGACTCCAGCGGTCGCTGTTACCTCCCTGCCGGCGCCACCTCTGCAGGAAAGTTTGAATGCAGCCAGGTGGAGGACCCGATGAGTGAGGAGGCGTTGGATGTCGAGATCAACTTTGTCACCAAGGAGAAGAAGCTATCGTTCACTAGAGCTGAACGCGGGAAGTTCAAAACTCCCGGTTCCTCTGAGGAAGCCCCTGGTATTTCTGCCACGACGACACTCGAGGGCAGCCACTGTGGATTTGACTCCGCTGAGGGAGTGTTCAAGATGACCAGGGTGTGGGCTAAGGCAATGCCCACGGGTGAGGTACAGGAACTGTTCGAAGGCTATTTCTCATTGGATGTTGAGTACAGTTGGCTGTACTCAAGCAAGGGTCACGGCGATGGTGCCGAGTACGAGTTTGGGTTCTGGGCAGTGCATGCTAGGAAAAACGAAGAGGGGGAGGAGATTGGCTTGGTCCCTGTCTAACATGGTCGCTTGGGTCGAATATGTTCATCTTGATGTTCTCGGAATTTTGGATCTTGTTGATACCTCGCTTACTAATTGACATGTAACCAGTGTTTTCTCAATCCTATGCAACATTCGGTTGGCTCTGAATTGGTGATGACCTTGGAGACATCGGAGAGAGTACTGTTGTTTATCTTGCTCACAACTACCAAACTTCGATGTAACGCTTTGGGAGTCTCCGGGCCAGTGCAAAGTTGTGTCAAGCTGTATGTAAGTTTGATGTAAGTAAGTTACCAGTTACTTGCCCGTCATCGCGCGACGCGGCGGGCTGTGCACGTGATTTCGCCACAGACGCGTTTTGCCCAGTGATGTTGCTTTCCGCGACTTGCCGCATTCGAAACAGTGTCTCAATCTGTCAAGTTTGTGGCAGAAATCCGCCCCAACGATCTCATGGCCCCGCTGAATTTACTTCTAGCTAACTAGCGGGCTTCAGCTCCTTCGCCTCCGAGTTGAGATCTGAAACCAGACTTTCGGGGCTTGGCCGAGGTAAGCCCGAACTGTCCACAGCTCAGTTCCACTCAGGAAACGCGAATGAAAATTGGTCTGAATTCTATCTTGTAGCACTGAAGGTGAAATAGAGTGCTGCAGACGTTCGGAGGTATGTGGCATCCAGCTACTGCAAGGAAATGATAATGACATGTTGACCAACGTGCAGATCGACTCAGCCGGAGGGACTTTCGTTGGAGACCGCTCGCTAAACACATCAATAACACAGGCTTGCGACGAACGCTAGGATGTACTGTACAGTTTCTGCACAGCCCATACCGCTTGCATGCATCGTCCGCCGACAGAGTAACAAGCTCACATATATAATGACGTCCCCGCAGATCGGAGCTTCTCTGTACCTCCCAAGCCTTCAACTGGGCTAATATGTTCGGATTTTTCTCCAAATTAATTTTTTCTGCTTTTTTGTTACTGTCCAGTGGTGCTCTCCGCCTTCCCCTCGAGCACCGCGGCGCTTCAGCAATCTCACCAACTGTCACCGTGAACCAGACGAACGCGAACAGCTACTACGGGCTCACCTATGTTGGCAGCATCTATACTGTGACGGTTCATATCCAGGGAGCGCCGTACCACGTCGCGCTTGGTACTGGGAGCTCAGACCTCTGGGTGGATGCCACTCTGCCCGGCATCGTCAATACAGGTTACAACTACAGTTCCACGTATGCGTGAGTGACTTGCGCGTTCTGTATTAATTGCGATATCACGGTCAAAATGCGTGTGCATACTAGTGACGGATCCCCGGTCGCTGGACCGATCGTGCTTGGAAATGTCTCACTCGGCGGGTACACCGTTGAGGGACAGGCCCTTGGTGTGTTACCCTTTCCTACAAATAGATCTTCTTTTCTGAATTATTTGTCTTCAGTGTCTTCTGTTGCAAGCAATTATACGGTCCACGGTATCATCGATGGGTCTCTAGGACTTGGCCCGTGCGTACAGCCGTTCGAGCTGATCAACCCCTCTCTTATCTTCGTTGCCCTCAGATCGAATTATTCTCTGATACACCGAATATTGGGGAACACCTCGTATGATGGCACACCATTCATGAACAACGTCAGTACCTATGCGCACTCTGTTTGCTGGAATACAGAGGCGTCTCCATGTTCTTCAGGTATTCGACTACGGATCCGATCAAGACCCTTATTTTACTGTCCTGCTCGCACGACCGGATTTCGTCGACTCTCCTGGAGGAAACTTTACCATATGTGAGTGAATGTTCCGTGGTGCACGTCTACCCTCTGACGCGCTCGCTTACCTTGAAGCGGAACTCGTGGACGAGTACGCGGCGATCTCGGAGGCACCTAAAGTTCCTGTAGTTGCGGACTCCTGGCTCACGTTCTTAGACGGCATATACGTGAACGGCGAGTTCCTCACTGGCCATTCGGGCGGGTGCGTTTCATGCCACCTCTGCTTCGGAAAAGGTCGTTAAGGTGTTTTGCATGATGTCCAGGTTGAATGGCACCCCGTGGATCGCACCAAACGCGAACCAGACATTCGCTGTTGTTGATACCGGTACGACTACCAGTGAGTGCTCTATTCTGAGCTGCGAGCTGCAGGAACACTGATGAAGTTGTCTCGCAGCGGGCGCGCCGCCTTATTATGTTGACGCAATGTATGGGGGCGTCCCCGGCGCGAAGTTCGTCGCGGAATTTGGCGGGTACGAGCTGCCATGCACGACGAAGTTGAACATCAGCATGAAGTTCGGGTAAGTGCGCTCAGAATCCTTGTCGTGCTTTGGCCATTGGTTGACCGTGACTGCGAACAGCGAAGCCATCTACCCCATCGATCCGCTCGACGCCATCATGCCCAGAATCGCTTCAGACGGCAGTGTTTACTGTGTCGGCTCCATCGTGTATAACCCGAAGTCATCAGGCACTGGTGTGTTTCTCCTCCTGGCCGAGCCGTGATTCTTGCTTAGTAGTGTTCTTTCCATGCATCCTAGACTTCCTTCTGGGCGATACGTTCCTGAGGAACATCTACGCCCTGTTTCACTACGGCAACTGGACCAACAAGGCGGAGTACGGGCCGTACATGCAGTTCCTCTCCGTGCGTACTAGCATCTCCTCTCTCAGCTGTATGTTCTCACTCCACACTGCGGCCTCGCGCAGATCACGGATTCGAACAAGGCGTGGGGGCAGTTTGAAGGCCTGAACACGCTCCGCATCATGGATTTCAAGTCGCAGGTCAGCCAAATATCGGCGCCGATCTCGTCAGCAAGTTCCCGCGTGGTCCCAAGCATCGCCGTTTCATCTTCGCTCGCCATCTCTAGTACCAACATCCCGTCTACTGCTTCTGCGGCCTCCAGGGAAGCTGCGCTCACCTCTCCATCCGGTGTCATCACTTCCAACGTCCCTCTCGCGACGAGTTCCTTGGACCCTACGACGCACAGCAGGAGCACTACGCTGTACCTTCCCATAGCCTCCTCAGAAACAGCAGAAAATTTTCCAGAGTCCGTCACACACGAAGACCCAGCTCCGACAGGCATTCGTGCGAACCGCATGACCTCGCTTCGGCGCCCACACTTCACCGCCCGGCCAGAGGAAGAGCCCGAGGAGCACGAAGAGCTCCTGTCTGCACTCGTCAGTACCACCAGCTCACCTGTGGTCGACACGAGCCAGCTCGCGCGCAACGCATACATCATCATTGGCCTGGTGATCATGACGCTCCTCGTGCTTGTCGCGATTGTTGCGAAGCTTGTATTAGATGGGCGTATCCCGCGGTACCACGCAGTGCGGAATATGGAGTATCCCCCAGCACCGTTCAACGACCAGCCATATCAGCCGAACGAGGATTCCAGGGTACCGTATAATGACCGTGCGCGGCGACATTGACTGCGCGGTAGGCTCGAGTGAGAGACTAGTAGTCTTGGATCGCTGTATGGTTCAATAGTTTTCTGTTATTCTGTTGAATTGTGCAGGTGGGACTATTTCGGCATTTTTATACGCTGTCTGACACATTCAATCCATCATGAGCCTTTCGTTGAGTGTATGTTTGTAGCATGCGCGAAGCTCAATTATAGCGCCGAAGCCAAACCATGGATCTGAGATCTGTCTAAGTGACTACCACCAAGTAAAGTAAGTACGATCCGGGCGATTTAACATGACTGCGGAGAGGTGCGCATATTCGTGCGTAGGAGTGCGTTCTTGTCTATGATCTACAAACAATAAGCTCCGTTCACCTATGTTTCAGTACAACGACTGTACTCGGAGTCTTCTTGAAAGAGTTGAAGATTGGAGATGCTCAAGCAGCGTTAGTCGCCGGGCCAGATGTCATCCGGCGGGAGTGGTGTCAGCAGAATTAGGTTACTAATAGACGTGGGGATCTCTTGGGGTCTAGAGCTTCCGCAGCGGCATATGATATTCTTGGCGATAACTTGGCGCAATCCGCCAGGGGCCTTTCATGCCGGAAATCTCTTTTGAGTCCTCGGCACGCGGTCCCACTAGCTCGTTGTGCACGTCTCAGAGCCTTGGCGTGTAGTCGGTATAACACCGCCAGGAACTCGGGACTTCGAGGGGGCTTTCTCGTCGTGTGCACGGTGTACTCTGCTCGTCGACTGGGCAAGTGGGTTGGTCTCGGTGACGAAACGTGTGTGCAGGGATGGCTCGCACATCTCACACACTCAAGCTTTCCGGTGTGCGCGGCGGGTGCATCGAACTCACGCTGACGGATGCGTTTTTGTGCGTGCAGCGCACTGGTCACTTCAGTGAGTCGGGCGCGTTCTTCGACCCTGTCCAAAATTGACACTGCAATGCGTTCAGATCGTAAAGAATACGAGACTGATACGAGAAACGTGCTGTGGGCGGAGTGCGCTGGGACGATGGTCGAGATCTCGCTCCTGGTGCGCAAGAGCGCGAAGGCAGCGTGGTCGTTTGTCCAGCTGAACGGCCGGTGCGCGCATGGCGAAGAGGGCACTGCGTGTGCATTTACGGATCTGCTCATGACGGCGGCATATGCAGGTAATTCTGGTTTTATTCTCGCGGCGTGAGTATAGTGATTAATGTGCTTGAGTTGTAGGTACCAAGCGCCAGAGGAGACTGCGTGTACTGGTGAACCCTCACAGCGGCTCTGTATGTATGGTTATTGTACCTGCGCTACATTTGTTGCTTATCAGCTACGCTGCCAGGGAAACGCAGTCTCTAACTACTCAAAGAAAGTCGAGCCAGTCCTCCGTGCCTCCCGCTGCCTCGTCGACGTAACATGTACGCCCCTATCCTCCCCTCCAACAATCTGACGCATATACGCACTAATCCAGTCACTCGTGATCGCGGGCACGCCACAGAGATCGTGAAAGAGCTCCCACTAGACGACTTCGACGCGATCGTTACCGTGTCGGGCGATGGGCTCATTCACGAGGTGATGAACGGTTTCGCCGCGCGCGCGGACGCTGAGAAGGCATTCCGCACCCCTGTTGCGCCCATACCGTGCGGATCGGGAAATGGACTGTCGCTGGATCTCCTTGGGATACAGGTCGGTCGTCTACGCAGATTTCAGCGTAGTGACTCAAGGGTGCTTACTTCTTGTCTTCAGGATGGGTCCGACGTCTTTGCAGCGGCCTTGAACGCTGTCAAAGGTCCGTCCTGCACCGTTTGTATAGTGTATCCGGCTTTAATGGGGAATTCGTAGGCCAGCCGATGAGCGTGGACTTGATGTCGGTGCAGCAGAACACCGAGCGGGTATACTCGTTTATGACACAGACAGTTGGTCTACTGGCTGACGTCGATCTGGGGACCGAGAACATGCGATTCCTGGGTTCTGGGTGAGCTTTGCGCTTCCTTGCACCAACCCTAGCCATCTTGACTGTCCTTTACAACCATCAGACGCTTCTTGCTAGGATTCCTGCGCGGAGGTACGTCTGCTCCCTTATCTTGACCCAGGAAGTACCGTTGATGCACCCCAGTCATCACCATGAAGCATTGCCCGGTAACGCTCTCCGTCAAAGTCGCAGAGTCTGACAAGACCCAGATGGTACACGCCCTTCACGCCTCACGCGCGCGTTTCCTCCCGCAAAAGTCCAACCCCCATCATTCGCAATCACCAAGCTATGGAAGCGCGACCAGCGTCGACCCGAACGGCAAGGATCCGGGTTCCGCATCGACGGCGGCGCTGCCCGCGCTGGACTACGCGTCGAGTGCGGACACGGACGGGTGGATTACGCTCACGTGCCCTCTGCTGTACGTGTATGCGGGCAAGGGCCCGTTCGTGTCGCGCGAATTCATGCAGTTTCCTGTGTCCGTGCCCGATGACGGGCTCATCGACGTCGTAGCGCAGGAGGTGGTACGTGCTGCCTTCTCTCTGTATGCATGCATTTGGCTCATGTGAGAGGCAGGGCTCGCGCAGGGAGTTGCTCGAGTCCATCTCCACCGCGCCGCAGGGCGGGAACTTCTGGCTCGAGCATGTGCGTTTTCCTTTGGCGCCAGCTAGCCCGGTTGGTTCAGCGCTGATCTGATCTGATGCAATGCATCCACAGCAACACTACTTCAAGGCGCATGCGTACCGCATCGAGCCGTACAAGCCCGGCGGATGCTTCGCCGTCGACGGCGAGGCATATCCATTCGCACCGTTCCAAGTGGAGGTGCATCGCGGGCTCGCGACGCTGCTTAGTCCGTGTGGATATTACCAAGCCAAGTTCGACTTCCCTAGCGACTATGAAACTAGGAAGGATACGGATGACGAGGAAGCGGGTTGCTTCGTATGTGCAAGCTAGAGTAGAGTTTATGTCGGGGACTGGATATTTTTTATTTTGTAGAGGCCGGTAGTGTAGTAGATTGTTTAAGTTGTTGCGCTATACCCAGATATGTGGATGTACGCGGAAGTGGTGGATCAGCTTCCTAGTAAACAGTGCCGTCTACTATATGAGGATTGTCTTCCTGGCTGGTAACTATTAATGTTACTATACTGGGCAACTCTCCTTCCCCTTTCGTACACTCGTCAGCATGTAGTCGCCCGCGTCAACGTACTATGTAGTATGACTCTGTGTAATGTCGGACCGGCACGATGCAGAAGTTAACGACGACTTGACCAATTAATATATGCCGATGCTGACACCACTCAAGTCCAGCGTTCGTGATTATTAAATTATCGTCGCCGAGGGCCTCGATACAAATGATCCATAAGGGCTTACGGTCAGACTGCACGAAAGCAACAAGCACAACATAATGCAACATGATGACAACATACTGGCAGAATACACACTATGTGCAATGCAAAAGCCGAGAGGGTGATAGCGTTATAAGTGCGCAACATACTGTATCAGGAAATGCGTGATTTAGTATATCTCCAAGTTGTTCCCGCAAGTTTTGACGAAGGCCGAAAACATGCTGAGTCTGCGAGTCACAGATCAAGCCACTACAGCAAAAGTCAACTTTTGGTTACCTCCATTTAGCTCCCTTATCTCCTTAATTAAGGAGGTCTCCATTCTTAATTGGGCAATTAAAGCTGATAAGAGTGAATAATGGAGGAATAAGAAAAAGGATCCCTTATTTTTCCTTAATCAAGGGTATAACACCAGTAAGCAAAAGTTGACTTTTGCTGATGAGTAGGCGTGACGCGAACATGTGTCACAACTACCAAACCAGCGCCATTCGAGATCTCCGATTCAGATCGTTCTATGTAATTTGCAGCCTTATCACCAAAAATAGACATGTCGGCTGTCCATGTCAGGCTGCGCGAAAGCATATCTCCATATTGCCGTTCTACTTAAGTAAGGTCGGGCTAGCGCTGGTTGATTCGCATGACGGTATATTGTGAGTGGAATCGGGTTTCGATGCCCTAGTGTACTGTGGTTAAAGAGGAGGGATTTGGAGTTGATCTCTGAAACTAGGCATGTCCTGCGACTACCAACCTGCCAGCAGTCGACAAACTCACTCCGCAGGCTCATTGGGCAAGGTCATGGTGTCCCTTCCGAAGTGTATCCTCTTGGCCAAGCGCCTGCTGTCGCACTCCTCCCCCACCCGCTGCAGCCAGGGGTGCTGCAGGAGCTCCGCTGCCGTCGCGCGCTCGCTAGCGTCCAGCGTCACGCAGCGCTCTATGAACGATACCGCGAGGTCGCGCACGCTCTCTGGGTCGTCCAGGTTAATGGGTACCTTGTACACCGACAGGATCCGCGCGAGCGTCTTCGGGTAGATCATGCTCTCGGGGATTTTGCGCAGCGTACCTGCTGCGCATGAGCAGGGACTGGGACGAGCGGTGCCACGGGAGAACGCACCGTCCTCGTTCAGATACTGTTCAGCGTGCTTGGACCCTTCGTAGAACTGCGGCGGGAACCGCGTCAGCTGGTGCGTCTCCAGATGCGCTGCCAACACGTCCTCCTCTTCCGCCCACGTGCGCGTCGCCTCGGCGCGAAATAGGTTTTTGCCCGTCAAGAGCTCAAAGGCCTGTTGGTCGCGAAGTGCGTCATTTTCAACGACCAACTGGATAGAGGTGCACGGACCATGCATCCGAGCGACCAGATGTCGACCTTCTCGTCCCACGCGCGCCCCAGGAGGACCTCGGGCGCGCGGAGGCCCACCGCCTGCACGTGGTCAGTGCTTCTGTTGTCCAGCCACTGCGCTGGGAAGGCGCAGACGGCCCTCATCAGAGTGGAGATGATATCAGGCACACAAGAGAGGGCTTACCTGACCCGAAGTCCGCCACCTTGACGATCCAACTCAGGGGAGGAACTTCATCGAAACCTGGGAGCGGGAGCGCCTCGGACACGATTGTCTCCTCCATGATGTCGCACACGGTGTTAACCGGGTGCCGCCGCACTGGCCTGTATTTCAGGTGCGCCGCGACGACCTCGTCGCGGATTTCGGGTTGGAAGCTCAGCAGCAGGTTGCTGCACTTGATATCTACCGCGATCCAGCGTTACTGTGTGAATTTGTCGAGAGCACCGCAGGGAATGCCGTACCGGTATGCACGACACGACATTCCGTGTGCAGATAATTCAGAGCAAGACATATTTGTTTTACGAACAGCTTGACCAAGTCGGTGGGAAAGCCCCCGTCGGTAGTAATCAAGACTTGAAGGCGATCCAGACTCATTCCAGCTACTTCAGTCAAGAGGCACAGGTGGTTGCCGGTCTCCCGGGTGATGTAGAACGCGTCGACGAGCTGGATGCAGTGCTGAGCACCGGGCGACGACGTCTGCCGCGAAACCGCGCGCATGATGTCCGCCTCGTGCATGTGCGGGTGCTCCTTGACCTCGCCGCGCTCGAGGTGCGTGCCGTACGTGGTGAGGATCTTCATGGCTAGGTACCGATTCTGCCTGAGACAACACTTAGCCTGTGTCGACGACTGAACAGCATGCGGACAAAACAAACTCGTAGTCCTTGACCAGCCAAGCTGTGGCGTACATCCCCCAGCCAAGTTTGTGCAGGATCTCCAAACGATCGTTGGGCCCGAGGCGGTCGCCGATGTTGATTTTGGCATAGCCGAATCCTTGATGGACGTCGAGCGCGAAAGGCTCTTCGTAGAACTGCACAGTAGTGTGCTCAGCAGATGCAGGAGTTCCCTGAGCATCACTAGTGGAAGCGGAAGTTGAAGGCGCCGTGTGAATCCTCCGTCGAGGTGCGCGACAGCATAGTGCCTGTTTGGATCGCCAGGCCGGTTTGTTTAGGGAACTACGGTGTGAACGGTGTACGAGAGAGAGAAAACGACCACGCAACATTTAAACCCAGGACTGGCTCCCTGTATGTCTCCCACCGGCTTTAGAAGGAAGATATTGTCGACTTGTTGTCAACACGCTCGGCACCGCGGGCGTTTCCCCTGACTCACACCAACGCCCACAATGCCAAATATGTAGCATCAAAGGAGTGTAGAAACAATTCGGCAGGGCGCCATTGTTCGCTACGTACCTCGGGAGTATTGTGATCGTTTTACACGGTTGAGGAAAATCATGGTATGTTTCTTGAACGTTTGAGGGTTTGAACAGTGAGACACAGCTATGCAACAAAATATTATTTGACACGCACTACACGTATCCAATCGCGCTTACTTCACGCTGACGCAACGCCAACTGACAAAGCCGAAACGCACAGAGGCAACAGAACAAGGTGCAGAACCCCACTTCTGTTGGATTTCGAAATAGACGCGTAAAAGGGTGCTTCGCCGTTTCTCAGAGTTTCCTTTCTTAGCAAGTTACCTTCCCCTTTCGGATGTGCACTTAACTCTTTTGTCATCGATGTCATTCTACTTATCTCATTCCTCTCTTCGTGTGGCACAAATCAGAGCCTGTGGATCCAAGGTCTCAAGCTGAGTTTGGGTTGGCAAACGCCGCACGTATATAACGAGCCCTGCCCTCCGTCGAATGGCCTGGCCAGCTAGTTTCCCCTCCCAGCTTTCTTCTCCAATTCTAAGATCTGAGATCTAAGCTCCCAATCGACAATTTCGTCACGTCCAGACATTATTTAGAAGTTTCCTGGCCACTCTGCTTGTCGCCGCCACTATCTCGATCCGTCACACCCTCGTTGTCACACCGCTAATAGGCACTCGCCTCAAGTTATCGACCTCTCGGACTCCACGCGTCGCTGCACCTTTTCCACAAAGTACCCCATTCCCCTCCCACAACGCTTGGATAACTGGTAGCTCCCCCATGTTGCGTTATTCCTCTGCAACTACTATTCACGCGGTGGTGCCTCAAAAGGCTGGTCTTGAGCGCGCACCGGGTGTATGGACGCAGCAGCGGGAACAAGTACGTACGGTGACATACTGCTGAGATCTGGATAGCTGGAATGCCGACGCACGGAACTGTAGAACGTGGCAAGAACATCGTATCGCGGTCACGCTCGTCTGGACGATCTGCTTGGGTGTAATTTCTTCCGAATCGCGTTTTGGGCGCCAGCGCATCCATCGTACTTATGCATTTCTCAACAGCTATCAATCCACCGTGGAACAGAGTGATTCTTTCTTGAGAGTGAAACTAAAGCTGTGCCCTATGACAAGACACGAGTTGAGGAGCCCGAAGGCTGAGACTTGTATCATTGAGAGTTAATTGTTGCCAGGAACCTGAACGTACGCCGTTTCCCGGCCGCTGTTGCTCTTTGACCTGCACTGAAACACCGTCGTTGTTCCCAAGAGTCTCTACCGCTGTGCTCCCATATCTGTACAGGACAGCTGCAATCTAGAACATTCATGTCTTGCATGACCGTCTTCCTCTCCAATGCACTGCGTGGGACTCTCTAAAGAATTACTTTGTGCCGACTGCAGCACTGTGCCCGGACGACCGCCCCCGTAGCTGATGTAACTTTTGCACCCTCGACCACGCGCGCAACGGGACGGTAAGTTGCAACAACTACACAGCCATGAATGCTAGAAGCGTCCAGGAAGGCGTCGGTGAAGCCAACGTCTCTCTATGGGTGCCCATCGTCAGGCGACGTCTTCCATGCAAAGTGGCAGCGGCTCCGCGGTGGGCAAAGTTTTGCCGGATGAAACTCGGAGTGATGCTTTCTTTCCACTGGGTGACTGCTAGGGTTCCCTCGACGCTCCAGCCTACTCGGCGCGGAAGGTGGTGAGCGAGGTCGCCGCGAAGTGCTGACGCTGTGACTGGTCTAGAGGCAATCTGGGCAGCGAACGAGCGGCGAGGGTGGCACGGTTCACGCGCTCAGGCATGTGCAACGCTGCTGCATCAGCGGGCCGCATGCGCCGCGCTCGCTGTGGAACGTGGGCGGAGCGTGAGACCCTAACCCTAGGGCGATTCTAATCTTAGACCTGACGCAAGGATATGTCATCGTCCGCTCACAGCTCCGACTCACTGTGCTATTACACTCGGGGGCCAGCCAATACCTCGATGCTGCTGTTCCATGCCGTGCACGCCGGCCTTGGGCGCCCCTGGTCTCACATAAGGCCCCACCGTCTTCCACTCCATTCTTCGTAACTATTCCCTTACAACCATCGCTGCGATGGGCCTGTTCAGTAGACGACGAAGGAGCCCCCCGACGGACGAGGAGGCGGCGGCTGCCAACGGCTCCGCGGTCGGCGCAAACGAGAAGCCAAATCGTGAGTGCATTTCCTAGTCGATCGTTTCACTTTGTTGGCGCTTTTTGCGTTCCTGTGCATTTGGTTTGCATTCGGTTTCCTCTCTGTTTTTTCAATGCTGCAGGATCAGACTTCGTTACCGGCTTGTGCTATCAACTCCCCCTTGCGCGCGGAATGGGATTTTAGGGTCGTGGCGCGGTGCATGATCCGTGCAGGACACTTTCCCGGTCTCCGCAACCCCACGCAGTCGTGACGTTTGAGGCGTTCATGCGAGGTGGTCGAGCAGGTGCTACCTTCCGCGAGCCCCATTCTGTGTCTTGCGACTGACGGTACAGCTGTACTGATGCACGGGTGCGACTGCCTTGAGTGGTTCTCGTCGCTGGTGTAGGTGCAGCACTAGTTGTGGTAGAGCCGTTGCATTAAGACTCCCAAGAATGTTTTGTCTGGGACGCTCTGTACACGAACTGAAGCTCTAGCGTCCACGCTGCCTTGCATGGCAGACGAGAGATGCTTATGAAGAGGAGACGATCTCGACACCTATTGTGTCAGTTGTGCAGGCACTGGTGTTCTACGGGTTTACAGACGTGACGTCGCCGTGCGCGCGTTTTTCTACCAAGATATTTCTCCCAGTCTACATTTACGTTCCTCACATTTGCCATATTGCAGCATACGAAGGTGGCGATGAATATGACGTTCTATTACACTATGCACATGACGAAGCCGCAAAACTGTCTCATGGGGAAGATGAGGAGGAAGACAAGGACGAGGGCAAGATGGTGCGGCTGTGGTACGCGCCGTGGAAAAAGGTGAAGAAGGGCGGGAAGCAAGAGCGCAAGGTCCCTCAAGAGTGGCTGCAGACGGACATGACGCGCGGACTGGCGTCGTCGGAAGTAGACCAGCACCGGCAGGGGTTCGGGTACAATGAGCTCCAGAGCCGGGAGGAGAACCAGATCCTCAAATTCATCTCGTACTTCCGCGGCCCCATTCTGTACGTGATGGAGATTGCGGTCATCCTTTCGGCTGGCCTGCGCGACTGGATAGACTTTGGCGTGATCATCGCGATCCTGTTCCTGAACGCCGGTGTCGGTTGGTACCAGGAAAAGTAAGCCGCGCAACATGCATCGGTAGCTGTGACTGACGAGGATACAGGCAAGCTGGAGACATCGTCGCACAGCTCAAGGCCGGCATTGCGATGCGGGCTACGGTGGTGCGCGACGGGCGCGAGCAGGAGATTGAGGCGCGGGATCTCGTCGTCGGGGACATCGTGGTGCTCGAGGAGGGTGGCACGATCCCTGCAGATGCGAAGATTCTCGCGGACTACAACGACAAGACCGGCCAGCGGTCGAAGCCAGCCCTCGCCCGGCGCAAGTCGACGTCCTCGAACATGTCCTCGGGCTCGACCGCGTCACGCGACAAGGGTCCGTCCTTGTGCTCCGTCGACCAGAGCGCGATCACCGGTGAGAGTCTGGCGGTGGACAAGTATATCGGCGACACGGCGTATTACACGTGTGGTGTTAAGCGCGGGAAGCTTTATGGGTTGGTGCTCTGCCCTGCATCGCAGAGCTTCGTCGGGCGAACAGCAAAGCTCGTCATGGGTGCGTGCTTCACTCGTTCGTTCGACGGAGCGTGATGACTGACGTGCTTTGGCAGATTCGAACGAGCGCGGACACTTCCAGATCGTGCTTGGTGGGATAGGTTCCGTCTTACTCTTCCTCGTCGTCGGGTTCATCTTCATCACATGGATTGGCGGATTCTTCCGGTGCGTGGGGATTGGCAGGGGTCGTTGTTTGTCTCCACTGATTTTGGTCCAGAGGCATCGGCATAGCAGAGCCTTCGGAGAATAATTTGCTGGTGTATGCGTTGATCTTCTTTGTGAGTCGTCCCCTTTCTGCTAATGCGGCCGTTCGCTGATAGATGTCCGAAACACAGATCATTGGTGTGAGTGTTGCTTGACCGTACCGTGCTAGACAAATCGAGTGACCTTGGTCCAGGTCCCTGTTGGTCTACCATGTGTCACCACAACGACTATGGTGCGCGAATTCGGGTGGATATAGTAGCTCTACTTGGACTCACACGTTTGGTTTCAGGCGGTCGGCGCTGCATACCTCGCAAGGCGCAAGGCGATCGTGCAGAAACTGACGGCTATCGAATCCCTCGCTGGCGTCGACATGCTGTGCTCGGACAAGACAGGCACGCTAACTGCAAACAAGCTCAGCCTGAACGACCCATACATCGCTCCAGGGGTTGACCCAGACTGGTTCATGACGGTGCGTGTTCCCCCGTCGAGTCTCGGCGGCTCAGTTCATCCTTCCCACCTCTGCAGGTCGCGGTCCTCGCATCCTCGCACAACGTCAAGAGCCTGGACCCGATCGACAAGGTGACGATCATCGGGCTAAAGGACTTTCCGAAGGCGCAGGAGAACCTCCGGGCCGGGTGGACGACGCACAAGTTCACGCCGTTCGACCCGGTGTCGAAGCGGATCACGGCGGAGGTCGAGCGCGACGGCAGGCGGTTCACGTGTGCGAAGGGCGCGCCAAACGCGTGCGTTCATCCTTCTTCTACCTGCTGTGGGGTATATGCTGAGAGCTTCTCGGTAGGATCCTGCGGCTGCAACAGTTCCCGCAGGAGACGGTCGACCAGTACCGGGCGCAAGCACAGGAGTTCGCGCAGAGGGGCTTCCGCTCGCTCGGCGTGGCGATCAAGGAGAGCGACCAGCCGTGGCAGTTGCTCGGCATGCTATGCATGTTCGATCCGCCCCGTCCGGACACCGCGGCAGTAAGTGTAACTCGCATCTCTCTTCGCCGCAACGCTAATCCACGTTGCAGACCATACGGGAAGCCATCGACCTGGGCGTGCACATCAAGATGCTCACGGGCGACGCGGTTGCGATCGCGATCGAGACGTGCAAGCAGCTGTCGCTGGGGACAAACGTGTATGACTCAGAGCGACTCATCGGCGGATCGATGACGGGCTCGGAGGTGCGCGACTTCGTCGAGGCAGCGGACGGTTTCGCGGAGGTGTACCCCGAGCACAAGTATCAGGTCGTGCAGATGCTGCAGCAACGCGGGCATTTGACTGCTATGACTGGCGATGTGAGCGCGCTGGACGTGTCTGGGTGTGAGGCATTGCTGATTTTTTTTCCCGTGGAAAATAGGGCGTAAGTGAGTACATGGTGATCATATGCGTGCGCGAGTGTGGATGCTGATACGCCGTAGACGATGCTCCCTCTCTCAAGAAGGCTGACTGCGGTATTGCCGTGGAAGGCGCTTCGGACGCTGCACGATCCGCGGCAGACGTGGTGTTCTTGGACGAAGGCCTCAGCACGATCATTACAAGTATCAAGGTTGCGCGCCAGATTTTCCACCGTGAGTATTCTCTTAAGCGTGTTCGAATCTTGCTGAACATTATGGCAGGCATGAAGTCGTACATCGTGTACCGTATTGCACTTTGTATCCATCTTGAAGTCTACTTAGTGAGCACGATGCTTTTGCGTTTGTGTCGTGACCGTGCTAGCGCTGACGGTCGCGTGGGTATTTCCAGATGCTCTCGATGCTCATCCTCAACGAGACCATCCGTGTCGACCTCATCGTCTTCCTCGCCATCTTTGCCGAGTGCGTTCACATTCCATGAGTCGATGTGATGCGGTGCTGAGTATGATCACAGTGTCGCGACCATCGCCATCGCCTACGATAATGCCCCCTTTGACCGCAAGCCCGTCGACTGGCAGCTGCCCAAGGTCTGGATTGTCTCGACGGTTATGGGCCTGGTGCTGGCTGGTGGGACGTGGATCATCCGCGGGACGCTCTTCCTGACCGACAAGGGCATCGTTCAGAACTTCGGCAGGTCCGTTCCTCCTCGCATTTTTCCTGTATCCGGCGTGCTGACTATCCCGTCTCATCTAGCGTACAGGAAATTCTCTTCCTCGAGGTCGCACTGACGGAGTCCTGGGTTATTATGATCACGCGCATGAGCCAAGGCCCCGACTCAGGCCCGTTCGTGTGGCCGTCGTGGCAGCTCGTCGGCGCCGTCCTTGGCGTGGATGTCCTCGCCACTTTGTTTACGCTCTTCGGGTGGATATCTGGCCCGGCGCCTCATGGAGGGTACGTGTCCGTCGATTACTACGCCCATCGTCAGCTGAGTGAATGAATTCGCAGATGGACGGACATCGTCACGGTTATCAAGATTTGGCTGTTTGCGTTCGGCGTGACTGTCGTTGTCGGCTTCGTATGTGAGTGAACGAGTCAACCGGGGTGTCGGCGCAGTCGGTCTGATGGCGTTCGCCAGATATAATTCTCAATAAATTTAGGTGGCTCGATAACATCGGCAGACGTGTCGTATGTGTCCTTCTCTCGCGCTTGACCGTATCGAAAGCTTGTGCTCATGACTCTGCGTTCTCTCCTTACAGCGCAGCAAGAAGGACGCGAAGTTCGAGAATTTCATCACGGAAATGCAGCGGCTCACGCTCGTGCACGAGCGCGACTCGCGCGGAGAATCGATCTACCGGATATCGGGCAGCTCGTCGTCAACGAACGAGAAGAAAGATGAGAAGAAAGACGAGAAGAAGAACGGGAGGCCCAAGAACGAACAGCGCAGGCCGAGCGCCGACTCACAGAGCCAGCAGACGCAGGTCGGCGACGCTAAGAGCGAGAAGAGCGCGCAGGAGGGACGCAGGCCCGCGCTGCAGGATCAGCCCTCGCGGACACCAGTATAGGGCGAGCAGCGGGCGTGAGCTTCGACGAGATTTATGACAGCATGTATAGAAGACGAGTACGGTATGGTGTTCATATACTTGTAGCCTGGGTTCGGTGTATCGATGCTTATATTCTAATTTCTGTACACGTCTACACATTGTATTCTACACAGTTACACGGTAGTTTATTATACATTCGCACCTCCACAGATATCATGGAGTGACATTGGAGTCTGCAGCCCTAGGGTGCAATTTAACAATCGCGTGGATACGAGGCCGTGGACAGCAGGGTATACGGCAGGAAGCTCAACTCACGAAACAAGGAGTCAGAAGCTGTCTCCCTGCAAAAGCGACAACATATTAGCAGCGATGAATCTGGAGATAACCCACGATTTTTCACCCTCCACTTCGAAACTTTGGCCGAGGTGGGACCTCCTCGGCAGTCTCAGCCACAGTTCCAATGTTGTACTTCCACAAAACCACAGTACTATCCACCAAGTCAGCGAGCATGGCCGAATTCGCACTACTCGTCTCCGGGACGTAACTACCGCCCGCAGTCTTCTTAGTTCCTGTGTGTGCACAGCGTAGACGTTGGGAACGCGCTGTCTGCCGGTCGACGACGATGGCTCAAGCGTGTCCTTCGCAGAGGCAGACGGCTGCAGTGTGTGCAGCAGTGGAGCAAATTTTGGGACTCCAACCGGAGTCGGACGAACCTCGGAAGGGGTGGTGCTAATACACATACACTCTATTCTTTCCCTCGGGCCACGGGACGGGGATGGGTATGAGAGGGATCTCGTCATCGAAGATAGAAGGCCCCGCAGATGATTAGGACTGACGGGATGCTCAAGCCGCATGACGCGCTGGCCCTTCTCCACGAACACCAGCCGCAGCTCCTCCGCAAGTTCTTGCTCCAACGGAGACAGGGTTGCCGAAGTGTGGAGGGGGCCAGGGGAAGATCTTGCGGTGGGTGCCTGTCAGTGGTAAGATGAATTGCTCCTGCCCCGGCATGGGCAGGTTTCTGCCCAGCCAGTTGCAGCACCAACAGCATTTCTTGTTGACGCTGATGGCGTGGTCGACGTCCCACATAGAAGGATTCAGCACCCAAACATACTACATCTTAAATGTGGCGATGGATTGAGCAGCTATAGCTTTCATAGCTCTGGGTGCTTTATGCACCCAAATGGATATCAATGAGATGGTGGAGCTGCTCTCCCTAATCTTATCGATATCTATTTCAAGTGCCAAGACCTTGAGTGGATGTCCGGGTCGCTGCGCTGCCCGACACACCGCCTCAGTGGCCCAGTTGTCCGATGGCGCACGTGGAATACAGCGTCGACGCCTGATGAGACCGCCGTTGAGTTTGCAGCCGGTGCAGCCATGAGGACCGCCGCGCTGCGAAACGACTTGTGAGAAGGAACGGCGGCATGGAGCGCTCCAATGACGCTGGCACGCCTTCTCGTCACCGGATGTGCGCGGCGCCTCTTCACCAGGGAAGACTCGAAGGCGCTGCAAGATAGAGGCCAGGGAATCGCCGTCCATCATGTCTTTCATGTGTGCCATGCGGGGCGAAAGCCAGTGGCCGGCGGGCGGGCGACAGGCCTGCGTGTGCGTGAAGTCAAGAACCGGACGGCATCGTGCCATGCTACCAGCGTACGGACGTACTCAGAGAGGGCGGGAAGGCCTCCTTGTCGGGGTCCAGTAATATGCCCCTTGGTCTGTCTACCCTCGGAAAATCTGCCGAGGCTATGAGGCGCCCAACAGCAGGGGACGCTCGACAACTTCAAGCTACTGGTTCGCTCGCGGTGCAAAGCAAACGTCGCGCAAGCGAATGTAGTCAAATACGCGCACGGATAAGGGCGTATGGACTCGGAGGCCGATACTTACTATTCTCCAGCGATTCTTGCCAAGCCGTGCATTCTCTTCTCGATACGGCCGTTATTGATCGCGCGGTCGATAGATCGCAGAAACTCAGTGATGGGCAATGCTACGAGCGTCCTCGGGCTCCGCCAAGGACTAGCCGCCTCGATGGTCGCTGTTTGGCCGTCACAGTCCAGCGGGTCATGGCGCTCTGCAGGAAGTGCCGCCTGAGAAGTACTTACAAGCCTCCGGCACGGTAATTCGACGCCAGTTTTGGCTTTGCCACTGTGGACGCGCTTCTGGAAATGCACCCAGGGTTGCAACGCGCGTTCTACATCGGCGGGGACTCAACGCGTCACCCGCGACTCTGATCATCTAACACATGAAGAGCAAATGTGATAGCCATGTGGTGGCAAGATCTCCAAGCTCAAGCCTGACGTGCAACGAAGTCAACATAGATGAAAAACAAAAACAGAAGGCGGAGTGCTGCTCACATTCTGATGCCGCGTCAGAACGCGCCCTAAGCGGCTTATCCTGACCCAGACGGAAGAAAGAGCGAGCAAAGAGGGAAACGGTGACAGAATGATGCGGCGGTGAAGACTCTCACATCGGCGACTGTTTTCTGCTGCTGCTCCTGCGAGTTGAATGTGAAGGGTACGTTCTGATCTTCGTGGTCGCTGAGGTCGTCGCCGTAGGCGACCAAGCCTGAAAAGAGTGTCATTCTTCGCTCGTAGGTATGCTAAAAAGACTTGCCATGCATTATTTTGGTGAAGAGGTTACGTTGCCAAGCTTGCAGTCTACGTTGAGTGCAAGATGAAGTGGTGAGCGGGAGGCAAGCGCTACACATGATCGCCTCGGCATTCTTCGAGCAAAAGTCGAAGCTGACCTACTTTCGAGTACTGTGGGACTGCTATCGCTCGTGTTATGTTGCTAATTACTTCGCTTGGCTTTGCTCTTGTATTTCAAGAAACTCATTCTACATACATCCGCTCACCCTTCGCTCGCACTTGCCCCACTGGGAACGAGGCTTGCCCATGGTGGCTCGGAGTTTTACAGTATTGCGCACTCGTAATATTTGCTCGTGCTGCTACGGCGACTCTGGCCATACTCTCAATTCCCCTTCAACGGAAGAAGTTGGAGCTGCCCCCAAGAGAAGCCTTGAAGGCATGCAAATGCGAGGTTGGCACCTGCCCATCCTTCTTTGTGCATGCTCATGTCCTATCTCTTATCCCCAGCATCAAGCCATGCTATTGCCGATTCTATAGAGGTACGATTCATGGTAATACGGCGAGTAATTGGTCTCAATCTGAGTCCACAGACTGCGCATACCTGGTCCGTGGAAGGAGTGTGATATCACTTGCTATCTGAGCGACACATTCACCAGTTTACGAGGGAAGGTTTGTGCCGCAGAAGAGATTCAAACGCCCATAACCGTGCCCATCTCCAGGCGTCCGCAAGGCGTTCGAGAAGCCCTACTACCCCATCCTCAAGGAAGGATGCTCACGTGCAAACTCTATCGCTGTGGACGTGGGGGGGGGGGGGGCGGGGGGGGAGAAGGAGGGATAGGAGAGCATTCTCCTCCTCCTCTCCCCCCCTGGAATCTGTGGGTGGTTTCGTTCCTTGTCCCACATTGCCATCTTGTCGTTCCATTGTCAGGTCTGCAAGGAAGGATGTGCGTCGGTCGTTCTATGTTACATAGTGACACTTACTAACCGCGCTCTGTTAGGGGCGAACACGCCCACCGTTCGAAGGTGCTGCCCAGCCATCAGAGTGCATCCAGCGTCAACGTGAAGCAAGATCATGAAGAGCTGGCGTACATCGCCAACCACATATTCTTCCCCCCGAAGGTCCCGCAGAAATGTGACCAGTCTCGGGAAAACGACCGCGCAATGTGCGTCGTCGTCTGTCGATTTGCCAAGCAATATCGAGAATGCCCAGGAGTACACCGGGCACGTTGGGATCCGATGATCCGTATGCTGGACAATCTGCGACAAGTCGAAGGTTATGAAGCACTCCCTGCAGAGAATATAGGGGGCCAGATCACATGTATGCATGTCGGAGGTATGTCGGATTTCTGAGGTTGATCAGGCGTGATAGCCGACAGTTGCCACTTTCGCAAAAGAAAGCGTTGTGTTCTATATTCGCGCCCAGAATGCGGCTATTGTCGTGCGCAAGTTTGCCCAGGAGTTTGTGTTTGAGTCGTTCGAAGTTGCCCCTTCCGCAGCAGACGTTATGAAGGCAACGGGCAAGTTGCTTTGCTCTTATCCAGGTCCCGCGATTGCTGTACCCAAGGACACTGTGGAGGATGTCCATTTTGTCAAGGAGCTGTCCTCATTTCTAGCTCAAATGAGTGTAGATGAATTAGACTCCGCAGCGACTACAAGGAAGGCCGGGTCGACAGTCGTAGAAAAACGGGACTCCGCATCTCCGGGATATATTACGCAGCTACTCACCGGGATACTACGTGGTGTCGGTCGTCCTGCGGATGTTAATCGAATCTCCAAGCGAATCAATGACGACGTCCTGTGGAAGGACGCGTATCTGCCTTGGCGGAGGTCTCCGCTATGGCTTGTCATCCGCGTCGCGTTGCAGACGTCGCTAGGCAGGGCCAATGCCCTTTCAGAATACAAGTCATTCATGGTCTTTTTCATGTCTCGTCTGCTGCGGCTGACGGTTCGGGAGCAGTTCGCGAGTGATCGTCTATACTGCTTTAGGGCAAAACTCAGCAGGCGACTCTATAAGCTGGGTTCGTCCGCCCCTCTGTTCATCTCGCAAGAGGTGAAGGAGGCTGTGGACGAGACAGAATCTCACCTACAGCAGCGATGGCGGAAGATTCAGGAGCAGCAAGCTGTATCCCCACCTTGGTCACCCTCTACGCTAGACCTGCAGACCGACACGCATCTCACCCTTAGTAACTCTCGCGATTATATCTCCAAGTGCCTGACGATCACGAATACCGCCAGCGCAGCATGCAGTTTTGAGCCCAGCCACACTCGTCGATTGCGCGACACTCATTGTTGCGACTTTCGCACGTTCGACGAGGGCGCTCTACCAACTGCATTCGCTGCGAATGGCGATATTCATGTGGCTTTAGCCGACTTCGAGACGCTGGTACAGGATCGCGTGGATAATTGGGTGGCGGAATGCCTTCATGAAGAATGGGCTTCCATCAAGCTCGCGAAGTGCATTGAGCACTATTCGCAAGCAGCTCAAGGGGCCTACGACGGGAATCCTGAGGATCAATCGATCATGCTTTTGACGATCTTCGAGCTATGGGTTGCACTCGACAAGCTGGCCGTTACGCAGTGTCAGCTGTTACGGAGATACTCCCCGGAGATTCCCCAATCACTATTCCATTCTCTGGTCTTACACAAGACGGTATCGTTACAGCATCTGTCGCGCATTGAGACCTACCTCGAGTCCCGCCACGAACATGCCGATTCGGGATCCATTTTCTGCGATGAAGTAAATTCAACCTCATTCGCTGTGCGTTTCTATGAAACTTCTTCTGAACTTCAAGCCCTGAAGGAACGGATCGTCGCCGAAGCCAACTGTAAACGCGACAGCAAGCGCGCTGAGCTCGAGGAACGCAACGATGCTCATCACAATCTCATGATAGAGGCCAATTCTCTTGAACACGAATGTGATCATCTTCGAGGCAATAAGGCCAAAAGAAAGCGGTGCCGGAAATGCAGGCTGACTTGGAAGGCCAGAACAATGACAATCGTTCCTCATGAATGGCCCCTGCCTAAAGTTGCCCTTGAGGTGCAGGCGACCGTGTTCGAACTGCAGTGCCCAATTCCTTTTCGCACTTGGCGAAGTACAACGTACGAAATCCTTAACGACGTCTGTCAAGATAGGCATCGCAGCAAGGCGTCACCTCCGATGGTTCTCAAGGACTACGGCGGGCTTAAGAAGTACTTGAAGTCTCAAGCCGTTATGTCCTGGTTCAGCGTTGCTTCATCGACGAAGTCATTCATACAGGCGCACTACGGCACCATATCAATTCCTGCCACTGAGGCATCAGTGTTCGTCAACAATGGTCTGACCTATCGGCTCTATGATGCTCGGCGCGATCTATGGGCAGCAGACTTCCTTCAGAACTATAGCAAAGTTTCCCAGCGCTGCACATTCTCATTGCCCTTAACTGATCCGTATCAAAGCATGCAGTATGCAATTTGTGGAACGGCGCATTACCCAAATGCTGTTCTGGCATGTCAATCGGAATGCCCAATGGAATTAGACCTGCACGAGTATACGGCTTTTGGTCTACTGCGCAGCGGCGGGTTGCTGCAATGGTTGAACATCCTTAGAGGGATTCGAGCACGAGAGCTCTCTTTCGAAAGAGAGGAGGTCCACCTTCTACTCATGCAAGCCATCTGGCAGGTTGGGCCTTCGCAGAATGGTGTCCGAGTGTGGCATGTTGAGCCGAGCAATCGTGTTTTCGGGTTACTCCTTCTCACGGAGCTGCGAGACCTACTATCTAGCATCGAGGGCAACTGGTCAAATGTCACGTCTGCAAAATCGATCATCATGCTATCGTGCCGTCTTCTTGCATCATCTGTGGACCGGTATGTTAGGCAGTCTGCCTATGGTTTGTTGCGCTGTGCACGGCGTATAACCTTCCGATGGTTGCACGAGCTATCAGAGAAGTTGTCCAAGGCTGTCTGCGAGGATGACATCTTCAGTCTGCAGCTGCGCGTCTGTGCGATGGCCGCGATATGCCGGTCTACATATGATGTGGGTCTTGGCGATTTGGAGGCATTGTTGGCTTCCGAAGAGGATGTTTCTGTCCTCATACAGTGTGCAGTCCACCTGCGCGATAACATTCCAACCACCGAGAAAGATATCCCATCCAATTTGCCTCTTCTACTGGAGCGAGACCGGCGTCTTTCTCATTTCTTGGAGCCGGCGCTACGGGACGTGATTCGAAGGCTCTCCGGAGTGCTGGATAAACCTCTCGCCATACTGTGGCAAGAATTCCAAGAAGGACAAACTTGGGTACAGATGCAGGAGCCCAATGATCGTTGGATGACTGTGGCTTATGGTCGTACAACAGTCCATATCAATGTTCTCAACGGAGAACTGTTAGTAAGTGGCAAGCCTCTGGGGCGTTTACCAGGCGCAATAGTCACACATCCCGACTACATTCGAATCTTTTCCAAGGCAAGTCATGTCTCATGCTCATGACGCTATTTCTGATTACCGTCCAGAAAATATTGGATGTCATACCGTCCGATATGCCAGGTATGGATTTTGCCACTCGAGCTGATGTCTTCGGCTTCCATGTGCGTCTTTCGTCCTTCTCGTCCCTCAGTCGCAATTAATGAAGGCGAGTCATAGGTGCACTTTTCCCTCGATTGTGGCCAGTTGACCGTCAAAACGACATCTGATTCAACCGTCTACGAGCTCATCCCCCACAGCAAATTTATGAGAGATTTACCCACACCTCTGATCGTCGACTACGTGCATTGGTTGAAGATAGATACACAAGATCCGAAGTGTGCCGAAATCGAGCTCCGGCCCTTGGGAGACTTGTGGACATCGTCGCCGGACATTTGGCGTATTCAGTTCTCGATGAATGGCAATTCAACAATGTCTCAGAGAGGCATGCAGCTGCTTGACAATCGCAGCCCGGCGTTCGCCATGATTTCGAAGCGTCTGCAGTCGCTTGAATGCCCCGAGCATCTAGTCATTACACTTTCTGCGGAGAATTGCCTCTTGGTCGATCTCCCTCGTTTCGAGTTGTCCTTCGTTGTGGAGGATGGGGAGCTGATGTCCAGAAATTGGCGGGGTCTCATCGTAGACTCGAACCAGTCAACGAAGACGATGCTTGGACTCTCATCACAGCTCGTTCTGACTCAAAGAGGAAATGCTCCCTCCCTTCCCCCAGAACGCCATGTGGTGATTCCCATTGGCGATATCAAGTTTTGTTCCTCTGGGCACCATGTGAAGGTCCAAGTAGAAGCAGGAGCAATGAGTCGAAGGCACTATCACAAGTACAGAATTGACCCTAATCTCGGATGTGTGGTTGGCAACGGTACTCTTCTCAGCAAGCTATACCAAGTATATCTACATGCTCTGACTAGTCATTGTCTTCCCGACCCTTTGACTGGACAGACGGGGACAGAGGAAGCGTTGAGCGAGCTTCGGTCCGCTCGCTGTCTGTCATTCCAGAAGCTTGGGCCCGACGAAGTGACACTTCTGACCCAGATTGGTGCCCTAACCCCGGAGCGTCAATTCTATCCAGCGCACCTTCGCGTCATGCAGACTGTTCATTGGTGCGACCTCAGCCCCATATCCCAGCGCACCGACTTTTGGGATTGCACGGTGTTGATCTTGAAGCACGCACAGAATCTCACGGACATATTTTACCCAGAGAAGGACATGACGTCGCTCTTGTCAGATGCATTGCAAAAGCAGACAAGTGACCAACACTTGCAGAATAGGGCTGCTTTACGCACCAGCGTCATATACGGGCGTGAATACTCGACCTGGACTACAACAGATGGCGATGACCTTCCATATACGACTAGAGACCTACCGCAGGACTCCACGTCGGAGAAAGAAGTTGCCACCGTTTCTGCTCTGGTCCACAGTTGGCCCACAAGGCTGCCTACAACGTCTGATCTACTGCAGGTCATGGTATCTTGGCAAGAACCGATATCTGTGGCAGAAGACATTGTGTTGTCTTACCGCAGCGATTGGCTCTCACCGGCTCTGCCAGCGATCTGGCTGTCAGTGTATGAACAATGCCGGGCGTCGAATGCAGATGTACAACCAAAGTTGCTTTTCATTCTAAGTGCAATGTCATATAAGCTGAATGTATCCCATCCCGTGCAGCTTGTCGGGACTATTTTGGCGTTTGCAACGACTCCGCAATTTCGATCTTTGCAACTTCCAAGTACGCTCTCCGCATCGTATAATCTTGCAGACGGATTTGCTCCCAGAGAGGTTGAACTCAATACCCTGGCCATCACATTCACTGTTCCATATGATCCGTGGACTTCCTCCCTCGATCTTTCAAGAAGCGCGTTTGAGACGGAGGATAAATTTGCAGAACGCCGTCGTTCCCACCATGACAAATTCTGTGCTTCCAAGGCACGTGAATTGGTAGGCTGCTTGATTCGCCAGTGGCCTTGTCACACACCATCTGCGCCACCTGGGTACTCAAGTAGCATCAATATCACAGAATTCATGTTGAAAGCCAAGTCGAAGTTTCGGAGCTGGTATCAGAACAGAGAACTGGAGAATCACCTGATACAGGTCCAGCATATTCTTCATCAGGTGCGAGAGCAAAGTGCTCATGTGAAGGTACCACACTATGTTGTTCATACTCCTTTACGCCCGACAACTGCTCCAAAATGCTTCGTTGATGCTACCGGTCTTCTTAAACGAGAAGCACCAGCTTTGGAGGTCCTTGATGTACAGGCGTATCTGGGAGAGACATTCTATCGACTGTCGGCAGATTCTTTTAGAACAGATGAACTTAGGTTTCTAATCCGAGAATTTGAACGTCATCCCAGTTCTTCTTTCAAGCAGCATTATGGTCAGCATCTTGAACGCAGTCGAGCGATTCTCGAGGCTCAAGCGGGTTCTACTGTGCCGTATTTTCCTCCAGACACATTCGAATCTTTTAAACATTATCGGGACCTCTGTCACCAGGCTTATAGTTGCTCTACTGCCACCATACAGCAATTTCTAGGTCCCCGCAGCGACGTCGAGCGAGTTGTTTGTATTTCAGGCCTGTGGCCACGGCTGTCCGCAAAAAGTCTATTGCGAATTTTGGCATCAACCTCCCGGACGCACAGGACGCTATCGAAAGAGTGGGAACAATGTCTGGTATCCTACGCCCGAACATACTTGCAGTTTCAGCGCTCGCGGCGATTGATAGAGTACCTTCAACAGAAACGTTATGAAGAACTTCTGAAAGAGCTCGACAATCAGGAGTATCGGATCCAACCTGATGATTCAGGCTCTGCGTTGAACACAGACTGGCTTCTTGTTCAGGTGCGCTTAAATTCGCATGGTCAAACTTTCAGAGGTTGACCTCATTTGTAATCAGATTGAAAATGACTTCTTAATGCGCCCACTTCAGCAAAGCATCGCTCGCGAGATGATTGCCCCGTCTTCTGGACGAAACACGGTCTTGCAGCTCAATATGGGTGAAGGCAAATCCGCAGTCATCGCCCCTCTAGCCGCGACAGCACTAGCAGACGGTCGGAAGCTTGTCAGAGTCGTCGTGCTGAAGTCTCTGTCGTCACAGATGTTCCATCTACTGGTAGATCGTCTAAGCGGCCTAGCAAATCGCAGGATATTTTATCTTCCATTTTCCCGTGACATACGAATGGGACCACAAGTTGTCCAGCGAATTCGGAGTCTCTACGAAGAGTGTGTACGCGAGCAAGGAATACTGGTTGCGCAACCAGAACACATACTTTCGTTTAAATTGATGGGTATTGATCACTCAAAAGATTGTGTGTCACAGGACGGGCAGATCACAGAGGCACTGCTCGAGTTGCAGCATTGGTTGGACACGGTCACCAGGGATATTCTCGATGAAAGCGATGAAATGCTCAATGTTGGATACCAGTTGGTGTATACTGCCGGACAGCAGAGGCCTATCGAGGATCACCCTGATCGCTGGAAAACGACACAGCATGTTCTGTCTCTGGTCAAGGACCATTCCTCTAGTTTTCACATCCTTCATCCAGATGAGATGGAGTTCGTTCCGGGTACTGGTGGAACGTACCCCATGATTCGCATCCTTCACGATCGCGCTTGGGAAGGGCTAGCTACCGATGTTGCCAGACATATTGTGAACACTGATCCAACCCTCAGACATCTCCCCGAGAATCTCCGCGAGGCCGCGCTTATGTTCATCACAGAGAATGTTAGCAGTGTACCTGGCTCCAGAGTCCGATTGCTTGAGGAGCACTGTAAGGGTGACGGGCTGTGGAAGAAGCTGTTGCTCTTGCGAGGCCTGCTCGGACACGGGCTGATCGGATATGTATTGAAGGAGAAGCGTTGGCGGGTCGACTACGGTTTGGATCTGACACGAACCCTGCTGGCCGTGCCATACCGGGCGAAGGACGTTCCTTCGCTGAGAGCGGATTTCGGACATCCAGACGTCGCCATCGCGCTCACTTGTCTCAGTTATTACTACGGTGGCTTGACGAGCGAGCAGTTGGATACTTGCTTTGAACTCTTGCTCAAATCTGACGAGCGTGAGGTGCTGTATGAGGTATGGCCAACTTCGATGACGTTGTATTCGTACTAATTCCTCTATTCCAGTCATGGGTCCGCGACAATGACGCAGTACCGCCATTCTTACGACAGCTCATAGGCATCAATCATGAGGATTCGCGCCAACGGGAACACTTCCTCGTACCTCTGTTCCGACGCTGCAGTGCCGTCATCGATTTCTATCTGGCTGAAGTCGTTTTTCCCAGATATGCAAAGGAGTTCCCCGAGAAATTGTCTACCTCAGCCTGGGATCTGGCCGAGATCAAGACGCATGTGACGACCGGCTTCAGTGGTACAAACGATAATCAGGACCTGCTTCCGTCTAGCATCACCCAGCATGACCCTGTTGATCAGCTGAGCACCAGCGCTCGAGTTCTAGCCTACTTATTGCAGCCAGAGAACAAGACGTACATCTGTGTCGGCAGCGAGTCCACTTCAGGTCGAGACTACTTGAACCTGCTCGTCAAACAGGATCCCGAAGTTCGTGTCCTCCTGGACGTCGGCGCGCAGATGCTGGACATGGAGAACGCCGAACTGGCAAAGCATTGGCTTTCCTTGACGGCCCACATTGCGGCTACTGTGTTCTTCGACGAGCAAGATGAACTGATGGTTCTTACTCGATCCGGCACAATAGAAGCATTTGTATCCTCGCCTTACAGCCAGCAGTTAGATCAGTGTAACGTCTACTTGGATGATGCCCACACGCGAGGAACGGATTTAAAGCTGCCACGTAAAGCACGGGCTGCGGTGACTCTAGGACCGAAAGTCACCAAGGATCGTCTCCTACAAGGTAAGCCTAAGTTCTTACCGGGAATAACTTCTTGCTCACTGACATGTTCTACCAGGGTGCATGCGCATGCGCAAGTTGGGAAATGGTCAATCTGTCCTATTCCTTGCTCCTCCGGAAGTAGATCGTGCTATACGGGCATTATCTGGCACCAAAGACGCTGTGGAGACAATTGACATCCTGCGATGGGCGATGGTGCAAACGTGCGCGTATATCGAGCACCATGTCTCTCACTGGGCACACCAAGGCATTGGTTACAAGAAGCGCCGCACGGCGTGGAACCAGTTCAAAGCTCGCTCATCCACGTCTCCCAGTGGTTCGATTCAGCTGGCGACCTCGCAAATGCCTTCTCTTCGGTCCGCTTGGCTGTCGCCTGAAGCGCGACCACTGGAAGAGATGTATGGGTTTTCTGCAGGGATTAGTAACGCACTGTCGATCAATGATGCCATGTTCGACAACCCCGAACTGCGTGATCGATTTCAGTTGTTCGGCGTCACGTCGCTTCTCGATCCCCATATGGATGAGGAGCAAGAACGAGAGGTTAGCCAAGAACTCGAGCAGGAGCGAGAAGTTGAGCGGCCTCCAGCGGCTAAACCTGCTACACACCATGTGCACTCTGATGTCGAGAATTTCGTCCTTACTGGAATGATCAGATTGGGCCCAGCATTCGTGCCATTGTTCTCCCCGCTCGACGGTCTTCCAGGGTATCCGGGTCAACACGTTTGTTCTGACCGCATACTAGCGACGAAGGATTTTGCGACCAATATTGAGAAGCAAAGATCGTCGCATCACCCTTCAGATTGCATGGCACCCGTGAATTGGATCATTTCCAATACTTCTCAGAGTCATTTGGTGGTTTTCAGCGCGTTTGAAGTTAACATACTACTTCCGATGATTCGACAGAGCACAGTCGTGTGCTTACACATGTATTCGCCGAGAGTCACGCAAAGCATGAAGCCACTTGACGCTCTAAACTTCTACTGCATCCCCACTCTGCGGAAGAGTTGGCAGCCTGAACCGATGGACATTTGCCAGCTGAATCTTTGGGCTGGACAGCTCTACTTCACCAACCACGAGATGTATTCGCAACTTTGCATATACTTGGGTATCTGCGCCGAAGAGCCACCAGAGGGTGCGAGGGTGCAGGTAGACGGATTCATCGAACCGCAAGATCGCATCGAGCCTATGAAATCTCTATGTCCGTTCAGCAAGAGCCCCATACCACTCATGAAGGAACTCGTAGGATTGCGGCGCAAGGGAATGGGGTACAGATCGACGCACATGGGGAAGGTTCTGCACTCCGGTTTCCTGACTAGCAAAGATTTCCAGTGACTGGTGTTGAGGGAAGTGGTGCGTTGAGCATTTTCTCATTCAATATTCTCGAATTCACTGCGTACCTTCCACAGGAGAGCTGTTGCGCTTCGGAGAGTGTACTATCAGATTGCGAGTGTAGCTCCATAGGGACAGATCTTGAACATAACAACCGTGGCCCATCTGCGATTGCATCATAGGTGTAAACCGTTACAGTAACATGCATGTATGTATTCGGAACGAGACCGGTCCTCCGGTAGAGCCTGAGTCGGTTACTCAGGTGACTGCTGGGCAAAGGAGGTTTCCAAGTCCTGGTCCGAGTCTTCAACCATGCATCAGGAAATGGCCTTCCTCCGGTTTTGAATGTCCGGATGTAAAGACAGCGTCGACCACGAATATGGGATGTTTTGTGCAGATGAGGAAATAGCGTCGAAGTGGATTTTTCAGGGTCCTTTATAGATCCTGGCACCACAAATACCACTGGAGAATTTGAGGACTGCTGAACGCGTTCTGTGTCTGAGAATCCATCTGGATGTGATTTGTCTTCGTCGCGCTGAGATCCGGTTGACTGTCAGACCGTGAACATTGTTGAAATGAAGCTCAAAAGGAGGCAAAACTGCAATAGTCAATATTGCGATGCAGTTAAGTATTCTTCTTGCATATCGACCAAGTTGTGAGCATACAGCGAAGCTACAGAATGGCCAAGAAATGAAAATCTCACACTACTCAAGCCACCGGTGCAACGTAAAGTACCATCTCAGCAACAGATTCCCTCAGCTGTTGCGTGGTCACCAAGTCGACGAAGTCGTCCCCTGTGGGTACAGCTCCGTACCCTCCTGCACTGTCGTGTTCACGTAGGACTTCGTCCACAAATTCCCCAGCCCCGCTCATGCGCAGAATCCCTGCGATTGCCGAGTTAATTCCGAGAAACAGAGGATCAGGCAGGCTGGTGCTTTGCCGTGAAGACACGGCGGCTACTCGTATAGGTTGGTGCTTGGCTGGCGGAGAGGATTCTGCTTCAGCAAATTCGGCACTCTGGTCGATGAACGTGACCTCTTCTGGTTAGTCGTGCAACCCTTGTGCTTGACGATGATGGACGATTTTGTACATATTTCGGACCTAGGTTCACCAATGTAAGTCAGCCATCACATGTGTAGAGGATCGAATCGTATTCTCGAATGAAACCAAAGACTGACCGAACTCTTGTTTCCCAACCCCGGAGGTTCAATTTCAGCGACGGCGCAATTTGGAATGTGATATCCTTCAGTGTAACCCTGTCGGTGATCTCCCGCATAGCCGGGAAATCCGGGGTCATGCAGAATAATAGCAAATTAGTAGCCATCCCGCTGCAAAACCTGGGAATAAATGATGATGAAAGACGCAGTCATGGACGAATATACTGTACACGAAAAATCATACCTGTAGCTTGACTCGGACAGTGCTTGATGCACCTTTTTTTGACTCGAGTGGTATCATCCAGGTGAGCGTCACGATGACAGACACTGCCTCGTTTTGCTGCAGGTTACGTGAACCCCTGACCTTGAAGCTTGAGTATTAGAATGCAGATCAGTACCCTCCACAAGCTCGAAGCGCGCGCGAGAAGAACGCGGCGAATGACGTCACGAAGCCCTCAAGTCCGGCGGTGAGTACGCGATGACGTCGACGCGCCACGCCCGCAGCACCGCCCCACCCAACACACCCGACCTCGGCCGACAAGTACGCCCTCCGCTACGACAAGCTCGTCGTTGCCATCGGCGCCTACAGCCAGAGTGCGTCCCGTGCTGCTCTTCTCCCGTTCCTGACCCGCGCCCGCCCCGCCAGCGTTCGGCATCCCCGCCGTAAACGAGCACGCCCACTTTCTCAACGACGTGCGTGACGCCCGCGCCATCCCCACCAAGATCGTCGAATGTCCGTCCCCGCCTTTCTCGCTCTCATCTGTGTCCTGCGACACCTGCAGCCCACCCTCACCGACGACGAGCGCCGGAACCTCCTGCATTTCTCCATCGTCCGCACGCGGCTGAGGGGCGGGGCGTTGCAGGGACGGATGTATGTGAAGGAGGAGGCCGCGGGTGTGCCGTGCGCTTGGAGATGGCTCGATCGCAGTGCTGAGCGGACGTGCTCGTCTGGAGCACGGGCCTCGCGCCCCACCCGCTCGTCTCAGGGATCACAGACGTCGACAAGGACGCCAAGACGCGCAGGTGCGCCGTCCCGCCCATCCCTTCTTCCCCGTCTCCCCATCGCTACCCCCTTCTTCCCGCTGGCCCTCTCGTACCCCCGACACTGACACCCGCACAGCCTGCTGACAGACCAGCACCTGAACGTGCGCATGAAAGACACGGGCGCGCTTAACCCGGACGTCTGGGCGATCGGCGACGCAGCATTCATCAACGGCGCCCTCCCTCACTCTGTAGTAATCTTCACGCCAGTAGCAAGCCAGAACGCACGATACACCGCCCGCCGCCTGAACGCGCCCGCACTCCACCCCGGCGCGGCGCCGTTCCGCTTCCGCGACGCGGGCAGCCTGGCGTACCGGGGCGGCTGCGAGGCGCTGTACGACCGCTCGCGCGCGCCGCGCGCCTGCCAGTATCCGGGTACCTGCGCCAGCTCCTCCTCTGGCTACGAAACTGAAGCGAGGCGATCCTCAAGGCGGTGTAGCTACTCTGCTTCAGGATATCCTACTTATCTGACCCGGGATGTGGTTCTTGAGGTGATCGATATTCGACTCGGTGTCACCCGTTTCATTCAGTTCGTTATTCGTCCGCCCATTGTTGACGTGGCGATCATATATTTCATAGCTCGAGAGCGTGCAGCACCGATGGTGCTGTCACGACAAGTACCATTCCTCGTGTGATCCGGCGCTACCTCTATACGTGGTCACAGGAACAACGCGTCGCGTCACGCGTCTGCATGTCACGGCACTGGTAAAAAAACATGGCGCCGTGCCACCCCAGAACCACTAACTCCCAGGCAACACAAGCCACGATATTTTACACAGACAACGACTATCGCTACAACTACGTACACCTCAGTATACCCGTGTATTTTATATCGTGCCTGTCAGGACCACAACACGCCAGCGGCCACCTGGGTCGCGCTTAGCCGACCACCTCCTCCTCCGCGGCCTGCACGGGCGCCGGAGTGCTTCCCGCCTCACCTGCCGCTGCCTGCACTGCTAACAGAGCGTCACCCTTCTGGAGCACCGGGGCGTCGCCGGGCGTCGGAGTCGTCTGCGCCTTCTTCTGCGCCGCGTCACGCGCGGCGGTGGTAATATCCTCGCCGAACACGCGCAGACTCAGCGCGCTGCCGGCAGGGCGGTGCGGGGCGGTGATAAGCGTCAATATTGGCGATCACAACTTTTGAAAAAAGACGCGGGAACCGCACCTTTTCGCGCGCTTGTCGATCATGAGCGTGACGGAGACGTTGGACTTCCAGATGGGCAGCACGAGGTCGTGGCTGAGCCTGCGGGCCCGGACGTTTAGCGTAGTGCAAACGACTGCGATGGGGGCGCGGGCAGCAGACTCACGAAGCGTTGTTTATGTGCCCGGGCTGGAAGCGGACGACGTAGCTGCCGGTCGCTGCCTCGTCTTTAGTCGCGCGCGCCACGCAATCGAAGAATAGTTCTGGGGGCTCACCCTTGCCCTCGATGGTCGATCTGAACGGCTCGCCGAAGCCGCTGCACAGGGGGTAGTACCCCTCCATCAGTACCTTCAGCGCGGTGATGTCCGCACCGAGGACCGCCTCGGGGTCGATGTACGGCAGCACGACCGGCAGGCCCTCGCCGAGCACGCGGAACTGCATGTCCGCGCCGCCGCCCTCGCGCCGCACCTCTGCAGACGCCTCCTGCTTCCCGATCACCTTCGTCCCGCACGTCACGAGCCGCAGGCGCGTATAGTCGTTGTGCTGGACGATGCTCTTCACGAGCGCGTTCGTCATGTAGAGCGAGCGCACGGGCTCGCCCGCGGGGTTGCGCACGAGCAGGTTCGAGGCGGGGAAGGAGGGCTGCAGGCGCAGGTTCGCGCTGCGGGTGGGCAATGTCAACGCCGGTAGGTCAATATGGGACAGAGAGGGGAGGACAAAGCGGCTGCGCACATGCATGTCTGGATGATCGGGTCTTCGGGCGAGATGAACGTGTAAGGGTTCTCCTTGAAGTTCGGATCGGCGTTGCCCGGCGCTTTGCCCTTCCCTTTCGTGCGCTGGCGGAAGTCTGAGGACGTCTCCGCGGGCGTCGGTGGTGCGTTCGCGTCGACATCCATGCCGGGTGCGCCCTCGTCCCCAAGGTCGTCCGGCAGCGCCTCTTCAGGTTCGTCTGCCGGAGGTGCCCCACCGGCTTGCGGGTCAGCTGATGTGTCCATGTCGCTTGAAAGCCTGGGCTTCTTGACTTCAGACGTTTCAAGAGCGTCAACCTCGGACGCTTGCCTCTTGCCTTCGCTTAAGGGGTCTCATTAGAGACACCTCGGAAATATCATGCGCATTGCGAACCTTGGCTCCTTTCGGAGCGTCTGTCCGGCGGTGGTCGGGACCGGCTTCTTCTGCAGCACCGCAATGAAGAAGCCGCCCGTGTCCTGCAGATGCGGATAGATGCGCATGCTACCAGGCGCCCAAGGAAGGCCAGTCAGAATATCCGAAACGGCCGGCGGAGTCGAGCACATACCACCGTGTGAGGTTGAGTTCGACCGCTTCACTGGGTGGTGGCGGCCAATGCGACGGGTGCATCTTGCTGTCTGCGCGTCTGGATTCGGGCAACGATTGAATGTAGTCTTCGTATGTTGCGAAGTCAGTGAAGATCGAGCGATCCACAGTTGGCTTCCACGTGGTTATGCCTGGTCGATGAATGAGCCCGGGCAGATGGTTTGGCATGTCCACCAACTCGAAACCTGCATGTGCAGTCGTCGTCTGCGTCATTAACATCCGAGCATGACGTGGCACTAACCAGGTATCGACTTGAGTGCGGCGGCGATAACGGCCTCGTTTTCCACCGGATTCATAGAGCACGTCGAGTAGACAATACGACCACCCATCTTCAGCATTCGCATGGCTCTCTGCAGGATTCGCAGTTGCAGGCTGCAATCAATCTTACGTCGACAATGACGTCTAGAGGGGTGAAACGGCGTGAAGCGAACCTGTGCAAACCATTGCCATCGAGCGGCTGCCAATGCTTCCAAATACCAGGGTTCTTCCTCATCGTGCCATCGCCGCTGCACGGCACATCGCACAGGATGCGATCGAACAGCAGCTGGTACTGCTTCTTCGCGGCGACGCGCGGTTTCGTGCCGGAGGGAAAGACGGTCTGCTCGGACGGGATCTTGATGGCGGGGTATATGGACGCGTCGTGGTTCGTGACCATGAGCGCGGGGGACGGCAGGCGTGCGGACTGGTGAATGAGCAGGTGCGTGCGTTTGTGGTCGCTGTCATTCGCGATCAGCAGCCCGGTCGGTATCGACGACGCCGTGACGGTGTCCTGTGCATGTAGGGCTTCGAGCAATTGTGCGGTCTTCGTGGGTAAGCCAGGTATTCAGAGAGAGGGGAACGGATTGGGCTTACCTTGGAACCGGGAGCGGCGCACATGTCCATGACCTGGAGAATGGTGATGCGGTCCAGAAATGAAAAGAACGGTGTGGTTGTGCACGCACTCTGTGATGTGGCTCGACCTCGAGGAATAGCGGAGGCAACATACTCACAGCCTCTTGTCGTGATATGTTTCCCTGCACAATTATTCAGTAGATCAGAATGAGTGCGAGTGGTGCACACGTACGACTTCGGTTTCGAATACGAGAAAAGAGTGGAATTTCTTGAATTCGGGCGACTTCCGCAGGACTTTTTTTGAGACATTGAACTGCCAGGCTAAACCTTCGGGATACCTATGATTTTCCTCAGCATATAACCACGCTCTGGGTTGAAGGGAACATGCCAAGAAATCTGTGAAGGCGGTGAAACAGATTCTCCCTCGAAAACAACCCCAGCTAGGTGCGGAACGTGGGTGTCCTTGATGGTGCCATTCAGCAAGCGAGCTGCCCTGCGCACGGACCACCATCAGCACATTACATGATTTTGCATTGAAGAGAACGCGTACTGGCGACTTCCCGCGACCCGAAAGGTCGTCGGCAGAGGGTTCCGCATGGTCTCCATGAATTCCTGCCACTCGTCATCGGTAAGGATACTCTGGGCTCTGTAATATTTTTCGAAGCGTTCGTTGTGCATGTCTGCCCGTTCCACCACGTCGGACCTGTACGTATCATCGCGGTCGCCGGTACTGCCTCCGCCTCTGCCTCCATTTTTGCCCTTGCCACGGTGTGCACCTTTCTGGACTACCGGCGTTAAGACTGTGAGCTGACGGAGCGTCCATGGGAATACGTACTTTGGATCTTGCCATGCTCTCCGAGACCAGGGACCTCCGCTGAGCAAAGAGGTGGAAAATTCTATTCAGGGTTATCGAGGTAATGATTGGAAATGACTAAGTGTAGACCTTATGTACATTATGCATAATAACATTAAAGTGGGTTATCTGAGTTTGAAGTGATTTGAAGACACATCAGTACTACTAGAAGGCCCCCCCTGGGCCCCCTTAAGCTAGAATAGTGGCTTAGTATTCACCGCGAGTTCAGGTTGAGTCCTTTATGAACGCTTCAAGCTTCACCTCCCAACTTATCACTGACGGTGAACATCTGGCGTAACCACCTAGAATTTCGGAGCCACAAAATCTCAGTCGACTTAGGGTTTTGGTTGGTTCTATCGCAGTTCCTTTTCCACCTCGATGCAGCCCGAGAGACCGATGATTGGGCATGCTGCAACTCACTGCCTGCAAGAGACGTAGACAACATGGTATGTACGGCGTAGGTATGGCGAGAATTTTCCACACTGTCCCAAGATGGTCTCACCTTCATCATGTTAATTCCGACAGGAGGCTCATTGTCATCATATCACTTCACAGGCAGAAGAGAAGCAATATTGATTCTGGGTCTCCCCAAACTGCAGACCTGTTGGTCCAGCATGGGTACCCTAAAATTGTGGAGGCGTCGGTTCCTCGAGGATTGCAATTACGTCCCTGCTGTATTCTCGATAGCAACCGAAGAGGGTTTGAGATGCTTCCCAATCGCCTTCATATCCAGCTTCGCGGATCTCAGCTGTCTAATGGGGTACGATTGACTCAGGGAGTGAACAACCGGTCAAGCCTCGCCTGCCGTGGGCGACCTATGACGGGGCTCAAGCGGCATGTATCTGCTGAGGGCTGGGATGATCCGGCATTCTCTGCTTCTGTCTGCCGCCACCCACGGGATGGCAACGGAGTCGAGATCCCGCCGGTCTGTAACTCGATCGAACATAGTATCTAATCCACAGGTCAACGGAATGCACGAAAACCGCAGCCCCGCATGAGATATCTGCTCCGTCTGGGCGACGAAGATCATTGGTCATGAAGTGGCCAAAGCGGTGCGAGCGCTGCCGGATATCCAGCTTTCATTTTACTGACACGCGTTGATACTGGGTCAACGAACCACCATACTGATAGATCAGTGCATGTTGGTCAAGGGCGCATGTAAGAAGCCACTTCAGTTCCCGAGGGCGGCGCATCGTCGTCTCATCAGAGCCCCGCAGCATCAACACATCGCATAATCGCAGCCCAACCGCCACTTCGCGCCTGTTGGCCTGTTAAGTCTCGTATGTCCGTCGTCTTCGAACACGCGTTTACCATGATGCATGGCTTCAGTTCATCCGTAGGCGCTTCCAAGAGGCATCATAGATGGGAGTGCGCCTACATATACTTCACCTCTGCGCTGAGAGCCTTTTCACCAACTCCCTTATCGTCCTCCATCCTGACCGTTCCTAAGCTCAAGATCCCCAAGATTGACCAGAATGTTCGATTCAAGTGCAGCCAAACCTCCATCTGCCTCATCGCTCACCGACAGTGAAAAACGCCACGTCCTCTCTCTGCTTCCCCCGGAGTCCCGGGTCGTCGCAGTAGCTTCTGCAAGGGTGTATCACGCACCCTTCAAGGGGCGCGGGGATGATTGGGCCTACTCAGGCCTCCAGGGCTTGCTGGTTCTTGGAGCTGCCGTGCACTCCGAGAAAAAACTAGGCTCCAACCACGAAACGAGTTTCGTCCAAAACTACTGGTTTCGACTCATTGACACAGCATCTGGGAGGGGGGTCATTTGGTCGCACTCGATTCCTGTTGGATTTGACTACCGGCTCGATAAGCCGTTCTTCCATTATTTTTCGGGGAAGGTGCGCCTTGATTCACCATCCGGGGATTCGTCATGGCTGATGATCGCGCAGTCGAGGATGTTTGGCTTCCGATTCGAAGACGACGATGAGGCCGAGAAGTTCTACAGAAAGGTCACGAGTCGCGTGCGGACAACGGGTAATACTTTCTCGGCGTTTCCTTATCGTCTCTTTCCTGATTCTCTGGCAGTGCCGCCGTCCAGGAGAAAGCCGCTGCCCCCGACTCCACAAAATCAAATTTCGTCCGCGGTGATCTCCTCTCCCTCCCCTGAAACGTGTATCCACGTGGCCCACATGGGCTATAATGAGCAAGGTTACATTGAGGCGACCGGAAACCTCCCACCTCGCTGGAAAATGGTGCTCAAAGAACTCCAGGGTCACAGCGTTACAAAAAAGATGGTCGACGACGACATCGAATTCGTCGACGGCTTTTGGGTCGGCGTGAAAGCCGTACGCGCTGCGGCGCCGAAACCTGAGCCAGTGCAGACTCCTTGTGCGTCTATTTTTTTCCCGTACGTAAGTGTGTGTTGACTGACGATGGATTGTAGCGGCGCAAAAGAGGCGCAAAACGGTTCATCGCAAGCCAGTTCAAGTTCCATGATCTGTGTAAGCTCGAGTCTGCTTGTCATCGTGGTACAGAACTTGTCATAATCGTTAGTTGACCCTTCCTTCAGATCCATTACTAATTTTGCTATGAAATATGATACTGTTGACGTCTGGATTCCCCTTGTTGTACACGTTTTACGTCCTATCGCCATCCGCCCCATTATACGATTTCCAAAAATATGTATCACTGGTCGTGTATAGTACTTACTGTAATGTCTGGTGTAACTTGATCTCCTGTTCGCTTCTACTGCTCTAAATCTGTAACTTTCAAACTTACTTAGGAAAAACGCGTCCACGGGATGGCGTGACATTTGTGACCTCCGCCTGATCTTTCGTGTCTGGGTTACGGTAACGAATGGAGCTCTCGCCTCTGCCACCACCAAGTATTAAATCAGTGCTAACACCTCAGAACCAAGGCTATAACTGTCTATGTCTGCCACAGAAGAGAGAAGAATTTTGTTTCCAAAAGAGCGGAGATGAATTTGCCTTGAGGCTGAGCTGGGGCACCGGGTTTGCCACTCCGTTCACTAGGCACTGGGAGGATTTCATTGGGGCTATACCTTTCTTATCCTGTACGCGGACAAGAACGGCGGTTTAACCAACGATAAGAGACCCAGACAGCACCGTATGTACGTACTAGCTGCGAGCTGCGGCAGGCTTCTGACACAGCGGGTGTGAAACTTTCAGATCTTTAAGCAGGCTGCGCATCCTAGTATGGGTTCTTCAGAGCGCTGGCTCCTTGCGGGCTGTGGTCAAAATCACCGGATAACGGAGACGCTTCCGATTTGCTAGTGGGTCCAAGGTTCGTGCATGATCAGTGGCAGACAATAAGAAATAACACCGCGGGCAATAGCCTCTGACAGCCCACCAATGCCGCTGGATTGCAGGGATGGAATTGTCTCAATCAGCATCGACAGTCCATCTCGCTGAATGGGACGACAAACGTTTAACTGCTATCCGTCTGGAGGACAGTCTTACTATCCTCCGATCACCTTCCAAGTTTGGCAATTAGCCTGTCGCGCTGGTTCGCAGGCCAAACATATTCAAGTTTCAGGAAAACTATCTTTTGACTGTACCGCGTGATCCTCAGCAAGGTGCCTTTAAGACCGTTGCTTCTTTACTATCTGGCTGCAGTGATTGGTGGTAAGGCCCCACTGGTTACCTGTTCGTGTAAGAGTGGCCTGCGATCATGGGCGAGTTTCGAACGATGCGTATAGATCTGCACGATCGAACGGCGTGTTCCATGATTACTGAGTACTCAAGTACTCATCCATGGGGTGGCAACGGTTTCGGCACTCTACACCAACTCTACACCTCAGTAACCTCATGCGTAGATACAGGAGACTAAGGCATTGACGCCTCGCGTGTTGTGCTTGCTAAGATCTTCGACCATACAAATCCTGATTCTGGTGCGTAGTGTATGTCTCTGTCTATGCGCTGATACTTGGACAGGCGTGCCACTCATCTCCAGTGGGCGCCTGGTCCTTGTAATTATGACTCCCATCGGCTTCTGCTCACAGCTTCCTCACAGCGTCAAGATCCCTGGAGGTGCCTGTCGCCACTCATCCGATATTTGGGTTTGACCGCCACTCACTAGCACGCGTTTAGCATGATGTCCTTGTTTTCCGCCGTGCAAGCTTCAAATCGACGAATGGGTTCTCGCCTACAAGTACTGCTCCTGCATGTTCAGGGTACACCAGCATTCCCTCGCTTGCTACCCTCGCGCCCTCTTCGACATTATCAATATGTTCAACCCAGCCACACCGCCGTCTCTCGGAGCCGTCAGTAAAGAGACTATCAATTTCGTTAGGTCTCTGCTGTCCGACGACGAGCACATCCAGTCCGCGGCTTTTGCGACAGGATATCGTGAAAAACTACAGAGAAGGGGGGAAGTTTCATGGGGATCCTCCCAGCAGGGAGTTCTCGTGTTGGGCTATACCATCAAGGCTCACGACAGATGGAGCCCAAACCCACAAACCATTTTACTAGAGAATTACTGGCTGCGATTCATTTCACAGAGAGATGTTTGGTATTATCAAGTCCACATTGGTCTAAAGTATCGGCGGGAGGTGCCGTTGTACCACTGGTTTTTGAGCTCGGTGCGCCGCCTCTCGCTGGCCGTGGATTGACCTTGGCTCATACTCGCTCAGACCGAGAAATACATCTTCTTACTGGCGGACGAAGCTGATGCTAACAGGTTATATGGTGGCATCTCCGACGTACTACGTACCACACGTATGCGTCCATATACATCTCATTATCACTTCGTCTCTAATCTGGGCGCTATGCAGTGTCGGCGTCCAGGAATAAACCGCTGCCCCCTATTCCAAGATATCGCATTTCACAACAGACGATTTCTGGGCCAAAAAACTTCCAGCGGTTGGCTCATTTGGGCTATGACGAACAAGGTCGCACCAAGATAGTTGGCAACATTCCGCGTCATTGGCAGACGCAATTTCATGACATGCAGGGACGCGTGATAATGCAACAGCCTACGTTAGGCTTGTGAATCCTGATTCTGCTCGTCGTGAGTCTTCTTGCCGTTGTGCTGCATGTACGCACTGTCTGACGTTTGATTTTGGTAGACCTAAAGAGCAAGGTCATTGGCTTTTTATGACCATTATTAGCTCCACTTTATACCAATCCTTGTGGCACTCCGTCATCATCGACGAGAATGAGCTAGAATTTTATAGTGGTTACACCGCTCTGGACTGTATTGACCCTTATTCTGTAGTATTCGTCTGAATGCATCGGGTAACTTTGTATGTTATCTCTCTCTACGTTTATGATCTGCACTACAGATGCCATTCTACTAGCTAGTACGTTGTTCAAAGATTATGGTGATTCTCATCTCCCGTACACAGGCTACTTACATACGAACCATTTTCACATAAGCAGAGCACTGATATGTGTTGTTTTGTCCTATGTGATACCCGAAACTTCGAGACGTTAACGAGATAAAAGAGTCTGCTCAGGTCTGCGAACGCGGTCTGCGTGAGAGTGTGACACACGCGTGATGTTTCGCGTTTGGATGTCACGCTGTTTGAAGCGGCGAGGATCTTGATCACCGCCACCATAGTCAGTACGTGCAGCATATTATACCCTTGAAGAGTCTTTCCCATGTCTACTCAGCAGAATGAAGACCAAGTGACTGTTCATAGCTGGGCTTGTCATGATTTCCAGCCAATATCCTCGCAGGAACTCCTTGATAAGGGGCGTTTTCTCGTTCGCGCTGCATCTCGTGTGGACAGATGGTTCCAGCCTGTTATCAAAGCTTCTGCGAATATCAGTATGTATGTATGCAGTGTTTATATCTTGTATCTCACTTCTCTTGCCACAGGAAGCTGCGGTGCCGCATTCGAATACTCTCAACATGCGCCACGATGTGACTCACTTGATGTTCGGAACCAAGTGGCCATGACCGACTTGTTGCAAGAATGGAGCAGCGATGTAACTGTAGATGAAAACGAGGCGTTTCGTCTCGAAGACCTGGAGGAGTTCCAGAACAGCGACCTCACATGCGTATTCCATAAACCCAGCATCACGGCGCTAATTCCAGCCATGCCCCCTGCAAATCAGCTCGCGCCAGGGCTCGAACCCAAACGAAGCCGAAAGGGAATAATTGGAGAATCATGTTCCGACGAGCCACCTAGAAAACGCCCGAGACTCGACCACTCTTCTCTCTCCAAACTCTTACCGCAGGTGAGTCGTGGGGTAAATCACGCTGTTTTCGCTGATTCAGACGCCGAAATACCAATATCAGCCTCATTTCCATCCTTCTGTTTTCTCTGCGGGTGATTTCTCACCTTCAGATATCGGACGCAATGCGTTCTATCCAAAACTAACATCCAGACCGGTTCCGCCGCACACCGAAGAGGCAATGCAAGAATATCTTGCCGACCCATATGCGAGGGGCGCCTGGATTATTCCAGTGCGCGGTACCCTTCCCTGGGACGACTGTACTTCAGCATCAATATTGGCCGCGCCCTCTACCCTGTCACAAGAAGTTCGAATACTGTTACCTTCAGGGCCATCGTCACGACCTGGTCAGTTCCCCGCAGACTTGCTATCAGATGAGATCACATGGACACATCATGCCTTGTCGACATTCTGGGAATTCTTGCTCGCTATCAGAGACGCAGGGACTCTCGGCCCCCTCTCCCTATCCTTCCACGCTGCGCCCGTGACAGATCCTGCGGAATCGTCATGGTCTAACGCGCTCCTGCCTGGCAATCATGAGCACTATGGAATTCATCGGAGTGCGACTGACAATTCCTTCCCACCCCTGCGCTCGCCTCTGTTTTCGGTGGATCACATCAAAGTGTATCACGACACGCAGTATACGAAGCACGTGCGAAACGTGCTCTATGCGTGGAGTTACTCGTGCGTACTTGCGGAGGATGGGAGCGTGCACGATGCGCCACAGGTCAGGCAGAGGGGGAAGCGCGAAGCTTCGACATCCCGGATGGGTAAAGATCTGAATCTGCAGAAGATCAGGATGCTCAAAGGAGCTCGGCTGGTTCTTGTGGATGAGAAGTCAAAAGCGGTGTTGACGTGCTGAGAAAAGTCGCTCATACCCTGGACTCAGATCAGCTGTTGCCGATCGTATGCTCTTCGGCTGTGTTGCACCATCAGCATTTGCTAGAATTCTGCGAGGAACTGCGGGCAAGACCGCGTCAAGTTTCGTGGACGATGGCGAAACGTCTCTCCGATAACTAGTCTTGCGAGCTCCGTGTTTCCCCAGGGTAAGTCTAACTGAGAACGGTTTACGCTGTTAAATGTACTGAACAGACGTATGTAGCGTGCTGATGTCCATGTGCAATTCGCTGATGACCTTCAGACTGTCGGAAAGAATGGGAGAGCCCCGTCCCTTCGTCCACAATCAGCAATGAACTGCCGAGATCTCGATACGTATGTTTACAGCAACCATTTGCCTTCTTGGCAGGAGCGTCTCCCAAGCAGGATCTCGAGCCAAGGTGCCGGACGCGTCTAAGCACAAGCCCCGCATGCCATGCAGCCTCGTCTGAGATTTCCAAACCCTTCACTAAGTCTGTTATACTCAGTACACGTTAGTCGATCACCCCTGGCGCAGAGAGAGTTGATATGAAACTTCACAGCTTAAACCCAGTAAGTCAAATTGCACCAAATCCGATAGACCATCCCACTCATGCATTACTGCCACCGTTGTAACTTCTACGCAGGCTACCGTCGCTCCAGCAGCTCTAATCTCTGTCAAGTTCTTGTAATGACGTTCGCAGTGCTGGCCGAGTGCTTGCTTTGAGTGACCTTAAATGCAGTTGGTATATTCATAATGATAAATGGACCAAATCTCTTCTGTGATTGCTCAGACTTCCTGTGTGACTGCCTCACGTTATACTCAAGGAGGCCTTTTGGACATGCACGGAAAGTCATGTTAGAGGGAAGTACGCGTGACGCGTGTTGTGTGACACACGCGACGCGTACCATCACACCTCATGATCGTATGTCCTGCCAGCTTACCACTTCGTGCCAAAGTCAGCGGCAAAATAGGGAAAGTGCTGTCCTGTCTGTCTCGGTGTTTATCGGATTGCCGAAATAGACTCGAGTCAGAAGCATTCTGGTAGTGGGTATGTCTCGTCCATTTCACGGTTTTCCTCGAGCCTAACCCCTTCACTCGAGGCAGAATATAGTTCAACTCTGTGTTCAAAAGTGATCGACATGCATCGTTGTCTTATTGTTCCAGAGATCTTGTATCTCATCGTGGATGCAATCAAAACTCCTTCCGACGAGCTCGACCTGGACACACTTGCCAAGCTTGCAAGGTCATGTCGGCTGTTCCATGATGCGGCCCTCGACTCTCTCTGGCATACCCAATGTGGCCTGTCCAATCTTGTTAAATGTATGCCATCAGAACTATGGTTTGAGCCGAAGGGCGAATTGGTGAGGCTTCCTGAAGTTGGGCTTAGCCGTATTAATCTATACCTCTCTATTGGTAGTCGTTCACCAGAACGATATTACCTACCGATTGGAGCCGTTTTGAGTACTATGCGAGCCGAATCAGAGTACTGACCTTTACACGTTGGGGAAGATGTCGTGTGCCGTTTTCCCCAACCACTGGGTCGAAGTCAAAACTTTCAGCGGATGTTTATGCTTCGCTCAGTTCACATGGCTTCCCACATCCTTTATTGCCCAACCTCTCCGATCTCGACTGGTCCGAGGAGATCGTGGGGCAGGAGAACTTCCGCTTCTGCAGCACGTTCTTGGGACCAAAGCTCAAGTTCCTCTCTTTCGTCACTAACGGACCAGATCCGGATTCGGTGTTCGTGTCAGCGCTCTCGCATCTGCAGCAGCTCTCATCCCCGCTCCATACTCTCCATCTATATTTCCGACAGCCTTCCCACAGTTTCTCCATTCTTCTTGCAGTACTGCGCGACTTCCGCGCTCTGCATACTCTCTCATACAAATCCAGCACCTCCATCTCCTTCGATCTAATCTCGCTCCTGAGTTCCATGCCACAGCTTCAGGATCTTCAACTCCAGTTTGACGGTATCGTTGACTCGGCGTCCGCAGATCCTCCACCTATTTGTATGTTCCCGGCTCTCAAAAAGTTGTCTCTACGGACGAGGACGATCTCGACTTGTGCTGCTATCGTCGCAGCGTTGCAGCTCGATGCCATCGAGGGCCTCAACGTTCAGGTATCCCGCGCACCGTCCGCCTGCGGATTCTTGCAAATGCTGAGCAATCACTTCTCCCAACATTCCCTAAGGCAGTTGATCGTTTACAGTCTCTGCCCGGAGTTAGAAGAAGAAATCACGGATGGGGTGATAACCAGCGATTGTCTGCAGTCACTGTGCGCGTTTCGGAATCTGGAATACTTGACTATCGCCACGGAGTGTCACCTTGATCTGAACGATACGACATTGCTGGACATGGCGTCCGCCTGGCCGCGTCTGATGGAGTTGGACCTGGTGCTGAGCACGGATGATACCAGGTGGGAGCAGCTCGCCTTCGTTAGCCTCGACGGAGTGATCGAGCTGGTGAAGCAGGGCCTCCTGCTGGACTCCTTAGGCGTCCCCATGCGAATGCCTATCGTCGATGGATTCTCGGAGTTGCGTCCAGGCGGCGGCTATACGTACTCGCAGCTCGCCACGCTCACCTTCGGCGGTCGCTGCGTAGCCCCTCCTGTGCAAGCCGCCGCTTTCCTGTCCGACGTTTTTCCCAATTTGAGGCACGTCTCCGGGTACCACAGGTTCAGCAACCCCTGGCACACTATCCAGGACTTGCTCCCCAGCTTCTCTTCCATTCGGATGCAGGAGAGGCGTTCGTTCGCGTTACTGCTGGATGGACCCGGTACGCCCTTCCCCTGAGTATTTGTTGGACGTGGTGCTGAATTCGCAATAATCAGGACCTGCGTAAGAAGATTTGGAGGTTTAATAAACTTTGCACCTCTTGCCTGAGTCCCATCCTTGGGCACGAGGTTGGCAATGAGAGCGCCATCCACAAGGTGCTCAGCAACGTTCATATTCACTCGACTATCCTCCACCGCTTACTTCGCGGCGTAGTGTGTGTGGCTTAACTAACCTAATCAGTGCGCAGCACCTAAAAACCACACATGCGCAACTGATACAGTATGAAATGTCGAGGAAGATCTACATAGCCTGATAGAAGTTACACTGCTTTCAGCTCGTGTTCTTTGTAATCCTTCGGAGGACGAGAAAACGATGTATAATTGTACACTAAGGTAACGCGAGCAAGATGACATTCACCAGAAACATACGTAGCTCCAACTAATAGTTGTTATGTTCATCGTCCTCTATATCTCGGAGAGCACGCCAGCGAGGCACCGAGCCGTCGTCTCCATACACGTCGCTATAACATAACCGCATATTAGATGTTGAGCCACAGTTCACGCATGCGAAAGCACTCACAATTCACGAGCGGCGACCACGGCAGACAAGTCACTACCGACGCTATATCAGCATACACTCAAACGTGAATTTCGTAAAGTTGCTCACCGTTCTGCATCTGCAATAGAAGTCTCATCGTCGGAAGCGCTATCGACCAGCCGTGCCCGTCGACCTAGCCTCGGGAGATCTTGGACCGATGAAATGCTCTCTACATCATCCGACCCATCCGATATTACGATGGGGGAAGATCGAGGGACCTCGCGTCGTGCTCGAGGACGAGGACGGTTCCCGCTTGAACCTCCACCCACTCTATGCCTGATCAGCGGCCCACCTGAACCCTCGCTGGCATGGTCGCGGGGAGAATGCAGACGGTCACGCACAACATGCTCGTCGTCGTCAATGAAGCTGCTCTCGTAATCCTCCTCGCTATCCTCGTCGTCGCTGCCATTGAGCTCAGTATTGCCATCACCAAAATTCACGGCACCCAAACTGCCGTCACTGTCCCCTTCATCGCCGCTGCCGTCACCGTGTAGGTGGTTCAAGATGTTGTATGGTCCGCCGAACATCAGGCCAGCCAACTCGGCTTCCTCTAGTTCGTAGTCCTCGGGGTAATCGTCCTCGTCGTCACCGCCTCCATGTCCGGGGTATACACGGCCGCACGACGAGCACACACCGTCCCAGATCTCGTGGTTGCAGTCGATGCAGCGGTAGATGCCGCCGTCTTCCACATCGTGCAGACCCAGCATCTGCTGGAATAATGCGGGAGGAGGGCCTGGGAATACCTGCCTGTGGTTCCCCGAGGCCCCGGGCTCCCTGCGGAATATGCCTTCCCAGGGGTCTGCGGTGGGCACCTCGGCGTCAGGAGCTGGAGAAGGCGGGAACGCGGCTGCCGCGAGTCCGCTCTTCACCAGAGCGGCGACCATGTCCTTCACTGTCCACACTCCTATCGGCCGCTCTTTAACCACTGCGCGGCAGTGCGGACATGTCTTCTTCCGGAGCCATGTGGGGAGCACATCTTGAGGGCGCGCATCTGGGGGAGGGGCCTTGAACCACGCGACGAGGCAGGAGTGGCAGGCTGTGTGCCCGCAGGGCGCGAGTGCGTATGGCTTATACATGAGGTCGAGACAAATCTGACAGGTGAGGGAGTGCTGGATTGCCGATAGGAGTGTAGAGTGCTTTGTGACAAGCTATATGCGCCATCAATACACAGAGATACAAATATGAATTAGAAGACGTACGTCGGTCTTTGTGGTGATCTCGGCAGTAAGCTCGTGCACTTGATCTATTGTGGTAGACGGCGCTTCTGAAGGCGTTTGCCGCGCTTCGCCTTCAGGAGACGCTCTGCATTTACCCTTGCCTTTGTCTGATACCTGTGATGTGGTTAGTAAATGAAATATGAACCACTGATAAACTTACCGATGGCGGTGATTCAAAGGCTGGACTTCGTGAACGTTGCTGGGTTTTAATGGCGCTAGACGACTGAGCAGACAGTTGATGCGACGGGGGTACGCTCGCAGGTTGCGACTGAGTTAGAGGACCAGGAGTAGTTCTGATACTATCCAGTGTGACGGAAGACGAACGAAGAGACGTCGAGCGGCCGCGCCTGCCGGTACGAGTGCTCGAGCGTCCCTGTACCTCACCGCCTGATCCGTTCCCCGAGGCAGGATAGACGACCACGGACATCTTTCTCTTCTTCTTCCTCCGCCTTTTCTTGTCCTTCTCCCTGGACTCGCGGTTCGGCTCCACACCTCCATCAAGGGCGATACTCGACACACCCTTGGTGCGTTTCACCTCCCTTTGTGCCTCTCCTGAGCCCGTATCTTCCGAGTCCGACAAAAGTCTCTTTCTAGAGGTAGGAGCCCTGGCAGGCGTGCTTGGTCCGGCACTGAATGCGCGCGTAGTAGACGACATGGTGGGCTTCAACGAGGTGAGTCGCAGTATGAGGAGCAAATAAAGGTATTCTGCACTCAAAAAATGCTGGTTAAGCTGCAATTCTTGTCACCCAACGGACCACAAGTGCAGGGTGAATTGAGAGAGTTGTAGTTGGGAACAAGATGCAGCGGTGAATGAAGCGCTTGTCTATGAGGCAAGTGTATTACTTAACTCACAAAGATCTCACTTATAATCCAAAAGGGGTATGTTGTTCGCACACCTACTTCTCCCGTTCCCGCGAGTGGTGGAAGTCACAAGCAATCGTTGACCGGACCCTTACTTGTAGCCTCTGAGGCACCAGGTTCGAATTGCATTTTCCTTCCGTATGTCGTATTAACATGTCTAACAATGTGTCTAGAACGCGCTGCGGTTGATCTCTGCGCGCCATTGATATTATCGTAGTTGAAACCTTCGCCTGTCTTTTCTCGTTCCGGCTACCATGCAACCTCCATATTTTCATGACAAGAGCCCAGTGATGCTCAGCGTCAGCGTACCCCGGTCAGGCAGGTCAGAACCCAGCAACTTCGGTCACTCGGGATTTAGGGAGGCTCGAGAAGCTTACGGGCTGTTCCATCCTTCTATCCTTCCCGAGTTCAACAGCTCCAGTTGGCAAGCTTCACGAATACGCGAGGACACATCAGCCTTCCATCTGGTCAACCATGATGGTCTCTCTCCACTCCTTGTCGCGACGCCCGATGCCAACAATGGGGTACACCAGGAGGGTGTGCGGTGGACGTCGCAGCCGCGATTTCAGCCCCATCCCGTCTCGTCTCCTCGTCAGCGTACTGGCTTCGTGCGTGGCTCGTCCTCACTTGGTGTCACGGAGCCCGCTGTGCTGTCGCCTCTGCTCTCGGAGGGATTTCCTTCGCCTTCGCTCCCTGTCTTGTCGCCACAGGCCTCCAAGCGCTTGACTGCCACGCGCAAGCAGAAGCGCTCTACCATCGCACGAGCCAAATCCACTGTCTTTGATTACCAGGCATCCTGGCTTGCGCTGTACTTTGCATTCAACCTTGGTCTGACTCTCTACAACAAGCTCGTGCTCGTGCGGTTCCCTTTCCCGTATACCCTCACTGCGCTGCATGCGTTTGCGGGGAGCGTTGGTGGTTGGGTGCTGATGCATCGTGGGACGTATGTCCCTGCCCGCTTGTCATTCCAGGGCCATCTTGCGCTTGCCGTGTTCAGTGTACTGTTTGCGGTGAACATTGCAGTAAGCAATATCTCGCTTGAGTTGGTCACTGTCCCAGTAAGTTTCGTTTGCAATGTGAGCAATGTGCCTTCTGTTGATCAGTCAACCAGTTTCATCAAGTTGTTCGGGCTGCGACGCCTATATTCACCACCGGCCTGTCCATCCTACTTTTTGGCACCCAGTTCAGCAGGATGAAGATCCTCACGCTTGTGCCTGTCATGGCTGGGGTAGCGCTTGCGTGAGACTCGTCCCGTGCTTCTCACCTGTGCGGCACGCTGACTGCCACGCAGAACTTATGGCGACTATTATTTTACCCTGTGGGGCTTTTGTCTCACCCTCCTTGGCACATTCCTCGCCGCACTCAAAACCATCTACACGAATGTCGTGCAATCCACCCCTATGAAGCCCTCGCCGCCCTCTGTCCCCGTCCCTTTCTTACAGTTCCTTCTCCCGCCGCGCTTGCGACTTCATTCCTTGGATTTACTCACGCGCATGGCACCGCTCGCGTGCGCTGAGTGCGTCTTTGCCGCATACCTTACGGGCGAGCTCTCGGGCGCGCGCCAGTGCATCGCTCGGGATGGTGCCAAGGGTCTTAGTATTCTCCTGGGAAATGCGTGCATCGCGTTCGGGCTGAATGTCGTTAGTCTGTCTGCGAACAAGCGCGTCGGTGCGCTCAACATGACCGTCGCCGGTATGTCTCTTTGCACGTGCGTATTGCGGATGTTTGCTAAAGCGCAATGCAGCGAACATAAAGCAGGTGCTGACGATCCTCTGCGCCGTGCTGATCTTCAACCTTACGATCACTGCGACGAACGCCACGGGCATCCTCATCACCCTCGTCGGTGGCGCGTGGTACGCTTGGGTGGAGTACGAAGAGAAGGCGCAGAGAAGCGGTGGCAAGCGGGTCTTGACGCAAGCTGGTTCGTGAGCACAGGACTATGAGACACGGACTCCGACGACTGTATCGCTTTACCCATGTACTTTGGTTTTGTAGTAAGTAATGAACGCTCTATACCACAGCTAGTCAAGATATCCTTACATTCCAACTTTCGTTTGTCTTTCTTCGTTGACTCATGCCCCTCAGGCCATCAGTTCGTAGCTCGAGAGGACCTTTACACCGAGATGTCTTCCGGACCGAAGCCGATCACACCACTGTGTACGGACCAGCATGTTGGAGTTCACTCAAATACTCAATGCTCGAAGCTAAGTCCGGAGAAACTCGCTAGATTCACGAGATCAATCATATCCCACGACGCGTCTTCCCGGACCTGGGACCGGATGAGGGGTTTTAATGTCCATACTGGCACGATGTCAGAGCACGTACGTTCTCTGTTTTGTTCTGAAACTCATTATGTCCTCTATTTGTCCTCTAGGCAAGATAAGGCTAGTCTTACGGCCCACTTGCAGTGAGTACCACAGCGCCATCCTATGCACACTGCTCCTGATCTTGTCCAATCGAAGGGATGATCGTCTGGAATCCTACAGCTCCGAACACTGATTTGAAGCCCGAAGTTCTCAAGCGAAGGCAATCCCAGCAGCTGCTGGGGTGGGCTGACCCTCTTTCTGTCACTGCATACCTCGCGCCACTCACGGTGTCCCCAAAATATCTCTGCGGACTTCCGTGCGTACCTCGTGATGCCGTCGAGAACATGTACGAGATGTCAACGAAAGATCTTCGGTGAGTGGTCGGACAACGTGCATCCGTCACTCACCTCCATGCTCTCATAAATATATCAAAGGTCTGTCGAGGAAGGAGCATACACCTCACACTCGCGATGCAGCTCTTGACCGCTCTCTGCGCCGCCCTTGCAGCGGCAATGGTCGTGGTGAGCCAGCCTCTGCCCGACCCTCTGGTGCGCAACACGACGACTGGGCTTGTTCGTGGTTATCTTGATGTCAACACCACCGGCGTGCCCCTCTACAAATGGTACGGCGTTCGCTTCGCGGAGACCACGGCGGGCGCGAACCGGTGGAGGCCGCCGCAGCCCTACTACGCGGAGGGCATCACCAACACGACCGCGTTCGGGGCGGCCTGCATGCAGGGTATCCCCAACGCAGGCAACGGCACGCAGAACCAGAGCGAAGATTGTCTCTTCATCAACGTCATAGCCCCTATGGGAGCCACGAACCTCCCGGTCTACTTGTACTCATTGTGCGTCGTGCTCCCTTCCGGTTTCTCCCGTCTCTCGATTAACTGCAGATGTGTAGTGGCGGTGGCTTCGACAGCAATGCTGCCTCCGATCCCAAGATCGACGGGTCTTGGCTTGCTTCGCGGGACATTGTGTACGTCAGCTACAACTACCGTCTGTCTATCTGGGCGTGGCCGGCCGCCGTCGAGATAGCACAGGCTGGTGAGACGCAGAACTTTGGCTTGTTGGACACGCGTACTGCGGTCGAATGGGTTAGAGACAACATTGTCAACTTCGGTGGCGATCCTACAAAGATCACTCTTGGGGGTGAGACTTTCACTTGATAATATCGAAGAGATGGCGTAACTCAATTTGTGAAAATCAGGCGAATCCGTCGGTGCAGGTGAGTCACATCCACTTTGCGTTTGACTCGTGTTATTGAGAACGTCGCCAGAGATGACGAACATGTACATGTCGGCATGGCCTGAGGATCCCATTATCCGTGGTGCAGTCATGCAGAGTGCTGACAGTACGCGTCACATACTTTTATAACCCTCATTTGGAGCTAAGGTCCTCTAAGCATCGCAGCCTATGTGGGAGCTCGGCAACCAGTTGATCCCAATCTCTCAGAACTTGTCCTGCACTACTGGCCCGGGGCAGCTCGACTGTCTGCGGACCAAGGACGCGTTTGCAATTCAGGCCATCCTCTGGTCGTCCGGCGCACAATTCCAGCCCGTCATCGATAACATCACGGTCTTCCAGGATTATGTCAGATTGATTATCACAGGACAGACTGCCAGAATTCCGTTGCTCATCGGGAATAACAAGGTATGTTACCAGATACGTAGGCGTTACCTCTCTGACGCTGCCACTTCTCTAGGACGAAGGATCAACGATTGTCAACGGCGAACCTACCGCATATACAAATGAAACTGCATACATGTGAGCAGGCGGGAGTACCTCGATAAATTAGGAGCTGAATGATATATACTCAGACTGAGCAATAACTTCAACTTCCCCATGGCGAACATTAACGCTGTCTTGAATATGTATCCCTCGCCATCGGCGCTGTACCCAACCACCATCAACGCCACTAGTGCCATGTGGCGTGATGCACATATGATTAGTCTCTCAAGTAACCTCGCCTTGTGGCGAACACAGTTGCTACAGCTGCCAGTCTGGCGGTACGAGTTCGCTCTGGTTGCAGACAACTTAAATGCACTTGGTGCATCTATCGGGACATTCCATGGTGAGCGTTTCGTAGTCTTATGTCGTTTAGTTAACTTCTGATGCGGAGTAGGCGAGGATATCCAATTTGTGATGGGGTGCGTTGCCATACAAGACAGCCGTACCGACAACGACTAACTCCAGAATAATCAGAACCTTGTATACCATCGCGGATCAAGCGCCCTATATACCTGCGACTCCCTTCCAGTATAACGTGTCCGATTACATGGTTACTGCATGGACTAACTTCGTCAAAGGTGATCCATTTCCTTCACTCCGTCTGTGACGCGGGTCGTGATATCCCTGATCTTAGACCCGACTTTGGGCCCGCGAATCGAAGGCTGGGAGCAATACAACCCTGCAGATCCAACCACTCTGGCGGTGCTCGGGATATCTGAGACCGGCGCGATCCCTGGAAATGCGAGTGCGATTGACTCGACCATCCAGTACTGGAACCAAATCTTGCCGCTTTTCCCAAGAGTAAGCAGTCTGGGTTTTAGTTGAAGATACTTTGATTGATGCTTGGGTTTGTCTGCTAGACTTATCCCGCTTGTGGAACCTGGACTTGTTCTGATTAGGCCGTAGAGGTGTGATGGCGTGTCGGATACCGGGCAGACATCTGGTTGTGTCTGAAGTAGGAGTAAAGAGAACATAACAACCACACGGAGAAATGCTGGTGTAACCATTACAGACAGATCTATTGCGATGGCCGTAAATTAGAGTATAAGTAGAATGCCACGCTAACGTGGGTTCTGAGTGAAATAACGTGCCAAAACCGCAGAATCCATCACACTTTTGTCTTGATGAGCCCAGCCATCATGTCGAAGCTATTCCCGTCCGGCTGTAGGTCTACATACCGTGGACCGCTTTCCCCTGACCATACATTTCGCTCCGGTATGGTGCGGAGCATCCCATGGTCGCTCGTGATCCCAACCACACGAACCTTCATGGGTGGATTTACCGTGGTCAGCGTTACCAACTGGTCCCTACAAGCAAAAAAATAGCTTAGTCATTGGATTCCGCAAGTTTCTTAAAGGCGCCAACGCACGAATGCAGCCATCGGTCAAGGTAAAGGTCCATGAAAGCGTCAAACGAGCCATGATCTGCGAGAAAGGTCCCCCACATTTTTTCAAATTGGGCCATGATGACCGCCACGGTTCGTTCCGCGCTAAGCTGTATGTCTGACCCTTCCGGCACGAGTTGTGCTAGTGATGTGATCGGCGGTGAGTTCAGGACGTTCAATCCACATCCTTCAAAAGTGGCATTCCATGAGCCGTAGTGACACTAGAGTATGACGAGAACATACCGATGACGATGTCGACCTTCCCCTCGGAGAAGCTTGTATGCACTAATATACCTCCGATTTTCTTCTTTTCCTCTCCGATCCCTGCATAGATATCGTTTGGCCATTTCAACCTGACGCTCTCTCCATGTGCGCCCAAAATATCCGAATACCTGCACGCCTCGACCACGGCAAGGCCAAAGAGGTATTGCACAAACACAAGACGAACCGCGGGTAGAGCAGACAGGGAGACGCGTAGCAAGAGCGAAAATAGGAGGCAACCTGGGGGCGAAATCCAGACGTTTGAGCCCCGCCCCCGACCGGCTAGCTGATGTGTCGCGAGTGAGAGGAGTGGCGTCGGAAATGAGGACAGCAAAGTGTGATTTCTACAGAAAGCCGAGTCTCGGGTAGGTGCCGAAGGATACACGGTAAGTAACAACGCACTTACTTGTCCAGCAGCGTCTGGGTACTTGTGACGACTTCGCCGTAAAGCAGCGCTTCTCCCATTCCCCACTCGCCTGCAGTATACTTCAAATCGGCCTCTGAGTGGGTAGCATAAAGTGCATCATAATACTGCTTCATGTCGAAAAGTGGAGTTTCGTGGTGCGAAGGCAACTTCCCATCCAAAAATGCAATAACATGTTTGGGCTGCCAGTTTGACGGGTCGTGATTTGTATCAGCCAATGTACGAGCTTCATCCAGAATCTCCCGGCCTTTCAAAGAATCGTGGAAATAGAAGGTATCGTTGCTATCGCGGAGGATGTGCGATGATGCCGAAACGTCAGGGATAGATAGAGCCGTCAATATTTCGGCTACTATTTCTGGTCTTGAGGGGTGCGCAGTCAGAATTTGAGGGAGAGGAACCGCGCGGGAAGTCGATGAACGTGCGGGAAGCTGGAGACCTAGGCGTTCGAGTGTGAAATGTACGAGAGTTTGCCGTTGCCTTTCTGCAGCGCCGACTTGCGCCGCAGATATAGTGGGGGTAGACACCATAAGAATCGAGCATGCAGGTTCTGCTGTGAGCGGATACTCAACATATAAATCCCAGAAAGCTGCTCTGCCGTTGGAAATGCGGCAGCTTATGCCGGCCGCCCCGTTGCGGCTTGCGCCATCTGCGTACTCTGCCAGCACTTCCATGTCCACTCCGCCTGCAATGTCGGATGGACCAGATTTTCCGGAGGACAAGACACCATCGACACGAGTACCATCAGGCATCTTGATCTCCATCGGCTGGGCAGAGTCGTCGGAACGCACGCCGAACTTGAGATCGATGCATGTTCCCGAAGCTTCGTCTACAAAATGGAGCGAATGATCTTCATGTACACCCATATTTTTAACCATATCTTCTAAGTTCGATCTCGCACTGCGTTGCTGCCGTACGCTAGTCGTCGCACCAAAGGCGATGAGAGAACCGCCCCTCTCCACGTATAGCCTGACGGCCTGCATAGCGGCGGAAGAAATCGTTAGAGGTGTTCGGCATGCGGGAAAGACAAGCAAGGCACAGGTCGAAGACCACGGATGGGAGGCAAGAGATTGAAGTGAAATGGATTGTACCGCATAATTGGGGGTTAGCAGAGATCGTAGAGTGGCAGTGGAATGCGAAAACGAGGTCTGCAAGACGTCAGACCCAGAGTATACCAGAACATTCATTGCGTGTCAACCAGCTAGGAAGTTACTGAAACGATATATTTTTGCGAGCTTTTGAGGACTTGGTTATGAATATGCACGTCGGCAGGTTTGGTGTACACGGGCTGCTCAGGCGGCGCTCGCGAGAGTGTCGGCTGAGGCCTGAGGGGCAGAGCGGGAATTGAAGTGAAGGTTGAGAAGGTTCTAAGAAAATATTTCTCTGCGTTCTAATATTCGGTTACGAGTGTCGAAATCGATATGTCAGGAGCCGATTTATTTGAGCGCCTTCAAATACGTGGCCTCACCTTCTCGGATCCAATGAACTCATCAATCAAGCTGCCAGCATATGCTTCTTGACTTGCCTGATTTGGAATGTATGGAGCGGCCGGAGGGCCGAAGCGCCAGTGAAGAGACGCTTCAGTCGACCACCGTGACGCACAGCTTCCCCACAGGATTTTTCTTCCTCTCGTATCAAAGTTTCTCCTCGCAATCCTGGTGCCAAACTTCAAGTAATTTGACTTCACTGAGTGCAACTCAACCGTGAGTCTGTCCGTGAAACAGTGCATGACCTAGAGGAGTTGTTTATTCAATACTAACGGCGGGTCTACCGTATTCATAGGCTCATTACTCTGCATCTCTGGCAAACACTTACTAGTAGTTTCTTTATGACTCTCAGTCCTGTCAATCTTCCGTTTGAATTACCCAACGAAGACCGGCCGTCCAGGTTGCCTAGTCCTTTGGCAAACTCAGACGACGCATATTCTACTATTAGTGCCGGGGAGTTCGGATCTGTCCATGAAGGCAGCGACCCGGACGCATGCACTGGTCAGGAAATGTCATCGGACGGCCTTGTTCCCGCTTCGAGTTCTCCAGTGTTCTCATCTCCCACAGCTGCTGTAACGCCTCCGGACAACGACTACGGCGGGGACATCTCAAGCTACAGCTTCCGACCTATCGTGATCGAAGGTGATGGCTCTGTGGGTTCACCTGGCGACTTCTCTGCGGATTCGGATGATGGACTCAACCCTTGCTTGAGAACGTCCGAAGCTTGCAAGGAGCAAACAAGCTTAACTGTGTCTCCTTCTAGCTCCTCTGTGCACCGGGAATATTTCACTAACGGCTCTATCAATGTTCAAAGTTCTGGGGATGTCGATGGGTGCAAATCCGTGGACGACGATATGGCTATATGCTCTCCCTTACCATCTCGATCAGAGCCCTCCTTCCTCTGTCGTGTCAATGATATGCTACTCGCTGTACAGCAGGAGCGTCGGCAAGCTGAGTTCCGACAGCGCATAGTCAATCGTCCTAATGAGACAGGCTCCGGTACCCATGTCCATGCGCCCGCTACTAGTGCTTTGAATGGTCCTTCGTCGGAAACAAGTATTCTTCTGGGCAATCCAGACAACCGGTCGGGTAGAACCTACGCTGTGTCTACTCTCTTTAGTCCTGTGCTATATTCTACATCCGTAATGGCCTCTGCATCTGACTCCGATGGAACTTCTTCATCAGCGATTGTCTCTCGTTCGATTTTCTCCGGCTCTACTTCGCAGTCTGGCTCTACGCAGTCCGTGTCTCGTCCCTGCTCTCTCAGTCAATCTCAGCCTTACAACGCAAACTCTGATCGCGACAAACCCATCTCCGCAGACCAGAGCAGTATGGACGTTACCGTGGAGCGCACATATACCTATGCTCACGCTGGCGACCCCGAAGGAAGACACCTCAACGTGGACAGCCTAGCATCTCCAGCAAGTCCTGGCGAGCAAAGGAAGAATGAAGCCACGTCAACGGAGCCTCAGGCAAGCTCGCGACCCGTTCTTGGCCTCAAGCGTCAGTTATCAACTCGTGGAGCCCCCCCTGCAAGGGAAGTGAACCGCAGCCCACTCAACAAGCGCAAATCATGCGCATATACCCACTCCGAGGAATCGGACCAGTACCAAGTGGAACGCGGGCGCAAACGAGTCAGGCTGTCCATGGAGTCCCGGTTTTTCAAGCGGAAGGATAGCGGAGGCCTCAAAAGCAAACCTCGGCAAGAAGAGCCCAACGCGTCCATGAATCGTGCCTATGCGAAAGTCCCTGCGAGTCTCAGACGGGCCGAGTCGCTCATGTCGGAGGCGTCGATGTACGCAGAAGAGAAGGTGAATGTCACGCGTTTCTCCAGCGACATTGACTTGACAACTCCCCAGGAGAACCTTGATCCGCGAGGACACGCCGATGATGAAGCAAAATCGTCAGACTCAACGCCCCACGATGGTAGCAGTTCATTCGCAAGTAGTGGGAAGTCGTCTAATCGCACCCCGAAAACTTTCTATACTCCTGAGTACCACTATATTCCTACTGCTCCTGCTACACCCGCTACACCCGTCCAAACTCGGCGGGGTGTACGATCTACTCGCCAGCGTTCGCACAGTCGGACTGAAGACTTGGCAGCTGTGCCGATTATTGCGCCTCCTCCATTCGAGATGATCCCGAGGGGGCCTATTTCAGCGGAGGATTCAGCCGAGCAGAGAATCACAGTCATGTTGGAGAAGGAGAGACAGCAACGGGAAGAGGATCGTCTCGGAGCTAGGAGCCAGAGAACATCCGGACCTCAGGCGGATGAGATAGTTAAAGATGAGCACGATGAAAGAAATGGGGCGGATGAACAAGTGCATGCTTGGAGAGCAGGAGTGAATGCGGGTAATCCGGAAGAAGCGATTAAGGTAAAGATTGAAGACAAGTACGGCGAAGAAAGCGTGTTTAGCCGAATGCCTCTGTTCTCGCTTGGGATAGAAGAAGGTTTGCGAAGAGAGGTTGTCGAGTGGATCCTGGATGTACGTCCGAGCCTGGCAGGCGGGCCTCTCTTTCCTTCATATCCTAGCTCGGTTACCCTCTAATCAGTTCCCCTCGCCCATACAGGTGGTCCCTGGAACGTACCCCACGAAGCCTAAGTTCTGCTTGCACCTGCGTGACCAGCTCACTACTTCAGAAGAGACACGTTTTCACGCTGCGTACCTATTTATGCGCTACTTTTTGCGCGTCGGCAGTGGGCCCGAGTCTCCCAAGGCTAGAGGTATGGACATGATTCTGCTGCGCGAAGGTCGTGAGGCCGTGACGTGGGACGTGGCTGTTGCCTGTATTGCGCTTTGTGTAAAGGCGCGTTACATATTGCTGTTCTCGATGTATATTCACTGACTGTGCTGCAGTTTCACCGGGATGCGCTACTGCCCTTGTACATCATTCTTGCTTGTGAATTTTTGTCCATAGCTCCGCACTCCATATCAAACGATGATCTCGAGGTATTCTCGTTGTTGTCATCACCAAGCTGCTTACATAGCCTGTCTCTAGGCGTCGCAGCGAGATGTCTTGCAGACCTTCTCCTTCAGCATCGGCAGTATCACGCCAGAATCGTACATGCAAGAACTGTGGCTTGCGCTGCCTAGCCTGCGAAAGCTGCTAGGCTTTGATAACGGCTGGAAGGTCGCACAGACGGAGGCATGGTCTGTGTTACTTGATGCTCTCTTACGTGAGCTCATCACGTTTAAACGCCGACCGCAGTTGTTGACACGGATATTACTCATAGAGGAGGATATGCTCCGCTTCCCTGTGTCGCTGCTGACCGCCTCAGCGCTAATCGATGGAGTCGTCGAGTCGCTCGCGCGCCGGTACATGGAGGAGTCGTTCCGCAAGGTGGGCTGGCTCACTACCAGCTGTCAGTGCAAACAATTCAGGAAGAAGGCCATCAAGGCCGCGTCGGGGTTCATGCTCGACATACAGGAGATTCTCGGATATTCAGCGGTGAGCGTTTACCATAACAGTTTCGCATGGATGATATTGCTAACAGCGAAGGCAGAAGGATTTGAAATTCTGTCGGCAGTGGTTGCGGTCGATCGTCTGAGTGGCTGTCGGGTGTACTCCAGCGGTTCACTTCTCTTGTACTCTGCTGCAGTCTCGAACGATTTGGAACTCTGTCATTCTCACAATGTTGCGTGTCCCGTCTGCATGTCTACTGAGGCTCTTATTCATACTCGTTACCGCTTGTCTCATGACATGGGTGATCTGTTGGCGCAATGAACCCGGCCCTTTAACTTTCATGTAGGTCCCCCATTACTGACCGAGGCAAAGACGATTGGAATATTCAAACAGGGCGTTTGATCAGACAATTCGTCAGTCGGTCCGCCCTTGTGATGTGCCTTGCTTCCTAATACTTGGATTCATCCCATCATGAATCTTCTCCGGGCTTCTCTCTGACCATACTTAATGGCCAGTGAGAAACCTTGGTTGTAAGTACTCTCTGATGCATATACTCGACATGGACTCACACTGTCGCGAACCCACCCTCGGAATCGGAGAAGAAAAGTGACGAAATTATCGCAGCGAACGGTTGTGCTAACTCCCACGAATACCGAGTTTGAGTTTCCGGAAGGCAGGTGGGAAGCATGGACCGTAGTCTTCGGCGGGTTCATGGTCTTTGTAGCCTCGTTCGGTGTCATGAATACATATGTGAGCAAATCATTACAGTTCAATACGGATGAGAACGTATGATATTGATCGTGTTCGCGATTAGGGTGTCTTCCAGGATTACTACTCATCGACACTTTTGACAAAGTCGTCGTCATCCACGATCTCGCTCATTGGAGCGATCCAGATATACCTGCTGTACAGGGCTGGTCCGGTCGTGGACAGGATTTACAACGCGTATGGAACTACCGTAATTTGCTTTCCTTTCACCCGACGTACTACTACTGAACTATAGCATGCAGGTTATCATCGCTGTGGGCTCGTTTCAGACAGTGTTCTCTCTTATGATGGTGTCTTTAGCTCAGGAAAACCAACCATACTAGCTGTTTCTATCACAAAGAATCCTCTTCGGTATGGGCATAGCAGCGATGTAGGTTCTCCCGTCATCCTTGTAGAGTTAGATGTGGAATGAACCATTGTGTTTAGCTTCAATCCCGCTATGACCGTCGTAGGCCGCTGGTTCCGTCGCAGGAGGGCCTACGCGATGGATTGGCTGGAAGGCCACCGGCCACACTGCTTGAGGTTTGAACCGGCTGTGCAGTCGTGATCAGAAGTGAAGAATTATAAGTGCGTCAGACGGGAGGATGGCGTCGAGCTCCGCAAGGACAGCGACGACGAGGTCGGAGACGATGGCGACGAGGAGTGATGTGCACGTCGCCGGGTACGTTGGCGACAAGTTCGTTGACGCGCTGGTGACACGGCCATGTGATGTATGGAGGGCCAATCGTTGGCAGTGACTCCTTTTCTAAGTAATGACTGCAAAGTTCAAGCAGAAAATACTACAAGTATCTGATAGGATATCCACAACCGTAAGGCGATATGCGTCCTCAGTGCACGAACTCATAACGAGGTCTGTAAGAAACAAGGTCTACATCGCCAGTCTCTAGGTAGATTGAAACAACTGACAGCGAAACATTCGCTTACATTACACGACACGACACGAAGCAAAAAAAGGGTTGAAGTTCCAAATTCGAATCCAGTTACTGCGAGCACGACAGCACATCGTATCCCCCAATGCGAAGGACGTCCAGTAGGCCTGTCCCACAACCGAATGCCAGTGCACGCTTTGAGCGAGTCATAGAAGAGCTCGAGGCACGATGGAGCTAGGACCGGTCGAAGTGGTCAATTCCTCACACGCATAAAGTGACCTTGAGAGGGCGTATGCGATGAGTCGCCCTTCGGTAAAAGGAGTGATCAGTTGATATTGCGGAGTGTGAAGGAGGCATGTAACATATACTTACTGAATAGGGACAGCTACATTTGCTTGCGCGAAGGCGCAGCTGTGATTGCTTCCGATCGCATACGTTCGCCGTTGCCGTGATTACTGGCTCCCGATATTTTCAGCTCTGTGTCGTGGAATGCCTCCGCATCCAGTTGGGGCTGAACATCGACGGGACGCCTCAAGCCAGATAGCGTCTACCTTGCTGATATCCTCGCACGTTTCGCTGGCCTGCCATTCGCCGGTTCTCCGTCCCTATGCATCAGATCACCATCCGCCGGCTCGCGCTGGTGACGGGCCTTCCGTTTGTTCGGTGGTATCCCTGCTCGGTGCACGACCACCCTCGTCACATCCTTGGGCTTGGCTTCTGATTCATCGTACTTGTTGAAATGAGGCTTCTTGTCATTCTTGGGCAAGTATTCGTTGGCTTTGTACTGCTCCCAGTATAGCTTCCACGGTGTTGGGCCATCCCAGTTACCCTCACAGGGATTTGGAGAAACTGCCGCATCGGAGCAATCACCATTTTCGCGCGCGGAGACGGCATTTGACGCTGACGAATCCTCTTCCTCACGGGGGTGGTTGTAGTTCATCGAAGTCTCCAGCCAAACACCGAACGGCTCAGCAAACCGGGATGGGTCGACGTACTTCCGATTCTTCTTATTTTGCAATTTACCCTCGCCTGGTTCCATCGACCGGAGTTCCGTTCGGCCACTCTCATTGCGGGAGACCACCTCGCGGTTGAAAAATATTGCCTGGACTGCCTTGTCTGCATCGAGCTCATGAGGAAGCCAGTGCAGGCCACAATACAGGACAACGTAGAGCAGAGACTCCATGTCATCTTCGATGGTGTGTCGCAGCCTGCCGTTCCCTGTATCTAGACGGTGAGACATGAAAGCTTGGGTGCCCTGTGAACATGGGAGCGACGGGTTAGTGACGCATGGCAAACGAGGAATGTCATAATGCTTACGACTGTCCAGTCACTCTCGGATAGCCCATCATCTCTGATATGCGACGATAGCTCCCAGTCGATAAGGTACCCATGGCGAATGTCTTCACCGGGCTCCTTGAAAAGCAAGACATTACCTATGCTGATATCACGGTGGAACACCTTTGCCTTGACCCTTGCGTCGATGATACCTGTCGTAGAGATGGTAAATGATAAATGAAAACCAAACGATAAAACTCGAAATGTACTCACTTTCATATACATCGTAAGTTGCGTGGAGGAGCTCCTCTGTGCCCCGTATGTCTTGCAGCGGAAGGCCGACCGTGGTAAGTATCAGTCGGTAGTGAACGCGCGAGCGTACCAATATTTGGCGGTCGCTGCGGCATAACCACTCCGCCATTCGGTATCTATCAGTCTGAGTTCGTTGAAACGCTAGAGGAAGGCATAGTTAACTTTCAAATTCAATAAATTCGACGAGACGAGCTTACCTGGCGTGTTCATCAACGCGTTGCTCCTACTCCGCGTTGTCCGCTGGAAGGTGGCCATCCCAGAAAACTGCGTGGGGATATCTCCGTATAATACTTTCTCGGGTACATCTCCGTGGCACCTCACCTGAGGAATATGCCTGACGCCTGCTTTGTGAAGTTCCTCGAGAACGTCTCCTTCACATTGGTCGGTGAGTGACCATTCACGCCATGTGTCCTTGAGAAAGACGATGGCGCGATCGACGACTCCCCAGAATCCACGCATACAGCCTCTCCGCATAGAGGCGTACGTGGAGACCGGCCTGCACACCAAGCAGCGCTTGAGTTGACGCACGCCAGCTTTATCCGCCTTTTCAACGATGCTAACAGCAGCCACGTGCCCAGGATCGTAGTGCTTGTCGATGGAATTTTGGAGAATAATACGGTCGCTGTCGGAGAGGCTGTCGAGCGAGTCGTTTCTGAGGGAAAGACCCAATTGCACGCAAAGATAGTGAGAGAGCACCGTCTTGAAGCGGTACTCCTCATTTTTAGAAGCTGGCTCGACCGTCGGGTCGTAACCTCTCTCGACTGTAGATGCGTGGGCGAACCTCCAGAGGAACTCGCACAAAATCTCTGGCTTCTCATGAAGGTCGAATGCCGCTGATGCAACCAGTCCACTAGGGTCCCATCGAAGGAGTCGTGCTGAGGTTCCATGGATCGCCACGGAGAAATAATGTAGGCGGTGTTGGTTCACCAGGGCATCAGTGGCCCAGCAAACATTCCTGCCGAATTCCTGTCGCGCCTTTTGGCGTTTGGATTTGTGGACATGGCCGAGGATGCGGAGGAAGTCATGGCGGGCGCCGTCCACGCTTGGCGGAGGGTCACAGAGAAAATCTCCATGTTCGTCCTTCTGTATGTCGATGAAGAGCTCACAGTATTCTCTAGGAACGTCGTCGTCATCGCTGTTCATCCTCATGATAAGCGCGGGTTGGTCTTCTTCATCTTCGGGGTCGTTATACTGAAATACAAATCCTGGGCAGCGATTGTGGCTATTGATGGAGTGGCGCTGGGGATAAACAAACAGATAACTTAAGCGTCAGCTGAGGAAACAAGTGCGCGAGAAAATACACACCAATCCAGATGCCATGTCCCATTCGTCCAGATGGTTGAATGCGCCACACGCTGTCGGCATCCGCGCCATGTTCTTCATTGGTAGGAAGTCCAGGAATTGTGCGGTGGGCATAGGGCCGAGGATATAATCCTCAGAAGTTTTGGCGTACCACTCGTTCTCAAAGTGTGACAAACGCAGATCCTCTGGTTCATCAAGCGAAGAGTCTGCATTGGTTGCCTCCACACAGGACGAGTTGAGGTTGATTGAATGATGGTTGGGAGTCTCAGCGGGGTTCGCAGTCGTGAGAGGCATGTCGAAATAGTGTTATAAGCGGAAAAAAGCTGTTGACACAGGTGTCCGGCGGTGATTGAAAGAGAAAGCGAGAACAAATGTTGAACGCCTTGTTTTTAATGCAGCTTGGCCGGTACCACGTGACCGCGACAGACAAGAAACAACCAGCGTCGACACCTCTAAAGCGCAAACTAATGATCGTCTTGGCAACAAAAATATCTCCCTTGTCCATTACGCCACAGATCCGAGTCCCAATATCGAGAGAGCCCGTGTGCTCTCAACGAAAGCCTTGCAGCCTTATGAAATCGCCACCTGAAACGAAGAGCTTTGAAGGCCGAAGTACAGAGTTCCCATTGTTGTTCTGCTGGCGAACGTCAAGCAATTCGAGCTCAAAAGACTATCATGCAGTTGAAGTTTCACCGCAGAGACAATAGAGTGGAAATGGAGACGACGCCACAGTAGATTCCCCCCACTGACCAAGTCGTTGTGCGCGCCACCAGACAGAAGAATAGTTGCCTCGACGAAGTTGGCCGACTGGTGAAGAACTTCATACCGGCCATCTATAGAAATGCCCACTGGCTCGTCAAAGAATACTCGCGGGATTTGCTACGATATATGCGAGGTCTTGGTTCCGTAAGGTGCGTCAGCATTTGCCTTTCAAACATCTTAGCGATGACGAATGAAAATTAAGAGACTCACTACACACCGCTACCTCCTATTGCACCAGATGACCGCAGAGGAATTGCACATTCACGTCCAACACAAAATATTAGTCGATGCTTGGAGTATGAAGAAGTCTGAAAAGTTCTCGCGTTGATAAATGAATTCAAGTAGGACTCACCGCACGATCTCGCATACCGAACTTCGCACTATATGACCCAGCACGTGTAAAAATCTCCGCCCCGTAGAAAGCACGAACCATCCGATATGACGGAAAAGGCTAGCTTCCCTGCCACTTGACCATTTCGAGGGCTCACCGTTAGAATTGGACTATGAGGCCATTTCCAGTCTTAGTGGATAACAAGATAAGCTGTCGAATCACACGCAACTACAAATCATCACATGGCAAACTCTTACCAGCTGAACGAAGCGCTGTGATACAAAAGCTAGAAAGAGGGCTTCCTGATCCTCAAGTCGTGAGGTACTTCCACTCAGTGAATAGTGAGTACTGTGTCCATTAAGATATGCCGGATGAACGTAATCTGAAGCATACGATTGCTCTGATTAGCAGCTATCGAACTCGAGCGGGAGATAAGCTGTGTTCGCGTACACCGTATAACTCTGCTGTGTGAGCTGCGATCAAGAGAACGATTCACTTGGTCCGTTTGTTACATGCTGCAGAACGATGTCATTCTGCTCGTCTCGTCCAGTTGTTATATTGCTCGACTTCGAACTACGGCACTCACTGCTCGACAGCATACTGATCAGGGGAAATGTAGTCTTCATGCAAGCCCAAACAGACCCTCATATCAGAAAGTGAAGAACGCATCGCTGTATGATCCAAGTGAGTTTTTTTACCACAAATCCAGAGGATCAAATTCTATGCCTCTTCTTCTCTCTGAAGCAGCGTATATCCTCGACCTAGGATGCGTGAAACATATGGCAACCGGCAAGGATGGAGACAAGAATCCTACCGTCAAAAGTCGCGCATGTATGTCGACAGCACGAGATACAAAATACCAGCGGATTGCATCGACCGCGAGATAGCCAGCAAGGGGTAACAGATGTTTGTGGGCACTGGTGGGCGCCGGAGTGACGTGTATTTTTAGTCACGCGCACATGACTGTGACATTTCGTGTTCTAGGTACAACTATAAGACATTGGCGTACTCCATTCGTCCAAATATGTCAGCGTGCAGGATCGCGCCAATACGGAAACCACACGTACGATTACCACTCATTTGTCCATAGCCAGCGCAAAGAGTTCTTGGGACAATCTGCTTCGGCCACTGAAAATCCCCAACGCCGCAGCCGACTGCTGACACCTACTTAGCACCCGCTGTGGTAAAATTCTGCGTACGCGTCGTGCTCCTTGAAGAGCATGTAAGGCAAAAAGATGGCTGGAGGGAATGCATCCAAACATGCATGTCTGGACGCGTGGTTGGGAAATTCGCAAACGATCTATTGGAGGAAAGCACTGACCAGATGCGACTGAGGAAAATGAAGGCAAAATCAGTATACCGGAGACTGCAAATAACGTGCACTACACGCGGGTGACATAGGTGCTCAAGCATATTCTGTACAAGCGAGATGCGTACTTGATGCAATAAGTAGTGTCTATCGAGAGGGTCGCCGACTTGGCGCAGCGGCATATAGACGGACGCACTCACGCGTAGTCAGATTCTTGTCAAGTCAAAGATCCTATCGCGGTGCGGGCGCGTCGCTAAGGCATAGAGCACATTCTACCTTTTAAGACGGTGACGGTCAGAGTGTGCTCTGACTCTTGGGGGGCCAGCGAGTCGGCTGTCCGGGACGTATCTTGGGGTGCTCGAGAATCGGAGCGGAGATTCGAAGTCTTAGGGTCGGCATGAGAAAGCTCTAGGTTTAACGCAAGAAGATGAGCAGAGCAACATAGGCTGAGTAAAGCATACTGTCGGGTACGTTTCCTATTGCTGAAACGTCCGCCTGCCATGAGTTCGAATGGGAAGAGGCTGGATGGACCTGCGTACGTGTAGTCACAGATCCGTGTCTAACTGTGGAGAAGGCACTTACGGTCGATCGATGCCCAACTGCTTTAAATACGATGGCAGCCCATGGACCAATGTTGCAGGGTCCAGTGCTGGACTCAGTTTGCCTGAGTAAACAATATAGCTGGTTCGAAGGTACGGATACAGGCGTGGAGGCGGCTACAGTCCTGTCCGCAATCAGCTGCAATGACAACAACGGATCCAGACAGGTGGAACGGATTGAAGGGAATAACTGCGTGGTATATCTCGCGATGCCATTCTCAATGGTGAGTATGCCGCACTGACAGTAGGGAATAACGAGCGAAAGATTCTGGTAACATTCGTGTCAAATCCGGCCGAGCGTCAGGGCAAAATGATGCTAAATGCGGTCTGCCAGCTTTACCTTCAGATGAACTATGAGGAACTTCGAACAATCCACACTGCACGGCAACCTTGTCAGGCCTGCTGGAATACAAAGACAACACCTGCCACCTGCGGTGAAGGAAAAAATGTATACGCGACGAGACAGTTTAGTGAGAACTGGGACAGCGAGAAGATCTGACGCTGCGACTGCAAGAATCATAGTTATAACCACTGCGCAAGATAAGAGAAGGGGTGTAGCTAGGAGAAGACAAGGAGAAGACGACGCCGAGTCGGTAACGGCCTGCAATGCTGGTTCGGGAATAATCGGACCTCCGCCCCCTCCTTGACCCTGGTCATGCCTTTCATCTCGCTTGGTGGGCAGACTATAAAACCATCCCATGAAAATATGCGGACAACAATTCGTCTTTTCGTGTTGACTCAAATCCATGGCCTGTAGTACTAGACACCTCATCGAAGTAAGTCGCAAATTCAAAACCTTCCGATAATACAGGAGATTTTCCCGTGGCCTTGCACTACAGATTCTGCCCACCGCCGACGCATCATGACATGCTCCCTGCTTCTGGTGGGCCAACTCTATGCGCTCAGTGAATTCTGGCGCGTTTATTGGACATATAGTATGCTGGTCCTCGCGGCTGGGGCGCCTTCCGTTTATTCGGATAGATCCCTGATTTGTGCAGAACTGTCCTCACTGGCAACTTGACTTGAGGCTCTTCAAACTCCTCGCTGACAAGGTTCATCCTTTTATTGTGTTCGGGCATGGCCGACTTCTGTGTCTCCAAGAAATTGGTCCAGAAGTCGTAGAACGGCTGCGGGTTGACCCAGTCGGGAGGGTACTTGAAGTCCTGTTCCGAACTCTCGGTGGGACTGGATTGTCTACGGGGTGAGTTGAAGCTCATGGCCATCTCCAGCCACTGTTGGAAAGGTTGTTCGAAGTGTACGGGATCAACATACGACCGATCCTGTTTGTTCTTTAGTTTGCCTAACCCCTGCACCATCGGAACATATTCCGCGGGCAGGTCAGGACGGGACGTGTTGGGTTCTTGAAGCATGTGGTTGTGGAACATCCCTTGGTCTGCTTGTTGGGCATCCTCAATATTGCGGTGCGGCAACCAGTGCAAGCCACAGAACATCACGACATACAGTAGTGACTCCATGTCATCTGCGATTATTTGTCGCACCTTGTTCCCGGCCTCCGCAAGCAGGCGTTGCGCCATGAATGGCACGGTTCCCTAGGAGGTGCGGTCAGCGATTGGTGACGTGCTGCCGCGAATACGGCTCAGAGGTAGGGGGCTCACTAATGGCAGTTGGTTGTCTGCTTCTCCATACGCGTCCAACATCGCTGCCAGTTCCCAATCGACAAGGTACCCGCGGCGAGGCCCGTCAGAGGACTCCGTGACGAGGACGACATTAGCGAGGCTAACATCACGATGCAGCATTCTAGCTTTGTCGTGTGCATCTTTTATGGCTGTTATGCACAGATCGGCCCGTGAGTTACTGAGAGTTACACAAAATACTGTTACTAACCTTGGAACACGTCATACGTGGCATGCAGAAGCTCCTTCGTACCCGACATGGTGTGCAGAGGGTACCCAACCGTACCCAGAATAAGACGATAATGACGCCGCGAGGATACTTTAATGTCTCGACCGCCATTACATGCCCACTTCGCGGTCTGAAATCTATCCGACTGCGTGCACTGGTAGCCTAGAGATGTGTCAGTGAGTTTCAAATGGAGATCACATTGGATTGATGACCCTCACCTAAATTATTGCCCAGCGCAATGCTTCTACTTCGGGTGACTCTCTCGAAGGCAGCCTCGGTAGGCAGCCGTTCAGGAACGAGACCGTGATATTCTAAGACAGGAATATTCTGCACTCCGTTCATATGAAGGTACTCGAGAACGCCGCCCTCGGACTCTGGCTTGCTCTTCCACTCTCGCCACGAGTCCTTTAGGAAGACAATTTTTCCCTTGAATAGGCCCCAGTGTCCACGCATGCTTCCCCTCGACATTGAGGAGTTCGAAGCGATTGGCCTCGACACGATGCAGCGATGAACCCTTCCATCGTGAACAACACTGATGGCTGCTACTCGCCGTGTTTCGTAGTGGGTTTTAAGCTGCTCTGCGAGCTGTTTGCGCTGGATCTGCAGGAGCTCCGGTTCAGAAAGGGGTTGGCGTTCTTCAGCAGCAATCTGACTTTGCTCCGGAGATATGTCGCCCTCGTCCAAGGAGTCGTCTTCATCAAAATCAAAATCATCTTCATTTTCAAGTTGCTCGGCTTCGTCGACATGAATTTCGTTGCCATCTAGAGAACGATTGTCCAGCTCGTTAGCTTCTCCACCTTGTTCGTCAAAGAGTTCGTCTATGTCCCGGAGGATCTCCTCTTTGTACCCCATCTGCTGTTGAATATGGTGAGCGACAGCGGTCTTGAATAGCCGCTCTTCACGCTGTGACGCTGGCTCGACGGTCGGATCATATCCACGCTCAACTGTGGAGGCATGCGCGAATCTCCATAAGAACTCGCAGAAAGGTTCTGGCTGCTTGCGCAAGTCGAACGACTCGGAGACGACGACTCCACCCATATCCCAGCGTAACAACCTCGCCGACGTGCCGTGGATAGACACAGAAAAGACGAGGACACGATACTGTTCTGAACACGCCTTCGCTGCCCAGCGTGCATTCCGACCCAGCACCTCGCGACTCTTATCGTGCTTCTCATCTTTGGAGTTGGTAGGCTTGTAGACGAATTCGTGCGTGGCTCTGTCGGCTCCTGCAGGTGGGTCGCACAAGAAATCTCTCTGGCTCTTGCTTTCCACGTCGATGAACAGTTCGGCATCGTACAATGGACAGCCGTTGTGGATGGTCTCGGTTTCTTTGGATACACAAACAATATTGGGCCGGTCGTCGCGTTCCCTCACGGGCGAGTAGCGAAACTCAAAACCAGGACATCGGTCGACATCTGCGAGAACTCTGGCCTACAATACGAGACTTTCCAGATCATACACAAATACAGCGCTTGAATGTCACGCACCAATTCAAATGCTACATTAACTCCAGGTTCTGTAGGCAGGCCGCCAAAGGCGCTATACGGAATCGGCATCCGTGCCCTGTTCTTTTCAGGCAAGAAGTCGAGGAACTGAGCGATAGGCATGGGACCGACGATGTATCCCTTGGCGAGCTCTGCCTGCTTCTTGTTCTTCTCTTTCAGTGGTCGCGCCACATAGTCGACGTACTTGTCTTCGGAACTTGAAGTGTCAGACTGTGCCCTTGAATGGGAAGTTTCTGAGTGAGACTTGGGTTTATTGCGCTGCGAGAGCGGCGAAGAGAGATTGGACATGAGCGAGAAGTGGGACATGTTTGTTGAGTGTTGAAGCTTGAAGAACGTTGACAAACGTGAAAGTTGTACCTTCCGCGCATTAAATGGCTGGTTATTCTGCGCCACAGCCTGGTGCACGTGATCGCGTTGGGAACAATAGTCGTGTTCAACCTCTTGTTTTATCATGACTACTGTCGCCAGGGCCAGTTACCTGGGTTGTCTCGAGCTAGCATATCAAGGAAATCATTGTGAGGGGTTAATATCAGAGCATTTGCTGGCTCAGAGAGGTCGAACAGTAACATTCCTGCCGTCTTGAGGGAAAACCTTCGTCGCAGAATATGGTGTCGCGAATTGTCACTGTCACCGATCCAATTTTTGCCCATACGAACCTCTACTTAGGACGATGCCATCGTCGATCATCACCAGCATCTTCATCATGGCCCTTTGGCTGCCAGCGCGGAACTCCGGGGAAGTTATTGCCTTTGCCGCGCTCTGTGGCCTACTTACTTACTATTTACAGGTCCATTGTAACCCTACCGCAGGGTTACAAACTACCGCCCGCTGTTGATATCTTGACTCGCGCCTTCATTGGAGCTTCAGATCTCTCCGTACGCTCTCAACGAAGATTAAATAAGCCCGAGCCAAGCCCGAGCCAAGCCCAAGCCCTACGGTCAGGCCTGGCTTGAGGTTTGACGAAGCCTGCTAAAGCCAAGCCAAAGCCAGGGCTTTCAGGCCAAGCCAGGCCCTCAACAACACTACCTCGGAGACTACACGACGGGGCCTACAGTACTAGCCGACACTAGCCGGTTCTCCTGTAGAAACGGCCTTTCTACAGAGTGCTATATACTGTACTGATATGACCTTAGGTTCACGACATGTCCTCTTCTCTCAGTTCACAGTTCACAGACCTCATGCGACGCGGGCGCTAGATGAACATTTGCTATATATGGGATTTTAGCGCCCATGAACACATTTTCCCTGTGCCTTGTGACGTGTGACAAGCGCCCAAAACGGTTCAGTTCACTGGTCCTGTGACGCGTGACTGAACCTAAGGTCATATCAGTACAGTAATTAGGGACATTGCTACAGGCCTCTCGGGCCTACGCAAGCTACATAGCACTACCTACTTACTAAGGCCCTGTTCGGGATCCCGATAATCATTATAGAGCCGCTCTAGCAATGTCCCAAAACAGCGCAGAGATTATCGCACACCTGTCATGTGATGAAAAGACCGTTGGCCCAGAGCCTCTAACCCTAGCTTAGGTGCCCGAGCCTCAACCGAGCCCTGACCGACATCTTCATTGGGAAGGGGCGTGATTTGCCGAGCAACCGATTGGCTAATTCCACATCAGTCTCGGTCTGTCGTGACCAGTCTCGACTTTAACACGTGAGCGGCAAATCCCCGGCAACATGGGATCTCATCTTATCTGTAGCCATATTGGGCATTCTGGAGTCCATTTAACTTTTGGCAGGCAGAGGATTCTACAGCAGGGATGGCAGTGACGGGGTCTGACCCCGTCAAGCCAGAGGTCATGACCCGTCCGACCCCGAAAGGTCAAAAAGGTCAAGGGTCACCGCGTGACCGACGCGCGCGCACAACTCAATGGCACGCAACATATATTTCGTACGAAACTGGTTCATTCGTAGAATAGATCTTGTCGTCTCGAAAAAGTAGACAAAATTAGCTTGAATCCCGTCACCTACAAATTGTCATGGTGGGCTATCTTGATATATTATACAACCCGTTCTCCGAGTCATTCAAGGGCTACATATCGTCCTTCCAACCTCTCATAGGACTGATTTTGTAGTCTGGCTTTGGGAGACTAAGGGCTACAGGACTGTTTATGCTACTCCTCAAATTCCTCTGAAGGTCATGTGTCCGGGAGACTTGCATCCATGACAGCATCCAGCCCCAGGGCCTGCATGCATATCTCATGAAGTTTCATAGCCATACAGCAGACACACCACATCCTTGGATTGACTACTTGTTCATCCAGTTTTGGCCTTCTTTAGAAACCCTTCCGGACTGGGTGGGGGACATACCAGAAAGCATGCACATAGTGCCAGAGGGAAGGAATAAATATATGTTGTGCTACACAGTAAGTTAGACACTGCATCGCCAGTGTTAAGCACCAAGCGTTTAGTTGCTGCCGAAGCTGCCGAGCCGTGTCAGTCACGCCTTGACGCGCTGACCTCCGTGACCCTGGGGGTCGGACCCCGTCAAGGTCACTGACCCCGTCAAAGGTCAAGGGGTCGAGCGTGACCTTGCCATCCCTGTTCTACAGCGGCCGGATTATCGGGATCCCGAACAGGGCCTTAGGTATTGTCCTTTCTCTAGAATCAGAATCCAAGGGTGTAAGACATCACGCTCACGTGATCACGCGTCTCAAGACGTGTCAGACTCAGTGCAACACAGCTCGAATCGCGTTTCCGGCAGTCAGATCATCTAACTCCGCCATTTTGATCCTAAAATACATTTTTCCAAACACTACATACACAGAAAACCCTTGCTCCTAGATTGTCGCCGTCCCAGGTGTGCGCAGCTCTAGCCGACGACAGGCAGCCCGAGGTGCGGCGCGAGCCGCTCACGAATGAAGTCCTCGACAGAGTGCAATTCCACGCCGAGCGCGAGGACGTTCTCGTCCGGGATCTCCTTCCCGCCATACATGCCCATCTCATTGTACAGCCGGAACATGATGTCGCGGTCCGGCACCCCCGTCGTCGCCAGCGTCACGTACGCCGCGCGCTTGCCCGTCACTGTGCCACGCCGTCAGCGGATGCGAGAGGCGGGGCGGGATGGGAAAGGCGGAGCACGCACCCTTGGTCACTGCGGCGACGATCTCCCTCGGCGACACCCGGGCGTTGCTCACGTACAGGTACTCGTGGTGCAGCTCCGGCCGCGCCTCGTACTGGTCCAGCACCGCCTTCGTCACCCCCGCGAGGTCCTTCTCCACATACAGCATCGCGACTGTTATCCACATTGCCGCAGACACGACGAGAGGGCACGTTAAATTCGGCACCGCAACGAGCGTCACAACCCCACGTCAATTCAGCCACCCGGAGCACTGGGAGAGGGGGACGCACGCTTCGTGTCCTCCTTGACCACCGGCTGGTGGAACTCCACCACGTCCGCCTCGGGGTCGTACTGCATGTGCGCACGGTACACCATGTTTTCGTAGAAGTTGCCCGTGTACAGGAACGTCGCCGGGAGGCCCGTCTCCCGGATGTACTCGTCCACCTGGCACTTCCCTGCACAGAGCACGTCAGCAGCCGCACCAGTTGCACCAGCTGCGCCCACGCACCCTCGTAGATCCTCGAGACGAGCCGCCCGCCGGAAATTTTGCGCGAGCTCGGGAGAGTGCTCCACACGAAGCACGCGACGCCCGCCGCGAGAGCGGCGTCGACGAGATTTCTACCCTGTTGCTCCTCGCTCCCGGGGTCGTCCTTGATTTTCTGCACCGAAAGATCAGTAATGGCTTACGCGGAAGAGCGGTAGAAGAGGGAATCCGTCCATCGCTGCTTAAGAGCACACTGCGCCGCCGACCTCTTACAACTGAAGGGCATTATCCCCAAACAGGCGGTCGGCGATCTGCTTTTTCCCTACATGTCGCAGAAACGAGACCTCTGTTTGAACCTCACAAAAATACGGCGCTTCTCCACTTTTAAATAGACATCCCACTGCCAGTTTCCGGAGGTTCACCCGTTGCAGCCATTACCACGGCCTATGATTGGCGCGGCGAGGTATCAAAGTTCAATCTGCGACACGCCTGTTGGTAGATTGATTGCACCGCGAGCATGCGGCGGTCCAATTTCGCATGGGGGCGCGGCACTGCTGAAGTGACTTTGCAATCTCGTTCGCCCAAGCCTCCGACGCGCCACCATGCTGCTCAAGGTAGAGCATAATACGTCCCCACACATAAGATACGAAGGTTGGCACAATCGCGAACTACCCTGGCAGCCCAATGCAAGCCCTCTCTGAGAGGCAGCCGAGTAGATACCACCCACTGCGACTGCGAGAGGATGGCTTTAGGCGGGCTCGGGCAGCCGTAATTATTGCGCAAATAGACACGGAGATATGGTAGCTCGCCGCGCCCAGCACCAACCAGTACTCTACGCGCGGGAGACAAAAGGAGTTTCACGGCAAGGAATAAACGTGTCGCATGCTTTGTAGCCGGTCAAACCACAGGAAATGAACACTCACCGGATCGTAGAAATTTGTCACGCCGAACACGCCCCAGCATCCCTCGAGCGCTGGCCGGATGGTCTCTGGTAGAACGAGGTCGGCCTGTACGACCTCCGCGCCTAGGGCGGCGAGGGCCGTTGCCGCGGAAGATGATGGGTCGCGTGTGAGGGCGCGCACTTTGTACTGTTCGGGGTACTTTAGGAGAAGCCTGGCTACGGAGCCGCCTGAAGCGGGAGATCAGCATGCAAACTATAACTGACGCATGTACTGCAAGAGAGACCTTGGTTCCCAGTGGCACCGGTGACAGCGATGAGCTTTGGCATTGCGGCAGGTGAGCAGATGGTGGCGGAAGATAACGAAGGGAGCTAGCTGGACAGGAGAGATGGAATTATATACGTGACGCAACGCTAGCTACAAGAGCCATACCGAACCACGGGGTGAACGAGCATCTTGCAGCCAAGCTGACCACGTCGCAGGGGCAGAAGTACGCAGAAGAGGGACAGCTGACCACTTGTTTGTCAGAGTAGAGGCCGCCGTTGGACTGCTGTGTCAAGCCAGCGTCAGGCAGGAGTGAATGAAGACGAGGAGAACGCCGCCACCGAGAGTGGTACGGAGATCGGATCGGGCCCACCCCGATATGGGCACCTTCCTCCCACGCTCTCTCACGCCCTCTCACGGACTCTCACCGAGCACTCCGCCCTCCACGAACCGCGAGCTTAGCGAGTGGAGTCCGCCTGCCTGCCGACAACGGTGACCAGCCTTCCGAAGTCCTACGTACCGGCGGTTTCCCACATCTTCCCAGCTAGTTTCACCCCGTTCTTCGCGGGGCGTCTGCGTCGTGCCAACGGGAACTTGTGCGACGTTGAGGGACTCTCCATGGGTAATCACCCGCGCGTCTTCGCGTGCCAGGATGACTATGCTCCTCCTCGCGCTCGTCACAATCGATAATCAAGATGACGCGATTCCCTTCTGCATCTATAAAGCGGCGTACTGTCCAACTCTATCCTATCGCAGCATCCTGCACTTTACCACCATCAGCCCACTCGCACTCGCGCTTGCACCTGCATTATTGTCTCATCGCACGCAACGATGGTCCTGAAACTGCACGGCTTCACCCTTAGCACCTGCACACGTCGCGTCGCGATGGTGCTCAAAGAGAAAAATGTGCCTTACGAGCTCGTCCCCGTCGACCTCTCCAAAGGCGAACACAAGGCTGCCGCGTACACCGCCGTGCAGCCTTTCGGCCAGGTGCCGTACATCGTCGAAGACGACGGCTTCACCCTCTATGAGTCTCGCGCCATCGCCCGCTACGTCGCGGTCAAGTACGCTGCTCAGGGCGAGAAGGTCCTCCCGCCGCTCACCGACGTGCACGCCTTCGCGAAGTTCGAGCAGGCCGCGAGCATCGAGCTGACGAACTTTGACCCTTTTGCTAGTGGGATCGCCGCGGAGCGCGTGTTCAAGCCGTAAGTGCTCTTCTCTTACCACCCGCCGCGCGAGCGAACTGCTGCTGACCCTCTTCCCACAGGCGCAGGGGCGGCGTCACTGACGAGAAACTCGTCGCGGGCTACGTCGCGTCGCTCAAGCTCAAGCTCGACGCATACGACGTCATCCTTTCCAAGTCGAAGTACCTCGCAGGCGACGTGAGTCTTCCGCCCTCTTCTCTTTTTTGGCACTTTTGACCCGCGGCTGACTTTCCAGGAGCTCACGCTCGCGGACCTCTTCCACATTCCTTACGGCGCTACGCTCAAGCTCGCGGGTGTTGACGTCCTCGAGGACCCGAGCCGGCCGAATGTCGTTAGGTGCGCCTCTTTCCCACGCCTCTCAAGCCTTTCGTGAATGCGCTGACATTTGTGTCCAGGTGGTGGAAGGAAATTAGTTCCCGCCCGTCCTGGCTCGCCGTCAAGGACGGCGCATAAGCGCCGCGGTGCGCGAATGAGTGTGGTAGATCGTAGGTCGTGTACAACTGTATTATATCCCCGTCATCTGCAAAAGCTTGACCTCAAAGAGACGTCCGCTATGACTCAAGAGCACTCTAGTACTCTTTATTAAATGATTAATTAGCCTCGGGCGCGGGCCAGCCTGTGTTGCGCGGCTGTTAATTCCTGCTAGTAGTCGCGCTGCGTGTTGTGGATTGTGAGTCCTCGGGCCTGATATCCAGAGCGGGCCGCATATTAAAAGGTGTTATCAAGTGGTCAAGATCTCTCCGAAGTCCTCTGAGAGGACCTCAAGCTGGGTCGGCAGTGATTACGGAGGTAGTCAGCTTGGACAGCTAACGATTTTCAGGCTCACACCTCCCGCGACGGAAATTATAGATGAATTATCGCATTCCACGCAAGCGCACAGCTAGCCTTTATGTGAATACCCGCAGTTTCCGGCGTAGGGCTGAAGCCTGAAGCGCCTAGTGTACGTGCCCGGAGACGTGTGCGGCCTTGCTGTTTTGCCAGGCGTCGTAGCGGTTTGCCCAGGTGTACGTGCCGTAGCCTGCGTGTCAAGGGCACAGTTAACGCGCGAGGGAAGCAGAAGGTGTGGATCGGATAGGTAAATGTGAGCGCACGCGGCCGAGATGCAAAAACGGAAGAGACGGGCGGAGTGAGCGCGGGCGACAGCGGGAAAAGGTGGGACACACCGATGAGGGCGGGCACGATCCAGTAAGGCACCTGCCCCGAGAGACGGCGGTACCCGTTGAACAGCCAGCTGCGGAACATGTGGTGCGTCGCGCGCTGCCGGAATGGCGACACGGCTGTGTTCGTGGGACGCAGAGGTGCAGCGAATAAGTGACACGGTCAGGATGCGCTCGAGGACGAAGACGGGGAACGCACAATACTGAACGACGCCCTTCATCTTGAGCCCTTCCGTAGAACCCCACCACTCATTCTGCATATGCGAAGAGATATGTCAGCATCTCTATCGCACCTCCGCCATCCTTTCCAATGCATTTAGAGGAGGGAAGATGGACACGCTTCACTCACCCAGGTCTTCGCTGCACGCCCGACGTGCCGTCAGACAAGAGCGCAAAAATATGAGAAAAAATGGACGCACGACCGGGCATGTCGGAGAAACGCGCTTCGGTGGGCCTCATCGTGCTAAATTACCTGGCGAACTAGTATGTAGTGTTTTCTATGCTCGGGAGGACGTGCAACAAAAGTTGGACCGCGGTGACGATCCGAGTGCTCACGAAGCACAAACACACACAAACACACTCCCACCACGTCCAGACTCCAAGTCCGACTCCAAGGCCTCTTCTCTACACTCATTTTGAAGGTGCGTCTGCTGCGACAGCTCTGATGTATTTTACGGTGGATGTTGATACTGACGGTGCAAACAGATGATTTCACACAACGACCTGTACAATCTCGCGAACACACTCGGCGCGCTCGCTATGGTCACCGTTGTCGCGTATCACGTCGTCGCGGTCAATGCTCGCCACTTGCAGGAGCAGGCACTGCACGCGGATAAGACGCAATAAACTTTACAGGGAAAATGGGCGGAATTGGGACGGGGTGAGTACTGGTCGAGTAGATTGGAACTGTGCATGGCTTTGCGCGAGCTGACCGATTTGACGACACGTGTAGGTTTGGCGATACGTGTAGGTTCCGTAGATTCGCTGCGTATTCCTGCCGTATGGGACATTCTTTCTGTATCACTGCTATCTATTCGTTGCTCCATGGCTCGCTCTGGAGACGTCATGTCATTTGCACGTCTCGCTAGGGTCATTACGATCCCGAATAACTCTTCGAGGTGTGACATTATTGTTGTGTCAGAAGGTGAGAATGGGTGAAGTAGGTACGCCAACTCTAGAAGTACCTCTTGGAGCCAGCCAAGGAAACCGTCGTGGGTGGTTGATCCCGTCCGACTTTTCAGACTCTCAATTGATCTCCTTCCTTCCCTTGCAGATGAAGTCAAACCTTGATCCACTGTGATTCCGGCATGCTTCCTCTCTCAAGGGTTTGATCTCCTGTATGAAACTTAAGCTACGTGGATTATTTGACTCCGCGCACTTCCTGATGAGTGGTTGTTTCCGGCGGTGCTCGGAGTTCATGAGGGCCATCTACGTTCACGCACTCAGAACTCTTCCACTCCTTACTTCCCTTGTATCGCTCTAAGATTGATTATCTTCTGTCGGTCGTGGGTTCCGGTCACTGCACAGACTGATGAGGTCACACTGAGGTGCGTCTTCGCTCCCCGGGCGTACCGATGGCATCTCTTCTACCGGTGTACAGTATGTCACCGGCACGAGTCGACAACCACACCTTCGGGACTGCACAGCGTCGGAGGAAACGTGCGTTTAAGTTCTTTTTCCGGGCGTTTATCCGCGTTCGCGCGAGGATGCGACGATGTCTGGATCGAAGGAAAAACCAGCCTGACCTTGTTGAACACCCCGTGACGTCCGTCTTCTCATGTACTTGACACGTCCCGCAGTTCATCTTGGTCAAAGTCAGTGAACGAACGTTCAATGCAGGATGCCCGGCACGACAGGCGTTCTCCCGATGCATGCAGAACCTCCATAACTTTTGTCGAATTCGTTTGATATCTTTCCCGTACACCGCGTCCGTCTCCGGACTATGCTCGGCAGAACCAGTTGGTGTCTTCGTCGATACGCTTACTCTACTCCGCACCGCACATTAACCAGCAGAATTTGACCGCCTGCATACCTGTCATGGGGCGTCTCCGCGTGCGCGAGCCGCACGGTCCGTGCAGGCTGCGAAGCGTGTTTGCGAGTGACCGCATACCTCGGCTGGGCATATAAATACAGTCGGGGCTGGATATATGGGCGTAACGCGCTGTATTTGCGGTGCCTCCTATCTTGCGATGGTTTACAGTTTCGTCGTCGTTGCGTTTACGGCTCTGCTAGCTGGCTTCCCGGCGGTGCGGGCGTTGAGCAATGGCGTGGCAAAGTTGCCAGGTGCGTTAACAGTCACGGTCATGCATTTTGGAGTCAGCTGAACGTTTCTATCTGGCAGCGTTGGGGTACAATAGTGCGTGCTTCGTGCTCATTCGTTCTTAAATATTTTTTGATGACCGCGTCGTAACAAGCGTGGAATGCTTATGCAGTAAGTTACGAGTCTCATTCTTGGGATGGGTTCTAACGCTGACCTGCTCCGCAGTGCGACATCGACGAGAACACGATTCTGACCACTGCATCGCTCATGAAGTCGCTTGGATTACAGGTATGACAGTGACGCGTGCATCATTTTTGTTTGTTCTGACGGTAGAACATATGCAGGACGTTGGCTACACGCATGTGAACCTGGATGACTGCTGGGCCGAAAAAAATCGCAGCGCCGAAGGGCTACTCGTCCCTGGTGCGTGTAGACGGATTCTCCAATCTGTGCGCGTAATCTCAGGTCTGGCCAGACACGACAAGGTTCCCGAGCGGGTTCAATAATATGACCGCCCAGCTGCACGCAATGGGCTTGTGCGTTCCTCTCTTTCCCATGTCCTTGATCTCCAATTCTGACCGCGTGACACGTCTCACAGCCAGGCTGGCATTGTAAGTTACTTACGTTCGAGCCTAAATTTCATGTATAAAGATGCATCGGCTTGCGTTAGTATGGTGACTCCGGATGGTTCACTTGCGCTGGTTACCCCGGTGGGTTCGAAAATGAGGCGATTGACGCAGCAACATACCAAGGTTGGGGCTTCGATTACCTCAAGTAGGTCTTTCATTTGTGTACTGGCTATCATGCGACACTCATACGATTGATGATTCAGGTGGGACAACTGCGCGATCCCGTTCGACGATATCATCCTCCAGGGGACGCTCGGCAGTAAGTCTCGCTCCCAATTCGTCGAAGCTTGCAATTCGTTTGTTACATGGGGCTGACTGTACGCGCATATTCCAGAGTACCAGCGGATGTCGGACGCGTTAATCCAGCTCTCGCTCGAGTCTGGTCAAACCCCGATCATCTACTCTTTGTGCCAGTGGGGATGGGTGAGTAGCAACGCCTATCTGGATGTTATGCATGGCTGATCCCGTGGTTGGCAGAGCCAAGTCTGGCTGTAGGTCTGACTATCAGTGCAGTTCATAGTATTAATGTGTTTGCATCAGTTGGGGTGCGCAGGTGGGCCATAGCTGGCGGGTGAGTCTCGCTATATTCCGGTAAGAAGAGTGACTGGCTAAAGTGATGCAGGTTGACGGTGATATTGAGGCCAACTGGGCTTCAATTGCCAGCATCATCAACTTGTGCGTATATGCGCATGATTATGGTTGTGAAGAAAGCACTGATGAGTGGTCGTGGACAGCGCCTCGTTCATCACGCAAGCAACCAACTACTACGGCAGGAATGACATGGACATCGTACGTCTGTTCATTGCGTGTTGGTGAAGTACGAGTAGGCTAATTACGCCACAGCTCGAAGTGTAGGTGCATCTGACCACAGGGTTGACGAGGTTTCTGATGCGCAGATGGTGGTTCAGTGGAAACGGCATCTTGACATACGACGAGACCAAAACCCACTTCACGGCTTGGGCACTCATGAAGTCGCCGCTCCTGATTGGCACGAATGTCAGTCCTGATACTATGCTCTTTAGCGAGTCTAACTGGAGACTGCATAGCTTTCTGCGATCACTCCAGAGACGCTCGAGATCCTGTCGAACAGCGAAATAGTCAATATCAACCAAGACTCCGTCGTTGGCACGAGTATCTCTCCCTTCCGATGGGGCCTCAACGTACGTCCATACGTTTCTGCCAAGCAGGATCATCTCGCTGAAGAGTCTCGCCGCGTCTCAGGCTGACTGGACGAGCAATGACTCGTACCCCGCGCAGTACTGGAGCGGGCCGAGCGAGAACGGCACCGTGTTCATGCTCCTGAATACTCTCGATGAGCCGGCAGACATGTTCTTCAATCTCACTGAGTCGCCGTGGATCCGTGCTGGTCGCCAGTATGCCGTTCGCGTAAGTCTTATTCGAGTCTCGTTCGTGGCACTGTTCATCATCTGCTGTTCATGCAGGATCTATGGACGCACACAGATAATGGTACAGCGGTCCGCAATTTCACCGCTACCGACGTCCCAGTGCACGGCGTCGTGGCCCTGCTCCTGCAGGATGCGGGAGACGAACCGGCCGGGATTTACCCACTGTGCAGTGTGTGGTACCAGTGTACGGCGGAAAACGGCACAAATGTCGATGGTGCCTGATGAGTTCGACTCTGAAAGAATTTGGTAAATGGGCCTGTGGGGAATGTACGATGATTGTACTCTCCGTTGGAATACCCGAGTTTCGGCTTCGGAGATTTGTCTGCAATGTTACTCGGAATGGATGTTTATTTGTCAGTAATCACACTAGTATTCATCTGGATCCACCGAACCGTCAGGTGTTAGAGAGCATTTTGACGACTTGTAACTGGATGCCTTCCCGTAGCCGTTTAGAAACGTTCTAAACTAAATTTCGTCTCTAAATCTGGCCGGCACGTCGGCAAATTGATCTCCGCATACCGTGAGAGCAAGGTGAGCTCTTTGTAAACCTTATATCTGGAAGGGGGGGTCGACCCCCTTCCAGATTCTAAACGTCTCTCTAAACGATGATTTCGATCTCCGCCCACTCGCAATGCCCATCTTTGCCTATATTTGGTGCTGCATATTGCTTACATCATGCTGCCGCTCGTCCTCCGACCCTCTAGAACTTGGTTTGATCATCATCATGTTGCGACGCTACGGTTTCACAAATCCTGCTGTTCCGACACAGTGGGGTGTTTCGCAGTCCGCTTTGTGATTTAGAAGTGCTCCAAATCCTACGGGAAGGCATCCACTTTCGGTCATATCGTTGCGTGTTGGTGTGCCATCTCTGAGCCGTGCACGAGACGCGACGGAAGCCGCGCGACACGGAGCAGGTGACCGTTCCACTTACGGGCGCCTATACGTGGGATCACGGTCGCCTTTGTCTTGACCACTTTCACCACTACTTTGTACCCTGACAGGTCAGGAATCCATTCGTTCAGGAATTTTACATTAGCCCCAAGTTCAAGTTCTGCCACGAGGGTTGCACATTAATCCCTCAACTCTCTCTTCGGGAATCGATTCGCAAGTGCTGGGTCGGGTCACACACGTTTGGCACCAGACTCTCTTTAGATTACACCATCTGCAGTCAAATCAGCGTTATATCCTCGTCCTCAGAGGGATATAAGGGCCTCCGGTTCCGGAGTAATGGCCCGGACCCCAGCAGGTCCATCGAATGCGAACAAAGAACTTGAGAAGAAGGTGAGACTTACTTCGTCCTGCTTTCGAGATAGCATCGAGTTAGTCTTTCAGATACGCAACCTTCAGTTTAGCAATGACGAACTGAGGAAGCAGGCCTTCATGGAGTTGCAGCGTGGGCATCGTTTGGCGAGCAAAATGGGCTTTGACAGCGTAGAAGAGGCCGAAGCAGCCATCGCTGCGCAGCCGAAGGTCTACAATCGCGACTTCCTGAAGGATGTATCTACACGCATAGAGGAGCTAGAGAGTGAACTGGAGAAGTCTGTACAGCTCAACAAGCTTGCGCAAGTGGCGTTGAAAGACGCTCGGGAAGTAGCCGAGGCGGCGCAGAAGGAGAATGAAGAATTGATACTTCGGCTCTCAAATGCCGAAGCAGAGAATAATGCACTGAAGGAGAGACTTGAAGTGCAAGAGATCAATGCTGAAGAGAAAGCCAAGTCACCGTCACCGCCTGTGGTGACTGGGCTACAAACTCTTGTGACGTCTGGGAAGAGCAGGTATGCCTACAGTAAAACTTTACTTGAATGTACACTAAAGGACTCTGCTGCAGTCGGACGCTTCAGGACATCACCCCTCTTTCTAGTTGCTCATACACTCGCCTTGATGAGGACGCGCCAAGCCCGGATGTATTCATGCCAACAGATACTACTTTAACTCATTTCAAACCCGAAGTGTCTCCCCTCGTGTGCCTCGAACTGCGGGAGCTGCAACGCAAGTACGACGCGCTCCGTGCGACGAAAGGGCGCAGCGACGAGAAGTACAAGACGGACTACAAGAAGTGGCGAGAGTTCAAGCAGTGGATGTGCGACCTAGAGAATGAATCTCCCGCGCATCTCACGGGCGACAAGAAGAAGGACGAGTGGAGACGCGTTCTGAGAATTCGTCGTCAGTTCAAGAAGATCGGGCCCCGTCTGAGTACGGACGTGGAATCGATGGACGAGAATCACGTCAAAGACGAGCACGCGACGCCATCCGTCGGTGAGTGGTCCGCCTTCCAGTCCATTAACCTTTGAGCAGGAGGGCATGATGATGTGTTCTCAGCGCATTATTGCAACGAGGCTAAGGCTACCGGTGAGGCTCTACCAATGCAAGTCAAGGCCGGCCCCGCACCTCCGTCGCCGGTAACTACGTCCCGTAAGCGAACATTCGAGGAGGCCACGTCTTCGGAGACCGAAGATGATTCTCAAGGTGTGTACTTCGATACTGTGTGTGGTGTATGTGTTGACGTACGCCTGTTCAGCACCCGAGCCTGTATATCACACCCAGCTAGGTCTGCAGTTGATCTCCGCGAGGTCTCCACTTCGCAAGGTGCGGTCGTCACCTAGGCCAAGTCCAAAGCGTTCGCCCCGCCCCCGACGCGCGTCAGCTTCTGTGCCTGAGTCGATTTCAGAAGATGCGACACATCGCCAGCGTACGTCTAAGACGTCCCAGCATAGTGCTACCGGTACACCGAAGGCGAATGGGAGCGGAGATAAAGAAAATGTTCCAGGAACAGGCTCTACGAAACGATACCCGTCGGACTACTCGGCGTTCAAGGGTAGGGGCAGATACGCCGCCAGCAAGTGAGTGCTGATCTTTTTCCTGAGTCCACCTTAATTTACGAGTGTTTCAGTGTTAGGGAGACAACTGTCAATTCCGTCTATCAGATCAACCCCGCCCAGAATGACGGGCGCGACTTCCCGTACGCCGAGGTTGTTCGCAACAAGAAACAGAGGAAGTGTCTTCACGGGGAGAACTGCATGAATTGTCGTGACGTAAGTGTCCCTGGGTAGTGGAAGACGTTGTCCAAACCCTATTTGACAGTATTATGAGAATATTGGCCCATCACCTCCTCGGCAAAAACCTCCATTGTGGCGCTCCCCAGTGTCGACACCCTCCAAAGCATCATCTTCGCATGCAACTCAACCCCTCGATGCAGATTTCGACGACGACTTGGACGAGGCGGCGCAGAAGAAGCGAGCTGCAATTGTCAAGCATCAGAATGAGATATCGCGACACCGCCATCAGTGGGAGGGCCCGAAGACGCCGCCCAAGTACTGGATCATTGGCTTCCCTGACACTCAGGAAGTGGCTGCGATCAATGAGCAAGCGCGGGAGATGCACGAACAGAAACGCAGGAAGGTTGAGATGGAGGCAAAGTAAGTCGCAGTAGCATTGCTTTTCTGCTCAGAGCTCACGCATTTGTCTCATAGCAATGGCGGGAAGTACAAGAAGCGTCGATAGGGTGAGGCATACTTATATGGATCTTGTTGATACACCATGTGCAGTATATGATCTATGATTTACGGATGGGTCACGGATGTAATTATTGAAGCTGAGGACCGAAATCTACCACTGAATTCTTTGCGCTCAAGACGCGAAACGTCACGACGTGTGGCCGCTAGTCACACGTGTGTCACACCCCTTGTCAACTGTGATGTTTGCTACTACGTCCTGCATACTCCTATCATTCGAGCGAACGTTTCCTAGGCTTTATTATACTTGAATAGCCCTTACTGACGGCTACTTTTGACGTTGGGGTCATACCGTGAGCAATACGTCGGTTACGCTATCATGAGGGACTAATCTTAGCAACAGCACAGTGTTTCGCGTTATATTACACAACGCTTGTCCTTGAAAGATCCTGGAAAGCCATTTACTTTCTCGTGCTGGCGGGTTTCCAAACGGACATGCATCGCTGTTTCCTCATTCCAGAGATCGTCTCTCTCATCATCGACACGGGTCCGCCAGGTAGCCCTCAGGATACTTCTAGTCTCGCTAGGCTCGCAAGGACAAGCCGCGTATTTCACAATGTCTCCCTCGATGTGCTCTGGTACGGTCAATTCGGTCTCGCCAATCTCATCAAATGTATGCCTGCCGACTTGTGGACAGAGGATGATGGCAAATTGGTAAAGCTTCAGATTTTTCACAAGTTATCGATCTAATCTACACAAGTGTTCATTTAGTCATTTACTAGGCCATTGCTTGCTAGCGATTTGGAGCGTTTCGATTATTATGCGCACCGTATACGGGCTTTGACTTTGTCTCGTTACGAAAAAATTCCTTCACCTTGGATATCTCCAAACGTGACCGTTGGATCAAATGTTTTCAAAGCGTTAAGCCTCTTCCGATTATCCACTCCGCCTCTTCCCAACATCACTCAACTTGGATGGTCTGGAGGGAGCGCTTTCACGTACTGTATCATGTTCTTAGGGCCCAAACTTAACCTTCTGCAAGTTACATCCACCAGGCCCATCACCGCCCCAGCTCTCGCGTCCGTATTATCGCATCTTAGGTATCTTGCAGCGCCTCTGCAGTCCATCTATCTCAATTTTCAGGACTGGTCGAACGATTATTCCAAACCGCTGGAGCAAATCGCAGACTTCCCGGATTTACGTACCTTTTCCTACACTTCAGGTGAACCACTCTCTGTGGAAATCTTCGCTATCCTAGGCCAGATGCCTCATCTCGAGAATCTTGAACTGTGCCTTAAAACAATTCCTCAGCCGTTATACCCCCTTCCCGGGCCAGGTTCCCCACACTATTTCCCATTCACAGCACTCAAGGAATTCTCACTATCTACCTCCAGCATCACCGTTTGCGTCACTGTGGTGAGTGCGCTGTCTCTCAGGAACATCCGAAGCGTATCCTTTGATGTCCTCCATGCCGCTTCCGTCGGGCAATTATTGGAAGTCGTCCATGACCATTGTTCTTGGGAATCGCTCGAGAGCATCCTCATACATACCAGTTTTAACGCCCGTAAGGGGCATCCTTCCGACGAAGTTGTTGCACAAGCGTCTCTCCGATCGTTATACGACTTTCACAAGATGAAAAATCTCACGATAATGACGGATAGCCCTCTAGAAATGGATAATAGCGACTTGCAGGATATGGCATCGTCATGGCCTCATCTGGAGGAGCTGTGTCTAATCTACAATCCGCTCGTGACTTCATGGGAGCAGCACTCTGCCATCACGCTGCAGGGCCTCGTCCCGTTGGTGAAGCAGTGTCCAACGCTCTCTGTGCTATCCCTTCCGATAGCCTTCACGGTTGGAGATGGCTACACGCGGCTGAGGCCTGGGGGTGGACACTCGAACGACCGCGTCACACAGTTGCACTGTGGTGGCCGTTGCACTGCTGGCCCTGCACAAATAGCGTCCTTCTTGTCCGATCTCTTTCCTAACCTGCAGGAGATTGCTGGATACTACCCCGGAGAGTTGAATGATCCGAAAAATCCTTGGCGGGAGATCGAGGAATACCTCCCTGGTTTTGCAGCCATCCGGAAACAAGAGAGAATCTCTCTTGAGGCACAAGGGAAGGTCGAAGATGTCGTCTGAGTCCCGTGGTGTGTATCTCATCTGGGTGCAATATTGAGTATATTAACCACAGGTCTTTGCATTAGACTCTTATTTACAAGCGCAGGCTCCTCGAATTCGATCTCAGATGTTCTGCTCGCAATCGCTACGCTGGTCATTTTGCTTCACTGGGCGTAATCGGCTTTCAATCCCCTCCCCGACCTAGAGTCAATATATCGCACTAAAAAGACCAGATGATGCATTACAGCGTCATCTGTGCAATCGGCAGAGCTCTTTGTAAGTCTGCGGACTCACCCAGCAGCTCTTCCAGCTCCCTTGGGCTCCATGTGTAGAACTTCAAGTAGAGGGCACCGTCCTTGACTGTGCTGTCGGCGGATGGGAGTGAGTCCGCATCTTTGGCACTGTAAAACCCGCCCTCCGGACTCCGGACGCGTCGCGGGACGTGCAAGGGGGCTGGGACAGCTTAAGGGCGCAGGGAGTCTGAGTCGCTGTGCCTGATCCGATGCCTGAAGCTTACTATTAGTATCTCCGCAGCCCCCGTGGGGCCATTCATAAGATGCGCATCTTCTTAACCGTGCGGACCAAACGCGCTTAGCCAGTAGATAGCTTTGCTTTCTCGAGCGCCTCCGTTCCCCACTTGTATGTATGTACCGATCTGGTGCATCTCCGTCGATGGACGGTATGGAAACCGACAAACTGGATTCTCAGCTTTCTGCGGAATTTTTTTTAGCCTGTGACAAATTCAGAGGCATTTGAGCTCATGTTTCGGTGGGGTGAACTAGAAAATCGCGAGCTCAGACTTCTAAACAAGTTCCACAGAAATATGATTCTGCAATGATGAACTCTGAAAAGAAGAGAATAATAATTAAAAGTAGACTCGTGGTGGTGGACGCAGAAGAACCATCTTGACCGAGTGTCGTACTTTGAGGATTCAGAATTCGCCTGAACCATTTATATTGATTCTCTAGCTATAGTCGCTATCCACGGCCATAGGACTTCGAAAGCACCGCATCCCGTCCGATCTGCGCAGTTAACCGAAGTGCCGCCCAGTTAGTACCACGGTGGGGGACCACGCGGGAATCCTGGGTGCTGTGGTTTTGTAGTTTTTTTCTGGCTAGTTTCTAGCTTCTCGATATGCTTCTCCGACACATATTAATTATATATATACTCTGTTTATGAAAAGTTTTTTCTGCGGTCATGTGAAGGTTGTATCACCCTCCTCCATAATTCAATGTCTGCACCGTATACTTATAGCGAGCAACTCCAGCCTTCCTACACAGTGGAATAGAGACTCATTGCACAGACCAGACTGGATGGTGAACAGTGTCAAGTAGTCTTCATGGTGTCTCACATGTGCCAAAGTAGTGGAGGTGGAAAGGCTTGGAGCATACGGGCGTCCGAGATGGCCTGAGCAGATTATATTATTTAGACCAGTACACATTTCTAAACTTGTCCTAGTCGTTGCTAGTCAATACACCTCAATAGATCAGAGATGATCCGCTACAGTGTCCTCTGTGTAATCGGTGGCACTCTTCGCAACTCCATTACCCACGGGCGCGACGAGGTTCCATCTCAGCAGGCGCATTCACTGTCGAAACAGCGTCTGCGGAGGCATATCAGTGGCCCATGTGCAGCAAATGCGCATCGAAGGCTCTGAACCCGCCAGACCTTCAGGGTTGTGTGAATGACATCCTCCATATTCCGAGCTCTCGATGTGCCTAGCGCTACGTTCGCGTCGCGATCATGCTGAAGCGTATCAGAGAACGGGGAATGGGTGTGATCCGTCTGCCTGTGATAAGAAGACGCATGAGGCGGAGCGGATGGTAATACGAGTACAGGCGCGATCCCAGATGGGCTAAGGAGTTGCCTGTGGTCAGAATGTGAGAGGGCGGTCATGGAATCACTGACCATAATGCACGAATATCGATGAAAGGGGCGCCGCTTGGTTCTGCACAATAGAATGAGCGATCGGCGGAGATATTCCGAGGCACGAAATCATACCAACCTCAAGTACGAATTTATCAAGCTGCGAAGGAGAATGGGCGATGGTTATTCGTCCTGTAGCATATCTTGGTCAGGATATACAATATCACGCCACCCAGACCGACCCACCTGGTATCCGCATCGGGTCCTTATATCGAAGCATGAGCGCAAAAAGAGGGAAGTGGTTGAGCAGTGCGGAGACAGTATCGAGCGTCGCGTGTATCATGATAACTGCAAGGCGAGTCTTTGACGGTAATTGTAAGCGCCGAGTGTGACATGAGGTGAGATACATGGCAATACATGGCAGGAGCTGCACTCACGGTAGCAAACAGGGCATAGTAGGTAAAGATGGTCGGGTAGAGGAAAGCAACCAGGGTGAAGAGGATGGTACCGAGCAAGAGCTGGTCCATGTCGTAGTCCCACGAGTCCAACCGGTTACGCAGCACGTTGTACCGTTTCCCTGGCCACTAGCTGAGTCGAAGCCGTCAGTGGATGCAAATGCTAGACATACCACGGAAGAGGTTCCACAGAGAGCCAGCGAGACTCAATTGTTGACGGAAGATGGCGGTCGACATGAAGTAACAGATGTATAGGTGCGCAGTCAGAAGAGAGAGGGAGTCGGAGAGGAGAGAGACGACCATGGTCATGCCACAGCAGCCCATGGCTCCAACCATCCAGATGAGAGTAGGAAGGTGCGGCGTTAACGACTGTAAGATGTCTACGGGCTGATCACTTCGCTGTAAGTATTGACGATGGTAGAACAAGACGTACGGCTCCAGGCACTCACAACACCCAACAAGGAGTGGCAATAGAATTGGCTCAATTCGGTGTTGAGTTTCAATCCGGCCGGCCAATTGTTGAGCCATACGAGCGCGTGCTGCACACATTCCACGAGATAGTACTAGAAATTTATATCAGGCTGGTGTACCGGGGATATCGACATTGTGAGGGGAACTGACCTGCATGCCATGTTCGAGCATTCGAGATAGAACAAGGTTGTTCTCACAGAGGAACGAACCGAACGCGACACCGACTATTACGTCGTTGAGGACCAGCCAGATGCAATTGTAGAACCTGTTCAGTTCTTCTCAGAGTCAGACAGCATCAATTCAAAAAGCCGACTTACTTTACATATTGAGATATCGAATCGACAAAAGAGGCGTTGCGATTGCGGGAGACGGTTGGAACTTGGGCCAGAACGAAGCGACCCTGTTCGGTTCGAATGTCAAGTTGTTCCACTAAGGTGTCGACTTGGATCATTGCAAATCACTGAAATTTTTTGGGGAAGCGTACCTGCTACTGATATCTCTTTCAATAGTCTTTGTACCCAAAGAACGATGGAAAGTAAGGTCTCTACGGAATCGTGTAGAAACCCACCATATATATGTGCGAAGGATGTGGTAGATACCAGGGAATTAGCAAGAGCCCGTGAAGTCCTAGAGTCTGCAGGTTTGGGCGACGCAGGATGTACAAGACGAGACCGTTGTAAGATATCTGTCAGTAACTCTGCGACGTTCAGCTGCGTGCATCGAATGAATACTAAATTTAGTACTTATACAGTTCTCCTCACCTGGCCCAAGATCCTGGAATCAAGTGCAGGAACAGACATGAAAGCGGGACGAGTAAAGTCATGTGTAAGAACAGATATCTCCGGTCTTTTTGTGGGGCACGAAACATCTGTAGATTCGTGTGACGGAAGTATGTCCAGCTCACGAGAGTCGAAGGAATAGAATCGCATCATCTCCCGCCTGGGACGGACATAATAAATGAACGGAGTGGGTACTGTTGGGAGTTGCGAGCGTTAAAAAAATAGCACAGCATTGAGGAGTCCCCGTACCTCGATGATCAGAGTTGTTGACATCCCCAAAGAAATCTATGCCCGGGTTGGAAGGGGAGGATTTCCCTTGTTGTGAGAAGTAGCAGCGGCCAACAATCGCTGGCTCGGGGGAACTCGCTTCTTTGGCTATCTGCCATTCATCCGACTGTATAGCGTCATTCAGGAGTATTTCTGCATGTTCCCTCTGTTGTAGCGAGCCAGATTAACGGGGGCAGTAGAAAGTCTAACGACGCAATGACTTGCCGAAGTCGCCTGGAGGACTCCAGCAATGCAGACCAGGGGCTGACACCATCCGTAACAGTAACCATCATAGTCGACATGTGCGGGCCAGAATATCGGACCAGGACTCTGCATAAGAACTCCTTGCGTTATGTCGGGCTTGAACTCGCCGTAGCGGCGTGCCAGTGAGTCGGAGCGTCCGAGTAGGTCCGAGTCTAAACTCAGTGGAGATCTATGAGATCTCTGAAACGGTACTTATGTTTCCCACGATTGACGTCTTCTAAAATCTCCTCAGGCTGTGGCACTTCAAGTTGGTCCGCTCTGCTCCATGCGTCTTGTCGACCTTCTCAGACCGCACGTTAAACCATGGCATGCACCACTCACTCTTCGCGCTTCGACATGGCAAATTTCAAGAGTACATAGCGCCTCCCTCGAGCGCAAGGAGGATGAGCCTACCAAGGAACAGTTAGAGGAGGCCTTGAAGCGAAAACGTAGGACGGAGTGGAAACGCCGCCAAGGTGTGAGTAACTTCCATCTCCATCTCTATCTTTTAATGGGTCGGAATCCTGTACCTCATCCGCGGTCTTCGTCCTGGACAACCGTGTAGATACGCTGTGTTATTGTGCGAGTGTCACGACTTTGACTCAGTGCTGTTGGCAGGCTGCGCGTAATGAATGCATAAATACATAACGCTCGAGCTGATGCTGCACGTTCTCTATTTGAGACATGTTTGTGGGTCGTCGGTTTCCTCTACGCGGTCTTTCGTCACTGTTTGAGTTGCCTCTCAATACCTCCGATAAAGTGGCATGAAGCTCATCGTTCTAAGACTCTTATTACAGGGCCAGTCATTCCTAGATCATACCATAATTCATGTTCGCGGAGGTGCGTTTATCTTCCGTGGCCGCTCCTGGAGTTCTCAATAATCCCTGGATTCTAAAGGCAAGGGAGGTGATGGTTGTGTTGCCTTTCACCGCGAGAAGTTCGTGCCTTATGGCCCTCCATCTGGCGGAAATGGTGGCCGCGGTGCAGACGTCTACATTGTGCCTACTCCTCACCTCACCACGCTCTCCAGTGTTCCCACACGTATCTACGGCCAAAACGGCGGCACTGGCCAAGGTACTTGGCAAAGTGGACGAAATTCACCACCATTGATTATTAAAGTCCCCCTTGGCACGGTCGTGAAAGAGCTCCCGGGAGACGACCCACGACGTAGCAAGGACGAGTACGAGGCAGAGGCAGAGGCCTTAGAAGGGCTTGAGTTCGAAGAGAGAAAGAAGAAGCTGCGAGAACGGCGCTGGGTCCACTACCCAGACTATGAGGAGGTGAATGTGGAGCGCGATTCTTTCAAGGATGCGGAGCGCGTCCTGTATAAGGAAGAGAGAGAGCGAAGGTTCATGAGAAGACGACGTGCTCTACAGCCGATCCACCTGGATCTGGACAAGCCCGAAGAGACTGTAGAGGCTGCGGATCCGAATGCGCCGCTTGGCACGCGACGTCACGAACCCATGGGCCATCTTATCGCGTCCGGAGGTTCGGGTGGACTGGGAAATCCTCATTTTCTTACAGCGGTTAACCGGTCGCCGAAGTTCGCGACGAGGGGGTATGAAGGAGAACGCGTGTCTCTATTTCTGGAGCTCAAACTATTGGCAGACGTAGGCCTCGTCGGGATGCCAAATGCAGGGAAGAGTACTCTTCTGCGCGCACTCTCTGGTGGGCGTGCTAGGCCCGAGATCGCAGGATACGCATTTACAACGCTGAACCCGTTCGTGGCAGTTGTTCGTGTGTTAGACGACGGTAGCTTCGAAGGGTCGGTGGAGGGAGCGGTGTATGACGAAACGTTCATTGAAGAGCAGCGCGAGAAGGAGATGATGGAGAACGGGGCGCTCGCCGATGCACCCACCCGCAACCAGCGACCACCCGTGAGCGATAGCGTTTGGGACGATCCAGAGGACCTTCTGGAAGCGTTCCGTTTCACCGTTGCAGACAACCCTGGTCTGATTGCTGAAGCATCAGCGAACGTTGGGTTGGGCCATTCATTCCTGCGGTCTATCGAGCGCTCGCACGCGCTGGTCTACGTTGTCGACCTCTCGTCGCCTGCCCCTTGGGACGATCTCCGAGTTTTGAGGGACGAGATTGAGAAATACAAACCTGGGATGAGTCCGAAGGCCCGCATGGTTCTCGCCAACAAAGCGGACTTGCTGGGTGGGTCCAAGGGACCAGAGGACACCGAAGCTGTGCATGAGGCGCGGGCGAAGTTGAAGAGGTTGGAGGACTTTGTCGCTCTGGAGATGGCCATCCAGAATCAAGATGCTAGTGGTAACATCTACGGAGAGCGAACGTTGGATGTAGTGCCCATATCAGCAAAGTACAACCAGAACCTGCAGAAGGTGGTTAATCTCATGCGGGGATATGTAGAAGAGGCGAGACGAGGTGCGGAGAGTCCAGTTCCATCTCAGATTGACCGTGACGTGCAGGCAATCAGAGCATCTCTATAATATATGCTGGTTGTACACAGAAGTTGGTCAGTCCGTTATTCGTACTCGTCACGATAGCCAGGTACGTCGTTACTCTTGTCCGAGTGCAGACAAGGTCCATGCGATGGGCTTGAGCGTGCTACCTCTCTTCCTTTCGACGGTCTCCCAGTCTGCGACCCAGAGCTATCTTCATAGCTTTCATAACGTACGTGGTAGGTAGGTAGGTAGGTAGGTAGGTAGGTTACTGCATTGGTCCCATTCAGGAACGCCGGGTTGTTGCACCTAGATCACAGCTACATATGTACCCTGCGCAGTACACTACTGTAATGTAGGATACAGCACATCCAGGACAGAGATCGCTCCGATCAATGCCTACTCATCAATACAGCTCAAAATCCACCAAAAGTGTCCGAGGTGAGATCTTGAGAGGACTCCCATTCTTGGCACCGTTACTCTAGCTTGGGCGGCTCGCCTCGATCGCGCTAGTACTTCGAGCAAGTTAGGAGCCTCCCCGACGCTCCATACCATCATGTCGGGCTGGAAGAATATCATCGTTGAGGGTCAGCCCCATCCTCTTACATAGTCGCCATGTCTTCGATATTACAGTTGCAGTTTATAAAGCCTATGACCCCCAGCATGTTCCATTCTCATTCGACCAATGGTGGCATTCCCAGTCCATCGGCTACCAGCTCGATCCGTCAGGTTCTGAACCCTCAGTCATCATACTGAATCTTCGTGAAGGCTTGGCTGACTACCCCGGCATGGATACTCGCTTCACTGTCAACTTGAACACGCGAAGAGTGATTGACAAAGTTACCAAATCACGGGTGCCAGTACCTCAGGAGGTGCTTCCGTCACTGGACGAGATAGAGAAGTATGTGAGGAAAACGATAACGAATCAGAAAGAGGCTGCAGAGCGGGCGGTGCTCGCGCGTTTAGAGCGCAAACGCAAGGCCGAGGAGGAGCGTGCGGCACAAGTTCATGTACGCATTCATCATCGTGCTCAATTTTTGATTTCAGGGAGACCACTTGATCTATTTCCAGGACTTTTATGGTCGTTTGGAAGAGCACGGACTCTGGGTGCCTCCACAGGATTCAGAGAATGACGACTACGAAGATTTCCAGGATACCCAGTGTATCCTGTGTTCTTCTACACTTGTAAATTGCCTAACCTGCCATCGACTATGCTGTTGTCACTCTCCCGTGGATGACGATCCAGAGCGCACGGAGAGCGATTCCGAAGATTCGTTGGAAGTTCCGGACACCGATGAAGACGACACGAAAGGGTGCCGTGCTTGGTGTATGGACAAACTGCGGACGTGTGTCGGACATGGCCAGCGCTCCTTCTGCGAGTCCTGCCGAGGCGGAAAAGAAGGCGAGGCGGAGAAGCTGCTTGCGTGCCCATCATGCGGCACATGGGAATGCGCAGAAGATCTTTATTGGTGCATTGGTCGAATCCCACCTCAATCTGCGGAGACGGATGGCTCTGCAGGTTCGTTGACACCGTCTTCACCTGAAGGAACTACCGGACGACATCCCCCGAAGCACGCCTGCTCTCAGTGCGTGAAGGATGGAAGTGCAGATTGGATGGTCTGCGCCTGTATTCGCTGCTGGTCGTTGCAAAATGCACCACTCAAAGGCATCGTATATAAATACGTTTGCAGAGAGTGTTCACCCAAGGGAGGTCAGTTGTGCTCGGGAAATCATCGGTGGGTCTGTGATGTCTGTGTTCTCAGACCTGGCGAGTCCCCGGTACTCCAATGTCCTCGCTGCAAAGAATACTTCTGTGAGGAACGATGCGGCTTGAAAATCTGCACGACCTGCTGTACAATTGGTTGGTGCCCGGAGTGCATGAAGGAGTGGAAGGAGCGGAAGGAAAAAGGCGAGGTCTCGGAGGGAGATGAAGCAAATGAGCCACCCGACCTGAAGGCTACCTGTGCTGGTTGCGGGGCCGCGGTGTGCTCCTCATGCGTTGCAAAGAAACACTTGCAGTGCTGTGAAAACTGCTACAAGGACGCTTGTGACAATTGTATCAAGGTCGATAAATGCGTTCTGTGTGGCGGTGATCTTTGCCAGTGTTGTGGGGAGGACAAGTGTAACTGCGGAGGAATAGGCGAGTGCAATCCGGAGTATATGTACATGGACGAGGCGATTGATAGCATGATGGACTACAATGATGACTATTACTATTGAGATCTGAGAGTTCACTGCTTTGTGCGTACCTTGTTGTCTTCGTTGCGTGTCGCTGATTTTAATCACATAGAGTTCTCATTGTTGAGAACACGGATGCATGTTTCTGTGAAGGTCTTGTACGAAGCTATGTACTTCATCGTGGCAGCGTGAGCACCAGTCTCCGACTCTGAGCAGAAAGTGATCGAAGCGAGTCTCGTCGAAATGCGTCTATCGTTTTCGACTTAGCTGTACTTAGTGTCACCGGGCAGTCACCTAGAGCGTTGCGTCTGGAACAAGGGTCTCTCCCCCGCAATAGGTTTGCGGCCATGCGAAGGGTGCCGCAAGGACGTATGCCGCGATTGTGCCAACGTTGACGAATGCGTGGATTGCGAGAGGGCGCTCTGCGACGGCTGTAGCGAGAAGTGTGCCTCGGACATTCGCTGAAAAGACAGTAGTAGTAATTCTCCCTCGCGTTTTCCTGTGCATTTTTACCCAGTTGTATACTTGTCCGAATATGAACATATTTATGTCGTGTATTTTTTGAAGTTGCGAGATCGCAGGACTGTCTCTATAAATTCGGTGACGACTCTTCGGTGTTATCGGGTCTGAGAAGCCCACTGAAGCAAAACTGGGATATTATCGCGTTAGAGTACATGGTGACATCGACGATGAAATGCAATACAAACAACAAAGTAGACAGATGCAAAAAACTAGGCCTCTAAGCACCTTCCGCTCTCCGGATCATCCTCCTCTCGCGCTCACCTACGACCTTCACCAGACCTTCCTGCTCCAGCTCCCTGATGACCTGCTGGAATTCAGCCGTGCTGACCTTGATGCTACTCTGGTCCTCCAGTTGCTTGAGCCCATCCATCCACCTGACGCCACGTGTTCCCCCGTGGCCGTCCAGCATGCTGAGCATTGCCTTGCGCATATCGCCCCGCATCTTTCGCTGCTGCCGGCCGATGCCCGTATCCAGGAGGCCCATGTCGATCTCGCCAGTTGTCGGGTCGCGCGCACTCGTGTTGATCGCCTCACGCATGAGCCGGTACGCCTCCTTCACGTCCTCCAGCTCGACGAGCGGCGAGAAACGCATCCGCGCGTGTGCTTCTGATAGCCGGATCATGCTTTCCAGCTGACGCGTCGTCGCCGTGATGCGTTTCTCGTTCGAGCGGGGGTCTTCACCTGCCTTCCGTAAGGTGACATAGCAGCGAACGAGCTCTTCCGACGCTGCCTCGGTGATAGATGGATTCATGCGCGAGCGGGCGTAGGTGATGTAGGCGGAGAGTTGGTCGAGTGGCTGTCATGATATAATTGTATAATCCACGGTGAAAGAAGCCAATGGTAAGTACATACCAAGATATCCTGACCACCAGTCTCCGGGGCATCCTCAAGGTACAAGCTTACGAGATGCTGCGCTAGCTTCCTATCAATGGTCTCGTCAACTTGATCAAGAACGAGATAAAGGAGGTCGAAACGAGAGATGAGGGTTGGTGGTAAATCTATATTGCTCGTGATGGTGGCATTCATGTTATATCTGGAGCCTACGGGATTCGCAGCAGCAAGAATGGATGTTCGTGCGTTCAGCGTGGTGATGATCCCTGCCTTCGCTATGGAGACAGTTTGTTGTTCCTGCAGTATGTGTGTCAGCAAGTATTTCATGGTCGGAGAATCGGCATACCATGACTTCGTGCAAAACACTCCGAGTCGCGTCTGACATCTTGTCAAATTCATCAATGCAGCAGACTCCTCCGTCACTCAAGACCAGAGCTCCACTATGAGCGAATAATAATCAGCGAAGTTCGTGTGAAGATACCGCTCGAACGTACCTCTCCAACACGAGCTGTTTGGAGTCAGGATCTCGAGTGACATATGCCGTCAGACCCACAGCAGAAGAACCTTTACCAGACGTGTAGACTCCACGTGGTGCGATCTTGTGGACATACTGGAGATAGCGAATTGATTAAAAATATAAGACACCGACGTTGCAACCTCACCTGCAAAATTTGTGATTTACTAGTACCAGGATCACCGACCAGCAAGACATTGATGTCTCCACGATATCGAGGGCCGCCGGCACCCCCACCCCTTGCAATGCTTTTGTTCGTACCGCCGAAGAGTTGCAACAGAATGCCCTTTTTGACGTCGTCCATTGCCCAGATCGACGGAGCAAGCGACCGCGCTAAAAGGTCATACACGTCTGGCCGCTGACTGAGTTCCCTCAGCTGGGCTTCCATCTCTTCCCTCTTTGACAATCGCCTTTCTCTATCGGCACTGTCTTCCTCACCTTCGTCCTCTGCACCGCCGACGCCACCGACGCCCGGCACGTGGTCCCCGCCGGCAGGCCTGGTGCTTTTGTCGAGCCCCAGTCTGTCGCTGCTGCCGATCCGTACGTGCACGACATCCAGGAACGTCTTGAACAAACTCTTGATGGTGCGCTGGCGCGGGTTCACCCGCACCGGCACGCTTCTGAAAATACCAGTGACGACGAGCCGGTCTCCGGGCTTCGAGACGTCGACGAGCTCGTCGTACACGCTCAGCGAGACGGTGTGCGGTGTCTGGCCGTCGGGTACCGCATCCGGAGTCTCCTGCAGGCGGATCACCTGCCTGTCTGCGAATTCGCACCGGTTGTGTACCAGTGACATCGTCCCAACAGATGCACAAACGTCGCGTGGGCAGTGCGATGGCTCGTCAATCTTGCCCCGATCGATCTCCACTTGCACCGTGTGGTTGCACTTCAGGCAACGAAAGAACGCGACCTTCATGTCTGGTATCACCGGCGTGGCACGGATGACCAGACCTTTGATGCACACCAGTTTATCCGTATCTGCGCGACCGGTGAGAACGCGTTAACAACACAACTAGTTTGCATCTCATCACTCACCGGCTGGGTTCAGATCGCGCATGTTGACAGAGGGCATGCCGAACGGCCGAATCTTGTATACTTTGCCCATGATCTCCGCAATCTCTTCCTCGCCCTCCTGGCCTCGCATGCCATCCAACCCCGCATGCTGGTCCTCCTCCGCGACCTCGAGCATCAAGTCCTTCAATACCTGGTCCATCGCCGGCACTACCTCCTGCGGATATTTGACTAACTGCCCATATAGCTTCCGGCTCGGCGGGTATGCACTCAGGTTCACCATGTCCAAGTTCAGGTTCGTCTCCCCCGTCTGCCGCATCCGCCGTAGGTACGTCACGTAAAGCGTGGCTTCACCTTCCTCAGGCAAAGCCATCACCCGCGTGGGGACCCCGCGATCCCGGTCGTGCGCCACCCGGTACTTGATCTTGAACCCAAGCAAGAATCCGCGGAACGTCTGCATCGTCTCACTGATGTTCACCGTCGTCCCCCAGATCGCGCGAATCTCGTCTGGTTCGTCCGATGGCACCGTCGGAGCCGAGAGCGCAGGCGCAGACGAAGGCGGCAGCGATAGACGCGTGCCGTCAGAGTTCAGGTCATCGATAGGCAAATGGGTGGGTTTGCGAGGACGGTGAGCGGCGACCGTAGGCGTGATGCTGAGAGATGAGTGAATGTCCCCACGACGGTTCTTGGGTGTAGCCACGGCGGGGCTCCTGTGTAGAAATGTGTATTTGGAGGTACATACAAGATAGACGATACTCACGAAGGAAATTCGAGAGGCTCCGAATCTGGCTCCGAGCCTGGTGCGTTAAAGTCCAGCCTCGCATTCCGGGCTGGAGTCCGAGTTTTCACGGGGGAAGAACTTGGAAATGGCAGAGGTGACGAAGTTCCTGCGAACGCGTTAGATAACTGTCACAGCTATAATTCGGACGACGAGATCAAGCAAGTCGCGCCAATGTCAACCATGTGGATTTAACGGTCTCCAATCGAGTAGCTAGTATTTTCATCAGATGTTACACACTGCTGGGCGTCCTTGGACTGGCCAAGTGAGCACGCGTATGTAGAGGACTAGCAAGCGTCCTTCACATCCACACGCGTTGCATGGCGCGACCAGAACAAAGCAAAGACACTCACCTGCAAATAATGGTGTCCTCTTCCGTGGTGTACTCATTCCTACGGCTCTCCGCGCCATAATTCCCGATGGTGTGGCCGGCACGTCGCGTCGACGCGCTGGTGTTCCGGCTGACGATGGTGTCCCCGCGAAAAAAAGAGGCTGAGCAGGAGGCGCATCCGGAAATGTTTCCCCAACATCGCCCTCCTGCATTTCGACATCTTCGAGGTCAGACGTTGGTATATCTCGGGGAGGAGAGGACATAGAGGTAGGTAGTAGGGTGGATAAGCGTGACAGACGCGACGCGTGACGAGCGCGTCTCATTGGCCTTAGGGCAGGCAAGAAGTCGCGCTCACGCTACCGGCCTAGTGCTCGTTTGCGGCTGCTCGATCTTTGACTCTGTTGTCAGTGCCAACCAGTAGGAGTTGACAGGTCCATGTGGCTAGCCCAGATTCAGCGGCATTGCAACTCTCAACACACCACGTAGTGTCCGGAAACCTTGATTCAGACACTCGAGATACGTTGGCGCTACATACCAGCCGGCCATGGAAAATTAGAACGAACGGCCGAGCAATCCGTAGAGCCATGTTACGGTCCATGTTGGGCTACCGGTTTATTCTCAGCTCCATATCTGCTGTTTTTCACGATCGCTCCGTTGCTTGGATTCTGCCACTTCGTGTGAGTCGTAGTGAGCGACGCGGTTATTCCTGCTGTTCGTTCTACATAGGTCTTTAGGAGCTACGGTCCAGTGTGTGGTAAGTGTCTGTCTTTTTTCACAGAAGTACGTGGTTGCGTTCCCATGAGAAAATGGTTTTCTGGATCCGGAGATTCCAGAGGACAGCTCACGAACATGGCACTGTTGCATCGAGATTGAACGATCTGACGTGGACATATCTGTAGGTATCATTGTGGAGCTCCGAACATACCTGGAATGACTCTGGGAAAACCGTTCGTACCCAGTGAATTCTCGTGACAACCTGCGGTCATTGCACCCGCGGAGTGTCCTTATTAACACCAAGTGGACATTTAGTTACCCCTTCCCTCGTCAACCGCTCATGGGAGAGCTAAGTAGCACCTACGGGAGCCTGTTCGTTGGCGTCCTATTTTCTGCGATGTGTGTATCCGCTCTGTTGTTCAAACATTCACCGATGTAACTGAAGTTATGCATCAGTCTGTTCGGAATAACAAACCTTCAGACATTCATTTATTTCCAGTGGTATCCACGCAACAAGGCGTGGAACAAAATCATCATGTGCTGGTTATAGTGAGTTTGGTACTTCAAGTTTTGAATCTTGTATAGTATATTCATGTGAGATTCCTTTGCTCCGCGAATGGTGACTAGACTGCTGGATGCGATTCACCTCGCGTTTTGCGCACACATGCTATATCACTACATCGTGAATAGCTCCACTGACACTTTGGCGAACCTGGAGATTGTCTGGAGTATGCACATTGTGGTATATAGAGAGTTGCTCCTGACACAACTTTGAGAGCAGGCTGCAATGATAGTAGTGGTATAATGACCAAGCTGTATTCATATTATGTGTGAGCGCACTTATAGCTTCTTTCCCAGACATTGATCATGGTATCTGTCCAAAGTTTCGTTACGTGCAGTATTCTCTTCGAAGGCGCAGTGAAATAATGAAATGCTATTCACAGGCTATACTCTATTCGAATTATTATATGTGCATTATTACACTCATCTTTAATATATCATCCCTGAACTAATCCATGACTCATTATAAGTGGGTGCCTTGCTTGAGTGGTTGGAGTTTAGGAGGCGTCTGGTCCGAATTTTATTTGTTGTTGTGCTCGGGCGGAGCATATCAAGCACACTGGAAGCAAGCATTAGTTAACCATCAGGAAGTGATCCTGGCAGTCAAAAAATAGACTGCCATATACCATACAGCGAGCTGAGGGTTGAATATTGTGGGCAGATGGTTGCGCGCTATCAGTGTCAATGACCGGGCGTATGAGACATGTCCGCACCCGGATCGGACACAGTGGCTGGCGACATCCATATCCGCACCGGTGTCTCGGACGAGCGCCGGATTTTGGCCGGTTATACCCGCATCCGGACTCGGGGGTCGGCCGGTTTTGAGGGTCACGGTCAGTTATGGATAGGACATGGATATTATGCATGCGGGGGGCCTTCAGCAATAAGCAGTCGTCGCTTTCCTTTATTACCGGGTCGCTGTCCTTTACCTGCCGTCGCTGTCCTTCGTCCACCGACGTTGCCCTTCGAATTTGCCTGCTGTCGTCCCCCCGCCGCCGTTGTACTTGGGGGCCTTCTCGATCGTTCCGTGGTGTGTCATGATCTCAAGAACTCGTGCCTACCATAGTAGCTCGCTATGATAGAGCGGTGGAGGGCAGCTAGCCCGACAGAGGAATGCTGTCGTGGGTGAGGCCAGGCCGGGCGCCCCGCTCTCGGAGGTGTGGGGGGCACATTACCCATCCGGCAACATTGAATCATTCATTGATCAGATGTCGAGATCGGTTAACGCTACCTACCATACTACTAACTTAGTATCAGCCGGAGGGCATACCTTATAGAGCGAAGGGAGCGAGCTTCGAGGTTCAAATTTTCAAACGTGCAAGCCCGAGTAATCTGTACGTAGTGCTGTGGTACAGTCTGTTGATTTTAGGCTACCCGTTTATCCTCAGGTCCGCATCTGTCTGTTGTTCACGATGACGTGCGCAGTTGCTTCCCAGGGCGCTGCCACTTCGTGTGACTCGTAGTGCACAGCGTCGTGACTCCTGAAATACCCAACACGCATTGTGCCGTTCACGAGGGGTGTCTGCAACACAAGTGTTGTAAGTGCTTATATCTTTTCGCACAAGTACGTGGGACGCGTTTGAACCCCGCTAAGCCGCGTCGGGTTCTACAATAGAGTCCCTCCAGAAATGGCAGGGTTGTGTTGCAAGTACTACTTAGACTGCCGCTGGGCCTTCCCATAAGAACATGGGTTCCAAGATCCGGAGAACCCTGATTGCGGGCGGCTCAGGGACATGTCACTGTCGCGTCAAGATTGAATGATCAAACGTAGTCATATCTGTACAAGGTGTCATCGTAGAGCTCCCTTTGGAACATGCTTGCCCATGAATATTTGAATGCCACAGCCACCAAATCCTCGCGACAGCCTGCGGTCATTGCGCCCGCGGATTGTCCTTATTAACATCATTAGCATCAAGTTCTGGTGAGCTAGTTGCCCCTTCCCTCGTCATCCTCTCAACATCCTGGTACGGTTCATGGGAGACTTGAATAGCACCTATGGGAGCCTGTTTCTTGGTGTCCTACTTTCCGCAGTGTGCGTATTCGCTCTGTTTTTCAAACATCCACTGACACGAACGAATTTATGCATTAGCCTGTTCGGAATAACAAACCTTCAGACATTCATTTATTTCCAGTGGTATCCCCGCGACAAGGTGTGGAACAAACTCGTCGTGTGCTGGTTATGGTGAGTTCGGTACTTTGAGTCTTGTATAGTATATTAATATGTGAGATTCCTTCGCTCCGCGAATGGTGAATAGGCTGCTGGATGCGATTCACCTCGCGTTTTGCGCGCACATGCTATATCACTACATCGTGAACAACCCAACTGATCCTTTGGCAAACTCAGTGGAGATTGTCTGGAGCTTTAAGGTATGCATGTTGCGGTACCTATAAAAGGTTGCCTCTCACACAACTTTGAGAGCAGGCTGCAATGATAGTAGGGGTATGATGACCAAGCCGAATTCATATTATGCGCGGGCGCCACTCATAGCTTCTTTCCCAGACATTAATCACGGTATCTGTCCAAACGTTGCATGCAGTTTTCTCTTCGAATGCGCAGTGAAATTAATGAAATGGGTTCACAGGCTATACTCTATTCGAATTTTTATGCGTTTGTTACTTCTTCAACGTGTCGTGCTGGTACTGATCCGTGACCCGTTATTAGTGTCCGTCTTACTTCAGAGGTTGGAGTTCAGGAGGCGTCTGGTCCGGCTTATGTTGCCTTTATTTGTCGTACGTTGACTGCACGTACTTCTGTGGCATCGGATAAAACAAGATCATCTTGACAGAGCATATTAGTCTTTTCACAATATGGTCAGGTTTCAATTGCTTATCACTCCTTGGACCAATGCTGATCAATTCTCATGTTGCGGCTCTGGAGTAGGTGTCGGCGCCGGTGGGTGGTAGTCTCGTCATAATTCTTATTTGTCCTTATGAGTGCGACTTTCCAGCGCTTTGCTATGAGATGTAGGTTGCATGTTCCGGCTTGCCTTGACCTCTTCTGCTCACGGTGACACAAGAGCACTGTTCGAAACTTGGTCCACACTCATCGTACCTCGGAACGAAGTCAGCTCGTCCCTATCATTATGCCTTTCTTCCACTAACTTATGAACCAGTGGATCAGCTATCTTCCGCTCGGCTCTGCATCCTGTGTGGATATTGTCATTGCTGTGTCGCTATGCTACCTCCTTAGTCGGTGTAAGACAGGCTTTCGCTCGTATGTATATCATGTGCCTGTTGTCTTAATACACTGACTGCGAATTGTTCAGGATGGACTCCATGATCAAGCTGGTGATGCTATACACCATCAATACCGGGATGATCACTGCGTATGTCTGTATTGGTCACCGATGGTATCGACTCAATAGTTTGCATCATACCAGAATTTGCGCCGTCACAAGCATAGTCATGGTGAGCTACTGGTTCCAGTCTCAATCCAGCTTATTTGAGGGGTATTATGTGCAAGGTTGCGGCCCTCCCCAACAGTCTTTGGATGATTTCTTTTTCGTTTGTGCTGGGGAAATGTGAGTAGTGGACCACTCGTCGCGTCATCACTAAATCTCTGACTACTACTGTTCAGTATACGTCAACTGTTTCTTGGCAATGTAAGTCCCGTAGACCTTCCGATGGCTCCTCTTTACACGCATGTCTGACGTTTTGCAGGCTCAACGCACGTAACGCCCTACACTCTAGAAATTCCGCAGACGTAAGTGTTCTCAGATCATGCATCCAATCGTATCATTCACGCGCAAGAAAAGCCAACATTTATCAGCAGTCTCAAGCTTCAGTCTCAAGCCCCTACGCCCAGCAGCCCGTCTACCTCTATTGCGCCTTTGCCTCTGGCACTACTCAGGCCCACTCTTACATCACACGTTGACATTTCATTCGTGGATGTTGAAAAGAATGAGCGTGAGGTCATCGCAAGTTCGGTGTCAAATTCTGTGAGTTACATGTCTCTTAAATTGCTAGTAATCGCTTAACTGCGGTTAATGCTCCTTCAAGGAGTGTCAGCAGCGAGGCGGCTCTATTTCCTTTACAGATGATCCACGCCAATAGTATTAATGAAGATGTTCTTCGCCGTTAGACGTTGCGAATTTTGGCCATTGACCTTTGGTTAATGTCGAGTTACTTCATAGCGCGCTTCTCACCTGTATTATTGTTACTCGCACGGACATGACTCCTCTACATTTTACAAATTGATGACGTCTTAATTATTAACCTGTTCTCTATAGTGTAATACTGCAAACCGTGGAACTACCGCCTGTCTAGTAGTCAATATTCTAGTAGTCAATATTTTTTTTTCGAATGCGTTATGGAGAAAACACGGTACCTCGGTGCACAACAAATTTAAAAGGATCTTATGATTGCCGGTGATACATGCGTGTGGAAGTTTCTCGAGGATGCCACTGTCATTCTTTTCGCCAGTGCCTGCACGCGCTGTTGTAGTATCGCTATGTCTTACATGAAGTACAACAGAAGGGTATACGTTACTGTTACTTTACTGTTCCTACACTGACCCGACGACGCCCATAAAGTACTGTCCGTCAGCATCGTACAAGTACAGTACACACCCCAAACCTCACACCTATCGTCGCAGAAAAAAAGGTAAATAATTTCAGAGATCTGGCAGGCCACCAATCCGGAGTTGAAACCAGATTGGAAGCCGCGGAACAACCTACGCATGCCAACCAATTTCTTCAACATACGTTGGGCATGGGAAAATGCAAGTAGGACACTTCAGCCCCTCTCCAAGCCGAGTAACGAGCTCGGTGTTTCAGGCTCGAGAGACGACGGCGCGCGGTAAGACTCTTTAAGTGGGATCCGCCAAGTATACCCACCACGTGGGGAAAGGTCAGCTGCTTTCGGGAGGCTGAGCGACGAGATCGCGGCGGAGGACGTAGATGTCGTGGAGCTGGGGGACGAACTCATCTGGAGGAGGAGCGACGCGGCAGACTCATCCTCGGGCGTCCAGGTCGGCGAGCCGGACGACGAGCCAGACGCGCGCGTCAGGATGTCTATGGAAGCGCGGCGCGACGTGACAGAACTGTTGGCCATAGTATGACGGGCCTTCTGAAACTCTGCGGGAGCTTGATACAGAGCCAATGGAGAGCGGCGAGCGACGGCCGTCGAGGAAACGACAGCGCGGTCCACAGGAGCTGGCAACGTCAGAACTGGCACGTTCGCAAGCGAGGCTGCAGGGCGAAAATGACCCGATGGAGGTGGGGAAGGAAGCTGGGTGTTTGCGCGACACTCAGACATTGCAACAATGGAGCTGGGGTCGAAATGCGGGTGGGGGAGCCACGAGGCGATGGATGGGAGGCGGTGAGGCATGTATGGTTGGGCTGCGGTAGTGGGGTCTCCGTCTTCGGCCTTCCCGTTGTCCTTCGCATAGGACTCATCCGACTCCACGGAAGACCTAATAGCGTCCACGTCAATGACCATACTGCTATCGACGTCATCAGCACGCTTCCTCTTCGACCCCTTCTCTCCAGACGAGGTAACAGCTCCATCACGAGAGCAATTAGCGCAGCCCCCCGCCTCTAGAGTCTTCACCTTCTCAATAAGCTCCTGCATATATGCGACTGTCTTAACGAGAACGTCCAGTTTGAATTCCTTCTCTTCGGCTTTCACCCTTCCGCACTTCGCGGTACCGCTCACAGGCTCTGCAGGTGAATACGATGACTCGATATTTTCCCCAGCATGGCCTGCACGCTTCAGGGATTCCCTTCTGGCCTCGGCCTCACTGACAAGAGCACTGAGCGTTGCCAACGTCTCGTTAATCTTGGTACGCCGGGCTTTCTCGATACGGGAGTGATTCAGCTTGCGCAGGGACTCGCGGGCAGAGCGCGAGAGCGGGCCTGGTTTGCGACCACGGCGTTTGGGCGCAGCCATGGAGGGGTCATATTCGTCCTCCTCATCCTCCTCGGAGTCCGGAGTGTCGGGTACTTCTGCGTCGGCCTCGGTGGGGCAGTCCTTCGGCAAAATGGGAGGACGAGAGCGATGTGCTGAGGGTTTAGGAGGGGCTGTCGAGCTATCAAGCATAGACTCGGCGTTGCCGATGGATTCCGTACGTGGACGCTTCGCTCGTCTTGGCGGGTTGATACTCCTCGCATACGCCACGGTTGCACCTATCTGGCCTGTCATCTACAGCCACTCGAAGATGAGATGGTGCACAGAAACAACAGCGGGGAGGGGGCCGCACGACTCACCAGAGGATCGTCCTTAGATTAATGGGGGCCTGGGGTGATGGTGGTGAAGAATCAACTCGCGCGATACAGGAGCATCGTTTGCGTAGACATATAAACCGGAGTGGACTCGCATTCTGCGATAGGACGACGAATGGTCGTGTGCCCCAGAAACGTGCGCAGGAGAGCGTTCTCCCCCGGTGTCGCACGACCAGCAGCGGGCTCCCTGATTGGTCCGGCACGGATGCACGTGGGGCGTTCATCTGTTCTGACCCGATTTGGACGTCGGTGTTGTCGGCAACGTGAGGGAATCCAGCGCCAGCTGCAGCAGCCTCTCTCCCGACTGGAAGGCAAACCTGGTTTTGATTCCAGTCCAAAGTGTACAAAATTCGCTACTGTCATCTACCTCCAGTAAAATTGGGGCCTGATGATTGTCAACTTGAATTCGCACAAACGATCTTCTTAAATGTGAGAACGAAATAAGTAAAATGAGGAGACCTGCTTACGCATCCCAACTTTGCGCTGTGCGGCTAGGCGTGTTGATGCGGTAAGAGCCGCTTCGACACAGAAGAGCCGAAGGTGCACATGCACTCATCGCACAAACGTGGTGCGCAGATTCTGGAAGCCAGCGCACGCTAAAGAGGAAGTTTGGCGATCGTGTGTGCAACCCTGTGAAGGCAAAATGAGTGGCGACAATTGCACTCTACCGCTCTCGTTCTGGACATGCAATAAATATGACTTACACGTACATGCATGTACTGTCTTGCCCGATAATACTGTGACGGAGCCATTGCACCGAGGGAGAGAACGATCCGAAGGTGGACAGAACTCAAAGCCTCTGATCGGCGGCCTGTAGAGAATGTACATGAAGCACCATGTCCAGGAGAGACCCGTTCTATTTTGTAATTTCAACAATTTCTCGCCTATGATTGATGGTTAGAGCGAAACGAGAGTTTGTGCTTACCGGGCAAAATCACGGTGCAGTGCTCAGGTGTCGCATAAATGTCAAGAGGAAATGGAATGGAGTTAGGAACACAGAAAGAAAGAAATGTCTTCTCCATATAGCGGTCCTAGGGAATCCAGCAAGATTGCGCATCCGGCTGGATATGTATTCCAGCTGAATACCCCAGGAGGACCTATGGTATTCTTTCAATCCCACCTCCGAACCACACTCATTTCCGTCGCCCATGCGACCAATACAACATGTCAGCACTCACCGACGTGCAAAGCGAGATCAGTATGGAATTTGCTCAGAACTACCAAGACTGTCCGTGACACTTCCACGAGGACGAACCGTGTTTCTCGCCTTGCAGTAGTACTATCGCAGGACTGAAGTAACTCTGAAGGGCTGCATCGTCGCCATCCTGCCCTTTTGCACACTACACGTGTCAAAAAACGACGTATTCGTGGGTGGCGCTCCGTACCTTGCACACGGTGCCTAGCTCAAACATGGACGCGCCATAGAGAGGTGTATGATCTGAGCATATCCCGACTGACTTGAGGCGTATGAAGAGAGGAAACTCGCTGATGTGGGTATACAACATCATAGTGTAGTAGGTGTAGGAGGCCGAGCCCGTCACGGAAAACACGACACACATGCTTACGTAATTCAAGGCTGCGGTCTATCTTTGCCTCAAGAGTCAAGAGTTCCGAGTCAATTGAGAGTCCTTGGCGTAGAGCTTCGTCACGGATCCAACACAAAAACGAGGTCAGAGTCACTTCAGAGTTCGTTCAACGTTCGCACTTACTGTGAACACGCACGTGACCGTCACTGATAGACTTCAACAGCAAGCCATGATGCTGCGTCTCCAGTCGCTTCCAGGCAGCCTTGATTTCCTACTACGACCGACACGACATCCTCGTGCGGCCCCACCGCTCGCTCTATATAAACCTTACACTCGTTGTTGAGACCCGGCATTTCTCTTCCCGTCGATCGCGTTACCTACCTCCATCCTAACCTCGACATTTACGAATTCACGATGTTTTCACGACTCTTTGCGCTCAATGTCCTCCTGACGACCGTTCTGACAGCGCACGCGACCATCTATGTATGTAGTTGATGCACGTGGAAGTACGACGTAGTTGCTGAGTATGCTCCTCACAGGTCACAGAGCCCACGACCGGCTCTACATATAGTGGTGGCCAGGCTATCACTGTCTCCTGGCTAGACAATGGTGAACAACCGTTGTTGAGTGACATTGGCGCGTGCAATATTGCCCTGTACAATGGAAATGACGTATGTGGCGCAACTGGGTCGTTTTCACAATTCTTGTTGACTTGTTGGTAGGTGCTGATCCAGCAAATTCAGCCTGTTGACGTATCCACCGTACACTCTTTGATATTCGCGGTGAGATCATGAACTCTAGCGCTTACAGTAATACTGACTTTTCTCTAGCCGGACCCGAATGCTGGACCTGACTCCAGTAACTAGTGAGTTGCACAGCATGTCCCAAACGCATCAAACACGCTGATGGCTTTCTAGCTATGTCCAATTTACATCTGTGAATTCTGTAGCTGGCGGACCGTATTATCAGTATTCTCCCTCCTTCACGTAGGTTCTCACATCCGTTCCCTCGTTTCAACGTTGACAGTTTCTTCTCTAGTCTCACTTCCATGAGTGGGAGTTTGAGCTCTCCCGTTGCTAGCGACACTTCCTCCATCTCAGTACCCTCTACTGCTAGCACTCCGTCCGCATCGGCAACGCCCACACCAACTGGTAGCGCCGCATCGTCGGCTGCCAGCAGTGTCGCATCGTCTGCATCTGCTGCAAGTAGCGCCGCGTCATCTCTCTCTAGCGCCGCCAGCAGTGTCGCATCGTCGATCTCAGGTGCTGCGAGCAGCGCAGTGTCATCTGCCTCCAGTGCCGTGAGCAGCGCCGCGTCGTCTGTGTCTGCTGTTGGCACCAGTAGGACCTCATCCCCGTCGAGCGCTGCTAGCAGCGCCCTGTCGTCGCTGTCGAGTGCGGCTTCCGGATTCTCCACATCTCGCCCCCCAAGTTCGACTGGGTCATCGACATCGTCCTCTTCATCGTCTACGCAGTCGTCGTCCGCAGCAAAGGATGTGGACGTCTCCACCAGCTTCTTTGCACTGTCATTCGCGATGGCTGGCGTGATTGCGGGCACTGCGATGTTGTGATAGACTCGGACTCGCTAGATTCTTGCTCTTGGAGCGGTTTTTATAGTATCTCGATCTTGGATCAATTTTACCCTGTTCTTACACCTCTCTGTATTCTAGATTCCGCTGTACCGCGATACCTCTGTTCTGCATTTGTGATAGATTATACTCTTCCATCTCCAGGTGATACCTACTTGTCCTATCTTATGGTTTTGCAGATTGCGTATGAATCCGTCGATGTCGTGAGTGATCAACGACCTTCGAACCCTTGTCTTATTGGTGTAAGCTGTCAATACGTCGACGTCATGCATAGCGGCAATCAGTACTCTGGTGGCAGAACTACTACTGGGGAGACTACAGCGGGAGTCGATCATATGTTCTATATCAGTCTGTCCCTCCAGTGTCCCTCCCCCTTCTCACAGGGCTCATTTTGTAGTCTGCCTTCGGAAGAATGTTGCGACGGTCATTGTGACGCGTCGCCGGTATCAGACACAGACATCCTGAGGAACGAAGGTTGAAGCAAATGTTATTCTGCCTTTGGGAGACTAGTCACATCTGCTCTCCAAGCTCAGTCGCATCGAGTCAAAATAGGTTCAAGTATTCCAACATACCACTGGTTTGTCATGGGGGTCAGGGCATGTACACCATTATTATTGACACAGCTGTTGCCTGAATTTGGCTCCCACTGTAGGCTCATAGATACAGCCTCTAGTTATGTGCAGGAAGTTCCATTTGTAATAGAGGCTGAGATTATTACACTGGATGCAATTTCCAATAAACTGGCAGGAGTTATGCAAAACTTATTGAAAGGTAAAGTGAAAAAGTTTAGTGTAAGGAGTAAGAAGTGGTGCCTACACCAAAGTGCTTAAGGTAAAGTATGACGGGAGTCTGCTTTTGTAAATGAGTGACATACAAGTTATGTCTCGCTGGATGTTCTGGAAATAATAGCGGTCGCTGAGTGCATGAGCAAAGAGGGTGATAGCAAGGTCTTCACACACTATTGTCCGGCACAGCGAGATCGTCAACCAAGTTCACAGGCAATGTGATGTGATGTGTCGCCGAGTCCGGTGACAGGAACCCTGATAGTGCGACAGTGACCTGTGGGTGACAAACTACTGAAGATTTGCTCACACTGGAGTAGACTTACTATGTATCATTCCATCTACATTCATGGCAATGTCAATTGCAATCTTCGAAGACTGGTAAAAACAACCAATGTATAGCTTGCAGAAAGTTTCTAATATAATCCATGACAGTCAGTGAGATTGCGCAATGCTCGACGATACGATACCGATTTGATCAAATGGTGTCACCCGCGAGCGTCGTTGAAAACCAAATCGCTCATGGTAGGCCTCCCAAAAACCAGTGGAACAGTGCATGGATCTCAAGTTGAAATTATGGAATCAGGACAATATCAACGGGAACATCTGGCGGATGAGGTCATATCTTTGAAAGTAGGACTTGTTCGCCTTCATTATTTTGCAATTTATTGGCTTTCAACATAGTCACATCATGCATTCTGCATCCAAAATTGCGACTACAGTGGTCTACGCAGGTTTTCGCGCCGTAGGGTATCTGTAAGTTTCGCTCTGCAGTTCTCCTGAGTTAGTGAGCATGCATATGATCATTAAGACTGGACAGCACAATGGGACGCCGATACCTTGTCTTCCCAAGGTCGTAGACATCTCAGGCTGTAGACATGCAAGTCTTTATTGTGGGAGCTCCGTCATCATCACGGAGCCGGCGCCTCTGAGTCGAAGACCATATCGATGAGCGAGCTCAAGTCCACGAACGGAGGACTAGGAAAGGTACTAAGGAGGAGCAGGAGGTGGGGATTGTATGATATGTCTTGGAGAAACGTATGAAGCAAATGTTAATAGCCAGACGATGCGGCGGACCTGCTACTAGTGGATCGTGCGCGTGAGGTACGAATGTTGAAACGTTGAAGTTTCGGAGTGTCTACGATCTGCCGCTTCTAGACGCTGTCTCATTGAAGTTGTGGCCCGCCAAGGAAGTGAAGCTCGGGTCATCCAAGTCGACACTACCATGACAGGAACTTGATCATCAGAAAAATACGACCCACGGGAGGGTTGCATAAGCCTACGCTTTTTCCGACGAACGTCGCGTGAGACTGCACCCCGCGAATTCCATCGATAGCTTCAAACGTTGGCTTATTCATGCGACATAACGCTATCGTTCTTCATATCAGCTTTAGGCCGTTTGTACCAACTGCTCGACGCATTCGTACGTGCTCGCACACCTTGACTTGCACCTCTTCGTCGCGACCCATTTCACGTCGGTACATGGCGTCCGCCGGCCCTGGAGTTCCCTCTGCCAACACTAGCTCCAACACGAGTGCGTCGGCCGAACCGGTGTGGAATTTCCCCACATCACCCATTCCGAGCAACCCCTTGGGTGACGGGCAGTATATCAGGAGTGCTGCAGCGCTCATAATTGGGTGGGTTACACTCCCCAAGCTGTACTCTGACAAAACGCGCATACACTTCAGGCCTGGGTATTCACCTCTGGTGTTCATGGCATGGGCATTCGGCAGGTGTAGGGACTGGAATGTGTCTGCTTTCTGTTGGAGCACCGAATTGTAGCATCTGATCTGGTCTGGCTGACTTTATGGGAATGAACAGAGATGAGATCCTGAATGGCAAGACGCTGGATAGGAACTCCAATTACTTCGCACGATTCTGCTTCGAACAGGGCATCGACCTGTGCGTACATCTCATGCGTCCCGGTAAGGATCTAAATCTTCTGTCCAGGAAGCGGATAGAAGTCATTCCCGACGAGGAAGACGACATGTGCGTCCGCGTCACCAGCACCTGACCGGACGCTGAGCTCGTCTTCCATGTAGCATCGAAGCTAGCCGGCGACTGGTCAAGAATTATGACTTCGTCATCACCTCTGGGGGCATTGGCCCCACACACGATGGTCAGTAGAACGCGTATATGTTGCACAACCGTTTCGAATGACCACCCGCAGACATTACCTATGCCTCGCTCGCCAAATCCTTCGACCAGCCGCTGGAACACCACGCTGAGACACTACACCGGATGGTTGAGATGAGCAAACATCGCATAGACATTGTGAACCAGACTGCTGAGCAGCGCACTGCGCGGGAGCGTATGGCACTTTTTCCCACACGCGCGGAGGTCCTCTTCATTGCCCCAGACGTCTGGGTGGTAAGAACCCCTCACCATCGTAGAGTATCGTTTCTCTGAAGTCTTATTTTTGATCAGCCCGTCGTCCGCTTAGAAGGCAAGCTATGCGTGTTCCCGGGGATCCCGAAGCTCTTCCAGAAAATGCTTGACGGGCTCACGCCATTTCTCCCACTCCCACCGCCAGAACAGCGGCCCTTCCGGCTGCAAATTTTCACATCGTACGTTCTGCTGCTATTCACCGTCTGACTGTTAAACTGACCCTTACACACAGTCTGCCGGAGTCCTCCATAGCGCCGTACCTCTCTCAAGTGCAGGCACGCACGAAGGCATCAGGTGTCCGTGTCGGGTCGTACCCTCTGCTGCAGCGTGGCGTTTATGTCGCTCTCATTGGACGCGATACGGACCTTGTGCACTCTCTCGCTGAGGAGGTTGCCCAAGAGCTGGAGGGCCGTATCATCAGTGAGGAGGATGCATTGAAGGAGAAGGCTGGTCTGTAGGATGGTTCCTACACTGCTACCAAGGGTAATTTTCACCCTTGACGGTATAGCATCTGTCCTCGCAGCACTGCTAGGATGTGGATATACCTTTTGTACAACAATTTCGAATACTTCAATTACCTTCCAATCCCATGCTCCTACTCCCTTGCGACAGGAATGGTGGTGAGCCACTTCCCGTAGTACACGCACTCCTTCGGGTTCACCGGTCCCGTGTTCTTGCAGAAGTCGAAGGTGGGGCAACGCACGCAGGGTGCCTGGGATAGCCCGAAGCCAACCTTCTCTTGCTTGATCGCGCGGTAGACGTAAGCGCCATAATCCTCCTCCATAACCATCGATGTGGAGCTGAGGTCAGGCGCGGGAGAGGATGAGTGCTTGCGCGACTTCGACTTCGATCGTGACGACTTGCGACTGCGCCTCTTCTCGGATTCAGGTGACGCGTCCGAGGAGTCACCAGACTCCCTGTCCGACGATTCTTTTCTCTTCTTTCCCTTCTTCTTCCGCCTGTGCTTCTCGTCCTCGCTACTGCTGCTCCCGCCGTCTTCCTCGTCGCTCTCATCCGTCTTCCGCTTCTTCTTTTTGCCTTTGCGATCAAACTCACCGTCGTCACTGTCGCTCTCCCGTCTCTTCTGGCGTCTCTTCTTAGACTTATTCCGCTCGCGCTCGGAGTCCGAGTTCGAATTAGACTCTGAGTCGGACTTGCTCCGCTTGCTACGTTTGCGTTTGCGCGAGTCCGTATCTTCCCGCTTTCGCTTCTTGCTCGAGCGCGTCCCGTCATCGTCGCTCTCGTCTTCCCGCTCCTCCGCAACGTTCGCCTCCCACATCACTGCGCCGAATGCGGGAACCTACACGCGAAAGCTCGACAAGCTGTGCCAAGGTGCGGCAGCAGATCGCTCACCTTCTCCACCTCGCCGTCCAGAACGAGCACGTTGAGCAGCATCTCGATGTGCTCGACGTCCAGTTGTGTCTCGGTAATTCGGCTCTTGCTCAGGAACGCGAGGATTTGCTGCGCCGTTGGATATGATGGCGCTGCAGATATCGGAAATAGCGGCTGTGATGTTTTGGAATCGCCGTCTTGCGATTTATGTTTTGGTAAACTCTGCAAAAAGGATTAGATCATGTAGTCGCGCGAGCTAGAGGGTATTCACGCGGTCTCGGATGAAGCGCAGACACGCGCTGCAGAGGAGCTTGATGAACTCAGTGTCCAGCTCGTTGTCGGTGTACCATGGCCCGCCGGTCATCTCGACGGACGGGTCCAGATGGAAGAGCATGTAAATTTTACGCGTGGGATACTGTTGAACAGCATAAACGCGTGAATTCGCCATGGAGGGGGTGGCTACTGACCTTCACCGACTTTACCGCCTTGATGAGCTGCTTCTGCACGAGCGACTTTATGCAGCGATCGATGACCGTTTGGTGCAGCTCGGTCTTGGCTTTCAGGTGTTTTGTCCAAATCCCTGTAAAAATTATAGTGCTGGATCAATAATAGAAGACGTGGATCAAAGCGTACCTTCATTCCCTGAGGCTTGAATATGACTCAACACCATGCTCTCCTCGTCACTCATGTCCTTCTTTCTGAAAATTAACGCGTAAGGTCGTATTCCTCGAGTGACAGAGAAATAGAAATCCGCACACTTCAAGTTCCTTCTTCATAACGGCACGAAACGACAACGCTCCCTTCGTGTCCTTCAGTGCCTTGAACATACCCTGGCGAATTTTGCGTTTCAGACAGGTTAATTGGTGAAGGAAGTGCACAATCTTACCGTTCCCAAAAGAAAGTTGATTGCTTCCACCCTGGCAGCCTTGTCTGGGATGAGAGTCTCGCATTCCTTCTGCGATAATGTCTGGAAACGTATTGTCGTATGGATCGCGCCAGTCAATGGCAATAAGTCAGATGGGGCGTACCTTCTTCGAGTCTGCGAGGGCCGCCTGGTGCAATTTCTGCTCCAGTGCATTGGGCTTGCGGCCGCTCATTTTGAGTTCACGTTTCAGATTTTGAGGTACTTCGCAGAGCGTGCGCAGAGAAGTTGCAAGCCTTGAAGGTGGATAGATTCAAGTTATTGGCAAGGTTTGGATAGATCTCCACGTGGGTGTGACCATGAAGCGTTATTTTCTGTGACGTTGTTGCAGAAGTTACCGATCAAACCTCTAACCCTACCACTGACGTGGGACCTAACCCTAGGTCGATTTTTATTTAATTTATTTAATTTCCGGCCGACCCTACCACTATAAGGAGACTGCCGGTCGATCAGTTCCATGGGGACACGTGCGGTGCCCTTTAGAATATCTGGGGACAACGAAGGAAATAATTGTCTGGCACTCACCATCATGTTCGGGGACGAGCTGAAGACTCTGCGTCGACTGGGCTTCCGTCATGTGAGTATATTTACTGCAATGATGTCCTCACAACTTAGACTGGTTTGCAACTCGCTGCCTAAGGTCCTCCTTCAGATCCTCAACTTTGCATCGGTTCTTGCGTCGGGACTCATGATTTGGAAAGGCTTGGGACTCGTCACGAACACCGAATCTCCTATCGTGGTTGTGCTCAGGTGCGTATTGGTTGTATGTATCCTCTGTAATTTGACTTAATGAGCACTTCAGTGGATCTATGGAGCCCGCATTCTACCGCGGCGATCTCTTATTCCTCACGAACCCCGCAAATCAGCGGTATCAGACGGGCGATATCACGGTGTACAAGGTTCCTGGGGCTGATATACCCATTGTTCATCGCGTCCTAGAAACGCATGACGTTGTCTCGAGAAAGAAGGGGTATGTTATATTTGAAATTGCATGTGGAATCAGTGTTGACCCAAGGTGAAGCTACGTGGCTGCTAGTCCTCTTGCTCGAGACCAGCTGTTACTCACGAAGGGCGATAATAACAATGTTGATGATCTTGAACTGTACCAGGGCTTGGAGTGGCTAGAGAGGGACCATATAGTGGGGAAAGTCCGCGGGTCAGTGTTCCGTCTATTGTATCACACTGTAGTTTGTGAGGTCGCTCAATTCACTGCAATACAGCTTTCTACCATACGTCGGTTATGTGACGATAGCTATGGTATGCTATTTTATCCGACTTACTGTGTTCTCGAAGCTGATGATTATATTTGGATAGAACGACTTCCCCCAGCTGAAATATGCTCTATTGGGAGGCCTTGGGTTATTGGCGCTAATTCAACGGGAATAATGTCGTATTTAATCAGCTGTATTCTCTATTACTGTCGTAATGTCGATTCTCTGATATTTTCTGTCGTTAGGGTCTACTAGTGTTCACACACCCATAAGATTCCTAGAATTAACCAGAACTTTGAACTGGGGACTCCTTTCCTTGCTATCTTTGACGTGGGACTTTCAGACAATTTCTTGCGTTATTCTCGGTTCTTCTACGCTGCTTTACTCGTGACTGTCCTGTCCTGTCCCCTTTGTCTCGTGGGTGCTGGAAGCCTCGCCGGAACGCAGCGTGTGAGGAAATGTATCACTCCGCTTCCTTGGGAAGGTAGATACTCCACGTCCCGTGCTTCGTTGCCACTGATATCTGGGTTCTATGTTATCTGCTTCGACCTGGGACATACGTCAAGTACTCGCACTCTCTGTCAGCAGCCTTACTTCTCGTCATGCCAGCCCCGTCGATCTCACCACCAGGGCTACAAGAATGGGGTGTCGAAGTCAATATCGCGTGCTCGTCGTCTTCCCCTTATCTGTCGCTCGTCTGAGAGGAAGTCTTGCCATTTGCCATGCCTTCGGATGGCGGAATGGATATTATGGAAATCCCAGTGTCGGGACGTGATGTAGAGAAGCTTTCCGATTCCTGCACTTCCATTACGACTAGTTCCTCAAACTCTGAGCCTCCACATTCTAAGTTCGAGCAGGTGATTCAGGGAATCACCTCTGTGCTCTCGCAGTGGGGATTGGAAACTAATGGGTATGCCTTTGGGCTTATCCTTTGAGGTGTCGGACTGATCGCACTATCAGCATCGTGCCTGTTCCCGAGGATGAGAGAGATGATTCTCGTTTGTACCAGATGTTTTTCGTGTGGTTCTCGGCGAACGCAAATGTGCTGACGTAGGTGCTCATTTGTCTTTACGCAAGTTGTTTTGCCTAATGCGAATGCTACCCTCTGTAGCCTGGCTGCTGGCACGGTGGGACCTGCGTTCTACGGGCTGGGTATCCTGGACTCACTGTGGATCATCTTGGTTGTCGATTTTGTGTAACTACATCCTCCTCGTTACTTGAGTACTGCATCTCTGATACGCTTCGTAGTACGTGTGCGATTCCAGCGTACTAGTAGGTGATTGTGTACTTCGTCGGTGGTCGGGTGTCTCAATGGACTATAGCGCTGTTTTTGGCCCGAAGCTCGGAACACGCTCGATGGTCCAAAGTCGATTCTCTTGGGGGTGAGTTATGCCCTTCTCGATTTCAGTGCTGCTCAGTATAGTCGCAATTTTGCAAGGTACTACGGAGCAATAATACCCAGCCTTTTGAACGTGTTCTCCTTGGAAGGTTACCTGATCCTGAATTGTATCATTGGAGGTCAAACCTTGGCAGCTACATCCTCGCACTTGAATGCCACTCTCGGCATCGTGGTCGTCTCCCTCATCTCTTTCGCGGTGAGAACCTCTCCACGCCATTTCACTATTGGCACTCACGTGTCCTGCCAGGTGACGTTCTGCGGTTGCCAAGTCCTACATTGGTGAGCGCTCTCTCCTTGGCATGCCGTCGCTGAGCGAAGGACAATGAAACAGGTACGAGACAGTCGTCTGGATCCCGAACGTCGTGGCGTTCATCGTCATGGTCGTCGTGGGCTGGAAGGATCTGGTCAGTGCCCCATTGTATAGCACATCCCCAGTCTCAGTCTCGGTGATCATGACTTTCGGCGCCACGCTGGCTGCGACGAACGTGAGCTGGGCACCGCTTACACCGGACTATGGGGTATACCATGATCACAGGGCATCAAGGTAGGTAGTACCCATTGAGTTCGTGCTTGTCTCATTTTTCTGTGTGTGTAGCGTCCGGATATTCTTGTACACATATTTGGGATTCGTAGTCTCTAGTGTGCGTTCGCAAGCCTAGTTGCTAGAATAGATACAGTTATTCAACAACTCTTAGGTCCCTGCACACGTCCTCGGTGCAGCATTCACTGCGACCGCCTATTCCGTCCCTACGTGGCAAGCCGGTCTCGGGAACGGCAACGACATCGGAGGGCAAATTCTTGCTCGTGATGCTCTCCTTGACGTCGCCGAGCGTGTGTGCGCCGTCGATGTACACACTTTGCACCAGCTTCGTGACTGTGGCTCCAATTTTCGCGCGGATACCGCGGTTCCTGATCGCGATTGCCTCCGTCGCTATGTGAGTACACCATTCTCTATGTACCGACAATCGAAGGCAATGACCGTTGACCGCTTTCTCGCAGTCTAATTCCAGTTGCGATTGTTGGCGCGGACAAGCTTTACGCGACCTTTGTCGATATCCTGAGTACATGCAGTGCCTATGACGCTCCGCAGCTCCCAGCTCAGAGTGCGCTACAGGTTTAATCGGTTACTGGCTTGCCCCGTACTGCGCGATCGTGCTGACGGAACACTTCGTGTTCCGCAAAAGCTGGTCTTCATATCACGTCTTGGACGCGTGGAACCAGCCACGCCACCCGAACCTTCCGCGAGGCTTGGCCTCACTCGCGACGTTCCTGACGTGTGTAGGGATCATCGTCGTATGCATGGAGCAGGAGTGGTGGATCGGCCCCGTCGCGCGCGCTGGGACGGGGGACGTGGGGATGCTGGTGGCGTTCGTGGGCGGCATAGGTGTGTACGCGTTTGCGCGGTGGGGGGAGAAGAGGTGGGAAGAATGTCGTGGATTTAATTAGATGTCAACGTTCATCGACGTTCGGGCAAAGCTGTTCTCGTAGGTCGCGGGTTAGACCGCTCCGGGATGGTCCTGCGTTGACATGGGTCTGCTGCGCATGCATGGCATGCAGATCTCTTCTCTGTGGTCAACGTTCAGGGGAAGAGATTCGTTCCTTTGATAGACTTCGGTCAGATGGGTGATATATTGAATACAGTCTCACGAAGCGCGTCTGTTACCTGCACCTATCGAGCGACGTATCCACAACTAATCCACAACTACCCCGAGGTGCAAAGTTCATACTTGCGCAGATACGCGACAACAGCAGTAGTGCCCTCGGCCCGTCGCAGCTAGGAAAACGGATACGTTATGCGCCAGTCCTGTAGAGTATCAGCTACCTCAAACGTGGGCAAGCCGCAGGGCCATACGAATTCAAATTGGAAGAACACCGCACAAGCGAACGATGCATAGCTAGGCACACCGTCGGACTAACGTAGTATTCATGAGAGTGTAGACCCCCTTCCTTAGACAAACCACTTACCAGCGCGTATTTGCTCTCATCAAATACGTCGTCTGCTGGGCATCTTGCTGGCGTACTGGAGTATAAATACGCATATTTTCGTCGTCATCTTCAGAGGTGAAGAGCGTCTTCGGAAGAGTGCCAGGCACGTATTGAACTGGTCACTCTCCGTCAATGTTTCAATACCGTTACCTCAGCGACCATTCCGACAAACGTTGTTCTGGTCTTTTTTCAGGCATTTTCCGCCAGTCAGGTGTATGTGGCCGCCGATCCAGTCTTCTGAAGTTCTGTGCCCTCACCCGTAGATTCTGTCAGCTGGCCAATTCTGACACTACTGTTGGGGTCCCCCCCGGATTTGGATATACCGGCGGTTACTTGTTCCACTCGGCATCTCACCGGTGACTCCGGGCATTCAGCTGCATATAGCCGCTCGTAGCCGCAGGCTGAGTGCTTTTCATCGACCGCGAACTCGAGCTCCTTCTTATTGCTCAACGCAGCAAGATCATTTACCATGTGCAAGGCTCTTCCTGAATGAAGAAGATCCAATTTCTTCAAATAACTTCTTGGCATGCAAGAAGCTGCCTGTCACTAGTCCTGCATGCACGGGCGTCCGTCGACAACCTTCAGCTCGATCGCATCCATGCGGTCAACGTGGTTCTCGCGATGGTTGGAGCTAACGATTCGGTCGTTTCACGCTCGACGAAAGGGGCTCGCAATCAAGTCTCAGACCTTTCGGGCGTGCGGCACCTGCACAGGGCACCGCAAGCAATTCGGATTTGTCGATCGCGCGCGGATGTGCGTACCGCATTCACAGGGGTCTCACAGGCAGGGGAGCAAGAGGAGTCTGCTCCAGCTACGCCTTGGCGGTGTTACGCGTTTCAAAGGTGTAAAGTGTAGCAGCTCTCGATCGTCGACGCTGCAACGTGGGCACGCACGGCTCGTTGATGTGAAATCCTGCGTGAAGATCGGGGTGTCGTTGAGATCGAGGAAGATATGGGCAAGTGGCAGAACATCTTACATTAATTATGCCGGCATAGAGAGGAATATCATGAGGCCTTTCTTCCATTACAGGGCACACACACTCCGCCAGCGAATGCAGTTCGTGCCACCCATAAGATCGAGGGCTGTCTGCGGTCGTTAGATTCGTCTCGTTGCATAACTAATGCCAACGGCTCGCGTGAGTCATGGCCCGCCGGCCAATCCGCGGAATCTGTCACAATAGTACATGGCTGGCTCAATAAACCTTAGTGAGGACTGCTTTCGTCAGAGTAGTCCATGTTCGTCTTGGATCCTAGGAGATTTCTAGAAGCTTCCCTGTTAAATAATTCAAGGGGGGATTCTACGCTGGAAGATGGTGGTCACGCCTCCCCGGTGTGTGGAGAGTCCCAATGGGAGTGGCAAACCGATCCTAAAGCGAGAGAAAGTTCCGTCCTTCTCGAGAACTGAGTGAGACTTTAGTAGACACCACTAAACGTAGCGTCCGGCATAGCCCGACCCCGCCTGTGGGGCGTGATGTGCATGTCAGCAGAGCGCAGCTAGTGTGGAAAACAGCTAGCTCACTGATACGAATTCCAAATCCTGGCACCGGAGAGGAAGCGAGGATCTCGTGCTGGGAGATGAGATCGCACCTGGTCCACACCTGGTCGCTGGAATTATCGAAAATGAGATGTCCGCACCGTCAGTCAGTAAGTGTAGAGCCGCTGCCGTCAAACAGCGATGATATTCCGTAACAGAAACCGAGTTGCTGATGCCTGAGTCTTCTTGTCGGTAGTATTCACCTCCAAATAGACAGGGATCGTCATGGACGCCCTCAAGTGTCATTTTACCGACTGAGGGAGTGAAAGAGACTTCTGCGCGCGCCCTAAGTACCAGAAAATGTGCCTCAGGGTGTTGGGCAACGAACGGGTTTGCAACGAAGCGAGATTTTTGGACAAGTTGGTGGACCCCGCACGAGATTCAGAGTAAGGGACAATTAATAATTATCCAGGGGGTGTCAGAGGTCTGCAATCGGTAAACTTGGCTGGCAGGCCATACCGTGTATGTATTTCTCGTCAGCCTCCGTTCGCGTCTTTCTTCCGCCCCTCATCCTTCAGACTCGCCAGGCCCTCTGTTTCGTGCCTGTGTTACCTCCAGCCGCTGCCGTTATTTTCAGCCATTAAACACTCAGAGATACGGCGCCCCACGACGGGATTCAAGGATGGATTCCTCGCCTAATTTCGAGGGCGATACCGACCACTCAATGTCGACGGTCCTGCAGTTTCCCCATACCTCCTCGTCATCATCTGGGCAGAACGCACACGTCCTAGAGCAGTCTGCGCAACGGCAACATGGGCAAAGTCAGATGACTGGGCAACCGAAATTCTCCAATGGACCGTGTGTACTCTCCCATATTGCCACAGTGCTACAATAACGCTGCTTCTCCGTTGGTGCCTTGGTTTCAGACATATTCGCTCCAGGATCACGGTTGTATGCGCAGAGGTCAGTTCTGATGCTGTGAACCATTGGACATAGTGTGCATGGCGCTGCTTCCCCTGTTATCATTTCATATCGCTTTCATTCTTCATCATCTCTTACTCATGGTGCCCTCGCGTGTCTGTCTGTCACTTGGAAGCGTTGTATCTTACCCTTCTTCTCAGTGCAAGCGACTCAAATTGAAATGTGATCGTCGCACGCCGTGCAGCTCGTGTATTAAACGCGACACAGTCCAGCGCTGCGTGTACTCGCAAGCAGCAGCTGAAAAGATGTATGATCTCAATTGTGTGAACCTTTTGACTCATTCATTTTGTTCCTGAGTAGAGACGTTCAATCTCTACATAACCGCATCCTGATCCTGGAAGGCGTAATCGCACAACTAACGGCGGCTGCACCTTCCACGTCAGTATCCTCTGCGTTAGGGAATGTAACTCCGTTCAAAGCACCATTCAGTTCATCATCGTCCGCCCACCACACGTTCAATAGTACGAGCACGCCACCGGCAAGCACGAGTAACAATTTGCTCGCGGGCTTGCCATGCAACGACCGCGCCCTCCTTGCGGTCGGTGCATCTGGGAGTTCAGTCATGATTAGCCTCGAAGACGTGGCTAGTATTTGGCTTGCCGAGCTTGACGAGCAGGGCCCTGACCATAAATCTGTGTCGAATCCCGACCCGAACGCGGGCTCTGGTCGCCCGTCGACCTCTGCAATGAGGGTGAAGCTGGAGCCGACACCTGTCATGATCCCTCCAGCTCCATCACACTCTAATTCGAGAGGGCTCGTCGCGGGTGGACGGGTCAGCTCGGCTGCGTTTGTTCCACCCTTACCGTACGATATATTTCTTCCCTCTTCCTCGGCGCCGACGACGCATGTCTCGACACCTTCGAACCCGTACCCTCCGGCGTTTTCCCTTACTGGTTCGACCGAGCCGCCACAGGTGACACCAGCCCTCCTCAGTCACCTTCCGTCTTCGCCAATTCGCACTGGCCTCATGAAGGCGGTCAACGAAGCAATGCTGCTCCATCCGTGTTTCAACATACGCCATTTCGAGAAACGGGTAAAAGCTATGCTCGACTGGGGAGATGCAGGCCTGTCTAATCCCTACAGTCTCTCCACTAGTGCCTCGGGCTCTGGCGCAGGGCTGGCTAATGGACGCACTGGTGTGGAGGAGTATGCCCGTGACGTTCTCTTCGGAACCCCTTTCTCCCACACCACCAACGGCAAGCCCAAGGCGAATGGGAAAGACTCGGGACGGGCTCAAGCACAGCAGCAGTCTGGCTCGCCGAAGCCCACGCTCAGCTTCTTCGCCGCAACTTGCTCCGCACTCGCCCTTGGCGCGCTCGTGGAGAGGGGCTGCGAGAGCCAGGCTGCTGATGTTTTTGTAGACCCGCTGTCGAATTCATCCAATCCTCTCTCGGTGATAGATACCGCCGGCAGAGGCACGGACGGCCAGCGCACGTCACCCGCTGCGTTGTTTGCGCTGTCTGAGCAGGCGCTCTCGCTGTTCGAGAAAACGTCTTCGTATGATCTTGATGCGATGATGGCGATGCTACTCCAAGTACTGTTTCAACTTCACGACGGGCAGATGAATGTGGCGCAGGGCGTACTTCCGCTGGTAAGTACCATCTCTACATCTTCTTTAGTCTCCTTTCCCTTCCCTGAATTCGGTCGTGCCTTCTGCTCTACTAATGCATCAATCTGTAGGTCGGGAAGATGATCCAGGTTGCGCGCATAATGGGCCTCGCCATTGATCCTGACGAATTCCCTGGAACGTACAGTCTCTTCGAGGCGGAGCTACGCAGGAGGATATGGTGGTCAGTCTTCTATTATGACCTGTGAGTGTTCGTGAAGACTACCCTCGTCATCATCTGAATCTGTACCTAAGATTTATATCTGACTGCCTGGGTCATCCCCCTCTGATCCCGGACAACTCTTTCACGACACGGTTACCTGCTGACGTCGACGAGGACCAGTTTACGCCATCATCCACCACACTGCCGATACTATCGAACGCCGAGGGGACCGAGAAGGGTACTGCATATCTGATCCTAAAGCTCAGGTGAGCAACTAGGTCTTCTACCCTTAGATGCAAACGCCAACGTCACGCTCGTTGTAGACTCGCTCAACTCGTGAAGAATATCAAGAGGCAGATATTCAAGGACCCGCTCGGGGATGACTTCTCAGACTTGTCGCTTGATCAAGCCGCAACACTCGAGGGTGAGATCTCGTCGTTCCTCGCTGACCTCCCTCCTGCATTCCGTCTGGACACGGACCACGACTTGTCGGATGCCCTACCTCCCCCATCTTCAGTATCCCCAGTCCTCATTGCCCAGAGATGCGAGCTCGCTATCCTCGCAAACCGCCTTACCCTGAAGCTCTACCTGCCCTTCCTCAAAGAGTCCTGCGGCTCGTCGTCGCCCAAGCCCTCGCATCAAGCTGTGTTGGGTACCATTACCGCTGCGCATGTGGTCATCTATGCATCGCGACTACTCCATTCGTTGTGGCGGCACACTCGACCCGCGATCTTCGACTTCTACGACTTCGGGCGGGCGCTGTTCGACGCTGCTATCGTGTGTGCGCATACTGTGATCCAGCAGCCCTCGTCCATCTTGGCTGCGGAGGCGATGAAAGCCGTGTCGTGCGCTTTGGAGGTCATGCAGGACATTGACGCTTCAAAATCGATCAGCAAAGACGGTGCGAGCGGAAATGGTAGCAAGAACGAAGCGATCAGGGTAGTCGAGGTGATGAAACGTAAGGCGGAAGCTTCGAGAGGCACGCAGTCGAGTGGGAGTGCCATTGCGGGGTCGAAGAGAAAGCGATCTGAGCCTGAGTCTGAGTCCCTCTCGTCGGGGTTCCAGCTGCCATTCGTCGGCCCTGCCGTCGCGTCAACGAAGACCGATCGCGCAAGGCCCATGGTGTCTCCCTCTAAGTCGTCGAGTGGAACGCTCAAAGATGCATTGATCGTCAAAACCGATTCGAAGAGACAGTCAGCGAAGGAGAAGGACAAAGATAAAGAGAAGGAAAAAGAAAAGGACAAGAACAGGTATCCTCCTGTAGGAATACGCGTGCGTCCTAGTCAAGCACAGTCTTCCAGCCGCCAGCGGACAGCTTCGACGTCGACGATCCCTCCGACGCCTACTGTTCCTTCTTCCAAGGGGCGTGCCAGCGTCCCTACTTCCGCTCCACCCTCCGCCGCATCTCTTCCCCCACCGACGCGTCCACTGGCAACTCCAGTCCAAGAGTCATCTGCTATGCTTGGATACGAGAACTACGCATCATCACGCCCAACGACGCGCGGTGGTCCACCTCTGGAGCCTATGCAACGTGAGGACTATACCATGCAGTACACCACGAGCGAAGACTCGAACGTCATCGACAGGCGGCGATACAGCTCACAGTCCTATGACTCGCCGTCGGCGGCATCTCTGTTCGACCCTGCATCCCTCACGCACCCCAGTCCCACGTCATACAGCACCGGGCCTACACCTCCTGGCTACTACATGTCGTACGCGCCGACCGCTGGTCCTTCTTCAGGCTACGACAATTCTCCGCTAGCACATTCCCAGAGCACGCCGATCGTCGGCCTCGGGATCAGTTCGTCTCAAACACCCATGGACACCTCCGGCAACACGGAAACCGCAATGTCAAGTGAGCAGCAGTATTACGGGCACGAGAAACCCCATTCCTCCTACACTCCGCCGATGGGCAAAGCCCATGACTATCCCCGTTCAATGACCCATGAGTACCAGCTATCATCCTCTCAGCATTCTACTGTGCCTGGTTCGCACGTGCAAGGATGGCAGCAAGCCAGCGCGAGTAGCGATGGTTGGAACGGTTACAAGCCTTACTACGGATGACTTTCTTGGTTATGTTCCTTCATCACATCGGTGCTGTAGCAATGTGTAATTCTTTGACTCCAATGCTACGTCGTACGCCGTATGTGCCCTTTCAATAGGTTTCCCGCCTTCGCCCCCCCCCCCCCCCCCCGGGATCTATTCTGGAATTCTTTTTGATGTATCTTCCATGCCGCATCGTCCCTTGTACCCCTTACGGAGTTTACTTATGGACTGTTCCTCGTATCTTATTTTGCTCAGCCCGTACCTCAATATCTGCCTTGTGCTGTATCTATAGTTATGTGCCGTTATAGGTCCATTCTAACGAGTCCTTTATGGGTATCTGATCGTCGATGCTAAACCTACAATCGTTACGGTGCGCGAGCTGCATCAGGTCTGTTTTTGGAAATGCAGCCATGTCTGTTTCGATAACAGTGTGACGGGCTGGCTCAACATCGGCGTTTTCGTGGTGGCCGCGCTCGCTGTGGTGGGTTGCGTCGGCGACGCTGGGCGCGTTAGGCGCGGAATCGGGGCCTGCAAAATCTTCCTTGTAGATATCCTTCGATCTCAGTACCATTCGAGGCTCATGCGATATCATCCTTTACCTCGCGTCCGGTCCGATTCTCTCAGATTAAATCTCTCGCTCCCAACAGGGCTACGAGCCCCCGCATTTTCTAACACAGTAGATACAAAAAACATACCTTTAAGCACTCTGTCTAACAGGTGAGAATGGACCGAAAGAACATCAGGCAATGGAGGTCCACAGTCTCAGACAGGCGATATGTAAACTCAAGTGGTCTAGCTACGCTGTGCGCACCTAAGTATAGGAAATTTATTTCGATACACGTACAACGAATGGACATACAACTAATGGACATACAAAGTAACTCTACAGACGCAACTGAACTTCAGAAAGTGGGTCAAAGTGAAATTCAGCAACAGGATGAGTACCCAAGGATGTCGTAATCTTTTCCTCAAACATCTTGAGCATCTTGCGGGCTGAGTCCTCAGAAGAACCGTACCACAGCTCTGTGTCCTCTTTCTTATGCATCGTGAGCTTGATGAGCCAGTTAAAGCCACCAAGCCCAATTCCTTTCCAAACAGCTTCGCAAGCACGTAGGGCCCCTGCATTATAGAGGTTTGTGATCAGAAAATCTAATTTTTCCTTGCGGCACTGGTTGTAATCACTTGTGCACCAAGTGTTCAGCTGGGTATCTTGATCGGTGCTGTAATTGCGCAAGAGGACGAAGGGGAGTACCCACACGAACGACTCGAGATCGTGGCGGTAAAGGCGAGTGATCTTGCCGCTGTAGTAGTCCGGCATCAGGAGATCCAACGCCATGAAGGGGACCGTTCCCGTGCACTCTTTCCCAGTAGGCTTGCGCTCTTCAGATCCTTCGCGAATAACTGTGAGGTCGAAGTCATTAAGTACGCCACGTTTGGTGTCCGGGTTGTACATGAGGTTGTATAGACTGATGTCGCCATGCTCGACGCCGTGCAACCAGAGTCGGAAATGACCTGCGCATGGGGTCTTCCAGTCAGGGTGATTCCAGCTACGTAGTGGACAAAACACTTACAACGATAGCAGTCTATCCACGCACGTACAAAAAGGACACCTTTCAAGTTCTCAATCGGTTCAAGCTTGCGCAACAGGATAACGCGGAGGAGGCGTGGGCTGCTCACAACGTTCCCTCCCTCCCTGCGGAGCTCGCCGAGTAGAGAAATTTCGTCGCGAATGGTCCCCGTAGAGTAAGCCAAATCTTGCGAATCCACTAGAAAAGGAATATGCCCCCTAACGAGATCGTCCCCTTCGCTCTTCGCTTCGATCACTTTCAGTATGTCAACTTCACTCCTCCGCTCTATCTCCGGCCAGTAGATCTTCATCACCAGCTCTTCTCCATTCGGAACTTCCCGCTTGGCTTTGTACACGCTCGTACCTCGGCCAAGCAAGCTATAGCGGTCATATACAGGCTCTGACCTAGCAACTGATACCTTTATGCCTGTGCTGCAAGTGAACTGGAAGTCCTCACGATCATGATGCGGATGCTCCTCAGCCAAATATTTGCCTGCAGAACTGATTATCCTTCGGTGATGTTTCTCAGCTTCATTCATGAGGCTCGTCTCGATGCCCCAGTCCTTCAATGTGAAGCGTTGGAAGACGGCAAGAAGGACAAGGAAATAGGGAAGATCCGTAACAAAGTTAACCCCGCTAGACTGGATTGCACCCTGTCGATCATACCACCAAACCCACACACAATTATCTGCACACCACTAGTGTTATCAATGACGGCGGACGGCATGGGGAGAGACTTGCCGATAATCAAGAGGTTGATTGCGTGAGCGGCATAGGGGCCGCGCATCAGCATTTCTGCGCCATAGATACCACACTGGACGATAGGAGGAAGCTCCTTCTCACCCTCCACTTTGGGCTTCTTAGACATGCTGCCACCCGATTGATCAGGAGATTTACATTTGGTAATGGACTTCCTTGGAGTATTAAGATGCTGAGATGACGATGAGCTCGGCCTGACCGCGGCAAAATCCTTTCGCCATACCCCATCCTCGTTAGGGTGTTCTTGATCCAAATTGGAGAGAGGTGTAATGCTTAACGTGAACGTATCGGTGTACTCGTGCGGAAGTGTACCCGATGGATCCTTATGACGCTTAAATTCTTGGCATGAAAGACAATCTGCCCAGCGAAAACTCTCGTACGGTTTTTCCAGTGCGACCTTGAATGCCAAATCATCCCAGGGCATGCTGGGGACACGTGCGGAGTCCCCGGCCGCCCGGAAAGCAGACCCGTGTGCAACCAACACGACGTCTGGACAGCCCAAGGTCTTGAGGCCACCATGGATCCCAGTGAGGTCCTTAGGGTCATTTCTATGAAACATGATATCCAGATCCTCCTTCTTGTTGATCTCGCGTAACAACGGGAGCGAGCACTCCTTCATCTCCTTCAAAGCATGATTGAAGGTATTCACGAAGGGAGCATAGCACTCCTCCTCACGAGTGCAGGGTTTCACGCTGCACAAACATGGTCAGCGGCACGGCAGCGCAGACCATGGATGAGATGCTTACTACTCTGCGAGCAGCCTCCTGATCTTACTCTGATATGGCGGTGAGTCATTGCAAATCTTCATCACCACTTTGAGACATTCATTCAAAAGCTTGTCATCATTAGGTGCGGCCTTGCCTGCACATCTGCGTAGCAGGACTTTGAGTAATATGTTGAAGTCACATTGCGCATGAAGCTGGATATCGGATTCAATCCAGTGCTTAACTGCACTCACACTGTCCGAGATAGAATCAATTCAGAGATGCCTAGCGAGCATGTTGATATGAATGCAGTTAATAAGACATACGTTAGTGACGCCGGGCTCTCGCTGACCGCAGCGGTCGGAGGCAGAGCCCTTCCCTTGCCCAGGTGTACTCTTCACCGTAGCGGTGGGAGCTGCAGTTTTAGGGGGCGTAACGGGGGAAGGAGGGAGGCTAGAATGAGAATCTGAAGTACCACTGGCCATCCTGAAGCAAAGGTGGAGTTCACTGGCAGTTGGTAGTTCAGATTCAAGTCTGTCAGCTGGAGTATCGGATCATGCTCTTGCAGTGGAGCAGCTCCGTAGAGCAGAACGCGGGAGAGCCACAGTGCCGCGAGAATGGCGAATATGCAGGCTTTGCCGACACCGCGATATCATCGAGGACCCTGTACATGTAGTCTCCCGAGGGCAGATGGTAGACACTCTGCTTCAACCTCGTACCTCGGATATCCGTGTCTGACGTCTGCTTTCTATTACGGGCTCTTACTAGGAGGTCTTGATTGCCGAACCGGCACATCACGTGCTGTCACAACGCGTCTGTAAATCGCGCCGAACGCGTCGCGTTTCGAGCGCAAGAAGCACCCATTGTCCTGTGCCGCATGTGTATACAATACTTTCCAACGGGTATATTAATTGAGATTGATTTGGGAGACTTTGCAGTCTTATCTGCTTTGTACTGGTCCAAGAGGGCATTACATGTTTGAATCTCGTAGGAATCCCTCTATTCTCTGTGCTCCGCGCCCAAGCAAAATTCACCATTCCATCACCCATCCATTGTAGCACCTCATCTCACCTGCGATGTGCCCAAACCAGGGTGGAGAGGATCTTCAGGAAGACTTTCGTGAATTTCGGCGGATTTACAGCGCCACCTGCATCACGTGGTATCACAAAGGTTTAAGATTCCGCATTAGAAAGAACTACCAAACTTTAGGCTCCGCCTAAATTGTCCGACCTCTCGACAAGGAGGCGCGTTAGAAAGCAGACTATGTACATGCGCTCTTTGAATGTACCTCTCATCTCGACCTCGTCAGTCTCCGCGATACCTTCCTCAATACAGTGTTCGCAGAGCGGACCAATCTCCGTACTGCATACAACACCCTATCCAGACTGGCTTTCACACGGGAGCTCATAGCGCATGAACACTCCATCGCCTTACTCGCAAAATTCGCACACGATGTACTTCAGATTTTCACCCACGAAAATCTTATTGTCGTCAGCTCTAGAGAAGAGCTTGAGCGCTTCCCTACCAGTCTCATGCATCCTTGATGGACTTCGTGGGACAGTGCGCTTCTCCACCTCATGTCGGCTCGTGGTGAGTCTTATCAGTCAAGTGCGCAGCCACTTCTGATGCCTACCAGGGTTTTTCCCACTGCGTTTTCCTTGGAGGTCTTACCCATCACTGGCGTAACGTGTAGCGTAGAGTAGTATGCATTGATTGGAGCGGAGTGTGTCCTGGATGTGTTGTACCTTAGGTTACGGTAATCTGCTGTGCACGAGTGGACCGCTGTAGTCTAAGTACAACAACTCGGCGTTCCTGAATGGGACCAATGCCGGTTACCTACCTACCTACCTACCTACCCACGTGCGGGAAAATTGGTCATTCCAAGGATTTTCCCCGCCGCAGGCGGGCCGGAAAAGTGCCCAGGGTTTTCTTCCGACCTGCCAGAAGAGGCACCAAGGATTTTCTCCTGCCGCTGCCAGTAGTATTCTCGGTGATCCTGTATGGCCAACTCTCTCGAAGATTTTATTCTCTATTCTACTCCTACTGTTATGTGCACCCCCTGTTTTAGTTAATGTGTAATTATTTACATTGTGTGTGCTGCGTCAAATGCGTTCAAAGAAGATACCCACCAACTACCTCAACTTCCTTATCTGGATCCATGAGCTCTAAGCATTCACGTCGTCGCTCGCTCGTTCGCTTGCCTCTTAAGAAAATCCTGATATGTTGACCTGATCTTTTCATTAGTGTCATTTCCGACACAGATTCTGAGCTAATACCAGATTGTGAGTAGAAGAAGTAAGTGTTCTTGGCAGCCCCTGTTAGCTAATCCACTGCCCGCTCGAGTAAGCACCAACTTGAATGTTCTCTCGTTCCTCCATCTGCACGTACATACAGCGGATACAGCAGCCATGTCCCCGCATCTTCACGGCACCTACCAGCAAGCCTTTTGCTCCTTGGAGGGAGCCTCTGGCAGCCCGGAGCTCGCCAAAGTATTCTTTGACACCCTCACATACAATCACTCAGTCTGCTGCATCCCCCTGACTTCCTCGCACAAAATCTCGGAGAAGCTCACTTTGAATGAAACTCAAGTCATTTTCGAAGTCATCGGACAGATTGCAGCCGGGGAAAATAATTCCACATTGGGCGACATCTCCGGCTCTGTGCAATCTCGATCAGTTGCATCATGCTGGATCGAATGCCGACCCGATTTTATTTCGCATATTCAGTGGTGCAGGATCCCGGATGCCGTCAAAGCAGTTGCTGCCGCAGTCCCTGGACCAGTGGACGTCTCAACAATGATCCGTGTGGACTCCGAGACAGATACCATTAAGCTGAAGGTCCAATGGAACCGTGTAAGTGACCGATTTTTTTTGCACGTTAAAAGAACCCACAAATCTTCTCACAGGCTTCTAGCATGGCCATCCCCATGTACGATGTTGCCGAAAAGCTTATGGAAGTTGAAACGGCGGACCTTCATGGTCGCCCAGTGCGAGTGTTGTTCTGGATCCACTGTGCGGAGCTTGGCGAAGGAAAGCGAGCACTGCTTGCTGAACTTATCTATCTTGTTGACATCTAATGGGTATGTGGCTTCCCTTTCGACACAGACCGAGTCTAATGGTCATATTTCAGTTGTAGAAGCAACACCATTTCACAAAAAAAATGGCCGGTTGAGGAGGTGTCGAAGCCTGCCATCAGTGGCGGCATTCAGTGATCGCACACTAACATATTTTGTTGCTATGATATCAAATACTGTATTACTTGTTTTTGAATTGTACTATACTTTTTGGCGAAATGAACATGTTTCAGGTCAGTCCATGAAGTCCTACGTCGGCTATATGCTAAGGACAAGACCTGGCAGTGATCGCCGTGCCCCTAAATATTCCCATCATCAATTTTTGCCCCTCACCTCCATCCTCCATGTCTGTGTTTGAACCCGAGAGTGTCCTAGCACAGCTGAGGCCCTATGCGAAGAAGAAGAACTTTGAGAAGTCATGGAAAACTGTGGTATGCTTACTATTTTTAGCGATGACTTGAACACACTTCTCAGCCCTCTCGGCAGGTTGAAAACCGCTGGAAAGCATGGAAGCGAGCACGTTCAACTCAGTCACAGTATGCAGAGCAACTCGAATGGGAAGCTCACATTGTTGAGTACATTAATTTCGTTTATGATGAGATGAAATTGCATGGGAATTCAAAGAAGGACACGGCACCTTCTCTACGTGGAAAAATACCACTTCTCGGGCCTCGGTTTGTACCGCCATCCTATCTGCACCTTCAGAAGCGCGATCCTACACCAAACATCATTCCGGAAGTTGCTTACCTCAAGCCTGTCAATGTTGTTCACCCCTTCTATTATCCTGAATTAGCGCGATGCCCTCAATGTGATGCGGATGACACTGAATGGTCAGGATGAACAGCGACAGGTCATCGTGAGGTTCACGGTGTCTCTCAAGAGGAGACGGCACTGGGATTCCAGCTGCGCTGCACAAAATGCAAGCAACGCGTTAGTGAAAGTGGTGATGATGAAGGCACGTACTGTTTTTCGACGACGTTTTCGACGACGAGTCACCTGTTCTGGGAGAGACGTGAGCACTGGGAGATTCCATGTCAGTATTGACACACCGGCTTATCTCGGAAAGAGAGGAGACTCACAGCTTAATTGTAGTGAAAATTCCGTACTGTCTCTGGAGGTGTGCAGTCACACGAGACCTATTTGATTTGATTGTCGAATTGCGTCCATCAACGACAGCAGCGGGTCTCGCCGAGAACATCAAACATGAGTCCAGAAAAGTCCTGCTCTTCTCTCTGCCTGCTGACTGATGACGATAAAGAACTCCACTTACTGGAGTATCATCGGCAACACATGACATACCTTCAAGCTTACAAGCAACGTCGCAACCAGCCGAAGAGCATGGTCGCTCCACCTCCACTCTGTCATTTCTCAAATCCAGCCCGAATTTCGATTACAGATGATTTGGTGACCGATATATATGCCAAATTCAGTGAGACAACACGCCAAAAGGAGTCAGAAGACTACTTACAGACTTTGGCTGGTGCATTCCGGTCAAATACTTCATTGCTTGGGAAGACTGGACTAATAGACTTTCAGCGGTGTGCATCTCGATGGACAACACCTTTCGTGTAGCAGGGAAGGCATCTGTTGTCGACGGCAAGAGGAACCACTTGAAGACGATGAAGGGCGATGTCCTGAGTGTCATCAATGAGAATAATGAAATCATATCATGGGTACACACCGCCTTTTCGAGTGGAAAGATCAGTCTCTAACCTATGTTTTTGTAGCACTTCTGTCAGACCCAGACTGCAGGAGAGATAGAGGAGCTACTTATGGGACTCAAATGCTGGCTCGGAATCCTTGAAGTGTCCGATCCCGATATGGCCATCGTCGACAACTGTTGTCAGTCACGCAGTGCAATCGTCAAACCATTCCCTAACATACATGTTGGCTTGGACGTATGGCATTGTCTGATGAGGCATGTCTGTCCTCAGTGCTGCAGTGCTGTACTCCAACTGACCTTTTGACTCACAGATATCTCATCTGCATGGTCGACGACGCTAAGAACCCGCTTCGAACTGCTGTCGCGCGGGATATTGTGGACGCGATTTTGAAGATGACTGCGGACAAGCACAATACGGCCGTTTACTGGAATCAGAGTGAGCAGGAGCAAAGGCTGGAGGTGGCATACCAGAAGTGGGCAGACCATGGTGGAGTATGGACTGTTGCAGCAACAAAGGTATGATCCGAATGAAATCTTCAGTATGTACTCACTCACCGGTTGCACTCAGGTTCACCTAGACCAGCTCAGTCATGTGCGAAAGGGATGCCTCACGTGCCCTCGCCAAGACATCCGGGCAGATGGTAGTCACATCGAGGGATCACACAAGGGGTGGAATAGCTTGCAGCGCTCTCAAGCCAGTGGGATTGTCGTTTTCTCGGAATTGTGCCATGACTTTGTCTTGCGTCGCAACATACAGGTATCGTTCAAAAGTGCCTCTTCAAGTCCATTCCTGCGTGCGACTCTCGGCTCTCATCATATCCACCTTGTGAACAGTATAGCAACATTTTGGAACTCCCTGCTCACTGAAAACAAGCAGGCCTCGGGTACAGCTTCAAATCTTCGAAGGATCCCGGAGCTCCAAATTGTTGCCAGTGGCGAGACATTTGGTCTAGTGAACACCAAAAGTGCTGCCAACTACCACAACCTTCTCGAGCTCAAGAACGAACCCGAAGAGGAATTGTATGACTTGTCGGCACAAGCCGAGCTCAATGTCGAGGAGATGCTTCAACAGATCGATGTTAACCCCGAACTTCTTCGGCAGGCTCTAGCTAGTGGCTCGAAGACTCACCTCACTGCTACTGCTACTGGCTCGAAGTCGCAACTCTCTACCTGGTCTGATACGTCCGATCTCAAGCAATCAGATGTAGCGTGTGTACGTGGTGCAACAACGTACAGTCTGGCCAGCATGTCAGACCCCTCCACATCCACAGCAGTGGTGCTTGCCACGCCGATCTCTTGTACACCGCCATCTGATGTCATAGACGTCGACTCCGAGCTGCACGTGAGAAAGCAAAAAGCAAAAAGGCTGACCTTCAATGTTGAGGTACGTTAGCCACACCGGTACTTAATTATTCGCTGACCTTTCATCTATGATTAGAGTGAAGAAGGCTCACCATCTGTGCCGAAAAATGCTCCTGTGCCCATGGTGGGCAGCTCTTCTCAAGCCGGTAAGCGGAAGGTTGTCGTCGATGGGCCCAACGAGGACAAGCGGGCACAGTCATACTCTGGGCGAAGTCTACAGGATGCACATGCTTTGGAGTACATCAGTGCTGGCAGCAAGCGGGTGAAGTTAAGTGTAGAGGGGTGGAAGTCTGCATCATTGGTGAGTCCTGAGGTTTAACTCCACTAACGAATGACTTTGACATGATGCATAACCAACCTCTTGTCAGGCGGTGCACAATCCTCGGGTTGAATCGGGCAAAACGGCCTCCCCCTCTGGCGGTGGCACTAGTACTAGTACCAATGGCGTCTCAGCGGGTATTGCCGACTTTTTCAGTTCAACACGTCGCATGACTGCTGGAGCAGCTTCCAGCAAGAATCCTGGCGAGACAACGGCTGCTGCGCCCTGCACCCGATTAGAATTTGCCCTTCCTCTGCTCAATATCTCAGGGCTCACGGCCTCTCAACGTCTTTTCTCCATTTCCACTGGTGTTCATGCCCTGTCTCTCACAATCTCAACTGACAATGAGTTCTACTTGTTTATGGATCTACGAAGCGAGCAGCGGTGGGTATCCTACGACATGACTCCTTGGAAATGGGTTACCGCTGCAAACGACTACAATCTCCGGCTTGAAGCACTCAACTGGTCGAAGGCAAAGTCTACCATCAGGAAGACACCGCGTGCACTCATGGAGAAGCTTGGCGAGATCGAGCCCAAGCTTTTGGCGCATCTCGCTTCAGGGAAATTTACCTGTGCGTGCGAGTGACCTGCACTCATATTTGTACTGACATTTTGTTGTCGCACCGCCAGCAAAGCACACCAACAATGAAAGCTTCTGGAAGCGGCACTGTAATGCGGTGCCCATGATATTGAGGGACGAGAATGGCAAGACTAAAAAGGCATGTACTCGCAAGCTTTGATGCCCACATCAGGCCGTTGACTGACTGCTATGCTTCCTCTGCTCCTAGACTACCACTCGACACAAGACAAATACCTGTGGCCACTGCAAAGTCATTATGTATCCAGGCCCGGAAGGTTCGGAGATCAACCACAAGAGGTCATACTGCTCGGATGGCGTCAAGCAGAGGCCCTCGAAGATCCAGCTGATGGCTGTGCATCAGGAAAACCCCACTTTCTCTTACAGACTTATTTAGACTTTTGGGTCTGACAACCCTTATTTAAGGCCATAAGTGTTCAAATAAGTCGAATTTCAGACACTCAGGGAATATGCCTTAGGTCCTTTTTGTCCTTATGTCCTTAAATAAGGACCATAAGTCCATTTAAGTTATTTAAGTGCCCTTTTAAGGAAAAGTTGGGTTTTCCTGATGTGGGGGGCCAGATCCAAACTATTGAAGAAGACTTACCGAGCTGGCCCCAACCATTGGGTATCTTCACGGGCGGCACCACCTTCAATCCGGACATCTTCCTGGAGACACTCCGGAAGATGTATGACGAACTCGTGCTCAAGCGCGAGTCAGGTGGGGCACTTTCGATGGAATATGCCGCCTTCGCGACGCTGCTCAAGAAGCGCTTGAAGATCTTCGATGAAAAGGATGGCCCTGCTGCTCTGTTCGAGCTCTACAGGGCCTTAGTGCTGAAGCCGAATCGCGAGGAGCTGGTGGTCGAGCGGGACGGCATCAGGTACCTGCATGTTGATTGCCTCGGAGAGGGCTCACTGAGCGGCAGTGGTGGCGGTGGCGACGGCGGCGGCGACAGCAGTGGCAGTGGTGGCGGCAACAGTGGCAGCGGTGATAGTGGCGGCAGTGGCGGCGGCGGCGGCGGCGGCGGCAGCGACCCGAGCGACCACGACGGTGAGCCGCACGCTATCTGAGTCCATGCGGGGATCCTAGTTTCTTTGATTCTACCGCTTTAAGTTGCGGCAGTTTTTTCCTCTTTACTACATGTCTACTCTACCAAAATTTAATGACCTAAGTATGCTGTTCCACCGGTGAAGATCCGCACCGCATGGGCTGTATTTTTTTGCTGTGTTCCGATTCTTCATCCTAAGTTTAGCGCACGTGATCGCGAGGTCCGAATTGGTCCTGGCTCTCGGGGTTAGGGTTCCAATTTGTTTCCTGGGGTGAAGCCGACCAATTGGTCGACCGATTGGTCCCCCCCCTTGGCATGGCGGAGGTGCCCACGCGGGAAAATTGGTCATTCCAAGGATTTTCCCCGCCGCAGGCGGGCCGGAAAAGTGCCCAGGGTTTTCTTCCGACCTGCCAGAAGAGGCACCAAGGATTTTCTCCTGCCGCTGCCAGTAGTATTCTCGGTGATCCTGTATGGCCAACTCTCTCGAAGATTTTATTCTCTATTCTACTCCTACTGTTATGTGCACCCCCTGTTTTAGTTAATGTGTAATTATTTACATTGTGTGTGCTGCGTCAAATGCGTTCAAAGAAGATACCCACCAACTACCTCAACTTCCTTATCTGGATCCATGAGCTCTAAGCATTCACGTCGTCGCTCGCTCGTTCGCTTGCCTCTTAAGAAAATCCTGATATGTTGACCTGATCTTTTCATTAGTGTCATTTCCGACACAGATTCTGAGCTAATACCAGATTGTGAGTAGAAGAAGTAAGTGTTCTTGGCAGCCCCTGTTAGCTAATCCACTGCCCGCTCGAGTAAGCACCAACTTGAATGTTCTCTCGTTCCTCCATCTGCACGTACATACAGCGGATACAGCAGCCATGTCCCCGCATCTTCACGGCACCTACCAGCAAGCCTTTTGCTCCTTGGAGGGAGCCTCTGGCAGCCCGGAGCTCGCCAAAGTATTCTTTGACACCCTCACATACAATCACTCAGTCTGCTGCATCCCCCTGACTTCCTCGCACAAAATCTCGGAGAAGCTCACTTTGAACGAAACTCAAGTCATTTTCGAAGTCATCGGACAGATTGCAGCCGGGGAAAATAATTCCACATTGGGCGACATCTCCGGCTCTGTGCAATCTCGATCAGTTGCATCATGCTGGATCGAATGCCGACCCGATTTTATTTCGCATATTCAGTGGTGCAGGATCCCGGATGCCGTCAAAGCAGTTGCTGCCGCAGTCCCTGGACCAGTGGACGTCTCAACAATGATCCGTGTGGACTCCGAGACAGATACCATTAAGCTGAAGGTCCAATGGAACCGTGTAAGTGACCGATTTTTTTTGCACGTTAAAAGAACCCACAAATCTTCTCACAGGCTTCTAGCATGGCCATCCCCATGTACGATGTTGCCGAAAAGCTTATGGAAGTTGAAACGGCGGACCTTCATGGTCGCCCAGTGCGAGTGTTGTTCTGGATCCACTGTGCGGAGCTTGGCGAAGGAAAGCGAGCACTGCTTGCTGAACTTATCTATCTTGTTGACATCTAATGGGTATGTGGCTTCCCTTTCGACACAGACCGAGTCTAATGGTCATATTTCAGTTGTAGAAGCAACACCATTTCACAAAAAAAATGGCCGGTTGAGGAGGTGTCGAAGCCTGCCATCAGTGGCGGCATTCAGTGATCGCACACTAACATATTTTGTTGCTATGATATCAAATACTGTATTACTTGTTTTTGAATTGTACTATACTTTTTGGCGAAATGAACATGTTTCAGGTCAGTCCATGAAGTCCTACGTCGGCTATATGCTAAGGACAAGACCTGGCAGTGATCGCCGTGCCCCTAAATATTCCCATCATCAATTTTTGCCCCTCACCTCCATCCTCCATGTCTGTGTTTGAACCCGAGAGTGTCCTAGCACAGCTGAGGCCCTATGCGAAGAAGAAGAACTTTGAGAAGTCATGGAAAACTGTGGTATGCTTACTATTTTTAGCGATGACTTGAACACACTTCTCAGCCCTCTCGGCAGGTTGAAAACCGCTGGAAAGCATGGAAGCGAGCACGTTCAACTCAGTCACAGTATGCAGAGCAACTCGAATGGGAAGCTCACATTGTTGAGTACATTAATTTCGTTTATGATGAGATGAAATTGCATGGGAATTCAAAGAAGGACACGGCACCTTCTCTACGTGGAAAAATACCACTTCTCGGGCCTCGGTTTGTACCGCCATCCTATCTGCACCTTCAGAAGCGCGATCCTACACCAAACATCATTCCGGAAGTTGCTTACCTCAAGCCTGTCAATGTTGTTCACCCCTTCTATTATCCTGAATTAGCGCGATGCCCTCAATGTGATGCGGATGACACTGAATGGTCAGGATGAACAGCGACAGGTCATCGTGAGGTTCACGGTGTCTCTCAAGAGGAGACGGCACTGGGATTCCAGCTGCGCTGCACAAAATGCAAGCAACGCGTTAGTGAAAGTGGTGATGATGAAGGCACGTACTGTTTTTCGACGACGTTTTCGACGACGAGTCACCTGTTCTGGGAGAGACGTGAGCACTGGGAGATTCCATGTCAGTATTGACACACCGGCTTATCTCGGAAAGAGAGGAGACTCACAGCTTAATTGTAGTGAAAATTCCGTACTGTCTCTGGAGGTGTGCAGTCACACGAGACCTATTTGATTTGATTGTCGAATTGCGTCCATCAACGACAGCAGCGGGTCTCGCCGAGAACATCAAACATGAGTCCAGAAAAGTCCTGCTCTTCTCTCTGCCTGCTGACTGATGACGATAAAGAACTCCACTTACTGGAGTATCATCGGCAACACATGACATACCTTCAAGCTTACAAGCAACGTCGCAACCAGCCGAAGAGCATGGTCGCTCCACCTCCACTCTGTCATTTCTCAAATCCAGCCCGAATTTCGATTACAGATGATTTGGTGACCGATATATATGCCAAATTCAGTGAGACAACACGCCAAAAGGAGTCAGAAGACTACTTACAGACTTTGGCTGGTGCATTCCGGTCAAATACTTCATTGCTTGGGAAGACTGGACTAATAGACTTTCAGCGGTGTGCATCTCGATGGACAACACCTTTCGTGTAGCAGGGAAGGCATCTGTTGTCGACGGCAAGAGGAACCACTTGAAGACGATGAAGGGCGATGTCCTGAGTGTCATCAATGAGAATAATGAAATCATATCATGGGTACACACCGCCTTTTCGAGTGGAAAGATCAGTCTCTAACCTATGTTTTTGTAGCACTTCTGTCAGACCCAGACTGCAGGAGAGATAGAGGAGCTACTTATGGGACTCAAATGCTGGCTCGGAATCCTTGAAGTGTCCGATCCCGATATGGCCATCGTCGACAACTGTTGTCAGTCACGCAGTGCAATCGTCAAACCATTCCCTAACATACATGTTGGCTTGGACGTATGGCATTGTCTGATGAGGCATGTCTGTCCTCAGTGCTGCAGTGCTGTACTCCAACTGACCTTTTGACTCACAGATATCTCATCTGCATGGTCGACGACGCTAAGAACCCGCTTCGAACTGCTGTCGCGCGGGATATTGTGGACGCGATTTTGAAGATGACTGCGGACAAGCACAATACGGCCGTTTACTGGAATCAGAGTGAGCAGGAGCAAAGGCTGGAGGTGGCATACCAGAAGTGGGCAGACCATGGTGGAGTATGGACTGTTGCAGCAACAAAGGTATGATCCGAATGAAATCTTCAGTATGTACTCACTCACCGGTTGCACTCAGGTTCACCTAGACCAGCTCAGTCATGTGCGAAAGGGATGCCTCACGTGCCCTCGCCAAGACATCCGGGCAGATGGTAGTCACATCGAGGGATCACACAAGGGGTGGAATAGCTTGCAGCGCTCTCAAGCCAGTGGGATTGTCGTTTTCTCGGAATTGTGCCATGACTTTGTCTTGCGTCGCAACATACAGGTATCGTTCAAAAGTGCCTCTTCAAGTCCATTCCTGCGTGCGACTCTCGGCTCTCATCATATCCACCTTGTGAACAGTATAGCAACATTTTGGAACTCCCTGCTCACTGAAAACAAGCAGGCCTCGGGTACAGCTTCAAATCTTCGAAGGATCCCGGAGCTCCAAATTGTTGCCAGTGGCGAGACATTTGGTCTAGTGAACACCAAAAGTGCTGCCAACTACCACAACCTTCTCGAGCTCAAGAACGAACCCGAAGAGGAATTGTATGACTTGTCGGCACAAGCCGAGCTCAATGTCGAGGAGATGCTTCAACAGATCGATGTTAACCCCGAACTTCTTCGGCAGGCTCTAGCTAGTGGCTCGAAGACTCACCTCACTGCTACTGCTACTGGCTCGAAGTCGCAACTCTCTACCTGGTCTGATACGTCCGATCTCAAGCAATCAGATGTAGCGTGTGTACGTGGTGCAACAACGTACAGTCTGGCCAGCATGTCAGACCCCTCCACATCCACAGCAGTGGTGCTTGCCACGCCGATCTCTTGTACACCGCCATCTGATGTCATAGACGTCGACTCCGAGCTGCACGTGAGAAAGCAAAAAGCAAAAAGGCTGACCTTCAATGTTGAGGTACGTTAGCCACACCGGTACTTAATTATTCGCTGACCTTTCATCTATGATTAGAGTGAAGAAGGCTCACCATCTGTGCCGAAAAATGCTCCTGTGCCCATGGTGGGCAGCTCTTCTCAAGCCGGTAAGCGGAAGGTTGTCGTCGATGGGCCCAACGAGGACAAGCGGGCACAGTCATACTCTGGGCGAAGTCTACAGGATGCACATGCTTTGGAGTACATCAGTGCTGGCAGCAAGCGGGTGAAGTTAAGTGTAGAGGGGTGGAAGTCTGCGTCATTGGTGAGTCCTGAGGTTTAACTCCACTAACGAATGACTTTGACATGATGCATAACCAACCTCTTGTCAGGCGGTGCACAATCCTCGGGTTGAATCGGGCAAAACGGCCTCCCCCTCTGGCGGTGGCACTAGTACTAGTACCAATGGCGTCTCAGCGGGTATTGCCGACTTTTTCAGTTCAACACGTCGCATGACTGCTGGAGCAGCTTCCAGCAAGAATCCTGGCGAGACAACGGCTGCTGCGCCCTGCACCCGATTAGAATTTGCCCTTCCTCTGCTCAATATCTCAGGGCTCACGGCCTCTCAACGTCTTTTCTCCATTTCCACTGGTGTTCATGCCCTGTCTCTCACAATCTCAACTGACAATGAGTTCTACTTGTTTATGGATCTACGAAGCGAGCAGCGGTGGGTATCCTACGACATGACTCCTTGGAAATGGGTTACCGCTGCAAACGACTACAATCTCCGGCTTGAAGCACTCAACTGGTCGAAGGCAAAGTCTACCATCAGGAAGACACCGCGTGCACTCATGGAGAAGCTTGGCGAGATCGAGCCCAAGCTTTTGGCGCATCTCGCTTCAGGGAAATTTACCTGTGCGTGCGAGTGACCTGCACTCATATTTGTACTGACATTTTGTTGTCGCACCGCCAGCAAAGCACACCAACAATGAAAGCTTCTGGAAGCGGCACTGTAATGCGGTGCCCATGATATTGAGGGACGAGAATGGCAAGACTAAAAAGGCATGTACTCGCAAGCTTTGATGCCCACATCAGGCCGTTGACTGACTGCTATGCTTCCTCTGCTCCTAGACTACCACTCGACACAAGACAAATACCTGTGGCCACTGCAAAGTCATTATGTATCCAGGCCCGGAAGGTTCGGAGATCAACCACAAGAGGTCATACTGCTCGGATGGCGTCAAGCAGAGGCCCTCGAAGATCCAGCTGATGGCTGTGCATCAGGAAAACCCCACTTTCTCTTACAGACTTATTTAGACTTTTGGGTCTGACAACCCTTATTTAAGGCCATAAGTGTTCAAATAAGTCGAATTTCAGACACTCAGGGAATATGCCTTAGGTCCTTTTTGTCCTTATGTCCTTAAATAAGGACCATAAGTCCATTTAAGTTATTTAAGTGCCCTTTTAAGGAAAAGTTGGGTTTTCCTGATGTGGGGGGCCAGATCCAAACTATTGAAGAAGACTTACCGAGCTGGCCCCAACCATTGGGTATCTTCACGGGCGGCACCACCTTCAATCCGGACATCTTCCTGGAGACACTCCGGAAGATGTATGACGAACTCGTGCTCAAGCGCGAGTCAGGTGGGGCACTTTCGATGGAATATGCCGCCTTCGCGACGCTGCTCAAGAAGCGCTTGAAGATCTTCGATGAAAAGGATGGCCCTGCTGCTCTGTTCGAGCTCTACAGGGCCTTAGTGCTGAAGCCGAATCGCGAGGAGCTGGTGGTCGAGCGGGACGGCATCAGGTACCTGCATGTTGATTGCCTCGGAGAGGGCTCACTGAGCGGCAGTGGTGGCGGTGGCGACGGCGGCGGCGACAGCAGTGGCAGTGGTGGCGGCAACAGTGGCAGCGGTGATAGTGGCGGCAGTGGCGGCGGCGGCGGCGGCGGCGGCAGCGACCCGAGCGACCACGACGGTGAGCCGCACGCTATCTGAGTCCATGCGGGGATCCTAGTTTCTTTGATTCTACCGCTTTAAGTTGCGGCAGTTTTTTCCTCTTTACTACATGTCTACTCTACCAAAATTTAATGACCTAAGTATGCTGTTCCACCGGTGAAGATCCGCACCGCATGGGCTGTATTTTTTTGCTGTGTTCCGATTCTTCATCCTAAGTTTAGCGCACGTGATCGCGAGGTCCGAATTGGTCCTGGCTCTCGGGGTTAGGGTTCCAATTTGTTTCCTGGGGTGAAGCCGACCAATTGGTCGACCGATTGGTCCCCCCCCTTGGCATGGCGGAGGTGCCCACGCGCGGGCCGGTACCCCCGTTACGCCAGCCTCTAGACAAGGAAGACAGGCGTTCCTTGTTAAACGACAAAGCGTCACTGACTTGTCCTTCGGAGGAGTGACTATCTACCTGCCTGTCTGCCTGCCTCACTGCTAACAATGGATCCGCAGGTCAATCGATTCGGATGTGCCCTTAATAATAGCATGGAAGTGTTTGTTCACGAGATTTCCCTGGTTCTAAGTACATGTTTGAATCTGATTCAGGCATCAATAACCGTTGATGCGCGAGTCACTGTCCGTGATTAATTACATCTTGAACTTCAGGAAGATCAGGAACGATCGATTAGTAGAAGGCTACAATCCAGCGGAATGACATGGTAAAGAACAGACACCACTTAGTAGATAAGTGATTACACTACCAGGCTACGATGCAATCACATCAAGGCTGCTCTTCCCCAATCTTCGTGTGCTAGAAGTGGTTTCCCAGACATATCCCAAACCTTCGCGAGCCAATATGCCGCCTGCAGCCAGGCAGTATCATACTTTCTCCTGGTCTTTAGGATCGACACACAACACCCACTTTCCTCCGCTTGCTCGCATAATTCCAGCATCTCCGTCTGTGATATGTCAGCCCTTGCCAGCACAATTGGCCGACCCAGCTTGTCTGCACCATCAGTCCACCCCAACGCCACCGCGATGCCAAAAGCACGGTCATTCTGCCGAGCACGATCCCGCAGGGTCCTAAAGAGGTCATCCTTGTACGGATCCGGGAGCTTCGACTGGTTGTACATGTCACTATACATGGACACATCCTCCTCGGAAGCGGACCACGAGACGTTCTTCTCCGTTAAGCGATACTGCTTGCACAACTTGAGCAGCTCGTCTTCCTCCGCCCGTGTTAGAGGTATGTACGAAGGCGGACTCGGAGGTGGGGAGGGATACATCTTGGTGCGCTGCGAGGGTGAGATGCAGCATAAGAGGCGACCAGGGTGTGACAGAGCTGCGAACGAGGAGAGGGAACAGGAGTCCAATCCAGTGAGTGGAAAACGAGACCCCGATGTGTCCCTGCACCCTCCGAACCGAGAAAAGATGTTGGTGAGAGCACAAGTAGGATAACCAGCAATCCCCTGCTTTCCATCTTCGTCCAATCTAAACCCATTGTTGTGTGCGGATGCAAAGCCTCCGGGTATCCCACAGTCATGGGAAGATGATGTATGGCACGCATTCTCATACACGTGCTTAGCGCGGAGGGCTTTGGCGAAGACGCCCTCTTGACCCGCGTTATCCTTGGGAGACGTTCCAGAAAGCGAGTCGGCAGTCGTTACGAGTGTCCAGCGGGGACTTTTCCAGAATTCAGGATCACAGGCAGTATTGATGAGCACTACGGTGCACTTGGCCTCTCGAACACATTCTTCTACATTTTCGGCACCACAGCGAAGATCGGGATCGCCAGGGAGGATTTCGAAGGCGCCTTCACTAGGAACATTCACCCCTATAAGGGCTATCACGAGGACATCGTCCGCGGGTAATTTGCTGGCGGCGGACAACAAACTCATGTAGAATTCTGTTTCTTCCATCTCGACGAGCTTGTCCCGGCAACTAAGTGAGGTCTCGAATGCAGGAGCTTCAGTGAGGATGCCACCAAATGCAGGATTATCCATCAGTGAAGACCCGCTTTCCAGAGTGTATTTGATGGAGAAGTTGCAGAACCACTCCAAGTCCTGTGATTGGGGCCGAAGTAGCTCGTGCAGTGCCATGAAATCGACCACCATCGGACAGTGCTCGCTCATCGAGGATGCTCCGAGTAGTGCTCGAACATGGTACTGCCTCTCAACTGGCCTGAACAAACCCTGAGCGAGGTGCATCAAATACGTTCAACTCCAACAGGCTGCCGTATCAACTTACCGAAACAGTTGTTTGAATCCACTTGAATGCAGAATAGAGAACCATCTCGTTGTGAAGATGCTGTCGATGCGGAGTGGTGTAGTGGCTGTTGTAACGGTGACCCCTGAGCTCCTCTTTGGCCCTTGGGTCTAAATAAGTAAGCAATGACATCGACGCACGGATTTATACTACAAGAGATCGACGGACGATTCAAAGGTTGAATGCCGAACCTCAAGCAGCACTCATCATTGTAGCGAGACTCATCACTGTAGCGAGACTCATCACTGTAGCGAGACTCATCACTGTAGCGAGACACCTGTCTGCTGCCAGAACGAATGCTCCCACCACTGTCCCTCGACCTTGCGTGGGCAGACAAACCTGCCGCCTGCATTTGCAGTTTCTGAGCGCTCTAATACCCACAGCTCCGAGACGCCTATGCGGCGCAGATAGTTTGCCATCCGGCCGTAGTTCAGACCTACAGCATGAGGGCCATGGCTGTCATCGGATAAGCAGAATCTTCCGCCTTCTTTCATGATCAACTGCATGTAAGTACATGAGTGCCAGCACGAGAATAATTGGGTGAGCACACACCCGTGCTACGTCTTCGCCGGGGTAACATGTGTCCCACACCTTGCGCAGCGCCGCCGCATTGCACTCGAAGAGGGCCCCATAGCTCACAGCAAATCGTATATTCCTCTGCAGCTTCGACCACGCCAAGTGGTAGGGCTCTAACTTCAGCGTGGGGTTGTACAGGCGACAGAGATCGATGTGACCTATGACCTCGGGGCGAAAACGCTCCATAATCTTGTACTGTCCGTCGAAATACTCTCCAAGGAACACTTCCATCTGGATGAATGGGACACTCGGGCTCGGGTCGAGCTCGCCCCCAAACTTGGCGATCGCCTCTTCGTACGTCTCCCGACTGAAGTCGATCGGGACTTCCTGGATGTGGTGCACGGAGCCCACAACGTACTCAATATTCGCTCGGTATCGCTGAAGCAGTTTCTCGAGGTTATCGAGGTCTACTTTGGTGATGAACTCGGTCTCGAGCCCCACCAGTAGTGTAATCCGGTCGGCGTACAGCTGCTTCAGACGGTGCGCCTCGGCGATAAATTGGTCAAATTGCACGGCGAGTTCCTTGATCGACGTCCCTTCCTTTCCCGGTGTCACGGTCAGGATGAAGGAACTGGAAAAGAGGGCGAATGTACCTCTTCGGGGTAGAGGTCCTTGAGGCGCCAGCGAGGGACGTGCTCAGTCAGGCCGTACACTTCGAAGCCTTGCTTGATCGCCTCGAGGACGACGTCCTCGAGCGTCCCCGCAGCGTGCTTGCAGAACTGGCCAGAATGAGAGTGGTGGCTGTATGGCATCCTTGGAGGTCGATCGAATGGCACAAGGCCGGCTGACAACGTGGCGATTGGCACTGCACATCCGAATTTGGCACCTGAGAAAGATCGACACACGCTGCTGGATTAGTACTCGGTTCAGGGTTTATCATAGCCCTCTGCTCTTCTACTCTAATGTTATTGGAGAAGTGGGGTCACCCGAGGTGACCTTTGAGGTCTGCCGAGCAGGCAACGATGTGGTGTGCTTGTGCCACGATTGTCCATCAACCGTGAAAGCTTCAACTTGCGCCACCGTGACTTTATCTCCTCTTCCTCCACCCGTGACCAACCTTCTGCAAAAACTGAACGACATGTATCGAACACTGTTGACCGTATCATTTAAACAACGTTTCGCGGGCTCAATTTCAGACTGTCCGCCTGATACAACATTATGATACACGACCTGTATACTCTACATGTATCATCTACACAGAGCTGAACGTTTCATGACTTTTGCACCCTCCAATGAGCTCACGCCAATAAGAGAGTGTAAGAAATACTCACGTATAGGCGAATCCAACGCGTTGGTTCGTCGTATCAAACACCTGGGAACGCAGATTAGTTAGATGCATGAGCTACAACGCAAAATACTCCAACACTCACCGCGTATGTTCTCTCCATGAACTTCTGGCCAATGATGAAGTCCAGTCCCTCGCCGCTGTTCGCGCCGATAGGTCCGAGGTATCCGTACTGCACGCCTGGGACGGCGCCCCACGCGACGTTCTGGTCCTTGGGAAGGAGCTGCGCAGCGGCGTCGAGCGAGAAGACAGAGCCGCCAATGGTAAAGTTGAAGGGCTTTATGGACGAAACAGAGGACTCTGGAATGACGAACAAGCCAGTGTAGTTGTAGTCGACGTAGCTCCCCGGGATCGACGCCTGATATGTGGCGAACCAGTCGTCGGCGATGTAGATCACTGAGATCCGATCTGTCTTAGCTCGAGTAGCTCCGGGATGGATGGCGAAGCTTACAAGTGGTGCCCGTGTCCACGATGCCAGCGTATGAGCCGGGAATGACAGTCGTGGTGCCGTACGTAGCTTTGGTGACGTTGATACCCCAGTAGTAACCGGCAGGCAGTGTCTTCGTCACTGGCGTGTATGTGATCTCACCGGTGTACTACGATGTGGCGTTGCGATGTTAGAGCATCAATCGGATATACAAAAATAAAGGGGCGACCCATACCAGAGACGTATCAATGCCGCCGAGTGTGATTGCACCATCTGACACGAACGATCAACTGAAATGCGTGATGTCGGGAGCAGAAGCGACCGACTGGTGTCATTGTATTTCGTCGCGGGAGCGAAGTATACGCCCAGTATTTCCGATTCAATGAGACCCTGTTCGAGGGCATTGTCCATGACGGTCGGAATTAGTGCGTTGGTGTCGGGATACAGAGTTCCCTCAGTAAGAATGGTCGGTCCAACTCCAATAATGCCGTCTACACCTCTGAGTACGCAATTATTAGTTCAGGCTTACAAGATATTTAATCAAGCAATTGTACATACTCAAAGTCTGCATATTCCAGAGCATCACCAATCGATTGATCGTTGATCACGAAACCTGGCGCAATAGTCACCTGGTCGAGATCTGCACAAAGAGATGTGTGTATAATCGGAATACTGGCGCGGGTAAAGAAGTGAAAATACTGACATTCGTAGCCCGAGAAATACCCGGTTCCATAAGTAACATTAACCTCCTGGCCCGTGGGTATGCTGGTGCTCGTACGGACATACGTCTTCCCTGTTCTGGAGAATTAATCACGAGTAAATATCTTCAAAGCGAAGAGAGAAAGCAACTTACCCGACGAAAGTATTGGAACTGCCAGTGTCGATTACAATATTGTAATACGTAGGGGGAGAGCCAACACCGACGGAGGCCGTGTACTGGACGTAGGCAAGCTGTGTCGCGGGAACGGTTGTAGCCGCCGACTGGCCTCTTGTCTTGAGCAGTGCTGCGCGAGCGCGCTCGGCGGTAGGAAGACCCTCAAGATAAGCGCCAGATCTGCCCTGGACCGGATTGAGGTTGAGAGTAACAGGCGCAGCAGCGCCAGCGGCGAGGGAGACAGATCCGGCGACAAGAGCGAGGGCGGAGAGCGATCTCACCATGGCGTCCTGCGGAGCGGAAGAGGACAGGCAGGCAACACCCTCATTTCGAGTATTTATCGAGTCAAATCGACGCTTCTTGTATTCGCCATATGGATCGTCTGCTGAGGGACAAGGTGATAACGCAGCATATGTGCCTCGAGGACGACTTCCGAATCCACATGGTCATATGGGAGTCAGTGTGAGACAGTCTGAAGAAACCCAGAAATAGTGGCACTTCGATTCCTGCGGCAACGACTTTCGAGTTCTGCGCAGTTCAATTTTTACATGGCCTACTATATATATATGAACAGCGTGTCACCTTTCTGAGTCCATAGGCCGTTATCGCTGTTGAATAATAGTTTATCAGACGTGACACCATGTCCGTGATCAAGGCGACAGAAGCGAATCTATCCACGTGGATTCATGTCGATTGTCCATGTCGTTAACGTTGAGTAAGTATAGTAGCGCTCATCGCATCAGAAGGGTGCCTACAGATCCTAGGATCTGCTCTCAGAGCGTTCCTATCAGGTTATGCTGGACAATGATCCTCCCTCGAGAAGTCTTACACTTTCCGCCCGTGCTTATTAAATTCAAGGGAGTGCATTTGCTGGTAGAGACCCATCACTCCAAGCAAGCTACATCATCACCGCATAATCGAATCTGAATGCAAGATCTAGTCTCCCAAAGGCAGACTGACACTCTCTTCAACGTCATCGTTGATACTTCTGAGATCGCAGCTGGTGAGACATCGTAATGACGAGGAGAAGTCCTCGAGCGAAGGTTCGACGTGTGATGAGAGAATGAAGTAGTCAAGAACGGTTGCGGGTTCACCTGGCATCTCCTTGCCGCATCTTCCTCTGGTGCAAGTGAGTGCTATATACGATAGATGTCTTTCCAAACCAATCCGATAAAAACTGAGCACATAATTCATAGCACGACCTTCTGCATGGCTTCTTCATTTCCTCGAGGTCTTGTTGACTTCGCCATGCCGGGTAGGTCTCATAACTGGTTTTGATTGGAATAGCTTCAAGGGCGAAGGCGACGACCTTGTCCGATCAGGTGGGGTGGATGGCTGCGACTGGTCACGTTGGGATAATGATGATCCTTCAGGGGTATGTCTCACTTCGTACGGCGAGAGGTAGGAAGTAACAGTGCTCCTCCCTCTAACCGCAGAGGAAGATTTGGATGCTCGGACCCAAGACGCGAATATTTCGGCCCTCTTCGAAGAGGCAATTTGTTCGCGAGATGAAGTGTTAATTGGACGCGATGGAGCGATAGTTCGCGTTGGTAAGCTTTCACGAGATCCGCATCCCTACGCCACGGTTTCTTAATTAAGGAAGTGAGATTGCTTGGACAGTGAAAGGTACACACAGGAACAGTATTGTTAGGGTATTCTTGACCAGCAGAGTCTTCGTCTTCATCCTCACTCTCTAGCCTCCACGTGCGGGAGGTGTAGGCTTGAGACTCGGCTTCATCAGGATCAGCTGTCACTGCCTGCCACGTCTCCTCTAGCTGTTCCTTTGAGAGATGAAAGCGCTTGATGGGTGTTCCCCGAGGCCGCGATTCATTCCTTGAGGCCTTTTTCTCGACCTCTGAGGTACGCTCCTCCGGCTGTCTCTGTTGAAGAAGTTCTGGCCAAGGAGGCACCTCGGGTCGGTCTCGTCTATCGAAAGGTCTGTGTCGGACCGCGACCGATTCGGTGTCTAATCCCTCCAAATTCCCCTTCAACTGTCTCTGTTGAGGGTCTCCACGCTTCGATTGCAACGAGTCACCTTCGGGTCGTTCATGTGTACGGGAACGTTGCTGCTGCCTAGCTACCCGTTTAGCACTTGACTCGTCAGTACGCACCACCGACTTTTCTTTCTGAGGCGTTTTCGGCCCCAAACTCTGTTTGGAGTACTCTTCTGATCGTCCACGGACAGGCCTCTGCCGCTCCGCCCATTTAACATCTAGCGCGTCGCCTAGCCGTTTTAATTTTTTGAGTACGACTCGCATTCGGGATATGAGTGATTCGTAAGACATGTTGTACACCTCAAGAGTCGGACTGATCAAGTACGTCCAGTCTGATCGAGTTGATCAGACTAGCCATTTCGAACACGAGGATCCACAACACGTACTGGGCAACAACCACTTATCGCCGAGGTCGCGCTCGTCGAAGACTATGCGCTCCTTCCTGTTCACTTCCACCACGTTCGCCCCACGTGTGACAATCAGCGATAATGCCGTTCTCATCTTGGTGCCTAATTTCCTACGAACAAAGCCCGACTTGTGCACGGGCTTTCCGACCACTCGCATAACGGAGACGTTGAGCCTGCGTCCTCCTGGCCAATGTGCTGGGGCAGGGGAAAACGGAGGATCAGGGCGCGGACGCCTCGGTAAACGCAGTGCGCCCTTGGGATAGATACGGATGGAGAAGCCCTGTGCATAAATGATGGGTAGAGTTCGCCGTAGTAAGAGATGAGGAAGCCGGTTCGCCGGATGGTTCCTGTCGACGGGACCGGCGAGGTCTGGGCTAATGTTTCCGTACAGAGGAGCAGACGAGCCCGGTGTCGTTCGCCTATACTACGAATACGCGCTCAGAAAATCTCCACCAAATCAACGTCAGGATTTGACTGTGAACATTTGCTCACGTTGAGAGACTTTAGACGACCTGCTTTCGGCAGACGGCTGAGTGCGCGGCATTTGTGCATTCGTCACAATGGAGTGGGAACTAGTGAAAAGCTAGCCTGAGAACGATGCAGTAAGTTTCCCTCCAGATGACGACGCAGGCAAGACAAGATAATATATCAGACGGTACCCAGTTCTGAATGCATCACGTGGTTACTCCGCCACGAGGCTATTGAACCGCTGTCACTCAAATTTTCATCTTGTATCGACGACATACTTTATAGTCAAATTGGATTTCTTCTGCTACATTCTGTGATATCACTGCACCGCATGCGTTGAAGGCAAGCGGCGCTATACTCGGCAATCTTTGCCTGCATTACCCATCTGTAACTTCTGTCTTTCCTGCCTGCTTCGTCTCACTCGGTGTGTGGAATCCATCCTACTAAGTGGCGAGCGAGGTGACTAAAGACCGATTGTGTCTTCCGCTTTGCAAGTAGATCAACAATTCCTGATTCAATACCCAGCTGCACGAGCATGCAGCATGAAGAACCGGTGCCTTGCGCGAGGTAAGTGAGTCGTGTGTACGCGATCTTTCATTTTAGTTGCATGCATTGACATGTGTTGATCCAATATTATTCCCCTCCTTCTAAAGATTTCTATATGCTCAGCAGATTTATAGGGCATAACAGTAATAGGGCATAGCAGAATTTCTGAGTCTCCGCTCAGCAGAATCCCGCACATATAGTTCTTCACAGCAGCATTTTTTTCCCCTGTGGCAGTCCTACTTCCGCTCAAAGCTTTTATGGGCGCTACTCTCCAACATGCGGTCAACACGATGGATGCTTCCTCACTTCCGCAGGCGCGCATGGGGGCCATATCCATACATACATAGGGCACCCCTACATATACCGCACCTGCGCCTCCAGGACCTTCAGCATCTACCGCTCCCATTGCTCACTGACCACAGTATTCCCAATCTGCACTGAAATGACTCAACCAAACGCATCGCCACTGTCGGCCTCGTTTGCTGACTATGGAAAGCATCACATTCTCTCCCTATTACCTGCAGAGTCACGGATCCTGGCAGTAGCTTCTGCCAGAATCTATTTTGCACCATTCGACGGCCGCGGTGAGGATTGGGTCTGTACGGGCCTGCAGGGGTCGCTGGTGTTTGGTAGTACAGCGCAGTCCGATGAATGGTCGGAAACCACCCTCACGAGCCAAGTTTCGAATTTCGTGCAGAACTACTGGTTCCGTCTCATCGACGGGATATCTGGGAAGGGTGTCGTTTGGCAGTACCAGATTCCCGCAGGATTCGAGTATAGACTCGACAAGCCTTTCTTCCATGTCTTCTCTGCGATGGTGTGTCGCTCGCCATGCCCTTCGGGCCTGCTAGGGCTGATAATCGCCTAGACAAGGATGTTCGGCTTCCGTTTCGACGACGACGGTGAAGCGGCACGTTTTTACCGCGCCGTTGTCGGTCATTTTCAGGCGACAGGTATTGATTCGTCTGCAATCTACGATCGCCTATTATCCTGACTCTTTCGCAGAGCCGCAGTCGAAGAGAAAGTCGCGGCCCTCAACCCCAAAGAATCGAGTCTCGCCCGCGATGATCTCCGCTCCTGCCATGGACTCATTCGTACACCTGGCGCATGTGGGATTCAACGAAGACGGCTATCTCGAGGTGCCCGACCTCCTCACGCCTCGCTGGAAAGAGACGATTCAGGGACCCCAGGCCCACCGCAGGTCGAAGAACATAGACGACGACAGCGGGCTCATCGACGGCTTCTGGACGAGCGTGACTACCATCCACTCTCAGCCGCCAACGCTTCAAGCGGCTCCGCCCCCTCGTGGGGCAGCGTTCCTCCGCCGCGTGCGCATGCGCAGCGGGGTGGCGAAGGTGAATTCTATGAGCTTCGTCGATGGCTTCTGGAAGGGTCCCAAAGCAGCCCGGAGGGCGTCAGCGTAGCCCTTCATGAGTCTTCCGTCCATGATATGTGCACACATTTGCGATGGTTGACGTCAGCTACCACCCGTTCGTTCTGTTTCCGTATATTTCAAGGTGGGAGCCAACTTGCGATATTAAATCAACCAACTGATCCTCCCTTCAAGCACATCTCACTCCACCTTACTCTGATAACCATCTCGTCTAGCTGTGAATTATTTCTCTTGTGTTCTGCCGTCGCATCATCCGCATTCTATATTTATCATTTGCAAGCACCACCAGTCTAGGGCCATGTATCTCTCGCTGTCTATACCATATTCTTCAGAGCATATATTATTGGTTGGATTGTATTGGTTGGATTGTCATTAGGCGTCGGAAATGCATTCATCGGTGACCGAGACCGTTGACGACTACTGCGCCAGTGAAGACAGAAAAGTCCACAAGGTGGAAGGAGAGCGCACTCCTGCCTACCTCGCCCAGTTCACGAAGCAGGCACCCAGGGAATGGACAGCAGAGTGTCTACACACGGCAGAGATCGGTAGTGGTGCTGTGCACCGTTGTGTGCAGTCGATCAGATTTGAGGATCTCACGAGATCCCTCCGGTGAACGCGGCGCATACTGCTCCACCGAAAAAGAAAGGACGGATTCCGCAGCGAATCTGGTACAAACAAATCAGCTCTCCACAACACGAGCGCTTGGGCTGTACGCGACGCAACGTCCCAACGGCTGACACGGTCAGCGCTCGTGCGTCTTCGATTAAAAAATGTGTTGGCCAATATGAAGGGTAAGACCGGATCGCGGTGCCCTTCGAACCAGAGGCTAACAGTTCAGAACCGACTGGATCGACTTTGCTTCACCTAAGTTCACCTAAGTACCATCAACAGATCAGCTAACTTGAACTCCGAACCAGTTTGGAACGACGTACTTACTATGCATCCGTGAGCTCGCGCTGTGCCCCAGAGCCTTCGACGCGATCACGGTCATCCTTGGTGTAAAGTCACAGGTGTAAAGCTTCCGACGAGTGATCTTGAGTGAGATATAGGGACGAGGAAGATGCGCATGGTGGGAAATCATGATGGAAGTTCTTACCCTCTGCCTTCTCGAGGATCGCACATCGACGTCTTCCAGTTCTTGGAGAGCTTCCATCCGACGATATTCATTCGTATGCCCGTTCCTGGAGAAAGGAAAGACTGAGTACACTGGCGGTTTGACGTTGTAGTGCGGAGATATCAGGTATTTGCAACCTCGAATAGATCAAGTGCACGCGAAGATTTGTCTCCTTTGAAATTTCATCGAGATGATATGCAGGATCCGAACAGGTGGGGGAGTGTCGACATCAAGTTTGCTGCCGTTTCAACATCAGTACACCTGGATAATTCAAAGAAGGGGGACCGAAGGACCACTGCTTGATGGCACACCATGACATACCGTATCTACGTTCATAAAGCTCATAGTCAAGGCCGTTTTTGTGGAGGGGAACGGTCTTTGGCATCATATCGAGCAGGCTCGTACTGCATCGCGATGTGTGTATGCCCGGTGCTGTCTCCTGGAAAAATCCGCGAGCATGATATCTAACATTAATCATTATGTTCGTTGCTCACTCCTCACGTAAGAATCCGGCCTGTCTGCTACCTTGACCGATACTGGAATACTGAATATTGAATGATTGATGCTCACCTAAAATGTCGCAACGTGTCAGTCACTAGGCTAGCACGATATGGTGTCAAGCTGAATGACACTTCACGTCTGCTAATTCTCGATCCTCGGCGGTGCGAGGGTTTCTCCTCGATCGTTGGCGCGCCTGCGCAGCTGGTCGCCGACTCCGAGGAGCGGCTCAGCATATAAAGCGTCAATGTCCCGACGCGTGCTCATGTCGCACGATTGACTCGTGGATCTGAAACTGGCTGCAGGCCGCCACTCGAGTCTTGTCTCGGACCACGCGTAGTCGTGCCTCGGTCTACCAGGAGGTACAAATGCATCACAAGATAGCGAACGGTGAGTGGGTGGTACTACGTACTCACTTAGCCCGCACCTCGAGGCTAGCCATATGTGTCGGGTGGATGAAAGCCGGTGAGACGCCTTGCTAAGATCTGAAAAAAATCTCCTTGCCTCGACCGATGAGTTCACCTCAGGCGACACGGTTCAGGCGAGGGTCATGGAGCGCTATATTATTGCTACTCTGAGCAGAAGGGACAGGGCTGTAAATATGGCAGAACAAGGATGCCTGGATCGTGCGAGCAGCGGGACGAGGCCGATGGAGCGAGTACAAGGGGCGTCGCCTGGATACCGGGCTGGTGTGAAGAAGATAGCGATCCGCTCATGAGGGAGATGTGCAAGGTGTTGTGGAGGAGAGAACGGTGCCCTGATCTGGGCAGGCGAGCACGTGTGGCTGGGGGCACTTGCCTTTCAGGACACAAGCCAGCAGCCAAAACAGTGCATCCTCTTATTCCTCCAGCGTATCCACTAGCCGGCCCTTCCCAACGCTATAAGTATGGCCTCGCGACCCCTCACCGCCATCGCCATTGCTCTACTCCTCTTCGCAGTCGCAGCAAAGACCGCTGACAGATCTCCATACTTGACCCGCGCGCACAGCAACATTCTCGGTCCCAACTCGATCACCCGCGCTCAAAACTTATTGTCTCCCTCTAACGTCTATCCTCGCACATAGTCTACTCCCCGGCCCCACCTGCTTAATTTTCTTCCGCTAAATATGTTCCAAGTCGCGTCGCGCCCGGCTCCATTCGCGCCGGAGATGCTTTCTCTTCCTGCCCATCACCAGCACGTACCCCCGAGTCTGCAGCTCCCGCGCACCCTCGCTCGCCCCAGCTTCAATGAAGTCTCGCGTCAGACCATTGCCTCGCTCGAGCCCGAGCTCGCAAACGTGCCCTTCGAGTACATCAGGAACCACTTGGCTGGCCAAGCTAATGAGTGCGTGTCACTCACTCCCTTTGTCTGCGTGAAACTGACAATATTATTCGCGCGTTCCAGGATGCTCGCAGCCCTCAAGCTGCTCTCCATCCCGTCCTCGCTCCCGCGTTCGCGTCTCCCGCCTATCATCGACGTGCCCGTGCGCCCGACCTCCCACTCACCGTCCTCCTCCGCGTTCCCGACGCACATCCTCGCGATCTCCTCTTCCAAGTCCGCGTCCTCGCCAAACACGCCCACCGCTGCGTCCTTCGCGCAGTACACCTCCACCCCCGCGACGGCCCCTCTCTACCCAACGCACGCGCTCGTGCTCGCCACGCACTGCACACTCCTCCCCGCGCTCCCGCCCTCGCACCCTTCCAATCGCACCGCGACGATGAGCCTTCCCCTCGTCCCGCTCACCGTCCCGAGCGCGGAGACCTTCCCAGTCCTCCACGCCTACCTCCACACCAAGCGCACAGACACTCTTCTCGGCGCGCTCCTCCCCTCCCTCGCCTCTGTGCTCCCGCCCGCGCCCGCGGCCTCGGGCTCCAAGGGCCGGGCTCCCTACGTCTCGCAGTTCTCCTCGGACAGCCTCCTCTGCCTCGCGCAGGCGCTCGCATCATCCGCGTCCGCACACGCCGGCCCGCAGGGCGCGCTCGCGGGGCTCATGAACCACGCGAAGCGGGTGAACGCGCTCTGGCGCAACGTGTGTGCGCTCGGCGTGTTCGATGCCGAGCTCTGGGCCGTCATGGACATCGCGTGGGAGGTCGTCCTCGCCGCGCTCACCCGCGTCGCCGAGCGCGAGCGCGTGTAGCTTCTCTGTCAAAAGACGCAAATCGCAAATCCGTAGAGGCGCCCGGGCGCTGCGCGTGCTGTGCACCGCGCTTCCGCCGCGCCGTCTTCTTCACACCGGCTCGTACTCTCTTCTGCACCTGCACTTAAAAATTTGCCGTACCACTATTCGCCTTCGGACACTATCCCATCAGTAATATCCACTATTCACTTCTCACTATTAGCTCTCCGCATTCCGATTTTTTTTGTCTCGCGCTGTTCACACGTTCCGTTTACGTTCCTGATACCGTCTCTGCGTCTGGGATCCGTCCATACCCCACCTGTATTGCCCGGCTCTGCCACCTTTGTATCCCTACTGCTTTGTACGTCGCCCCGCGCGGGGCTCGGATCGTGTTAGGATATTCTAGAGAACGCTCTTTAATTAAATGGATTTGTCGACGATGACGACGTTGTATGTGGTAGTATTTGTTCCATAGGAACACAACAAAAATTACGCACAGTTGTGCAGCACTGACTTCTTAGCTTCAAAAACACGGCCTGCAACCTTGAAGTGCATTAAGGGGGAATCGAACCCCCGGCGGGTCGATGGCAACGACCCAGGTTACCACTACCCCATTAATGCTCACACTGGAGAATAGCTTATGATCAACATATCGCAGCAACATCCCGGAGTAGATTCATGTGGAACATTCACGGCCAAGTTGAACCAATCACAATATAAATACACGGCTCCAACAGACAAAGCACAGTATAAATAATCACTTCCGGCTAGTAGTCTTACCTAGGGCTCGCCCAGACCTGGTTACCCCAGCAGCTCTCGCGGTCGGAGCCTTCTCAACAGTCTGCTCCTCGGTGCCCTGCCGCGTCCTCGCCCCAGCGCGCGTCACCTTCGTCCTAACAGTCGAGGTCTTGGCAGGTGCCGGCGGCGGAGCCTCGTCCTCGCCTGATGGCTCCGGCGTGTTCTCTTTGTCTCCCGCGCTCGGCGCGTCCGCGGTGCCCGATGCGGTACTCTCCGCCTCGACTACCGGCGTCGCTGCCTTCTTCGCCGAGGCCCGTGTACGCGCTGCGGCCGCAGCCCTGCTCCCCCTTGTGCGCGACGCCGCGGAGCCCTCAGCCGCGTCCGGCAGCGGGCTGTCTTCTACCTCTTCCTTGATGGTTCCCACAGGAATCCGGCTCCGCGCGGTGCGCCGAACGCGTGCCGCCGCAGGCGCAGGCTCGGGGGCGGGCTCCTCTCGTTGGGGGATGGCGTCGAGCTCTGGCTCGTTCGCCTCCGCTTCGACCTGCTTCGACTTCGCGGTACGCCTGCCGGTGCTCGTCTTGCTCCGCGCCGCCGTAGATGGCAGAGGCTCGGGTGTGGGCGTCTTCGTCCTCCCTGTGCGCCGCAGCGTCCGCGGGGCTGGCGCTGGGACGTCTTCCGACTCGGACTCGGACTGCACACCGCGACGCGTGCGCCGCACCGCCGCGGCGGCGGGTGCGGGTGCGGTCTTTGTGCCTTCGTCCCCGCTCTCCGTCTTTTTCTTGGACGGTGCGGTTTTAGCGGGCGCGCTCTGTGGTCTTTCTGGCTGTTTGTAGCCGCTACATCAGAATGTAGATAATATGTGAGACAAAATAAAACATACCAGCGTCGCAGCCGAATCGGTCTTCGCGTCTGCAGTCCTGCTTCTCAGCGAACGTGTCGGCTTGGGGATCCCGGTGTTAGATCCTGAAGGTGTCTCCTGCTGCATTCGTAAATTACCTACTGGGAGCACAGCGTGATGGTGTGAATATACCTTGTTGTCTTCTGCGGTCCTCGTCCTTGTACGTCGCACCATACGCGTGCCGGCGGCCTGCACGGTGTGCGATTCTGGATTATCTGCAGGCAGGGCAGGGCTCTGAATCCTCGGCAGAACCGATTGAGGTTCTTGCTCCCGCTGCTCTTGCTCAGGCTGCAGCGGCTCCTCAGCAGTAGCACGGCTCGGACGCCAGCCGACCGGGGTTTGCATCATTTCGCCAACGCCTTCCAACGCATCCTCGTTCGTGTTATCGCTGCGGTCCTTGTTCTGTCGGACGTGCGCCTCCCGCAGGAACATTTCCTTGACGCCGTCCATCCGCGGCGTAGCCATGACCTGTGCATTGGGACCCCCAGCTTGGAAGAGAGAGCGTAGACCAGCGTACTGAGGAGTCTGTGGGGCTGGCACAGACAATTTCTCAGCCTCCACCTCTGCACTAGCAGCGGTCCGATCCCGCAATGCCGTGCGCACGTCCAACGGTGGCGTCGTCTGCCGCTCCTCCACCTCGTCTTCGCTGTGGTCCTCCTCGACCGCGAGCAATGAGAAGCCACCTTTCTTGCGCGGACTCAGGCTCGCGTCCCTTGCCGGTTTCTGTGGCGAGAGCCCGACGCTCTGTCGCCGCTTCGCGCCTTCGACCATCTCTCGCATTCGCGCGAGCAGAACGTGCATCTCCTCACCCTGTTCATCCTCCTCCTCCGCACGCCCCGGTGTCGCGAAGCGTGCGGGGGAGGGTGCCGCGCGCGGAGTGGGCGGGAGCGTGCCTGGCGCGTGTCCGTTGAAGAACGTGTCGGGCATCGTCACCGCGGAGCGCCGACGCTCACGGATGGTCTGCATGCCGTCGTCAGCACGATCGTGGACATTCATCGAGCGATGTGCGTGAAGTACCTTGCGCTCCTCGTCGGTCAGCCGCTCCCGTTCTGCCGCGGCGCGCTGCGGAGTGCTCATAGAGGGGCGCGTTTCCCATCCCCGTGGTGCGTCCTTCGCAGGACTCTTCTCCGGCGAGGACTCCACCTCTTCTTTCACAGGGTCGACGCTGTTCGGAGGGACAACGATATCCTCGACTTTCCACGGGGCGACGATACGCACACGTCTTGGGCCCGTCCCTCCGAGTGAGTGGCGGCCACCAGTCGGCCGAGGAAGGTAGGTAGCCTGGGGAGTCATGAAGGGGCCAAGAGTGCGGAGCTGACTCTGAGGTGTAGCAGGAATGTCGTATGGTTGTTGTACTTCATGTCCATCTTCGTCTTCATCAGAGACGGTTTCTTGCACTTCGTTTTCGTCCGGGTATACGTCATTCATCTCTTCATTATCGTCAAGGTATTCGTGTTCTCCTTCTGCATCTTCATTAACGTTTTCATCCTGGTAGTCTTCGTCGTCATTGTAATTGTCATTGTCACTGTCGCCCTCAGCTTCTTCGTCGTTCTGCTCGCCCGACTGGCGCTTTCTACGAAATGGCCAGTTGAGGCTGCCTGCGACGGCCTCGAGGCTTTTGCGCCAACTTGACACCGGCTTAATCTTGGTCTTCACCTGCATACCCATTTCCTCGTCTTCCTCATCCTGCCCCTTCACTGGTGTGATAAATTCTTCAACCTCATCAAGTTCGCGTTCCTCTTCCTTCCACATCTCTCGGTGCATTTCCGCCCGCTGCGCAGAACGGATGAGCACCGCACGGTGCAACGAGTTGCGCGGCCTGTTCACGGGGGCGGGTGTCATCGGTAGGGAAGGCATAGTGAACACTGGTGCGGGGATAGGCGGTGGCGGAAGGGTGACCTCATCGAGGATGACAAGGTCTTTGTCCGCCTCCACGACGCGGGGCGTGTTGCTCTCCACGAGCACGATCTCCGGGTCCTCGCGCGTCGGCTTAAGCGGGGACTGTAGCACGCGCAAATTCTCCCGTGGGTCGGCGCTGGGTCGGGGTGAGAAGACGTTTGCGCTAGCGATCATGGACATGCGTAGCGCGTGGCGGCTGAGCTTCTGCGGAGACGGGGTGGCGAGCAGGGCAGGGCGCAGGTGCTTCGGTGGGTACGCAAAGCGGAAGCGCTTCTTGTGAACGTCCAGTGTGGAGCCGTTGGGGAGAGGTACCGTGGTCGGCGACGCACCGGCTGTGGCGGGGAAGACGGCGACACCGTCGACAAAGACGCCATTGGTGCCCAGCACAACGAGAAAGGCAGTGGACTCGTTGAAGACTAGCTTGCAGTGAAGAGCACTCACTGAGGGGTAATATAGCCTTATACTGCAAGAGGGGTCGCGGCCAAGCGTGACCTCGGCATCGTCGATGGGATACGAGGCCACCACTGTAGTCGGGTCGTTTCGTTTGAGCAGAGACAAGGACCCATATCTTCCAAAGTCGCTTGCATCCATCAAAAATGAACTTCTATACGTACTTGCGGCCAGTTCCTCGTCCGTATAGGGATGTTACAGCAGAAAAGTATAAGAGAATAATGACCACACAGGACAACTTTCGCAGAAGTTCAACAGCACAAAACACCTGACCGTGAACACCACGTGAGTATCCACTGATCGCGGATCGCGAATCGCGACTTGATCGCGACGTAGGTTACTCACTTACTGTACACTTCACTTAAGCTTCAAGCTTCAAGCTCCAAGTTCCCAGTGCAACAACGTTCCTGTACACCGGAAAGCAACCAAACATTTTGAGGAAGTTGGGGAAGTCAACCTATAATTCTCAGGTGCATGGACTAGTAGTAGTAACTTGGGTCGTTGCCGTCGACCCGCCGGGGGTTCGATTGTTCTCAACGCATTGGTGAAAATGTGTGGACTTTTCTTTGTTGTTTTGCTTGCATGTCCAATGTTTCGTTGCTGCAAACTAATTCGCAGTCGTTGCGCGTCATCATGTGCGTGCACTGGAATTGCACAAAATATATACAAAGGGAAGTCACTTCGATGAGAGGAAGAATGAAGAACAACGGTACCGTGGGCCGTGTATACACGTCGGTTGAGGGTATCGTGGTACGAGGAGTTCGATAATACGGTGTTGCGGACTTATGCTGCTGGTACTGAGATGTGAGGCCTTGAGGCCCCGATCTAAAGTCGCCACACCTCATCCGCACCGCACTGAAGCAGAATGGCTTCACCCGATTTTTGAAACTGATTGAAAATGGTACATTCACATTGTATGTTGTTTACTGCTATGACAGTATCCACACATTTTCAAAAGCGTACAACACTCTTGAAGCCTCCTCCACTACCCATGCACCGGCAGCCTTTAGAGCTTCGCCGGAGATATGAAAGACACGCCCTGCACACGCGGCTCAATATTCATGACATTCAGCCAGATAAGGTTCAGACATACCGTGTCAATGTTCGTCTCCAGCTCGGGGAGCGCAGCGGCGATGAGGCCCTTCTCGTAATCGGAAAGCTTTCCAAGGCCATTAATCTTGACAACACCTTCGGGCTGCAACACAAATAGGTATGAATGGATGGCGACAGTAGCCAACAACGCATACGCACCCCTAGCTCAACCGGGGCAGAGAAGTACTCGAGGTCCTTGCCCAGCTCCTTCTGCAGCGCGGCACCGCCAGTCTTGTCCGCGGCGAGGTTGATGAAAGACGGTGCTACGATGCCCTTCTCGCCCTTAAGGGCGCGGAGGACCTTGCCGGCGAACTCGGCGCCCGCGTAGGCCATCGAGAGGGTCGCAGAGCCCGCGCCGTCCTTAGCCTTCACCACCTCATCGCCGCCAAACTGGATACGGTTCGTAAGCGCCTCTAGCGAGGATTGCGCAAAGCCGGCAGGAAGCGAGTGCGTGGATTGCGAGAGGAGGGGAACGATCTGCGCATGATCATCAGCAATGGCTGAGGAGAACTGTAGAAGGACGTACGGTCACACCGCTGTGCCCACCGACGACGGGAACGGAGACGGACGGGGTAAGGGAAAGGTCGCCAAGAATTTCTGAGACGAACGTCGACGCACGCACAACGTCCAGAGTCGTCACACCGAAGATCCTGTAAACCAAGGTTAGTACGCGCCACAAAAGGACACCGTTGCTTACCTCCTCGGGTCAAAGACGCCGTGCTTCTTGAACACCTCCACAACGATGGGGACGGTCGAGTTGACAGGGTTGGAGATGACCAGGACGAACGCCTTCGGCGCAACTGTGGCGATGCCTGTGGCTAGATCGCGGACGATACCAGCATTGATCTATACAAGTCAGTAAACGAATTACGACGTGGTTCCTGGCGAGGCAATATGTCCTATCCAACATATCCGACTCGAAGCAGTATACTCCAGTTGCACGATCTGCCAGATTGGTCGCATTATATCCCTGGAAAGAGCCATTCAAACTAGCTGTCCATATAATGGACGGGATATGGCGAGCTAGCAAATAACCACGCCCAAAGATCAGGACGTATGGGCGGAGACCCGAATCCTCTGGCCCCCATTTGGACTAGGGAATAATCTGCGACGAGCATGCTGAGATTGACATGCCGCAACTTCCGACGCAGCATCTCAAGATCCCAGATCGGATATGTCGGAGGATCTTTGCGGGACACACGCGAGTCTATCACAACTGACCTTGAAGAGATCGTCCCTGTAAAACAGATTCTGTTATCTACGCGTTCTTCTGCGAGTATGGGTGCAATGCACCAACCTCGTCATCTAGCGGGGAAAGTAAATATCAGATCGTTCCGACGTGAAATTGAACACTTACACCAGGTTTCCGGGGTACACCTGCAGGGATGACGACGATGTCAGCGCCAGTGAGCGCCTTCTTCAGGCCATCGTTTGGAGGTAGGAAGCCCTCCACCTTCGCGGGGGTGGCGATGTGCGAAAGATCGACGGCGACGCCGGGGGCATGGACGATATCGTACAGGCTCAACTATCAAACATTTCGTCACAGAAGATGTGAGTGCATCTACGAGCAATAACTTGCCTCCTTCACGAGCGGGTTCGTCTTCAGGAGCAAAGACAGCGGCTGCCCAATTCCTCCTGATCAGAAGGGAGATGGTGAGGCATCATACAAGCCGGAAAAAGTATACACTCACCTGCAGCACCGAGAACAACAGCTTTTGTCATCTGGTGGGTCTGATGTGAAGGTGCGATGAGGAGGAGATGGATGAAGGAAGAGCGCGAGACTCGTCGGCCGGGCTTTTGTACGAATCTGGGGCACCGTGGGGCAGGCGCCTATCTAAACACCATCACGTGCATCGCGTTCCGATTGCACTCGAGGCGGTCACTACAGCTGCTAGTACTACGGACCCACACGGTTGGCTGCAGCCCTTTCCTACTCATTATAAGCTTCGCGACTTTCACACTTTGAGACAGTTCCCTTGCCATTCAAAGGGGAGGGGGGGGAATAGAACGCCGTTGAACCCCATCGGCCGAAACACGGCATTACGTTCGCGGATTCCGCCACGATGTGCAAGGTGTGTACAATATGAGTGGAAGATGACTCGTCTGGATCGACAGATGAACTCAGATAAAATATGTACGCATTTATTTCCTTGACTTGTTGATGGACAAGAGTGATAGAGTGGCACGTACACCTCGAAGGTGAGTCGCTCGGTCATCTGGACTGCATAGGCTCGACGAATCCGTATCGCCATATCGTTGCTGAAAGACTGAAGACACTGTACATGTAGTTGGAACGCATTGTTTCCGTCTTTTTCTGACGCCGTTCATGACACTCCTTGCTATTTTGTTGGCTGTTGTTTCCCGAGGTGAGCTCGGGGACCCGCTCGGGGCTCCTGCTCGCACATTCAACCCGATTTCCTACGAGATTCGTCCTCATCTACAATCACAGGACTTCTCCTGTCTGAACCTGGTCTCTCTTTCTTGCGATTGCAACCCGGTTGACAGCACGATTCCGGTACCGGTATTGTTGGCCCAGTTAGCCTGCATGTCGCCAAACATGTCCTGGACCGCACTAGAAATCACACTTCTGCCTTTAACTCTTGCGATTCTCGCGGGACTTAGTCGTCATCTGCGGACGGTTAAGGAGACGTTCAGTGAACTGAGAGGATTCAATTTCTTCGCGAGACGCCCCGAGGCTGTATGCTCCAGATCGTTGCGCAAACTCGCAAGTCAGTTGACTACGACGCGTTCACCACGGGACGGATTGCAGTCCGCGTTTCGGAATGCAGGTGCATGTTCCACTATGGTAGCAATTTTTGGCAAACTATCATTACGAAGTTTAAGACCGCAAAGAAAAAAGTAGGGATCATACATGGGCTGCGAACGGTGTAGAGACGAACAGATTTCGAGATGTCGTCGCCCTCGATGGTATAAAATGTCTTCACATGCTGACACCATGATATAGGAAGAAATGGACGCAGAATCATCTATGTACGCAACCATGCCGTCTTGGCAATTTTCTTCAGCCTCTTTTGTTCCTTGAACCTCTCCTGCAGAACCATCAAGAATTAGCACGATACTCACCTTCTAACATATGAAGCGATAAGTAATAAAACGTACCAGATCCTTCTTAGTGGGCCGCTTCCTCTTCCTACCCTCCTCCTGCTCCTGAGCCTCCTCAAGCTTGCGCATTTCTACGTCCTTTTCCCACGCATTGACATCAAAGTAGAACTCGCTCATGCGCTTCGCGCGCTCATACTCGGACAGATGTGTCGGGTCGCGTGCATCCGGGCGGGCGAATGCGCCAGAGCGCGCGTTGAACTTTGCAGTGGACGTGAACGCTGCAGGAGCCGTAGACGACCCAGCGGCAAGCGAAGGGTCAAGATAGGCTAGAGAGGGATCGATTCCCTGCGCTGCAGCTGCCGCCTGCATGTCATAGAGGGCCTGCATTGCAGCAGATCCAGGAATCGATCCAGATGCTTCAGGCGTGGGCGGTGCGCCAGGGGCGGACGTCGGATAGGGAGATGCGGATGGGGAGGCAGTGGGCTGGAGGGGGTTCGTCCATGTTGTTTCTCGAGTGGCGGCGTTGTAAAAGTAGTACGCACTGTGTGCAGGTGACCAGATCGCCTGCCAGTCGCCTGCAGATGCGACACCAGGTGTTGATGCTGCAGCAGATGCAGGCTGCGACGCCGACGAGGCGCTGCCGTCACTGGTGCTGGCGTCAACAGCTGTAGCAGCAGAGGTGGAAGCCTCCGGAACGGGAGACTCGGACTTGGACTCTGGCTCGTCGTGCTCCGCTTCCTCGCTCCCTCGCTGTGAAGTTTTGGCAGGTGGTGAGGGTGCAGGATCCGAAGATTCCCGCTGCTTACTGTCTACACCATGAGCAATTTCTGCAGCAGAATTTGAGTCTGGAGCAGGAGCAGGAGACACTGAGTCGGAGGACATGGCTGTCTAGGTCGAAGTAATTCAAACTCCGATCCCCTGCAAGAAACACTGCAACGCCCGGGCCGGTATATAGTGTCCCGGCTGCATCACTGGCCGCATTCACCGCTAACCTGAACCACCACGTCCACCTCTCATCGGTGCGTATGTTTCCCGTGTATACCTTGGTGCACCTTGAACACTGACTGCTGAACTGCTTGATCAGGCTTGCAGAGCGTTGCATAACGTCCTTAGTTCACATTACTCGTCTGGCCATCCGCAACGCCTCTCTGGTACGTTTCACACCTTTGCTCTGAGCTATCAATCATGTTGCTCCGTGGATTTGTGTATTCGCAGACCCGGAAATCTCGTATTCCTTAGGAACATCTTGGTATTTGCTCTTCCCCTCCTCATGTATGCACGCACATCTTTCTGATATCGTTGTATCGTAGGTACCTCTGGGTATCTCTTTACAGTCGTAAACGTATACTCGGAGCAACTACACAAGATGAGTCTGTCACCCGACCACCCGCGTAACCTCCCGATCCCGCTGCGCTCCGCGATGAAACACTCTCGCCCAAATACACCATCGTGCCAATCCCCGCCGTCGCCCGGTCTCTCGCGCTCGTCTCTCCTGCCCTCTCCAACCCCGCTTCCCGCCGGCTCACCGCTACTTGATGTCCCATCTGCCACCACCTCCCCCGGCATCCCCTCACCCTCATCCAGTTCGTCCCCATCTGCGATCTTCGTCACCCCGGCGCCGTACGCCGGGTCACCGCTCGTTGCCTCCCAGGGTTACACCCCCAAGGTCTCCTTCGATACGCTCGAGAACCCGGCCGCAAGCATGTTCTCGTACACCCTCCACGTCCAGAGCGATGGTTACTCCCGCAACCGCGGTACCCGCGTCTTCCTTTGTGCTTCCAGCCCAGACGAGAGCGGCACGCAGGCCCTCGACTGGGTCCTCGACTCCCTCGTCCAGGACGGCGACGAGTTGATCGTCTTCAGGGGCGTCGACAGCGAAGAGCTCAGTGCGCGCCAGTCCCTCCATTCCTCTGCACTGACCCAACGCTGACACCCTCTCATGCAGGCAAGGAGCACGAACAGTATCGCGAGGACGCCCGCGAGCTCATGCACCACATCCAAGAGAAGTGCGTCGAGTACGACCCGGACCGCAAGCTCTCGATCATCGTCGAGTACATCGCGGGCAAGGTCCCGCAGGCGATCGACCGCCTGATCGCGCTCTACCGCCCCGACTCAATCGTCGTCGGCACCCGCGGCCAACGCAGCATGATGCAGGCCTGGGGCGCCGCGTTCGGCGCGCCCGGCGTTGGGAGCATCTCCAAGTGCGTGTTGCTGTTCCGGCATTCTCTTATCTCTACGCGGAAGAACGCTGATGTCGGGCTAGATATTGCCTCTCGCACTCGCCCGTGCCCATCATCGTGGTGCGGCCGGAGAGCAAGGTGCGCAAGACGCGGGCGAAACGCCGCGCGGACCCGAAGCGCGGCTCGCATTTCGAAGAGTGCGTCTCTTTTCCCTCGTCTTTCGTGGCGAGAGCTGATTTTTGCGTTTAGGTGGACCAATGCACGCAGCCATGGGGGAAGTGGACTGCCGGTCCCGATGGTCACATCCATGACCCGATGAATTAGTTCACACGAGCTCCATCCTCAAAGGAGTGGATGCCACAAATCTGACATTTGTATTTCTGCCCTGTCATTCCTTAGGCTTTTGCGCAATTGTTGTATCAACCGTCGTAGCAATAAGTTATTCAATGGGCCCGCTTGTAGTATATAGCACGAAACACGCTTAATCGAACACCATACTTTTACGCGAACATTTAAGAGGAAGGATGGATCTCGCGGAAACTGCGCGAAGGTGGAAAGATGAGCTAATACCTCGTTCTCTGCCGTACTGTACGTACGCCAACCAAAGTTGTCTAAAATATACGACCGGCGCATTTTGCGGTAGACTTATCCACACTTCCTTCCTCCGCCAAGACAGAGGGGGTAAGGTGAAACTTTCCCAAAGCCTCGCCCCCACGTCATGCATTAAGGGGGAATCGAACCCCCGGCGGGTCGATGGCAACGACCCAGGTTACCACTACCCCATTAATGCTTCGAAATGTATACCAACTATTCCTCTTTATACGTAAGAAAGCTTGTTCAAGGAAAATGGTCGTGCAGTTCAATCAAAGTTCAATTCGTCCAGACTCGAGACGAATCATGGCCTCAACTCTGGTGAAGTCGCAACGTTCCTTATCGCAAGCGAAGGGCCAAAAGGTACCAGGATCGTCCGTGGGCGCCCCTGCGCAGCGAAACCAGAGCAGCCGGAAGGGTAAGCGTGCATGGCGGAAGAATGTCGACCTCGAAGAGGTCGAGGAGGGCTTGGAGGAAGCGAGGGCGGAAGAAAGAGTTGCAGGGTGAGCACTTCGTTGTACGGTGGCGTGAAATAAAACAGCTAACAGCCGGTTACTGCACTGCAGAGGAATTGTTAAGGACAAGACAAACGACCAGCTGTTCTTGATCGATGTCAAGGGCGATGAACGAGGTACGTTCGTGAATCCCCCCTGTACCAATCATTTCATGCTCAAGCCGCGCAGTCCGAAAATCCCTGCCGAGGTTCTCCACCTCCCTCCTCACCTCCGCCAAGATCCTCGCACAGCGCTCCGCCTTTCCTGCCGTCTTTTCACGCACCACGACCACGGTCGCTGCGGGCGTGAAACGAAAATTGACACACGAGGAGAAGGGGCGTTTGTTGCGAATGGGCAAACGTGTCAGGCGGGGACCGTTCAACGCCATGATAGACCCAACGGAGTTTGGCAGCGGGAGTGCGATGCTCGAGGTCAGCGAAGCAGCGCGGAAGAGCGGCGGATACGATGTCTGGGATGAAGAGCTGGCAGAGGGAACGAAGGTGAAAGTACGCCTACGTTTTCTTGGATCGTATGCATTCTGCTATGATCGTTTTCTTTTTTTCCCAATCGCTGACGCTCTGCATAACGCAGCATCCCAATACACCTCACCCACGCTCACACATCACTCTCTCCGCCGTACCGACACCTCATGAGGGTACCTCGTACAACCCCCTCGTCACCTCGCACCAAGAGCTTTTGCGCACTGCACACGAGATCGAGGAGCGTCGACTCAAGGACGCAGAAGCGCTCGAAGCGGCAAAAGCGAAGGTACTGGGGGGCCTTGTTGAAGCGGGCGCAGACGCAGAGGACGTCGCGCCAGGAATGACGGTGGACGAGCACGCCGAGGAACATAGCGACCAGGACGGCTCAGAAGCCGAGCCACGTCTACCGGCGAAGATGCCTCGGCGGAAGACGAAGCAGGAGAGGAGGAAGGCGGAGAGGCGGCTTGCAGAGGTGAGTCCCTCCCATTCTCCATGATATTGCGCCGAATTCTGTCTCACTGTTCGGTCGGAAAGCAACGTGCGCTCACAGAAAAGGCGGCAAAAAAGCGGATGCTAACATCAATCGACTCCGCCAAGGCCCTGCGCAAAGCGATGGGCCGCAAACTCGCGACGCGGCAGCGCCTGCGTGAGCAGCGTCAGGCGGCGCTACGCGAGAAGCTCGCAAAAGGTCTTGGGGGCCAGAAGCTCGGGAAGCACAAGGTCCCCGAAGGGAACGTCGATGTTCAGCTGGGCGAGGATCTGACCGAGAGCCTGAGAGCATTGAAGGTGCGTTGTGACCATCGATGTAATTTTGAACTACCCCCTCAATCTTGTGGCGATAGCCTGAGGGCAACCTGTTCCGCGACCGATTTTTGAGCATGCAACATCGTGCACTCATCGAGCCGCGCGTTCCGGTGCTGTGCGTATAGTCCTACACTGAGTGCCTGGCCCGTGCTCACGTTGATCTTTTGCAGACCCAAGAAACGCAAGATAAAGGTGAAGGAGTATGAGAAGCATGCCTTCAAGCGGTTCGACAGAGAACACTGAGTAGTACATGCTCTTCGAGTTCTCTCTCTACAAGCCTGAGCAGCTGGAGACGCGCGCGCGCCCAACGCAGTACTGCAAAGTGTCGCATTTCGGGCAGGACTTGCAATTAGATACAACCGCAAGTTGACTAGCGGAATCAGATCTAGGGCTTCAGCTTAGTTGCCGCTCGATTAATCACCATGGTCGATCAAGATAATCCAGTGAGAGATACCAACAATGCGAATGTCTTTGCTACATAACAGTCAATTCGAGAGTGTTAGAGTTACATAAGAAAAGTGACAGATCATGAACGGTTCTAGCAGATGCACAGGTCAATACATGTTGACAAGTTCACTGGAATGGGGCATCAGAGACTGGCCCTTCGGGGCCTTCACTACGAGGTCCGCTTGCTGTCTATAGAGTCACCCTCTATGAGCATGACTGCAACACGAAGGAGCTTAAAATGGCACGCACAGACGCAGGCGCAGCAGGAGTTTGCGGTTCGCCGCTTGCATGTCCGCCCCGGTCTTGACCGCGCGGGTGAACAACGCTGTACGCTGGTCGACCTCTCGCGCCTTCAGGATCTGTACAACGAGCCACGCGCGTCAGTGTCTGTAGGGCGTTGGTGCAAGCGAGAACTAGCAAACCTTGTTCTGCCTATCGATGCGCGCCTTGATCTCGCCTGCCTGGATGAGCGAGACCACCTGTTCCTCGAGCTCCTCAATGGTCCACCCGAATGCGGTGCTCATGCGCTCTAGCTTGATCGACGCGAAAGGCTGGAAGTATAACACAAGTGCCCGACTGCGGATAAGGTTGGTGAGATTCGTGACGTGCACGGAGAGGTGAATGTCGATGAAATGGCGTGTCTGCGGAAGGACAACCAGATAATGATCAGATTTCTATCACTGAAATTTGAGAGTTGGTTGACGAACGGTGTAGCGGTCGAGAATCTCAAGAACGGCCTTGAACCGGTTGCCCATGTACGCCTCGATGAGCTCGCGGACGTATGGTTCCTGCTCGATGTACACTCCGAAATTATCGTTGTCGAGCACTTGAGCACGGATCGCGCCTCGTGTGAAGGTCGCAAGCACACATAGCGTCGCATATATCGCGATATCCCCAGGTGCGACGATCTGTACCATTCATCGCAACAACAGACCAGTCAGCGGAACTGGTGGCATGCTGAAATGGGTGAACCTACCCTGCCCGTCCAGTCGCCCAGGCCCTTGATAGGACCGATCTTCACGAACGCGCCCGCCGCTTTCTCGTAGTTGCCTTGCCCAAGATGTGACAAGGCCATCGCAACGTCGAGCTTCGTCTGCACCTTCTCTCGCTCTGCCGTCACCCGTTCCTTCACACTCGGCTGCGACGCAGGCGCCGTCGCACCGGCACTGTTGCTGTTCGCACGCACCATGTTGGCTGTGGCCTCTAGCGCAGTGTCAGCCTTGTAGGCATATGTTGAGATGTGCGCGTAGTTGCGGTACTCGATGAGCAGCTGAGTGACGCGTGAGTACAGTAGTACCTGCAGGACGATGTAGATAAATACGGCGAACGCACCTCGAGTATGGAAAGACATATGTCCAGGACATGCTGGTTTGTTGTACAGAACTCGCGGGATTTGGAGGTGTACTTCAGTGCTGCTGTGTGGTCCCCGACTGAGCGGTAGAACGTGCCCAAATCTCGTTGCGCCATCTGTGCACTTGTCAGCATCGAGATGAGGAGACTAACGAGAGGATAACCACGAACCCGGATGCTCTCCTTGATCATGTTGCTTGTATACGTCTTCAGCTCGACCTCGAGCTTCGTCCGATCGACCTGATTCTTCTGATTCGTCTCGTCTATCCACTTCTGGTTCAGTGGCGCGATGTCACCGACTAGCGGGAGTTGGCCATTGGAAGCAACAGACACCTGCTCATATGTGGACAGGACCGTGCGATACAGGTTTACGTCGCGCATCTGGAACACCTCCAGTAGGGCAAGCTGCAGGGCCTGCGCCGCTATCGATGGGCATAACGCAATTATCTGCACCAGACGGTCCACGTATGTACGTCCTGAAAGGCCCTTAAGCTCAGCAACGAGCACAACGGTATGACCGCCGACAGACGGACGGAGAGCCACGGACCTTTGTAGCTTGAGATGTACGCCTCGAGGTCAAAAGGGTGGGCCTCGTCGACTGGTAGGTTGGCAGGCCGTTTGCCGGTGACTTTGACTGGCTCTGGCTGAAGCTGCTGCTCATTCTCCTCGACGATATCGATATCCATGTTGACAAGTCCGTGTCGTCTCTCAGACTGAGTCCTTCGAATCCGTAAGCTCCCACGTTCCCACTACTTTGGACGTTCTGGAGCACGCCCGAGTCGTGGAGAGGAAGTACTGTAGTTTGGTACTGGTGCAAGGATCATCGGGGCCTCCCTGACCTTTGATCAGAAACCTAAATGATGGGTGTCGGGAGGGTATTTGGCACAGTGGTAGCGCGCACGCTTCGCATAATAATCGAATCTTGATCTTGCGTGAGGTCCAGGGTTCAATCCCCTGAATGTCCACTTCATAATTTAGCGATTCGTGCCCTTTTGAATGGTCTGATTTGTGTGGTTCAGGGTACTGCGGGCAGCGTACATAAGTATAGGTTGAAGTAGCCTGCAGTATCTACACCACCAGACGAGCCGGGTACCGGGCGGATACCGGGTCCGAAAAGGTTTGGTCGGTACTTAGCCTGTAACCGCTGATTACATACCGTGCATCTAATGGGTAACTATAATCAACTAACCATTCGTTACATGGACTAAGATACCTGTCATTTACCTGCCGTAGATACTTTGTAGTGACCCACTAATTATCCTCTATGTAACTGGCAGTTACCGCCTGGTGGCAGGGGACAACTACCGGGCAGGCAACCGAACTTGGGTCCCAGTCAAAATTGACACGAGGTGCTACGAGACAAATAGAGAGAGAGAGATACCCTCTCTGGTCAATCGAGAGGCGTCGAGAGATTGGGTGAATACTTTCACACGTAGTACATGTTGCTCATGCGGCAAGCACGTCGTGTCTCCCTGAGTCTCTGTGTGTCTCTATGTACATTACAATTTGTACGAGTAGCATGACTCTGCCCGATTTCCACATCTTGCTACCTGCGGCGGCTGCCGGCTATGACTTAGTTACTTTGACTTGTCTCTCTTCGCGTCGGCGCTGTACGTCCGCCACATGAACCAATACATTAAAGCTTTGTATCTCCCAATCTGTCTGCCATGTCTACTGCGCAAAGAGTACCTTGTCATTGTACAAGATGTGCCGGCAAGCTTGTTTCTCCCTCCACCTTCCGTCATCACAACAAGGTGCAGCACTCTACAGAGTTCCAGAGCTTTGTTCTACAGGCTGCTTCCGAGCTGCCTGGCTGCCTGGAGTCCGTAGACCCTGATGAATCTACGGAAGGGTCACTGCACAAGCGCGGGGCTATGTCACAGATGACAGGTGAACAGAGCCAGCCTACTAAGCCAGCCTACTAAGCGGAGACGGGAATTCGTGGAACCAGAGGTGTGTAAATGCATCCCTGACCTTCCGAAACATTGTATGTTGACATTTGGTGTGCTGCTGCCCTCCGTTGAGATCAATGACATGAACCGGGGGTCAGTTGACATCTCAGAGATGACCACAAGCAGTGAGGACAATGCAGATAGCAGCCATCCAAAGGACCTGGACCTGGACGAGAGCAGAGCAGGCAGTGTATCTGCAACCGGGACCACGGGCGCGAATCCCAGTGAGAACGGTGCTATTGATGTCAGCCGGTCGTGTGGATCTGCGAAGAGCACAAGTGGAGACATGCAGATAGTGCCACCTGATAAGATCCTGGATCCAGGATGTCTCGCATTGGATGACATAGACGTGCGGGGAGGTCCTGCATCATTCCCAGTGATCAACGATGGACATGCGAACGTCATCCACATTGCTTCTCCAGAGGACGTGGACTTGGAGGAACTAACTGATCTTGCCCATCTTTCCGAAGCCAAGCTCTCTATGAAGTTCATTCGGGCACTGGAAGGTGCATCATTGGAAGACGAGGGAATGCGATTAGATGCAGACACTCTTGAACGTCTTCGCCACCCTCCTCGCAACACAGTTGACATCGCCGATCCTGGTCTTTGCCTTGCACTCGACCTCTTCCTTGCAGTTGGCAATTCGTCGCAGGAGACGTATAACAGTGTTCATGATGCAATCATGCGACGCTATCCCGAGGACACACTACTTTCATATGACCGAATCAAGCACCAGGTTGCGCAGCTCAGTGGTGTTGTCTCCCTCATTCACGATATGTGTATCAATAGCTGTATTGCGTATACTGGCCCATTTTCCGAACTCGAGACTTGTCCAAAGTGCAGTGAGCCTCGATATGACCCTATTCAGCTGGCCGCGAGTGGTGGGCAGAAGAAAATTGCACATCAAGAATTTCATACAATTCCTGTTGGCCCACAACTGCAAGCACTTCGTCGAAATCCTTCCAGTGCAACAGATCTCAATTACCGTGAGAAGCGGACCCAGGAGATCCTCGAGACTCTCGCACAAAGTGATGGCACTCTGCCGTCATACGAGGACCTGCTGGATGACAGTGACTATCTCGGCGCAGTTGCGGATGGTCATATCAATTCTGACGACATCATTCTCATGCTCTCCCTTGATGGAGCGCAGCTTTATAGGAATAAGGCATCGGACTGCTGGATTTACATTTGGGTGGTCTTCGACCATTCGCCTGATGTACGCTATAAGAAAAGGCACGTTTTGACTGGTGGTTTCATTCCTGGTCCAAATAAACCCAAAAATGTCGACTCGTTCCTCTTCCCAGGGCTCCATCACCTCGCTGCACTTCAGCGAGAAGGGTTGGGTATGTGGGATGCTGCACGCGACACCACCTTCCTTTCTCACCCTTTCCTCGCCCTTGCTACAGCTGATGGACCGGGCATGATGTATCTTAATGGCTTTGTTGGACACCATGGACGACAAGCTTGTCGTTTATATTGTGACACTAAAGGACGCCACAAGCCAGGAGGTACACATTATTATCCGGCACTGCTCAAGCCTTTGGACTATGACGTGGAAGGCTGTGACCACGAAGATGTCGATATCAGCAGTATTCCATCGTGTTCCCCAGAGAAATACTTGGAAAATCTGCGCTATCTCCTGGCTTCATCCAGTGAGACTCAATACCGCAAGAGACGTCTTGAGACTGGAATCACAAAGCCAAGTATATTTCTTGGCTTTTCATCACGATACACATTTGGTGTTCCTGGGTCGTTTGGCTCTGACATCATGCATCTCGCATCACTCAATCTTCCCGATCTTCTCATTCCACTCTGGTGTGGCATCTTCGACTGCGACAGGACTGACAGCAGAACAACCTGGGACTGGGCAGTCCTCCAGGGTGATGTCTGGAAAGTCCATGGTCAAGCAGTTGCCAATGCAACACCATACCTTCCCGGCTCTTTTGATCGCCCACCACGTAATTCTGCGGAGAAAATCTCTAGTGGATATAAAGCATGGGAATTTCTCATCTACCTTTTTGGATTAGGACCTGGGCTACTCTATGGTGTGCTTCCTGACAAGTACTGGAAGAATTTCTGCACGCTTGTCTGTGGCATCCGACTAATCAATCAGCATAAGATTACGAGCAAGGACCTACAGCGTGCCCACAAATCACTAGTTCAGTTTTGTATTGGATTTGAACAGCTCTACTATCAGAGGCGAGTTGACCGTCTCCACTTTGTTTGGCCATGTGTCCACTCCCTCATTCATCTTGGCACGGAAGTTGTTCGACTCAGTCCTCCAATATGCTCCTCACAGTGGACCATGGAACGCACAATCGGCAATCTCGGTCAGGAGATACGACAGCCATCAAATCCATTTGCCAATTTATCACAACGTGGACTTCGTCGTGCCCAGGTGAATGCACTCAAGAGCATGATTCCAGACTTAGAGCCACTTAAAGATCATCTTCCAAGATGTGCAGTAGATCTTGGTGGTGGTTATGTTCTTTTACGTGCCAGGCAGAGAACAGCAGGCCCACTTCGTGAATGCGAGGCAGTAGCACTTTGGGTTTACATTCACGACATGCATGCACTGGAAGTTGACTCTGCTGCAATGGCTACTCCTTTGGTTCGCAGATGGGCTCGTCTTCAGCTTCCTAATGGCCAAGTTGCACGATCTGCTTGGAACGAGAAGAAGAAAACACTCAGGAATGTTCGCATGGCTCGAAATGTAAAGGTCAGTTATAGGCTTCCTCTTCACACCTTTTCAAGCTAATTCTCTGGTACATATGTGTGTTCAGCTCCTACTTGATGATAATTTGTGCTTTGCAGAAGTTCTATTTTACTTCCAGATGCCAATCAATGATGAGACCAAGTCACTTGCCCTTATCTCACTTTATTCACAACCTCACGCTACTCTCCTTGAAGCATCATCATACACGCTGTGGTCGTTGACATCTCAGGGTGATACAGCACTTCGAGTTGTTGATGTGAAGGTAATTACGGCAGTGGTTGCAATGGTTCCTCATAACCCATTTGAAGAGGCTGGGACACGATTCTTTGTTGTTGAAAAACCCGGCCTTGATGTTGCACATATGGGTGGGAATGATGAAGTGGTCGTGGACAATGACAATGGTATACTAGAGGAGAATTGAGAAGATGCAGATATTCTCCTTTCTGTGCCAATATTGTTGCCTGTTCGTAGAGACTTGCCAAATGTAGAATGTTTTCCGGAAAGTGCTCGATATGGCAACTATGCAATCCAGTTGACCCCCGCTTCCAGTCCCTTGATTCGACACGCCTACATTAGTGGGATGTCATCTCAATCTCGATACCTGGCCTATGGCTGCTCTCAGGATGGCCATGGAGAAGGTCTGGCTGCTATTTACATTCAAGAAGCTGGAGGAGATGCGTTCAGTGACCCTGATTCACCTGTCACTCCATCACAGTCAATTTCATCATTCTCTGACTCGCCTGTCATGAGTGTAGACAATCCAGAACTTAAGCCAGCCATGCATAGCAAACACAATCATTCTAATCTTCGCTCTCTGCCTTTGACTACTTCTCGGATATCACCATCTAATGTGAGTGTCCTCTGTAGTTGCCACGTCATGCACAAGTCGTCCTGATATCCTTGAGCTAGATGACCTTGAACTCTAATCATCCCTTCTTTCCTTCCAATTCGATAGTCTCAACTTCCTCTGCCCTTCATTTGTCTGATATCCCGAGTTCCCTTCCTTCGAGTCTATCGACAGCGCAACCGGTTCCTATTCAACTACAGCAATTAATGAAAGAGAATCAGCGGCTCCAACACAAGGTTATTGTCCTTCACACTGAGAATACTACAATGATGTATGTCTATCCGACTAACTGCTTGCATGTGCATCTTGACTTGTCAATATTGACAGGAGTGCATACAAGACTCTGGCGAAATGTGTCCCGCAGGCGCTCTCTCTCACGAATCCATTTAAATTGCCGATTTCTACTTTACCTTCTTCAACAGTGCCATCTGCTGTCGGTGCAGTGGTCTCCTCGGAGCAGTCTGACTACCCTCTCATTAACTGGTGGACGAAGGACAGCTGGCTAAAGCGGACTGAGACACTGGAGCCTTATGAGGGCAACAACATGATGATGTATGTCGAAGAGCAAGACGGCACCCCAATCACTGGCCGGAGAGTTGGCGAGATTCGAAAGGTCGCGAGATCCATCTGGGCACACCTCGCGGAAATCGGTAAGGCACCTAAGTCTTGGGGGAAGGCAAGTATGATTGCTGCACAGATGTACAATGAGGAGATGGCCAGACAGTTCCCGGAGCTTCGATACTGCACAGCAAACTGGAAGGCAGAGCAGATTGCAATTGACAACTACTCATCTTGGCACAATCACTGTCACCCCAAAGCTCCCATTTGCAAGCAAGAAGATGCGGAGAATAACACCGCCGTGGACTGGGAACCGACGCTCCGTGGTAGCAAGCGAGTTCGCTCCGATGACTTTGAGCTGAACGCGCATTTGACAGTGTCCACGCGCAAGAAGATCAAGACATTATCGAAGACAGGTACAGTATCCATTTTGTGTTTACTTTGAAAGTGGTTCATTATGACTGCAGATCCCGTCTTAACCGACATCATCGAGCAAGAGCGCTCCGAGCCGAGTGGATCAATTGGCGAGTTGCATACTTCTGGTAAACCGGATGCCGTGAACATTGTCCCTGTCATGGAAGAAGGTAGTAGCACATCTGACAAGGGTAAAGGACGCATCGCGCTCAAGGTATGCATGCTATTGTCTACTAGTTACAGCGAATCACTCAAGGCTGACATTTGAACTACAGATTCGGAACCCATTGTATGGGCTATTTATGTCTTCATTGTCGTGCTTAGATTGATGCGTCTATACATACAGGATTACTTCAGTGACAAATGTGGCTCATGCAAATGTCTTGCCCACGGCCGACTCAGTAAACGTAACACTTGTCACACCAATTGACGCCTCCGCGCTCACTTCCGCAGCGTCATCCGTGGGGAACACATCTTCAATGCACCGTCAAGCGAACATGGCTGCCATCGTGCATCCCGCACTCAATACCCTCGCCATCGCTGCAGCCATTGTCACTCATTCTGCCGACCCCATTGCTCCTCGCCCTTCGCCGCCACCACTGTCAAGTCCCAGAATCTCCATGGTGCTCCCAATTGACCCCTCTGGTGCTTCTCAGCTGGAGCTTCCCTCCGCAGGCCAAACGGTCGTAACGACCGCTCCCCGTTGTGATGCCGCTGGTGTAGTGCCCGAGTCGTTCACAGCGCCGGCAGCAATGGCAATGCAATCAGTGGCTGGACATCCAAACTGTGGACCCGTTGCGGCTGCGGTGTCCGCAGTGCACGCGAACATTGCGGCTAGCCCCACAACTTCAGGCCCTTCTCACACTGGCACTCCGTGCACTGCCACTGTCAAAGGTCCCGCGAAAAGGCCTAGCACCAAGATGCATCCGGGTGATACAGTTACGCTAAGGTGCCGTACATTCCATTGTACACTGATGATCTCTACAGTTAACTATGCACTTTTTCAGAAACCTGTGCGCAGTTGATTGGGTAACAACACACCTGAATGGGACCACGGCGGAGTTCAAGCATTACTTTGCTCTTCTCCCACCCGCGGAGAAGAAGGTATGTTATATTGATTCATTCAAAGTACTGAAGCCAACTGAACCTGTGTTTGACAGCCTTTCGAAGAAGAGTCGAAGCGTCTTGTAAGTGTTTCATTCCAAACTATTCCGATATGCATATTCTGATCTATTTTGGCACCAGAAAAAAGCCGGTATATCTCGTCTCACCATTTCGGAGAGGGCGGGTGGCGTACCTAGCTTGAGGACGGTCTCCAGTGTTCGAGGGTAGGAACTCACACAGAAGCATATTCTCGATGGCGCTCGATGGCGCTCGGTGGGTTTCGGCTGCGGGAGCGGCTGGTAGGGTGCATTCTCGATAGGTCTCGATGGTATCGTATCGTATTAGCTATGTAATTTCGTGAATCGTATCGACAGCGCTCTGTGGCGCTCGTTTTGGCTACATTATTCATGACAAAAATGGAAGGAAATGTCGAGGCACACAGAGACTGCCAGAGTCTCTCTGTCTCACTCTTCTGCACTCAGCTTAGCTCGATTGAAATCGAGAGAACGGTCAAAATATCGAGCCCCAGTGAGGCCAGTCGAGCCACTCGATTTGTCTCGTCCTCCCTCTTAGCGCCTCTTGTCAATTTTGACTGGGCTTGGGTACCTGACGGGTACCCAGAGCTGGTTATCCACTGGGTATCCAGCGGATACCCAGCGGATAACTGTGCAGCAGCATGCCAGCAAGTACTTGTCTACATAGTGCTATATACAAACAAATTACTGTCTATGTACTGGTGATAATGAGCAAGTATGATCGCGGGCACTCTCTGAGGGATCCATCCTGCTGCAGCCTGTCGCTGTCCACATCGCTGTTGCCGTCGGCCGCCGGCATTGCTATCGGCCCAAGCACTCCTTGCAATGTTTCTGCGGGGGTGAAAAAAAGTACTTTTGAGATCTTGGGATTCCAAGAAGATTAATACTCACTAGCAAGCTAAATAAGTGTGATATAGAAGAGAAAACTCGAGTGCGCAAGAAACTGGAATGAGTCGGGAGAGTTGAGAAGTTGAGCTCATCCCGCCATTTGTTGGGCCTTGTTTGGCTTGTTCAAACACACGGGCGTCTTTGACTTCGCGATTTCTGACTGCTCACTCTCATGCTCATTTGACGCATTGTCTCACGACATCCCTTCCTTGCGACACCCAATTTTGTGCTTCTGATTTTCACACATCTATGAAGCGACTCCATTGACATGCAAACACCCAAGGGAGCAACACTAGTATCCACAAGACTTCGTGCGAGGCATGCCATATCACATTAATTGGTGAGTTGCTAAATCCTTACTACAGCGGCATTTCTCTTAGCACAAAACTCATAGCATGCAGCGGCAAGGCTACTTACTAGCTTCTGTACCTACTCCCGCTGCGCACCCTGCGCTACCCTCTCGCCTCCCGCCACCTTCTGCCGACGTGCTATTCCTCTCACTTGCGTTCCAGCCCTATCCTCTTCCGACATTTTAATTTACATGCTATGTATTCCTCTACAGTACTGTAGTGTAGCAATGTTGTGCAATTGTATGTGATATAACCTGCCTCTTGTGATCACATCCAGGTCACACGATAGATACTTGCGAGGTGCTCAGTGGGTACCGACACGGTATCCAGCTCCAGATACCCACTGGGTATCCAGAGCCAGCTACCGGTCAGGTACCCACCGGGTACATTATGGATACTCCCGGTTTACTTGGTGGACAGCCATTATTGGTTACACTACAGTTAACTATATTATTTGCTCGGTAGGTACTGTGTCAAAACCCTCTGATGGGTAACTGACGGTTAACTACCAGGTAACCTCGGTCTTGGTTATCCGTCCGGTACCCGGCTCGTCTGGTGGTGTACAACTTGCCTTTGGGATCGCGATATCAGACCGATTGTCATTAGATCCAAGATTATGGAGGTCGTTTGGTTACAGTTTGTTTAAGGACAGATGCCGTGATGCCGACGCGTGGCCGTCACGTGGATTATCCAGGAGACCTCAGTCACCCTCTACGTGCGCTAGTACCTTTTCCTTAGCAATTCTTGCTGCACGTCGTGCGTCGGCTCGAGCTCATCATCGCTGACGATGAGCTCCACTACATAGTATATATGCCAAAATTCTTGCAAATTTTTTCATTTCCACTACTACCATATACATTGTAAGAGGTATTTGTCTCCTGCTCCCCAACCCTCATCATCTGCTCGCGGTTGTACATGCTCATCCCGCGTGCCCCCACGCCAAAGCCGTTCAGCTCCATGCGGTTTGCCCCCGCCAATATTGTGTCCTCGCGCGAGTCCGTGCCCTTGCCCGCGGTGTCTGCACATATACAAAGGGCTCGGACGTGTTTGTGTTCGGTGACCCCGTGCCGTTCCCGTTCACCAGCAGCGCACCAGTGTTCAGCGACACCGGTGACGAACGCCCTTACGCCATTGCGCAGTACCCACCCGGGCTCGGCACCATTGCATATGGGTGCAGGCTAAGCCCCGCATTGCATTCTCCCTCGCGTTCCCGCTCCCGCACCTGCTGCTGGCTTGCCCGCCGGCTCGTGGGCACCAGGGACTGCATGCTGATATGCTTGCGTGATCCGCCACGCGAGTCCTGCCCCAGTTTCTGACTGCTGCTCTTTCTGTGCGCGGGCATCGGCATGAGTACGAGTGGGGAAGAGGGTGACTGCGGCATGTCCTGCGGGCCATCTTGTCGGGCTTCCCAAGTTGCCCGATGGGGATCTTGCTCCGCATCTCAGGCATCAGGTTCGCCATCGTGGCGGTATCCTTGATGAGTGCGGGCGCAATCGCACTGGATCTGATTCCGTCCTTGGCGTACCACAGGGAGAGCCAGTGGACCAGGCCATGCAGGGCGGCTTTGAATGATGTGTAGTGGGGTTCGATGACTCCGCTGTTACTTGGTAAACAGTGGAAAGATCAGTGGCGTCGGATGAGTGCCCGATGCAGTGAATTACCTGCAGCGATACTGATTATGATAGACATGAATTACCATGGATTTCGGGCAAGGGGGCACACAGAGCGCACCTTGATGTGAAAATTGTTCGTATTTCTGCGCTTCCATGTGCGGCACACAGAGCTGCGCAAGCATGTAGCTCATGCCGGTGTTCGTCCACCACATCTCTTCGAACACCTTCATGGGCATGTCATTGATATTGCCCAGTGGGCCAACCTTAGGCCCCGCGATGCCGTGGTTTGCGAAGAGGATGTCCGGATGCCCGATCTGCTGCACAACCTCAGCATGGAGGCGGCGCACCTCGTCGTAGTTCGACAGGTCTGTCTGGAAGATGGCGAACCGCGCGTCGGAGCTGGCAATGGCCTTGAGGTCGGAGATGAGCGTGTCTGCCTTGGCGTGCGAGGATGCCGCCTGGTAGTGCACTGCTACTGAGCAGCCGGAGCGGGCAAAGGTGCGTGTAGTCACCTGCCCGATGCCTCCGCTGTGCCAGATGTGGTGAGTGGATGAGATATGATGTGGTATGTGATGTACTTACGTGCAGCCGGTGATGAGGACGGCAGCTTGCCCTTCAGGTCAGGAAAAAAAACAGGATGCTCCAGCCTCGTGAGGCCAAGAGAGGCAACATCCTATGCAGCCTGTCCAACACGGGCCTGAGTACAGCCGCGAAACAGCCCAGAGTACTTGTCAATGGGCCAGTGCCGAGCTCATGCACTCAGGCTGGACGCGGGATCGGGCGCAGACGTGCGCCAGGACAGAGACTAGCAAATTGCAGGAAAGTTGTTGTAGTCATATGTCGGGGAGCAGCGAGAATTTTGGCATATATTACGTAGTGGAGCTCGTCGTCGGCGACGATAGCTCGAGCCGACACACGGCGAGCACGACGTGCGGCACGAATTGCAGGTGCTAAGGAAAAATACAAGCGCACATAGAGGGTGACTGAGGTCTCCTGGACAATCCACGTGAGAGCCACGCGTCGGCATCACGGCATCTGCCCTTAAACGAACCAAACGACCTCCATACAAGATGGCCTCAGCATCAGCAAAACCGGGAATTTTCTCCAAAGAGATTATAAAGGTGTAATTCCATGTAACTTGCGCAATTTTTTCACCAAGGAATACATTGCATTGTAATCCTGAGTCAGATTGCAGAGTTGCCAACTGGCATAATCAGTTATAAACTCTGGAAACATTTTACAGGTTATGAAGCTCATATAACTTCCTACAAAATTTATTATGCACTTGTAGCATGTAGGCACAGACCGTCCTAAACAGACCGAAACCGATTCATTCAGATCGGTTTCATAATTCTCAAAAGTGGGGGTATTCCAAATTATGTCAACATATTATTATTGCTGTGGTACAAGATGTACAAAGTGCTCTACATTAGAACTAGTTGGGCCTACTCACTGCACCGAAACCCGCGTGCCGTCGTAACGCCCACTTACCGCGTAACAACACCCGCGTGCCGCCATAACAAACAAGTAGTTAGGTCTACTTACCGCACCAACACCCGCGTACCGCCGTAACAACCAACACTAGGAATCAACACACTTACATTTCCGCCCACAGGCATAGAACAATAGAGATTGAAATAGAACGCACCGCGTGTCGCTCCAACCACGGGAGCCCAACCAAGCTGCGCGCAACAATAAGCCCGGTAGACCTGTGCGATATAGTTAGCTGCATGTAACGGCACTCACCTGGCAGGCACATTGCAGTGGCAGATGCTGCGAATTTATACGCGAGTGAGGGTGGCGAGAATTGTCGGCGGACGGTAGTCGCGATGCATCGAGAGTAGCCTCAGACTTGCCTCAGAATCGCCTCGAAACAACTTCGGATCTTTTCACTGACAGTGGCCTGGACAAGAGCCTTGCCTTAATGCTTGCATTTGGTGCGGTATCCGGGGGCCTGAATATGAAGATACGAAAGAGCAACTCGGAGCGAGTTCTGTGGAGAGCGCTAGTAGACGCCCAATAGGCGCTCCTTACAACATTGTATGTAGGCGTCTAGAAGTTCTTCCGACTGTGTAACCTGGTGAGCAACGTTTGACTTGGGTTACATCGCTCGACAACTCTTTGTCGACATATATTTTTGTTCTAACTTGTGTATCAATTTCTGTTCTATGTTATCTTCTTTATAGACCTCTACTACCTTTACTTTGATTACAAATCGGTTTAAATATTACTAGTCCTGTGTAACTTACACAACCCTTGCTACCCCGATGTAACTGGTGTAACCTTACATAAAAATTTCCCGCTTTTGCTGATGAGTAGGCGCGTGTTGAGTTCGTGCTGTATCACTGGCAGATAGGATATCCGGAGGCACAGAGGTTGATGCAGAGTATCTACAACCTGCCTTTGGGAGGCTATCGTGCTAGCATCTCGCTGTCATCATGCACCACTAGCTTCACTTCGCATGCAGGCATTACGTTATGAGCTGGATGGACAGACACTGGTGGAAACTTTTCGCGCGATGCTCTAAGGCACCCCGTTCAGAAGTTGTAGCAGTTATATGTACAGCTTCCAGTGCACATGCACGAATACTACGAACGCTGCCATGCGGTTCTACACTGTCGTCGTTGGTATCTACGATGGGTAGTACACCGAGCACCCGCGAAGGGTCGTCTGGTTGCACGCCGCACACCACTGCTGTGTGTTGTTGACCGCTATCGGCTGTCGAAATAACAAATCAGAACACACGGGCATGGCCAAGGAGGAAGACGCGATGGGACGGGGTGGGCAACGCCGCATAATGATACGAAAATAGAGAGAAACAGGGGAGACCGCAGGAAGAAAGACTCACCGCAAGCGTGTCAATGAACTGGGACAGAGGAACGCCGCCGGTGGTGCCGAAAAGGCTGAGGGTGTGGAACTCAGCGTCGGTCGTGCCATTCTTTAGCTTCATTGTAACCAGGGGCTCCGGATCGCCCGCACTCAGCTCGAGGGCGACGGCCGCGGCATAGTCGACTACAATGGAGATGCGTCATTAATTTGGGCCATGTCATTGCGAGTGAACGGCCAGGACGGACCTATTCCAGCAATACTGGGGTCGGCAAGTGCGGCGTCGGTGACGTTGAACAAGCTGATGAACGGCTTGTAACTGATCTCATTAATCATCAGCAGGACGCCGTCGCTCCCGTCTGCCATGCTCGTCAACGCCGTGAATATAGAGGGCAGAATTGTTTGGATCGCGACTGAGTACCGTCACACAATGTATCAGAACTTCCGACGCGGTGCAACAATGCAATACGCACTGTTCCCAATACCACCAACGCTCACGGGGTCGGTGAACACGCCGTTCTCGTGATAATTAGCATAATAGTAGGCTTGCTCCTCATATCCCGCGGGGAGTATGTCGTAGAACGTTTTGTTGTGGATCGATTGTACATTGACGTAGTCAAATATCTGTCCATGCGCGTCAGCTAGAGTCGCTGTCTACAAATGCGCAAAACTCACATTCCACTGCACAATGGTGCACTCAATGAGTCATGGGGTTAGTGCAATGCGGAGAGCACATACCATGTTGGTGAAGTTCGTTGACCGGTTACCGAGGTATGGTGCAAGGTCTGCCAAGAAAGGCGCTGCTTCCTGGGCCTCCGCCAAGAAACCGGGAGACGAGTAAAATTCAGATATATGCGCGTCGAAATTCTGCAAGAAGACAAGTCAACTCGCAAAAGAACCAAACACACCGATACCTACAGGGCAGTCCGTGAAACTGTTCAAAGATATGTCCAAGTCTTCTTCAACGGAGTCCACTGCACGAAATACTCTGTGAGTCAGGGCTTCGGATTTGAAAACTGAAGCAAACCTGGGATGTACTGGTAACCGCCGAGGGGAGCAATGATAGTCGAACCGTTGGCCAAAGTGATGTTATTATCCGTGGTGGGCGGGTACAAACCCTGAAGCAGCGCCTGCACGGAATTGACAATCACGCTGCCCTCGCCGGATGCGTCAGCGCGGACGTCGAGCTGAGTGATGTTGACGACATCCGTGTTGAGGCCGTTAATGTACGAGCTCGAAGATGTATTTATGTACACTGAGCGCAGGAAAGAGCCTAGCTGGTACTCTTCGACCTTTGTGGACCCAATAATGCAATATTAGTCATAAATTCATCACGAGAATGATGATATTCAGTTGAATGATGCTCACACTTCCGAGGGGAGTGATGAAAGTCTGGGCGGGATTATACGTCAGGGGGTCCTGGAAGAACTCAAGTCTATCGCCGTGACGGACGAGGAGTACAACACCAAGGAGACCTGTAGTATTGACCATGGCTGAAGCAGGGACTTGCTGCACGGGTCCGAGCATCGAAGCTGCGACTTTATACTGCAAACAGTGAACCTAGGCCGGTGCATCGCTTATGTATATTTCCGCCGTCAGAACCTGTCACTGGTGAGGTGGGCGGAGCATGTGCGTGAGTCATTGGATCGCTGGAAGCCGTGCCAGGTACATCGGCGGTGGAATAGAATGCATATATCATTGAGCGCTAAAGTTGATTTGACAGGTCCTGCGATGAGCGGAGAAATTGCCCAACTGGTAAAAGGTCGCATAAAAATGTAGACCAGTCCGGAATCTTTGTGTGAGCGTGGAAGAGCATAGTCATCTGTCAGAAGCTGCGAAACGGACTTAGATGACTGTGCTCCCATAACTGTCGGATCAATATTAAGTGTCATAGAAATTTACCTACAGGCGTTGAATAGTCGCTGACCTTCCAATGCAACCTGCCGTATGCGGTTGTGGGCCTGAAGGGAAGCAAGAGGTTAGAACAACTTTTGTAGGATGCGCCGCCACATGACGATCACCACAGTACCACGAGGTCCAAACCTAATGTGAATGGTACAGGCAATTCCATTAAAGGCTCCATCCTAGCGGGGCGAAGTGACCATCTCACAGTCTCATACGCAGTCGTGAATGCTTACATGAGGCCTCATCAACTTGTCTGTCACTAGCCAGGCCTAAAGTGCAAGGGGTGTCAGCACCCGGGCCCATCAGCACCATCATGTCCCATGTTCAAATGCCTTCAGGCTTGAACAGCCATTGGACGAGGCGACATCGATTTACTTCCAGCACTGCGCCGGTATCAAAATGACTCAGAGCAATAGAGTCGCCAACAGGCAGGAATAAGTAAACCAACAGCGGTAGATCTAGCTGGATGCAAGGGGCGGAAGAGCAACTGGGAATAGATGGAAACCGATATCAGAGAGGCTCAAACACCACGAAGCCTCTTGCTTCTGTTACAAAACCTGTTGAAGATGCACTATTATGAAGACATAAGTAATCCCACTATGCAGCGCGAAGAAGCTGGAGGCTTGCGAGTGGAAATGAACGTACTGGGCCGCCATAACACAAAGAGCGCCACTTGGCATTAATGCGGGGCAGGGGCGGTCTTTCATCGGCATCGAATGACAGCTACTTGACAGTCTTCGATTCGCGGAAATTCAGGAACCACATTCGATGAATATGCTTACGAGGACGCGGGATGTGACGAACGTTGGCCAGTACTTACTTGCGATGCAAGAACCGTACGAGCCTGTGATCAATCGATCACCGCCGCGGCCGACAACTTGGCAACAGGTTTGAACTTGCCTTGTAACAGCCATGGTCCTCCTTCGCCATTCACGAAACTACTGGGGTGAGCGGAAAGAGACGCCCGCACTCGCATAGTTTCAGATGACTTCTGACCAATTGCAAGATGCACGAACGGGATGATAAGTCTCTTGGGGTTTTCGAATTCCAATTGCCTAGACTGAAAGAGGGCCTTGAAATCCCCAAGAGACTCATTGTAGTTAAGAATTAGTAGTTGTACGCGTGCGTGCGGTCAGTGCCTCAATGGAAGAGAGGTCTCACACCTGACATACTGACGGTTCACAATCTCGCTATTCACTAGTCACTGGTGCCAGCTCTCGCCCCGCGCGAGAGATCGGAGGCCATGCATCATGGACACTTTGCTCACTCCGTCACTGCAACGAAAACATGGCCTTTCCCGCTTCGGACCGGCAGTAGGGTAAACCAAGAGCGTGGTGAGCATCCAACCACTGTACTGAACCTTAGCACATAAGATAGGTATTACGAATCATCACTGAGATAACGCTACTCAGATGTCGCTTCACCCATCGTTATCTCTTGCGACGGTGAGTGCAACTTTGAGGTCGGTTCACAACCGCATTAATACTTCATTCTGTTTTCGCACGACAGCGATCTGGCAAGTGGTGAACCAGCTACGTAGGTGATTGAGCACAATGTCCGTGTTTCCAATTGCCCGCTAGCAAACAAATCAATGGCAGTGGTGGTTGTAAGTTCCACAACTGACTTCCTCGTCTAGAGGCTGATCCGTGAGCTAGTTGTTAGTGCTGTGGGTATCTTACCTTACATCTGCTGGAGACGCCCTGCCTTCTCACATGTATGGCAAGGCATATCATGGAGCTAGGGGCGCCGTGCTTCTGGTAGACTAGACTCGAGGGGATCACGCTCAAATACGGGCACGCGCACTCTCATGGGTGGCCTTGAGGATCGGGTCCCCGCCTGTGGGTCGAGCTCAATTGAAGAGCTCCCTCCAGTCTTGCACACGGTCTTGCAGTCATAGCTTGATCTATCAGGCTTGCCTACAGCAACTCTGCGTCTATAGGGGGTGATCATATACGCTGTATAATGATTATCCTCTCCTGCACACCAACATCACCTGCTCTATCAAGGAGGAGAACGTCCACCTTCCTGAATCTTCTGGGTGAAATTGCCATGGCTATGCTCGTACGTGATCTGAACAAAATCTTGGCAAATTGACGGACAACCTTAATGAGTTTGGCAGGTACTCGTGAGCAGACGGCGGACCGCCTTCGTCCAGTCCCAAGGTTCGTTGACCTTCCGTGCCGCTGGGTGATCTCTCACCGAGGTCCGCTGTGATCAAGATCAGACGACCATCCCCTAGGCGGGGTTGCCGCCGGTAACTTGGTCAACCTCTTCGCTCGACTATGACGTAGAGAACCATCGTACGGCTTTTACGTGCGGCAGTCTGAACGCACCTAAGGGGATGCGCACGTATGTAATGGGCCCACGCCTCCGACCAAGAGGAGAGAACGAAGAGAACGAGATTCATCGTTTGATTGGACAGAGACCCGAGTAACATGTGGTGTGTGTTCCCAGCGACGGAGATACCGCGGTCTATTTTCATCATACTGACGTCAACATTCTGCAGGGCCATACCTCTCTGAACTCACCTACCGTCACTCGTCTCGAACCTGCATATGCGGTCCGTACGACTCACCTTCTGCGATCCGCGATCCATCCTAGGCGGTGGTCAGTTGGCATTCCTCAACAGCAATCGGGGTCACACCGACGTCGTTGTCCCGGCCCGCCAGACACGTGATGGAGAGTGTCGTTCTCCTCTCACTTCTCGTGACGGCTCGATCGTGCTTCAAGACCCCTTCTGCAGCTGCTTAAAGCATGGACGACGATGGTGGCTTCTCGATATCATCGGCTCAGATTTTTGCTCTCATATGAGGCACGATGTTTCGTCCCCTCTGCACGGTTCTGTCTGTAGCACTCCTCGTCGGCCAGGCCTGTGCTTGGGCTGGTCCGAATTGTACTTTGTCACCGCTTGGCGCTGGTCAGGATGATACCGACCAGGTATGTTTTGCGGTGTCAAATGTGGGGATGGGCCCTGACGCACTTGTGGTACATTTGTGTGGTCCAGATTGAGGCCGCCATCAAGAAATGTGGTGATGGCGGTAACACGGTGTTTACGCCAGGTGAATACAACATTACTAGGTGAAGTTGTCTTCAGTTAGTTCTGCCGCCTTTTCATGACTTTAATTTTTTTAGGAAGATGACTTGGGACCTTCACTCGGCTAGGGTTGACCTGGAAGGCTACCTCAACGTAAGTCCGCAATTTCAACGTCTTGAGTTGAGACATTTACTCTACCATGCGTAGTTCAAGTTCGATCTTCCGTACTGGATGGACCCAGCAAACACGTACAGAGTGATCTTCATTCAAGTCCGTCTCCAATCTTCGAGTATCTCACCCCCGCCTGATGGTCTCTGTATAGAGCCAAGCTTCCTGGTTCGTCATCACCGGCAATGACTTCATCGTCGACGCGCACAACACTGGCGGCATCATCGGGAACGGCCAACAGTGGTGGTCTTGGTATGGCAACGGAACGCGCGACGACGGTGATGGCCGCCCCGTAGCGTTGTCGCTCGTAAACGTGACTGGCGGAACAATCAAGGACTTCCGCATTGATCATCCGCCGTTTTGGTGCAACGCCGTCGTGGATTCCAAGAACGTTGTATACGATGGACTGTGGACGAACGCGTCGAACTCGGACCCGCTGTATTTTAACCAGAAGTGAGTGTCGTGACTTTAATTTCTGTTGACGACCCGGTTTAATTCGCATCTGCAGCATTGTATGGAATACAGACGGTAAAGGAGTAATTGTGGTGAGCGTTGGAGTGAAGTCGCTGAACACACGCTGCGCAGGCATAGACACGTACCGTTCTGACAACATCACACTCATCAACTGGGATGTGCGTGTTTTCTACTCACATGGATCTGTGGTATGCCGCTGACATGCCTTCGCAGATCACGACCGGAGACGACTGCATTGCGATCAAAGGGGTGCGCAATATGTCTGCTGCGGTCACGGAGGAAGTCCGACGTTGCCATACAGAACTCTACGAACATATACGCCAAAAATATCACCTGCCACGGTGGGACTGGAATTGCATTCGGGTCCCTGGGGCAATACGCAGATCTTGTGAGCGTGGAGAAGCTGAGTGCACGTGTTGTGAACTTATTCCGGTAATATAGGTCGACAATGTCAACAATGTCGTCCTGGAAGACTTGACGGTTGGTCTGCAATTTTTACATGTGGATCATCATTTAACCTGTGCGACCCAGTTACTCCGTCCTGACCCCATAATCCAGCCTGATATGGTCCATGGAGTAAGCATGAGGCCTTGGCTTCGATAGAGCAAGAAAGTTTATGCTTTCATAGGTGTATTTCAAGTCGTGGACAGGCACGAGGATAGGTTTCCCCCCAACGGAAGGCGGTGCAGGCCCAGGTGAGTCAAACCATGTAGCGGGCCATTTACGGCGTTGAACGTTGTTGGTCAGGTATTGTCACCGGCGTCGAGATCCGTAACATGTACCTGGACAATGTCACGTATCCTGTGCAGTTGTATCAAACGAACTCTGGACATCCGTGCGTTATTGAACCCTCCGAACTGGATACTTCTTATCCATGTCTGCAGAGGCGATGCGCCATCAAAGCTGCAATTCGAGAACCTGTCCTTCTCGAACATCACCGGAACGGCGTCCACGAACCTTCGTATGTTACTTTCTGTTTTAGCTTCTGTCGATCCTGCACTCACCTCTTTCTGCAGTGGCCGATATACGATGCAGCTCTGCAGCGCCCTGCCCAAACATCACGTTCTCTGGCCTCAATGTGATGCCGCCCAATGGGGAGACGCCTGCGTACAACTGTTACAACGTTGTGAGCGGTTTGCAAGGATTGTCCGGTGAGCCATGCGTTTCGGTATCTTTTGAATAGGGATTGATGATGGGCGACAGCATGCAACACAACAATTGCATCGTGAGAGATGTTCAGCAGAGAAACCGAGGAATGGATGCTGCACCCAGAGGTATCGATTTGAACATCCCAATCTGATGAAGGCGGTGTTCCTGTTAGTTGGGGATGGCATGGACAGAATATAGAGGGACGGCGGACAGTTGGCACCTGTTCTGGCCACAACTTGAAGTCAGACGACTGATGTATCTCGTCGGCCGAATTTTTGTAAGTCTTTCAATGAAATGAAGTTGGTGCTGCTCGTGAGAGCAAGGCCGAAGGTGTGGTCATCGTCATGGTCGTGGTTGTGGGCATAAATAGTGAGCCTGGACCATACGCAGCTGAGCCTGGAAAACGAGGGAATACTGGAGATACCAAAATAAGATGTTGCTGTGGCGACAAGGGAGACGGCAGTGGCAGGCACGCAGCGCGGCAGTCAGCGAGAAGTGACAACGCCCGTCCGACATGCGCATATCAAGGTCTCTACTTCGCTCTCTTCCTTCCCATTCTCTTCTTCCTTGTCGTTCTCTCTCCTACGTTACTGTCCTTCACTGCAGGCCGGACCTCGCCTTTTATTTCCTGCGCAGGACGTCGACTACACTAGACTGACAAGCCATGGCTTCTACTAACTGGGTCAGACGGTCATCGAGCATGGACTTCTCAGATGGCAAACTTCCCCTCGACCAGCACCCCGACATGTCCTATTCCTATGATGGCGTACAGCCTAGCCACCTGCAGCGTAACAAGACAGAACGACGGAGGCTGCAGGGACTGCAACGCTCTAATACTATGGTGTCAGTGGCCAGCCCTACTGTACCCAAAGGGATGCGGCAAAAATTCCGTATCTGGATGATTAACGAGGGTGGAAAGAGACTTTTCTTCTACGTGTGGATATTCCTGCACGTACTTGTCGTCACTTTCGGTTTCTTGTATTATGATTTGAAGGACAACTTTGTCGGCGCTCGCAGTACCTTCGGTGTCACTTATCGTAAGTTCTGCATATATTCACGTGTAGTCTATGACGTTGACACTAAATGTGCAAATTAGCCATTGCCCGTACCGCTGCGCTAACTCTCCATGTGGATGTTGCGTTCATCCTCTTACCTGTCTGCCGCAACTTCATCTCGTTGATTCGTCAAACGCCGCTCAACCACTTTATTCCTTTCGATAAGAACATCACATTCCACAAAGCCGTCGCATGGTCAATTGTGTTCTTCACGTTCGTGCACATTGCTGCCCACATGGTCAATTTCTACCGTTTGGCTATGGCTGACTACTCCGCAAAAACGACCGGCCAACGAGTTGTGGCTTTCCTCCTGGCTAACTTCGCTACGGGTCCTGGCCTCACCGGTTGGATTATGACTGCTGCTCTGGCTATCATGGTCTTCTTTGCCCTCGAGAAGCGCCGTCGCGCTCACTTCGAGTGGTTCTGGTACAGTCACCACCTGTTCCTTGTCTTCTTCCTTGGGTGGCAATTGCACGGCATGTTCTGCATGATCCAGCCCGACCGTCCGCCGTTCTGCTCGTGGCTTCAGATCGGTGTCTTCTGGGTATGTGGCCTCAGTCAATTTCTTGTGTTTCATTTCGCTCATTGGATCATTACAGCGCTATTGGCTTGTTGGCGGTCTCATCTACACGTACGAGCGCATCCTCCGCGAAGTTCGCTCTCGTCACAGGACGTATATCTCCAAGGTCATTCAGCATCCGTCTAATGTTATGGAGATCCAGATCAAGAAAGAGAAGACTACGATTCGCGCGGGCCAGTACATCTTCTTGTGCTGCCCCGAGGTGTCGCTCTTCCAATGGCACCCGTTTACTCTCACTAGGTACGGTGTATACCTGCCTCGAATGATATTTATCAGCGCTGAGTGATACTGTTGGTGGGTTTCATAGTGCCCCTGAGGAAGACTTCATCTCTATTCATATCCGAATTGTGGGCGACTTCACGCGCGACTTCGCTGTTGCACTTGGCTGTGACTTCGATTCGAAGGGCAACGGTGGAAAGAGTGAGGCTGGCGGCAAGATTATTGGGGCGGCTATGGACGCACCCATCAACCGCGTTCTACCTCGTGTCATGGTTGATGGTCCATTCGGAAGTGCCAGTGAGGACTTCCTGAACTATGAGACTGTTTTGCTCGTTGGTGCTGGTATCGGCGTCACCCCCTTCGCTTCGTGAGTTGTTCTCGGACACAGAATTCTGCAGGTTACTAAGCATACTTCGTCAGGATCCTCAAGTCCATCTGGTACCGTATGAACAATTTTAACTCTTCCAAGCCGACCCGTCTGTCTAAGGTACGGACGATTTCTTCTTGGCTCTTCCCACTGCTGACAGCATTTTGGCAGGTGTATTTCACGTGGGTTATCCGAGACTTCGGCAGCGCGGAGTGGTTCCACTCCCTCCTGGAGGCCATTGAGGAGCAGGATACGCAGAACAGGATTGAGATTAACATTTATCTAACCGCAAAAATCAAGGAGGACGACATGAACAATATCATTGTGCGTCGATGCGTTTATCGTTGTGGCGCGGTCACATTGACCCATTTCTGTATGCCACAGGTCCAAGATGTCGGCGCTGAGAAGGATGCGGTTACCTCGCTCCGAGCCCCGACGCACTACGGGCGGCCCAACTGGGACCGCGTCTTCGGTTCTATTACGGAGAAGCATCCAGAAACCGATGTCGGAGTGGTAAGTCCCAGGCCGCCACTTTTGACACCTGCTCAGTGATAACATTTTCGATGTGGTTCAGTTCTTCTGCGGCCCGGCTACGCTGTCTCGGCAATTGCATATCTGCTGCAACAAGTTCTCCACGCCTAAAGGGACGCATTTCTTCTTTGGCAAAGGTACGTTCTATTGTCGCTGTTCGTGCATTCTTCGCCCCTCACAGAATTCCTGGTGGTGCCCAGAGAATTTCTAGGGATGGTCATAGTTTTCAAGACGTGTGTTGGTCGATTGGACATTTCATTAAGTCGTGTATTAGTAGTCTCGGTCTCCTCCGCGAGCTTGCTCCCGTCGCTCTTGGCTCGTCGTTTCGCTGACTATTTAATGTTTCTTGTCGTAGAGTACCCATTCGCAGTAGGTAATTGGACACTTTTTTCCAGGTGACAAGGAGTGCGTTTTGACAGCAAATGAGCACATGTTACCTGTGCGGCTATCACGCCACCCCAGAAAGTATTAGGCAGGATGGCCCTGCGCAACTGCGAAGAGCCATTCAATTCGCGGGGTACCGTCTGTTCCGTATCTCTCAGTGTTATCCTGACATGTTGCGTGTGGTCCAAGCCCTCCAGGTTCAAGCGCCTCTTCGATAACTTCAGGAGTCGAGCGCACAATTGGCTAGCATTCACATTCGTAACATACTTCCAAGTCAAACATGTCTGTCTGAGACAGGCGCTTTAAGGATTAGCGATGTTACGTTGTTGGTGGACACTGGATCGATATCGCGCTGCTCGACTTACGTTACCCTTGCTGATAGTGGGACGGTGAGTATTTTGCATACCCGGACACTGTCCGGGATCTACACTATCATCATGACATCAGCACCAGATGTAAGCGAGCGGACGTTCCACTTGGAAAACTCGAATCGCGGGATGGGCTTGCCTTCAAACCAGACAGGGAAGGTGAAAGGGTACACCAGTCCCGTCGTTCGATTCAGTCAGCGCGAAGCAGGTCCGCAGAGATATGTTGGTGAGCTGACTTTGACGAGAGCGGGAACAGAGAGCCACACGTCGAATCAGAGTACTGAATCGATCTGTCGTGTTCATGGCTGGCAGGGCACGACGGGTACATGCCGCAGCCACCAGGACCGCCCGGCCTTAATAGTTGCAATCTCTAGGCTCTGTGAGAAGCCGCACACACATTGACATATTCTGGCAAACCGGTAATGTCGCTGCAGAGAAAGGTCCGCACTGCCTGCCTCTCCGTTGGAAGACTGTTCATTTACCACCTGATCATGTCGCGCATCGTTGATCTCGTGCTGGAGGGCTCCCATTACGCAGGCACCGTCAGGGACGTCTGGCGGCCATCATAAGCCAAGCAATGATGTCTGACTGGAGAGCCAGGCCGTCCTGGTCAGTTCATCGAAGTGGATCCGGACGTCGGTCGATCAAATGGACGAGGCCGGCACAATGGTTGAGATCATATCTTCTGCCGCATACCGTATGTTTTGACAGTCTCCGAGGCGCATCATAACGGTCTATTCTCTGGATAGCGGGACTTGTATGCCGGTGGACCTACATCGTGACATGGGACTACGTCGGTACCACTAAATGTCATCCTAGTGCGTACAGCTTAGCACCATCATTCGGATTTCGCTTCTGGATGCCCACTCTGCGCGGCGCATCTGAAGCTCTCGCGAGATATTTCCGCTGGGTGAAATATGACGAAGCGGTCCAGACTTCTCCGATTCAGACGGCTGTGGTACCCGTGGTCGCTGTTTGTGCGTCTTCGCCCGCCGTGCAGGGCTTCGTGATGGTCGTCCATTCTGTGATTTCCTTGAAATGCACTGTGAGCTCTCAGAACCGTTATTATGTCGGCTTTTTGTTCGATTTTCATATTCTCTGCAGTTCCAGCCTCTCTACGATTGTTTCTCGAGATTCCGATGAGTCACAAGCCATCTGTGGGCACCAGGCTTGTAGAAGTAATTTACCTGAATTTACCAGATTCCTCGCGAGGTCACTTCCATCCAGGATCAGCAGAGCAGCATTTCGGTCCCGGACATGTTACGGGAATTCGAACCCTACCACTTAGACTCAGCACGAAGATAAGGGATAGCAATTCGCGGTGTCTGCGAAATAATTTTGCAGGCCCGTTAGGGTTAGCGGCTTCCACAGCGTGTGAACCCGTGGGAGACAAGAGGTTCGAGGTTTTGGGCGCGTTCTGATTGTCTCTCACAGGATGATGCAACTGGGACTGCAGAATAGTGAACTTCGTGCACGCTTAAGCAGCATGGCATACGCGTGCGCCGCGGTATCTTATCAATTCAACTTAGGATGACTTCATAGGCAACATCCACCAGGAAATAGCGCAAGCGTGCCGCTGCGGCCTGAGGTGTCCGAGAGATAAGTGTAATGTGGACCGTTTCGGCGATCTGCACCAGCGCGGCACTTGCTGACATGGAGCCTTTCTTGGGTATTCGGTGAGTAGCCTTCCATCTCCCGTCGAGCGTGCTTTTTTGTACGTCCAGTATACTGCAGCTGACCGATCAGGCCGCCACCGCAGTAGAGTTCCAGCGGGATCACGGCTGGAGTCCCGGGAATGTCTGTATGCAAAACTCAACACGCCATTCTACTTACCCAGTGCGTTTGGACGACTCAACGCCCCGCCCGCCCGAGCGGAGTTGAGTGGAACTGCACCAGCTGACTCAGAATGTGGCGGCTGAGGACCATCCGATGATAGCGTTGGGTTGTGTAGCTGATCGTCTGTCATACACAACTGTTGCAGGTGCGGCCCCTGGAGAAAAGCTCGAAAAGTCAAGGATCCTTCGAGCCTGAGCTAGAAGTAATCAGCTAAGTGCTAGACTGTCCAGCCACCGTAAGCGATTAGTCGTGAAGTTGGCAACGGCGAGGTGTAGCATCGCAGAGGATCTACACGAATACGGGAAGACGGTTAGTTCCGCAGATATGATCAAGGCACGATGCGGGTGGTTGCGATCAATGCGCGCATCTTTTCCAAGGTCTCCGTTACTTGTTGTATCACCATGTACAGTTTCGCGGCTCACCGCTTTCCCTAGTTCGCCGCGTTGCTGAACAACCATTCCAACCGCCCATTATCCCGCATTTTGGGGTAACAATTGCTCAAAATGGTGCGCAAGTTTGCGGTCCCATGAGATTCAGATTCGGACGAGTACAAGCGGCCCCGTCATCTATTTTCCACCCATCGCACTGTTCGCCATATAAGCGTCCCCTGGCTCTGATCCTCCAACGTTTCCCAACCCCGATCACATTCGTACCCCCTGTACTTACGTTAAATGACGCCGTCACCTTCGTTGTCCACCGCTCGTGCTTCCTCCGAGCAGCGTTCCGTGCACTCTGACAGACCTGAACGCTCTCGGAATGCTAAAGGCAAGCAGTTGTTTCGAGCCTTACCCGCTCGTCACTGACTATTATACAGCCCAAGCCAGGCACCGTGCAAAGCGAAAGGCATACATTGAACAGGTAAGATTTGTGGCGGTCTTCAAGGGCGCAATGCTGATCAAATTGAGGTTGCAGTTGGAACAAACAGTGACGAAGCTGCAGACAGTGCTAGCACTTTCGCCGGACCAGGTGGCTGCGCTGCCTCCGCCTCTGCTCCGAATCCGTGAATTGGAGCAGGAAAATGAGCTCCTCCATCGCGAACTGGACGAGCTGCGCCAACAGGTCGAATTGCGCAATGCGCAATTGCGACCAGACGTCAACCGTCGCGAACACTTCGCGGTGAATGATGACCGTCGCTCGGAGCGCGATCTCAGACGCAGGAGGACCGTTGAGTCCGGTGATATCTATCTAGTAGGTCCAGCCGTCTGCATATCCTGTGCGCAACCGACCATCTATCTTCGCAGCATTCCAATGAGCCTCATTCACATAGTCCACCGCCTCCGCTGATGATACCCTCCTCGACTCACTTTTCTCAACATTCGCCACAGGCGATACCATACCCTAAATCCCAGTCCTCTACACTTTATCCTTCGTATGGACTGTCTTACCAGATGCCTGGCACTCCGTCGGGATCGAGTACTACTAGTGCTTCAAGCCCTTCGTTCTCGGCGAGTGTTTTTCTGTATCCTGTGACCCTGCTGCAGGCCTCTGCATGCTCAGAGCACGGACTCGGATCCTAGTGACATTCTGTTCGACAGCCCTCTGATTACATGCCCTCGCCACACTCTCAACATCGGGCCGCGCCGTCACCGATTTCTAACGTGCTGTCGCAGTACTCACACACGCCTACTCAGTACGAACTAGTCAAACTTGAAGAAGACCCCTACTCGGTACGTTCTCGTGCCCTGCACTAGCTCCGGTTGGGCTGATGGCGTACTTGGCGAACAGCGTCATAATGTGCCTCACGCGAACGGCTACAGCGTTTCTTTGCCTCCTTTTGCCTCCAACCAGCCGGCTCTCAATCACTGGCACGCGTACTCGTCAGAACGAGCGTGACTGCATAGCATACCCTCGGACGTGTGGCCTATCGTGTAGTGCTTTCGTCTGCTATGCGTCCGTTGCTTTGTCCATGCTTTCTCATAATGTATTATGTTCCATGTGCTATGATGACATCCATACCCTTGCAATGCTCCTCAGCAGACTGGCTACGGGGAGTAGGTGCAGTGACTCCGGTAACCGGAGCTTGGGTTGCTGATACACTCTAATCAGATTACCGACCATGCGCGCCGAACGTCGACCTGCCACTTTCCGCTACGCGTTCACATGCGTAACAACGAGGCGTCGTCTTCTTCCAACTAGGCTCATTATGGTCCTGCAGATGAGTCCGGGACGACTGGCTACGCTTTGATGCATCAATACCTTCGACGCCTTCTCCCGGCCGTCGGACCGCTCAACTACAACCTCGACATCTTCTGCGGTGGTTTGCGAGAATTACCATTTTTGACGCTGACGGTTTCTAGATCTGTTTGAGGTATTGAATTGAAGTTGACGACAAGCTGCAGGGCAAAGCGACGTGACAAGACCGACTTGATAGGCGCGTCGAACTTCGCGCAATTTTCATTTGATCTGACCGTCTTCTTACCGACTTTCCTTGCAGGGACGTGGAGGATCCTTACAATACCAAAGACTTGCTTTCTACGCACTAGCTGTTCCTGGCACTTAATTCAGGAGAGATTGCCGTTCCCCGAAACCCATATTTCCTCAGACTTGCAGCGCCGTATTAAGTTCGGCGTCTTGACGGTCTCTTACCCGCTTCGGCATACTTACACCCAAAGCCTGAACGGCCTTCATGCTGGCAGGAGGCTGCAGAGAACCTTCCGGTTTCCCCTCAGGCTCTCCGTCTCCTTTTCTACGTGGACCAACACACCCGCTGACAGGAAAGCGCATCCGGCCGACAACATCGTGACCTTGGTGCTCTGTGATCGGAGTCTTTTGCGCGCAACTTAATCTCCTGGTATTTTCCGCTATGGCCACCGTCTCCCCTAGATTGCTCAGCACGGAGCTGCGTGCTCTCCCCCGGGTATCACGACTTTGTCGCTCTCACGACATGCTGCATGGCTGGTCGCGGTGCTCACGGCCGTTTTGCATCCGCGGGTGACGCCCGTTTGTCTTGCTGAGCTACTTCTATGCATATTGTGTAGATACCCCGCTCCTGGGAGCGGCGACCAACTCAAGGTTAGTATGTCTGAATACAGTTGTGTTTCGATATCGAGCGGTGGGTTCGGACTCATGATCGGCTGGGCAGAATTTGGGGTTTGTCCACTCCCGGCCACAGAGCACGTTCTCCTAGATTGTAGCATGACCTCGAGTCTCTACTGTATCAGTTAGTACACTGACAGATCGATGTTGTGTGCAGCCGAGCGCTGTTTTTGCAGACACAGACGCAGAGCCAACATGCCGCCATCACAAGAAATAACGATAATTATAAATGGATTTTTTTTTGCCCTGCTCCAAACATCATGCACGTGTGAATCACTTCTCCCGCTTGAGTTGCAGCCTCTTAGGAGGGCGAGTCAGAAGCGGGTGCCGGGGTGAGCTTAAAGACTCTGATATCTATCTCTTAGAATTCCTAGTACAGTAAGAAATGGGAGCTGCGAAAGTCATGCCAATTGCGCCGTGACATGACGCGCTCTCGTGTTGACGCGTCCTGTCACAGAGGGGTGCCGGTGACTTTTGCCCGCACAATGGATCATAGTAGAGGCTAGCGACGGAGCCTGCTGATACTGACGCACATCCAGGACAACTAACTGTCCCGCAACAACTACAGCAATAATTCAGGACAATCATTGATCTGGCTAATCTGCTGAAGCTCACCCGAGACTTATACATTTATACAGATCACCCGACAAAATATTGCTATGGTCACACAGAACTGCACAGATCGTGAATGCTGCATCTGGAGGAGCAGCAATACGGCACAGCTTGTCAAGGAGAATAAAAAACACGTATAACGCATCCAGAGTGCCCGGATACAAAGCGCCCCAAACGACTGGAGTTCTGTCTCACTAAATCAATCAGACGAAGAGCAAGAGTCAACTACGGCACAATGTATCAAGGAAACCGTCGTAGAAAAGCGGAGTGCCTCACAGCACCTCCGTGGGCAGCCCAGAGAGACTTGGTGACATTGGCGTGTCAGGCTGAGTACTCCACGGCTGTCGTTTGGTTAAGGCTTCTTGCGTAGAATGTACGCCGAGGCGCGTGCCCTTGCTGCGACTACCTGACGGTTGGACACAAGTTCCTTGAAGAGAGCGATATGACCGAGATGTCAAGTCGCACAGGTAGGTCTGGAGCATTACCTGCACTGGAAAGATCTGGAAAACCAAGCAGAATGCAAGCGGTGCGAGGACGGCAAGGCGAGGGCCACGTTGTTCAAGCGGGACCCGAAGAATACAAATGTTGTGCGAGCATTGCGCGGTTGGTCCAGGGAAAAACATATCAGATGCCGCCTACCCTTCGTACTCGTCAGTGACCGGGAAAGCCGGAGTAAGAAAAATGAACCGCAGCATCAGCATCGCGCGCTGAAGGACAATGACGCTTCCTAATCATTTGCGCGATGACCCCGAATTTGCGCCCGTATCAACCTTCTGCGGTCGCAACCGGAATTTGAATACATGCCCTTCATGTGAAATACATGCATGCGTTTTTTTGCGCCCCGGTCGACGGAAATGACATTCAGAAGAGCTTACGAAGGATTGAATATATCTGAGCTCGCTGCATAGCTGGGAAAACCGCTGCTTGATGGTCAAAACCCCCGCGTATCACGCATTTTAACGGAGGAAGAAGTGATTACCAGTGCTGACCCTGCAAGTCCAGGCGTCCATGACCACGAAATTAAATCGAATACTGACGACGAAGAGAGTACAGCGACTTGCTGACATTATTCTGAAAAGACTTGCCAAATGCCGGCACTCGGTGAGCCCCAGCACCAGACTCGTGCGAGAGGAAGCTTCAGGGTGCAACATTCGGCCGAGACAGCGGAGCGCTTCGCATACCGCGGCTGATGGTGTATCTCTCCGGTGAAGAAAAGGAGATAGCGGGAGGGAGCACTCTGTAGGGTCCGCAAAGGCGATATTTCGATTTCCAGTGGTCATCGAAGCACCCGGAAACGTGTGGTGCATTTGCAGCTACATAGCTCCCAATTTGAGGAAAATGAGACAATGAGGGCGCAACTGACTTGCTGTACAGCTTGCAAACATTGGACGTCAATTTCGTGTCACAGGCAGTTGACGTTAGAGCCAGATTACATGACAAACCTGTGAAGTCGCACTAGTCATTGAGCCAAGTTCTCTCTACTTCACGCCAGGCGCCACCAGCAGTCAAGCAGCAAGCTCGCTGTTCGCCACACCATTGTAATTGCAGACTTGCAAGTCGGGTAGGGTGAAGTTCAGAAGTGAAAATGCATTTGATCCGACAGACACGTTGATGACGCGCTCGACCTCGAGGTGTCAAGTCACGTACAACCGCCGCCTTGTTCTTCCTTGTACGATGAGTCCATTATTGGCAGTCTTTGCCATGCGAACACAAAAGCTTCAACGCGTTATGATAGCATGAAAGTTAAAGAGACAACTACCCAAGCCCAATGCACCTAAGAAGCATCAGTCTTGCTTTCCTCGTATCTGAAAGGAAGAACTGTCATTTGCACTGATATCAAAGTCGACTCAATCAGAATCAACCCACAGTCAACTTCGCCACTTGAATTCGCACATACCTGGTTTGAGTTGCTTGCCGAAGCTATACTTTCGGCCCACGTATCGCGGTGCGCTAGAGGCTCATCGCCATCAAGGCTTGATCAAACAACAAAAAATGTTAACTTAAGAGACACGCTTAGGGAATCAACGATGGATACCTTGGTGCAGACAAGGTGCTTCTGGGTACGATTCCGCCCTGGAGACCTATCCACCCTACGCTGATGCACACAGAGCCGCAGATTCGCGGAACTCGCCACTCAACCTGAGACCGTATCGGGTTTTCATGAATTCAGGTCATCATGCCAATGTCTGCATAGTAATGTCGGATGAAAACGCTATCCGCCACGGCGAGAACACAGTACTCACTGGAAACGTATGGCAGTATTGATGATCTCGAGACTCTTAATGATGCAGCTATATGGGCGTACCACGACCGCTTGTCGATCAATCACTAACTGCGCATAGGTCGTCCGGCTGGGTGTGGAGATGATGCAGGATTCGTCATGTCGCCGGCAATATATGTCCATTGACCCGCGCTGACGCCACAGGATTCAGAACATGGTGCGGGGGTGGATGGGGCAAGAACCTGGATCATGATGTTCAAATCAAGGAACACTGATATCTCCGGTTTCATCATCTCCGTGTCTGTTCTTTCTCTTGTTACAAACAGCCGCTTGAAAACCTATAGGCCCCTGATGAAAAACCGCGTTGGATGGGAAATAAATTAACGACCACTGATTAGCGAGCTCTCACTCTCCAAGTGTTTGGAGAGGTGCAGTTAGCGGCGAGGCTGGCATGGGTTTTCGAAACCTGCTTGTTTGATGTCCGACTTATGGCCTAATTTATTGCTGGGGCCTATAGTTTTGCACACAGCTATAGTGTGAGGTTATAATAGGCCTGCATATACCCATGATTGAGAAAAGTCTTAATGCAGCAACGCTCGAGAGGAAGTATGACATACGCACTAATATGATCATGGTATCTAACGCCATAAGCAAATAGCCTTCGCCACGAATTCTGAACCAACGTTCACAAAAGTTTTATGAGGGACAAGCGCGGAACGCGACTCGGAACGAAAGGAGCGAAGGATACAAGTCATCAACACTTTGGCCAAACAAAATGAATCGATGATGCCACTCATCATGACCGAATCGCGCAAAGTACGTCCTCCGCTTTGACCAGAGGTAGCTTGATAAGAGACAAACTACCCAAGATGCTTCCTCCGTGCCCTGGATGTTTTTGCAGATGATACCACCACGTCTTCACCACTTCCGACTGAGCTGCATTCTTGATAGGGACTGCAAGTAGGGGAGAAGGTATACATCACGTCTTGGCTTAGATAGACACCAAACGGTTTACAGGAAATGTCGTCCGAGATGCGTAGGCACTCCGAGAAGACCTTGGAATTTGAATTAGACACGATGATGATGAATATGATGAGCGACATAGCAGCCTGTGTGAGTGCGGACGTGAAGCACGAGCTTGGGCAGCAAGACCTTAGTCGTTAAAGAACTCAGAAAGAGGTACGAGAAAATCAACAGCCGAAAACACGGGGTCACCCGGACCCAGAGCGCGAAGTGATGAGGACTAAGGACCTGGAGGAGTGGCCAAACACGGACGCTTAGCCGACAGTACGAGAGGCCATAACTGTGAATATTCCGGCGCTCAAATTCACAGCAGGATATCCCGCTTGGTGACCAAGAGAGTTAGGTTTCTTGGAGCGCCGTATCAGTATTCAATGCAGTACTATATCTCGTTCTCCATTACACGGCCGCGACGTGAAATTTTGGAAGAGGAAATACGGTCAAAAAGGGGGGGGGGGGTTCGACTGAAGTGGTCCATAGTACGAATAATGCAACGCAACGTAAACGGCGGAACGCTGATTTATCGTATGCCGTCATTAAGCAGTACGCCGGAAAGCGTAAACGCGAATATGAGAACCTGCAAACGTTGGGTTCAGACTTCGCAGACCAGTGGTTCATGACAAACAAAACACAAACGACAGAGCGTCAGCTTACACAGACGTAAAGTTACAGCACAGAATCTAATACCCACATTCCAAGCCCTCTGCGCGAACGCGAATGCGAACGAAAGCTCCCTATGATTGCTAATCACGACCTTCAGGCTGCATGACAGCGCATAACTTGGTTGCGTCCTGGGTGAGGATCCTTCCACGGCGGGATTCCAAAGCGGAATTAAGGATATCATTCCAAATTGGGCGAGTCAGAGCTACCGTGGCGAGACCACCAACCACGTATACACATAATAGGATGGATCAGATAACCCATATTCTACCCGTCACCACGGAGAGGCTTCGACATTCGATGTCCAGACAGACGAAGATTTTCGCCATGTTCATCGGCCCGAGATTGGTAGATAATTCACATGGAGATATTGACCTAATGTGTGTGCACAAAGCTCACGCATAATCTGTTCATCAGAAATTTCCAAGTGACTGGAGGTTATGTGTGTTAACGTCGGGGAGAAGACGGATTAGCCGAAAAACTAACATACGGTGCGAGCCAGGGAGGTGATCACCGGTCGGATGCCGTCCGGCCTTCAGTAAATTTCATAGCAAGTGATTTGAAGGACCACATTCGGTGACAGCATAAGTTCCATGTCTTGATGGAAATATGTCCTAATAAGCTGCAAGTAATGTATCACGCCTGTTGACATTGACAGGGCAAAGGGTGCTCACACTGCAATTGCGGAGGAAAATCGCATACAACGGCGTAGTTTACAAAGCAGAAATTCTGGCCCAACAACAATGCACATCCAGGCGCCAACCCGGCTCATCAGATAAGACGACTGCTCTAGTGGGCGCCGCAGGGCGAGCAGGGCCCAAGTAAAATTAGGCAAACAGGTTCCGATTATCGTGGTGCTGCATCAGACCTCATGTAGCGTGGTCATGAGTGGGGGGAGAGAAGCGAAGAGAGTTCGGTTGAGACATCGGAGCGCTCCATGATTAGTCCCAGATAGAATATCTTTGCAGCGGCAAGTAGCGCAATATGAGGATACAGAAAGAGCGCAGTGCATTGCAGTAGCATATTCTTCTGGTGGCACACGGTTCTACCCGATATCGGATGGAACAATATACAGAGACATGCGCGCACTGGCAGGCTGCCCGGGACGTGTTGCTTGTGATTGATATAGATCTGAGTAAATAGGAACAATCATTATCAAGCAGGACTCACCGACATGTTAACCTACTAGTGGGCGAGCGGGACCATCGGGTGGTAAAGAAACGTATGAGAATCCTGGACAGCGGCCTGACGGATTTCGTCAACAGGCGTCGCGATCAACTTGCATTCGCTTTTATACAAGCGTTCCACAGCCTGGAAGTACAGACGACCCAAGAGCATAGTCAGCCGGAAAGTATTTGCGACCTGCAAGCGCAGACGGTCTGAATTCAGGACTTTGAGACGTGGTAGTGGCAAGCCAAGAATTAGTTGTGGCAGTTGTGGGCGCCGTTGCCCGACGACTTCCATTTACGTACAGGGAAGCCGATCACTTCTACGCTGCCGACAGAACTTCGCCCAACCTCCAACCGCGTGCAGTGAGTTACCTCCATTCCTCATCAGTCGTACGCCCACTAATTATGGGGGATTTGGCCGATGTTAATCAAGGACAGGCAAATCTCTCGAGGAAGAGTGTGTCTTTATGGAACACTGAACATTACAGGATAACCGTCTCTTCCCATGGCCATCCGTCGAGTCAGGGTACCGCAGCCAGAAAGCACAGCCCCAGACCGACCAACAGACGTAAGGACGGCGTCTTCACCCGCTAACTTTCTACCCTTCGCCAGCTACACCTCAGTGACAGGCGTGCACACCAGTCTCCTCGCCTTCACAGCCCTCTTTCTGCCCAGGACCTCTGTGTCCTTCCTCACAGACCTCTACCCCTGGCAAAGCAAACATACACCCATTGCCAGCGATGAACCTCACCGTGCACTCCGTCTGCTTACGGAGAATCCCACGCGGACCGTCGCGTGGATGTGCGTCGGTGCAATTGTGGTGCAGACGTGGTGGGCGAGTTGGCTGCGTGGGTGGATGATTGAGGAGAGAACGCGCGGCATGGCTGAGGGGAATGCGGCGGAGCAGACGAAGCAGAAGCTCCAGAGGAAGCACTGGGACGACCTCCGACTGGCGGTGTGTGTCTGGCTTCGGACGTTGTCCTTGCTGTTAATTAGCTTTGACCCTTCGGTGTATAGGCTTTTGGAAACGCAATTTTGACCACTCTCGTTGTTTCCACCATATACTACATCTTGCTGGTCCTCTTTGGAGCGCCGATAGCGAGGTGAGTGTCTCTTCGAACTTCGGCTTTCTTGCTGTTCCTAACGCTTCATATGTATCTCAGCCATCCACTAGAGACTTCCGCCCTTGCACTCCTTCTCTCCCTCCTGACTTCGTTCACATCTGCATATGTTCTCAGCCCTCCCTCTCTCAGAGCAGACTCGGAAGCGCTTGTAAGCCGACTGACCTGGATCCGCCTTTTCGCAGAGCTCTCGTGAGTTACCAACCCCCTTCGTTCAACCTTCTCGAAATTTCAACCGCTATTCATTGCGCATCTGACTCGCAACCAGCCCTAGAACTCCCATTGAAAGGGCTATCGTGTATCCTGCCGCAGGTACGCTGATTGGATGTTGGTCGGGCGCTATCCCGCTTGGTCTCGACTGGGAGCGGCCATGGCAGGTATGCCTGCTGGCTGAATAGTTCCCGTGGGACGTTGTTGACGATCGCATTTAGGCATGGCCTCTGCCTCCCGCATACGGTGCCATTGGCGGCTACATCGTTGGCTCTCTCAGTGCCCTGGTTGTCAGCGCCATCACACAGCTCGCCGATGCATACTTGGTATCCAACGTGACCCCTGCATCGGAGCCAAACAAGAACCGCAGGCAAAGACGTCGAAAACATTTCTAATTCGTCTATCTAAAACAACATCTATACGAGTCTGCTGCATCCGCGCATGGAACATCGGGCTTGGTTATGAGATAAGCACACGGAAATCGCCAAGAGATTCTGTCACGTAGTCGGGGACAGTGGATGAGGGATTCGGACCAAAGACCTCCGCTTCTTTCGCGATACCTGAGGTTACAAGATTCAGAGCTAGGTAAGGGGCAACACGGGGAATTTCCTCACCCGTCAGGACCAGCAGCGTTGCGAGTCCACCGTTCTTGCCGAACTCGATGTCAGTATTCAGCCGGTCGCCGACCATAATCGTCCGCTTCGGGTCATAATCATGTCTCACCAATTCAGCGTCAGCGTCGTTGTCCTCCACAAGGCAAACAAACTGCTCACTTCGCCCTGATGCAATCGAGCATCGTCCCCGCGGGCTTGCCGATGCTGATGGGGTCACGGCCGAGCGAGTAGCGGAGCGGAGCGCTGATTGAGCCCGCACCGGGTAGGAGGCCCTCCGCAGTCGGGAACGTGCTGTCGGTGTTGGTCGCGAGGAACACGCAGTCTTTGTTGCGCAGGAGGTGGTTGAATGCTTTTGAGAGCTTCTTATAGTTCACGTGCGTGTCCAGCCCGCACAGCACCGCGCCGACGCTCGGATCCGTCGTAAAGTCTGCGAGCGAGTATCCACCGAGTACGTTGTCGTCGGGGTCCTGTAAATGCGTGAGCGGGAACCAGGAATAAGGCGATGGCAACTCACAGTACCGCCTATGAAGGAGATGCCCTCCTCGCGTAGCTCCTCTTCCAGCCCAGACATACCGACCACGTATACCTTCTTGTCCTTTGGGAGCTTAAGCACCGACGAGATGTACACCGCTGAGGCGAACGCGGACCCGAAGATTTCGTCCTGTGCGTAGGTCGACGTCGTTTCATGAGATCCAAAATGAACGGCTACGAATTCGAGGTGCTCACAACGTGCGCCTCAACACCGAGCCCGTCAAACTTCTTCATGTAGTTCTTCCGCGACTTCGTCGCGTTGTTCGTCACGAACATCACGGACTTCTCTTGTCCGCGCGCGCAGGCACACCACAACTCCGATCAGCCCAGCATGTGGGGGACGAAAGCCGAGAACAATGTGCGTACTGTGCGTCCGCAAGAAATGCAGAACCTCCGTAATACCCTCGATCAGGGTATCGCCCTGCCACAGCACGCCGTCGCAGTCGAAGAGCCAGGTATCGTATCTGTCTACCAGGTTTTCATAGTCTTCTCGGGTGGTGAGGCGCGTGGCGGTCGGAGGAAATCCAACAGTCATGCGCGGATAATACAAGCGGGTATGTAGCAAGGTCAAGTTTCGATTGTCGACCCCGCGAGGATGATATACGCGCCAGACGTGAAAGGTCAGTGACGGTGCTGAAAGAGATTGCTCAGCATTCCAAGTCAAAGATAATCGGATTACTACCATGAGCGCCTAGATGTGGGTGTATGTACACTGACGCAAATTTCTGGCCGACTGTCCCCTAGTGCGCATGGACGGCGTGCAGCGAGGGAAACTGTGCAGGAATGCACTACCGTCGACGAAGGGATACCGCATAACAACCTCATCGGTCGTAGTTTTGGTGGTCATAAGTAAGCAGTATACATGTATGCATGGCAGAGAACGGTACATCGCAAATCGAATAGAACACCTCCGCCAGGAGCCCCAACACTCGCCCCACCTCGTCGCCGCTCCTCACACTACGCGGGGACTCGCCCAACAGTTCGCGCAGGAGTTCGCGCAGGAGTTCGCGCAGGTAGCCACTCTACTGCCTGCCGCCAGCCTTCTGCTGAGACTTGATCACCTTCTTGACGATCTTTGCTTCCTCGAGCAAGAATGCTCGGAGGATGCTGTGGATGAGTGAGCAGGGAAAGCAGGGAAAAGGGTGGAAGGGAACATACCGCTGCTTAACGCAGTCACCGCATCTTGAGCCGCCGTACGCCCTGCGGACGGTCTTCTTTGTTTTGGAGACAGTCGCATATTGGCGTGGGCGCAGTGCAATAATCTGTACACAAAGATAGCAGATGACCGGTGTAAACTGAGGCCTAACTTGAGTGGACTAAGGTAGAACGTACACCGGGGAGTGCAATTCCACAGTCTCCGCACTTGGGCGCAGTGGCAGGTTTTTTCAGGTGGTGGTAGACGAGCCTGCCACCTGGCGTCTTGACTACTCGTCGGCGGTTGGAGGTGGTGTTGTAGGGATTGCGCTTGCGGAGAGTGACGCGTTGGGCCATTGCTGGATCTGAAAATCATGCTATCAGTATAGATTTTCGCCCATTCTTTCACCCCAAGTAACATCTGCCCCTCAGACAACACCAGCGACTTCTAAGCCGTCTTCCAACATCGACGCGACCGCTCATACCGCAGCAAAATCGACTCCAACAAATGCAGCACAAACTGGACTCACCTTAACGGCCGAGAGACGCCGGAAATGTCTATGAATGTCAGTTAGTACACCTTCGAGAGCTACGGTTGCAGCGATTCGACACACCTTGATCTTGATTCTTGAAGTTGCTGAGCCGGCGCCGACGATATATCCGATGCGCTAAACAGCGCGTGGCTTGGAAACTGTACAGTACCCGGCAATTGCCGGATTCTCACGCGGATTCAGCGGTTCACCTGATAATCCCCTTAGAGCTTTGATCCCTACGGCCAACTTTTTCGGGGGTCAGCAATAGCCATTTTCGGGGATTTTTCACCTAACCTCCCGGAAAATTGGCCATTTTCGGGCCAAAATGGGATCGGACCTCTGCCACAAAAATCGCCCAAAAATCGTGTCAAGGCGTGGTCAGGAACTCAGCAGCGGGCCGACAGATGCCGACACTGCCCCGGCTGAGCAAATTCGGGGATTGCAACATCGGACCTAAGGTCAAATTGGCCCTTTTCAAGGCTGTTTTGCACCTAACTTTTGGACACATTTTGGCCCTTTTCTGGGGTTTGAGATTGAACATTTTGCCTCTGGCGGCCCATTTTTCAGTGATCTTGGGATCAAAGCTCTGGGAGGATTATCAGTGGTCCTTTCACGGGGGAGTCTCCTTATACTATGCCAGACCATTCAGTCGGCACACCTCCCTACTTGGCGCACCATATCTAGGCAAAAAATATGCATTATGCGAGACCAGGTGCCCACAGCCAAGCCCAACAGTGCTCTCTGATTGGTGGAAACCCTGAAAGTGCCGATTAGGGGGGTGTGCCGACTGAGCAGTCTGGCATAGTAGTGGTAGGGTGGTTAGGTCCTAGCAGAGTTTGAAAAACCTAACCTACCGGCGCGGGCGGCCGCACATCACGTGCCTACTCAATGCGGCAGGCAACCTGCCCCAAATGGTATTTATGATGTAAGCACATACCTAAGGTTGGGCACTGCACCATGGTTACTCAAACTACCCACTCTGTGGCAAGTTTTAATAAAAATTAGTGTCCATAACTGAGTGCTCTATATGCTGTCTAAACACAACAAAAAGGCTGCCTATGTAAAGTTCCAGGTGAGGTGCACATAGTGTTGCTGCGGCTCGATGAACTGTGACCTGGCTCAATAAGCCGTGGCTTCTTACACTAGATGCTCAGCTAATTCCGCACTTGTTATCATAATCGCTCGATCCGATGTAATTTTGTATACCTAAGTCAGTTCAAGGCAATATGTGGCTGAGTCGACTGAGTCGACTCTCACTGTATGAGTCAGACTGTAAAGCAATATATTTTCATCCTATATCATATGTTCTAGAGTGCCTTGATGCTCTGGTCCACAACAACTGCACCCTTGGTCTAGGATCCTCGTCTTCTCGTTGCTCTCTTCACATTGGGGCCTTTGTGAGTATCTCATTCCCCCAAACTCCCTTGTGTTTTGGTGTAGGTTCTCGCTGTCCACATTCTTGTGTTTCATCGTGACACCCTTATTGCTCTTCCTGTCATCCTTCTCCTGCTCCTCCCATAGACTGGAGAATGTGACACTACCATTCATGAGATCCTATACACAAGTCAACATGAGTAAAGCACACGAGACCATCCATTCACACTTCCTGGAGTGTGGAAATGCAGAAGGAAAATATGCGAGCAGAAACAGAGAAAGAATGGAGAGAAAAGAAAGGTATTGTGACAGCGAAACAGCACATGCAATGTCATATTTATTTATGCATACAACAGCTCGCTGCTTGCCTAATTCGTTTCAAACATAAGTAAATACACATCATATTATCTGACAACATGGCAGGACAGGTATATGGGCAACAACATGACTACTCTGAGAGAACAGGGTAGAATTCAATGCTAGGATCGATGATGTGGATGAAACTGAAAGGAAAGGAAAGGAAAGTGGGTGATAAGGCACATGAACTGATCTGATATGCAACAATGCTGAAGCCTCCATGCACAGCCCATGATCAATCATACTGGATCAGGCTTGTACAATAATACTATGATCGCAGCCTGATGGCAGTAAGTAAGTGACATGTTGTGAAGGAACCTAAAGAAAGGACTTACACCATGCTGCTTGCTGATTGTGTTCCACTCAAACCACTCCACCTTGCAATCCTCACTTGGAGGACAGACATTTCATCATGGCCACCTTTGACACTCCAGTCGAACACTTCATCATCTCGAAATCTCTCACGATTGAAGAGTGAATAGAACAGGTCGTGGAGGTAAGAGTAGTCGGGCTCCTCCTTGAAACCCAAAGTGCATGCGTGGCTCAACAGGAGAGACAATTCGACTGGAAGCATGTCGCATAAGTCATCAATGAATGTGTCCATCTTACACTGCAGAATTTGAGTGCTATCATCCTGGAGTCCTTGCCATGGAAGAGAACCACAAAGGAAGTAAACTAGAGTATACTCAAGTGATTCAATGTCATCACGACAGGACTGCGTGATGCTTTGGTGGGCATTAATTGATGCATAGTGTACTGTCCCCAGAAGCTGCTTCTCTACACTGTACACTTTATGTTTGTAGGTCTGTGAATTCCAATAAACAGAGGAGAGGCCAAAATCGATGGCATAGAGCACATGGGCATGCTTGCCCATGCCAACGAGGAAATTGTCCTGCTTGACATCGTGATGAACAAGGTATTGCGAATGAATGAATTCTAACCGATCAATCTAACCACTGTTATTTTGAGTATCAAAAACACAACTATTGTAGGGGACTTACTAACTGAATACCGAGAAGGAGGACAGTTTTCAGGCTGAATTTCTGACCACACTGGTTGAAGAGGTCTTTCAAACTAGGGCCAAGGAGATCCATGACCATCACATTGTAGTTGTCCTCCTCCCCGAACCACAGGACATGTGGTATACCAACACCACCATCAAGCATGGCATGTATGATAATCTCGCACTCCAAAATAGCGTCAGAGTCCGGAGATTCTACCTTGATCACTACCTCTGTCCGAGATATGATGTCTGTGGAGAGGAAGACTTGTCCTAACAAACAGCATTGTCACAGATCATCCGACATTTGCATTTTCGACATTACTACTTATCGTAAGAGCCTGATGCCAGTAACTTCCTCATCTGAAACTGGCCGTTGACTCTAGCAAGATCTGTCATGACAAGGAAGAGAGTGAGTGGATATGGCTGAGATTGAATGAAGGAAAGAATGTGGGGAAGGGAAGGTGGAGGGGGGGGGGAAGGGGTGGAGGGGGGAATGATTGAATGATCACAGGATAGCATGAGGGGTTAAGGTATACTGCATCACAAGGTCCAACATGAAAGCAGTGTGAGCAAGATGAGAATATATTTCCCACACTGCGACATTCTTCCAAAAGGGTCGACTCAATTTGTTCTCATCTTGAATAAATAGATTTCTCGCATGAAGACATGGATGGACTTTGGCTAATGTACATTGTAATTGTTAAAACTTCATAATTGTACAAAAAGATATAACATGAGAAGGCAAATGACAGAGCACAATGACGGCGACTCAATGACAGACAATGCGAGCAATACAATATCAGACAAAGATGGCAGCACAGTGACATACAAGGGAGTAGAAAATATGACAGACCCCTAGTAGTCATAAGCACAATCATCGTTGACTATAATACTATCCAGAGCATTATCTCCTCCACTCATGAACAGCCTGTTGAGAAGATCATCATCACTCTCAATCGGTGGCAGCAACATCTTCTCATCAGTCAGGTATAGTGAGTGCCACATGGTGCGTTCGTGCTTTAGGCTAAACTTCAACATTTGAAGTGCCTCCATCAGAGGAGCCGTAATGCGACTTCTCTTCTTGGTGTCCGTGTCAGAGCTAGATGAGAATACTCGCTCGGATGGCATGGAGGTGGGCTGCACAGGAAGGTAGTCAAGAGCAATTGCATGCAGCATTGGGAAGTCCTTGTAATACAGCTGAATGTGTGGTAGATAGCAGCTGTTAGTATAGCCTGAGTCAAAGAGAACTAAGAAGAAACTCACATTTCAAAATTCCAAGATGCCATAATCAAAATTGAGGCCTTGCATCTCGTACACATTATACTCCTGCTCGACAGGCTTGATGTTGCCTTCAGGATGAGCGAGCATGAAGTTGTCAACCAGGTTGTATTGAGCTGTCAGGCTCTCTACTGCAGCATACGTGGGCTGGGCCGCAGACACCTCGACAGCGCTGGCACCAGCATTTTGGTTGCCAAGGTGAGCAGCATACTCTCTCATCTATCAAAATGTTAATGTCAATAAGACAGAGACGGATGTTGTAACTTACAAGAGCGAGGACAGTTTCCTTGCTTCGACAGATGTAGTCTTTGCCCCAGTATTTCTGGACCCAGGTCATCTTGATTGCTGAGTTTAGAACTAAAATATGCTTAGTTTAGAAGGCCGCATGTTAGACAAATACTTACAGAGGGTGATCACATAAGCCCTGGTGTCGTCCATCCACTTGTAGTACTCACTCACCTTCTTGATACCAACACTCACATATGGCTGCACTTGCAATCTGTTACGGTCATGCAGTTTCTCCCAAGATGTCTGCAGGAGTTCGATGGCCAGAACAGCTGCAGAAAGCATTGGACTAGCCCCAATAGACAACTTGTTGGTCGTGAGGCGAGGGATCTAGCATGCTACGTAAGTACTGATTATGGCAGATGAGTGAGAAATGTACCTTCAGCATGACTTCAAACTCTTTCAAGACTTCCCACTCTATGAGGGATAGCCTGAAACATGCTAACTGGCGATTCATGCTGTGAAATATGAAGCTATCTATTGCCTGAGATAAACAGAGGTCAGCCTAGCCCACAGATGATTATCAGAGGCATTAAGCACTGGGTGCAGTTCGCGGAGTCGATGCAGCATGTGCCATGTGGAGTCCCACTGTGTCTGAACATCAGCAATGAGCTGCTTAGGGGTCACCTTAATGACAACAGGCGGCTCCCCTGCAAAGAAGTAATTCTTTGCATTGCCCTCCTTGACTATATCTTCAAAGTGCTCCTTTCTTTGGCCAGAGGAACAGACACTATGGATGATGCCACACTCTAAAGCGATGAGATCACGTGCAGCTGCCTGCTCAAAGCTTTGGACTTCTCCCTTAGTCAGGGGATCAATCACGATTTCTTCATCAATCAGGGTGTCCGAAAGAGATGACAGGATGGCCTGGGCACAAAGATTGATCACATGTGCAAAACAGCGTACCTGATTGTCTTTTGCATCAAAGTTGACACCACGAGTGGTCAGAAGCCTGGCGAGTTCAACCATCATGATGTCATTGTTGCTAGCATTGTCGCGTGCTATCTGAGGGAGGCATCTTGAACACTTTAGGGCCATCACTGTGCCCCGATACTGTATGGCCACAGCCACGACCTTTTTCACGTGCCATAATCAAAAAGCAAATGCTGGATGATGAACAAAGTTGAAGGGAAAAGGAACTGAAGTGACCTAGCAGCAGCTTGAGACTTAAACACCCTGCAGGGTTCGAGCTACAACAAGAAGCTCATCCTGGTCAGAAAACACGTTGTGAACATAAAAACAAAGAAACACCGAGTAGAAGGCATCTGATGATGAATCTCCGCCATGGCCAATTGAGTGAAAAGCCCCCCTCTTGCTATCAGCAACATCATTGTCATTTATTGAGGATAATCTTTAGTGCTAATAAGCACGAAGAAAGGATTAACTTCCCCCTAACTAAGCAGTCTATCTCAAACTGAAGATGATCTTTTTGGATTATCTTTGAAGAATTTTAAAGATAATCCTAAGAATTATCCAAAGGACGATCTGAGTTTAAAGATATTTTTAAACTTGCCACCAGCCAGGATTAAACCCTTAACCTCAAGAAATGGTCACATGATCATGTAACACTAAACACTTTAGCCATTATACCATATATCCTTATAAGCTTACACTCATATGTGATATATATAAGAGATTTTGCTAAAGGGATTTAGGCAAATTCTGTCTACATAAGCATAACTAAGTGAAACTCAAGACAAAGAACGTTATAGTGACATTTCATACAGTCTATACTGTTGTTTATATTACAATACCTATATATTAATTTTGCATATGTTCTAAACTACTGTTCACCTTATGGATACTGTTAAAGATTCATTCTCTGAACTTGAAATTGATAATCACAGTCTTTTTGTTAAAGATGAGATAACAATGTGATTGCATTATAAAGTATGTACTAAAGATGTTATTGTAAACAAAGCTTTGCCTTGTGTGCCACTTAGTTATGCTCATATAGAAAGAATTTGCCTAAGTACCTTTAGCAAAATCTCTTATATATATCACACATGAGTGTAAGCTTATAAGGATAGATGGTGTAATGGCTAAAGTGTCTAGTGTTACATGATCATGTGACCATTTCTTGAGGTTAAGGGTTTAATCCTGGCTGGTGGCAAGTTTAAAAATATCTTTTAAACTCAGATAATCCTTCAAATCATCCTTAAGATTATCTTAAAAATTCTTCAAAGATAATCCAAAAAGATCATCTCCAGTTGGAGATGGACTGTTTAGCTAGGGGGAAGTTAATCCTTTTTTCGTGCTTATTAGCACTAAAGATTATCCTCAATAACTGACATCACTGGGTCACTGGTCAAGAGAGTAAGATGACCAAAGCAGATGAAGACTGGAGTTGGCTTTATTTCAATGGTAGACAACATTGAGATGATTGTGAAGGTTCACAGGTATGCATGTATGCTTATGTATGCTTCTGCTTTCTATGACCTGGTATACTTAATAATGTACATAGCATTATATTTCAAGGAGGGGGATGCAAGTTACAAATCAAGGACATTTATAAGGAGCATATTGCCAACAAACCCAATCCACCAGCACTGATGACATTCAATAGCTGGGTGGATCATTGCTACAAATATGCATCATTGGATGGCACTGGTGAGTCCTGGCATTGTTTGATATTTGGAACTTAACTTATGTATTGATTAGGCTCGATATATTTTCTAATGATCATTTCCGCTAGTGATTTTCAACGTCAACTTTCAAGGACTATTGTTCCTCAGGTTATTGGCGCGATGTGTAATGCCTTGTGATACCCTCAACCAGGTCTGTGCTCCCATCCTTGCTGTACTATGTTTTTGACCTTCTACTTCAGATACTGATATCGGGAAAATATTATCACATGTCTCATTCCATTGATTGCTCATATGCATTCAATTCTTCCTGTCCGCCTTTCTGCCATTTTTTCCACCTTACTTTTATGGGACTGTGGATTGCCAATAGAGATTGATTGTCGTAACTTTGATCTATCTGATTCCTTTTTCAATAACTTTGAACAAAAGTACGTCATATAGATATGCCCCACACACTCGTCACTAATTTGAACCTTAGTTCTTTTGAAGCATTGACAAGAAACAAGACCATTTGGGCCTCTTGCCTTACTTTTTTAACTATCAATGAAGACCCATTATCTGTTCAAATCATGAATCAGAACCTGCTCCTATCTAATGCTTCCAGCTGCTCATCATCAATGTTTCCAAGTCAGGCAATGAGTCCTTTATCAGACTTGGAGGATGAACAGCAAGAAAGCCAGATATGCGATGTCGATGATAATGTTAACAAGGTCATGCCAATTGCGAGTGCTCCTTTCAAGCTGACAGGCAAATTCTATACTCCTGATTTCACATCTTCTCATTATCATGTACTGAACACTCAGTTCGACATTAAAGCCACTGTAAATTGGAAGGTTTCTTACAATAAGGATCAGGTAGAACATCTTGCCTGGTCTAACAAAGAGCGACAAGCTGCTAAGCAGGCATATATAACTAATACACTGGAGGAGTTTGCTGATGCGGTATGCACATTCCCATAAATTTTCATATTTCTTACCAACATTGTATCAGATGGAGGATCAGTACATGGATGGCTGTGTAAAACAATTTGCAGGAAACTATGTCTATATGGATTACGACATATTTGACCAGTAAGAAAATCAACTTAATGTATATTCACATTCTGACTTTTCTCCAGTAAGGAAGTTGAAGTACGATGTCAGGATGGCTCTTTGTTGGCATTTATTGCTGGTGATATGCCGGAGAAAATGAAGGAGAGTCTTCTTTGCAATATTCGCACATCTCTTCTTGTGGAAGGGTTTGCGGACTATGCATTGAAAGACATAGATAGCACTAACACTCCTTACAGGCATGAATTTCCTTGCCTTCACTTTTCTTGGTATGCAAGGAATATCACACGCATGAGTTGTTTTCTAAGCTCTTCAACATTTATTCATACTTCTGCAGGGCGATAATGCTCCTCAGGATGTTCACCCTTTGTACCTTCATTGTATTGATGCAGGAAACACCAATCACCAACAATTTATGCCTTACGTGTCCAAGGAGCTAATGGAACATCAAACAGAATATGAAAATCTATGTAATTCATTTGAAGAACTTTTTGAATGGATACAGGAAAAAGTAAGGCTTTTCTTTTGCTTTGAAAAATGAAACCAAACATTGACTGTATATAATTTTTTATAGATACACAGCCGTCTTCCAGACCTTTATGAGGAACTTGAGCTCTTTGCTGAGGTTCTTCCTAGTGGAGCAATGTCACTGTGCCATCCCTTCACTAGCTTGTGTTGAATATCAATGTTGCTTAGTGCTGGCAATTGGAGATTACACTGGTGGTGAGCTGTGTCTGGTAGAGCCTGGAATTATTATTCCTCTTCGTGATAGAAATTTGGTGGTTTTTCGCTCTTCTTGTATAACTCATTTTAATCTTCACTACAAGGGGACTCACACTTCACTTGTTCTTCATTCTGATGGTGCAAGCATACAGTACAGAGAGGATATGAGTGGTTGAAAGAAAAATAGGTACATGCATTCATCTTCCTCTTCTCTGCTGCTATCCTCCTTGTAGATTCAATGATATGTCGAATCTCTAAATACACAATACATATTGAGAGACTTCAAATGAAATCTAAATGCACTCTGAGTAGTGCATAAGTGTACTTTAAGAAACACTTAAGTGCACTGTATGAATAGCTTGAGAAGGAAGTAAGGGTCGAGGAGAGAAGTCAATGGCGCAAGTCATATCAAAGCTAACTCAGCTAATCTGGCTGGTGAGTCCGAACTGACATCAAACTGAACCGATCCTGCTTAACAATTGAGGCAGTTTAGATCCACATTTGTTGATCTCAATCTGGCTGGACCGCACCTCAACTCGCCCTTGTGAGATGGCTGTGAACTGAGCTGCAGCAACACTAGGGATGAGCTTACAGTCTTAGTCGGACTGTCGTTCGCTGTCAATCTCAGACCACGCAGCTGAGCGTGAATTATCCCAAGCGTCGTTAGTCCTGGGGGACTCGGAGATTTCAGATAACAGCGAAAGGGATGCTTTTCTTTGGCTGCGAGTTCGAAGTGAAGTCGCAATGGAATTTTTATGATGTGACAATTTGGGCAATGTAGTCGAAATGGTGATATGGTCATTGGGTCATTAAGAACAGTGATGTTGTTTGGTGTGCTGTGCAGACGTGTGCAACTAGGTGGTCATTACGGTGTGTTAGGTTCTCCATGTGGGGTAATTAATTGACTCGTGCATACAGTTACATTGAACAGTCAAAAAAAGTGAAAGCCTGTCTGGTGTTGGTCAGACAGAAAAAACTGAGCATCAATACAGGATCCCATGAACCAGACTGTAGATGTGGTTATATTGACGAGAGCAGAGAGAGATCATCCAGATGAGATGTGGGGCGATATGTATGTAATGATGTGGAGGTAAAGTAGGTTTGGAACCAAAGGATCGAGGTAATGCACGGAGGTAAAGTCGCCCACATGACAATACGTACAAACATATAATGTAAGCAGCATGCTTACAACTAGTTGTAGACACTCATACAGGAGGTGAACAAAATGCAAGCTCTTGCACATGGTTGCTAGGCATTATCTCCTATCCTTCTTCATCTGTATTGTGCAGAGACTAGCCATTCGACTTCAGACAACAAATCACTCATATAGCTTGAGTGTCCCTAACCCATTATCATATACATTGATATCAGCGAACAACTGTGATAGCCCAGCATATTTTTCATATTGCCATGCTTAGTGAACGACAGTGAAGTACCACTTACTTGACCCAAAGCTGAAAGCTCCTCCAGCCAAGGCCTGTGTATATCCTAAGTTGACAGCATGGAAGCTTTTCATCAGAAAAACCCAACTTTTACTTAAAGGTGTCCTTATGTGACTTAAATGCACTTATAGGCCTTAAATAAGGTAAATAAGGACAAAAAGTCCATAAGTCAT